ATTCCAGGTGGCATCAGAGCATGCGCATCTTGATTTTAAGAAGGGTGATTGCCCAGCCAACAATGTCGGCCATTCCAGGCCTTCAAGGCCTTTCCAACAAGAGCGCATTGTCAAATTTTTTTTTACAATCCAAAAGTAGCTTGTTGTAAACACATGATAAGGTTTTTCATCCACTATCTTCTCGCATAATCGCTTTTAGATATGTTTTTATTCTGGAGATCAAATTCATGAATTAGATTTTGATTTTCTGGATCAACGTAAGATTAAATTAGCATTTGTGACGATTAATTTCTATTGTTTTGGAACGTCAATGTGTCATATTAAACTTCTTCCTCTATCACACAGAAGCTTTTGCGTTGCAAGAGATTATGAAATAAAGTATATTACTGGTAACAAAATGAAAGAAGATAGGACCTATTAACGAGCCTTGTGTCGATTCAGGCCTGATTCAGTCATGGCAACCAACATTAAATAAAATTCCCAAAAGATTGATCCAGTGGCAGCTCCAGCTACTGCAGAGTTGAAGGGTAATGGGTGTTGCCCATGAGACCACGCCCTATTGGCCTCGTTTCAGTGCTTTGTATTAGGTCAAATTTCCTTAGGAAATATGATCTACCCCTACCTAGTGCTTTTTAATCCGTTTTTAGACAAAGTATGTAGACCATGTTTCGACAAAAGTGGAGGGGGGTAATTACCCCCCCCCCCACCATACCACTCCTTGGCGCCGCCACTGACTGTAACCATATGAAGGATTTGTTACTAAATGATGGCACAGGCTAGTAAAAGTGTAAAGACATTTCCCTCTGACCTCTCCTAGTCCCCTTTCTGGAAAATGTTTTTCTCACGCATTTTTTCTTGTGGATTTGCTATGCTACGGGAGCGTTGTGGCCCACGGGAAATTTCCCGGTAGGCCCCATAAAACCTTTCTATGTGGGCCCCTTGGACTGTTCTTCCCTTTAAGCTGTTCTCATTATCAACATCAGATTTGTTAGAAGGAAAACATCAATTTCCAAAATATTATAAGTGATGAAAACAAGACACAATCAGCATCAAAATGGTGTGCCTCTAAAAACCTGATTTTCCCAGCTCATAAAAATTCCCACCACGCCCCTTATTTGCTATGATTTATAAGTTTGCATGGCAGAGATGATAATGCTTAGAAGCCTGCAAACCTGCTTTAGAGGAACGTTTTGGCCAGGAAATGAGGAAGGTTTTGTTGAAAAAACAGTATTTATGTTTCTTTTTTTGTCATTTTCGATAGTTGATAAAAGTTCAACTGCATAATGATGATTAAACAAAGCTGAAAATCAGGCTTGACTGGAGTGGGATGTCAGGAGAATATTGTCTTGAAAAATGTGGTAAAAGCTATGATGCGGTGTTAAATCTGGAAAATGACACTGGAAGATCCCAAATTGATACCCTGGGTACCAGAGCCACATAAGTTCGAGGGCGGAAATAGAAGATGGAGTGGAAAAGCAAATGAGAGCCTATCTGAGAAGAAGGAATAAAGCACATTCCGTGGGTGCCAGAGTCCCCATTAATTAGGTGCCAGTTACCCTATACCGGATTGCTATCGGAGCGGAGTAGCTTTCATATCGAATAAGTTTGAGTTACACTACGCCACACCAATCCGATACACAACGCTCTGATTAGCGGAGTGAAATTCACTCCGCTCTGGAGGTGATACGAAAATCACTCCGGAGTTACTCCGTAGCGGAGCGTTGTAGTGTAACCGCACGAATCCGATATGCTCCACTTTGAAACAAAGGATTTTCTTATTGTTTTCTGCTTGAAGCAATTCGATCGATAGTGACCAATGGCGCTTTCTGGGATTTTGTTTCTGTCGGATAATGCCAAATCGAAATCGTGAAAGCATTTTCGTATTTGGATTTCATCTTTTCCCGAATTTTAATGAAGTGGCCCTTGAACGAAAAACATACTTTAACACATCAGATAGCAACACAATCTCGCTGTCCGTCCTACGAAACCCATCATTTATCTCTCAGTTTCATGGTTGTTTTCGTCATTGTATGCATAGCTATTGAAAACGAATTTATAACAGCACATAGATTCGAAAATATCATCAAAAAATTTAATCTGGTGGATTTTGTGTACCAGAAATGCAAAGGAATACAGGCTTGTGAGCGAGCGGAGCGTCGTAGTGTAACTGCTACCCTAAATATCACTCCGGAGTAAAAGTTACTCCGCTCTGCTCCGCTCCGATAGCTATCCGGTATAGTGTAACTCTAGCCTTAGTATCATAAATATAGTTCGAAACTAGCCACAGAAATACTTATTTCCACCGCAGCGGTCTACAATACGTAATCCCCAGTGTCTTGCGTTTCGGGTACACAGGCTACCTTCTTCACGGCTAGATGCTCTTCCGCTTCTCCGCTAGGATTTCTATTTACGCGCTGAAAAACTTGTGGCTCTGGTACACTGGATACCAAATTGAATTCTTGTCTAGTGCAGAACATTGCCCGGCTGTTTTCAGTTTGGGTTGAATTGAGGGAGGTTGGGATCAAAAATTTGGTTCGGAGGAAAGTCGAAAAGTTTTTGCAACTCTGTTTATGGATATGAAAAGGTGATCCAATTCAATATTTCATTCAGCAAAAAAGTGAAAGCCATGGCTTCTTAGCCCCCCTGTCGCACGTGTCCTGGTTTCTGTTTCAGATCTGAGCCATGGAATAATTGATAACACTAAAAGCGGTTTGATAGATAAAAAGATAGAGTGATAAGGTCAAAAGTAGGGAAATTCCCTTGAAACAAAAACTCAAGTCCGCTTAAGGTTTAGGGGAATCCCATTTGTAGCTAATTACGGCTTATAAATTTAATAGGGAGCACAAAAATAAATCAATTGAACAGACTTTTCTTAAAATATTGTCATTTTCCAGTTTTAACGTAGCATCACAGCTTTTACCAAGTTTTTCAAGTATAAATTTTCCTGATATAAGATAAAGGTCGAATTTGAATCCAAAAAGACCATATCTTCTACGAGGCAAATCAAGGATCTCTGTTTAAATCCTCGAATTACCCTAGAAAGATGGACTATTGAAGGCCCACTTTCTGCTGTGCAAAAAAGAGAACTCTTCCAGAGAATAGATTTAACTGTATATTTTAAAGAACGCACTTCATACGTGCCAGGATTTATAGTATAATGGACATCCCTGCAACAAAATAAAGGAATGAGAACTAGATGACTAATTTTCTTAGGCACTTGAAAGTTCAATTTTAAAGATAATTTCAAACTTATTACAAATTATATCCAGAATTCAGACATTGAATGTTAATTCCTTGCTATGCATTAATTCACTAATTGATTAATCAATTAATTATCTAATAATTTAATAAATCAGTTAGTTCATTCATTCTTTATTTCATTCGTTGTTTATTATGGAGGTTCGGTAGCTATTTGAATTGCATTATATACGATACGTCAAATTAAAAAAGGCTTCTATAATATGAATCTGCGAAGTATATCTGAAAGTATATCTTGAAGTATATCTGAAAACATGCTTATTGTTTTTGTTTTCTTAACGACAAACGTTACAATTTCATTTTTCATAAGAACGTAAAAGAGATTATACAATTAGGTTACATTGAGCGAAAACTTGTTACAAACTCTTTATTTCAACTGCAGCACCGGTAATGACCCAACATGCTTTTCACCGGTAATGACCCAACATGCTGAAATTTTGTAGCCTGTCTCCCTGACCCCTAACTTTCAAGTAAGGGGTCTGGAGCATAGACTAAAATTTGGGAACTTAGGACCCCATCTAACAAGATCAAATTCAGTCTTAATTGGAATGGGCTGTTATTTGAAGGTCAAATTGTGAAAAATTTAAGCTTTCAAATAATTTTTAAGAAAACAGGATGTCATATGACAGGAGGTCGGACTGAAAATGAACAATTAAAACCATAATATGAACTTAAGACCACAATAAGTACACACTAGAGTATTGCAAAATGCCAATATTCTGCAGTGGAAATGGGGCACTCTTTAAAGTTTAATGATGTTTTCATGTTTATTGAATGTGTTGGTTTAGTGAAGCAAGTTGATTTACTTTAAACAAAACTCCAAGAGAACAAAATGGTCTAAACTTTTTGGAATAGATACAAACCACTTCCAGTCCAGAACCAAAACCAATACCTTTATATATAAATAAAGATCGACAGAATATTTTTGCCAACAAAGGTCATAGTTTTTTATATTTGTAAATTGAAAATAATACAACCTTGGTTCATGTTTCATGTTTCGAAGGGTGTGGGAATGAAATGATACAATAGGCACGAAGCCAAGGGAACACGGGGTATTGCTTCCCAGCTAACAGATGTTACCCTTTTATACAATCATAATTTATGCATATGCCTTTTCATAGCTGTTTGGTGATCCTGTTTGAAATTTGGGAGGGGGGGGGGTCCTTGTATCTTCCAAGCTATAGCTAGAAATTGTATTTGGCCGTTTTCATTGCAAACCAGTTATCATTGTTCCAATGATTCACATAAAATGACCTGTATGAGAGTATTAGGCAGGCAGGCCAAAATGGGACAAGGGGACAGATTGATTTGGGCCAGGAAGTTAAGAAACCCATCTTTGAGACTGTAAAATGAGCGTCAGATAAAAGTTAAACTTTAGTTTACTTTTCTTATTAGAGAGTTGAATTCCCCTTGAAGTGTACGTGTCAGGTTTCCGGGGATCACACCAGCTTTCGATAGTTCTTGTGACGTCGTCTTCATCAGGGTGCGCATAGCAGAACTATGCCCTGGGTCCACCAAATTGGGTGTACCTTGTTGTCCATGGAGTTAGGCGGGGTTAGGTAACTTAAGGGGGAATGTTTTCATAAACTGGATAAATGTGTATTTTGCCAGTTATATATCAAAAAGTATCTGGAAGTTGTCATCTGGCTCCTCCCTTGAGAGTATAAACGGCCAATGACGTAATCATTCTATAGAAGATGATCGATCGGCGATCAGTAGTGATTATGTAGTGATTGCGTAATGCTTGCACGTTCATTCACGAGACACGTTGTGCTCGTCTTGATGAGGTGCTGCTTCAGTTGTTTCACTGCTTGACTTTCCTTCGCAAGCTTAGTGACCAAAAATCCAACAATCCAAATCAGAAGCAAATCGCTAGTGAAGGAAATCGTTGAAAACTGTACGTAGAGCACCTGCGGGATGGTAAGACGGATTTTCAAACAGAAATGAGCTGGAGAAACTGTACTAAAGCTCACTCATTATGCTCTCAAATCAACGGCCTGTCGAGCCATCCTCTGTGATGTTTATTGGCCACCCAACCAAACAACAGTCCGACAACATCATCGTTAATATGGATAAGGACAAGGCTTCAGGTAAAACTTTGTTGTTAATTGTAGTGCACAGATGTTGTGTTTCAAGTAATAAAAGCCTCAGCAGTTATGAGAAATGTATGCCTCGAAACATGTGCACTGACTGGCAATATTTAATGCCGCCGATTTGCATGTGTGAAACGTTGGAAAATTCAACTCTAAGGTTCTTGAATTGCGTGAGGGTGCAGTTTCTATCTTTTCTCGTTTCAATCATATTATGTCCAGCTATATGGTGTTTATTCCTAAGCTTTCTTTGCGTCTCTTGGTTGGAGCAGACCGTCGTCGCTTTACTTCCTTCATTTCGTGTTCCTGTCGGACGTTCCTTTTGGTATAGCGAAAACAGGTTGCAAAGATCGGTGTATTACAGTAAATTGATGTTAAAGTTAGAAGCACTGTACAGTTTTTCATTATTAGGCCCTTTATTTGAAAGTCTAACTTCAAACTAAGGGTGGCAAGGCAGTCACCATGACTCTGTGGTTGAACTATGGAACAAACATATTTGTATCTGTTTTCTTTCTGAACAGTTACACAAACCAATGAGTTCATTGCCTGTGTTCTTAAAGATTACCTAATTCTTTATACTTGGAAAATTCTGCCAATTTCCTACATGCAACACAGCTTGCTGCTGTAGCAAGATTCATTCGCTCACCGTAGTTCCATTTTCCCCATATTATTTTTATTATTTTGCAAACGTAAATTCGATTGTTTATAAATTTCGTTCTTACTTACAGAATTTTCGAGAAGGCATCATCCGGAAAAAATTCAAACAAAACAGATTAAAAACGGTTTATAATTTTTCATACGACCTTCTCCGCGAAATCTCATCGAGATACCTTATAGTGAACCCTTCGCTTCCATTTTGTGTTTCCTAATATGAGCGTGTTTATACAATACGATCATCCATCTATAGACCCTGAAATGGGTATGTGGTTACTTTGTTAGGAATAATCTCCTCGTTGCTAGGGACGTTCGTGTCACTCTTTCATTTCATCTTTGTCTAGAAAGCCCATTTTTCACCCTGAAAATTAGGCCTTTTTAATTTTTTTTCCGAATCCTCGAAAACCAAAGTCCAAAACCTCATATGGTCAGACAATTCAAACAAAATAGTGCATTCAGATTTAATGGCTGATTTTGTGACTGTTGTCGCTTGTTTTTGTGTAAGGAAGCTGATGTGATATTGTATTTTAAGAATTTTAAATTAAACTTTTGGGTCCAAAGTATAGCTGATTTTGAAAATACCACATCGTTTGTAAAAAGTGAAGGGAAATTGCTTTCAATTTATCAGTAAAGAAAAACTCCTTATTACCAAAATAAATAACTTTGTCTGGTTCAGCTGAAGTCTGACAGGTTCTAAACTTTCTCTTCAAGTCTATGGTTGTAGTCCTCTTCTAGCCTTTAGACAAGAGTCAGTGAGACATTCAAATTTTGTCTGTTTGTGTTACTGCTAAATTAGAAAGGCATAGTTTATTAGGCATTAAAATTTAAGTAACAACATTGGCCTCAGCCTCCCATAATTTCTATTTTTTTGTTTAACAAGGGTGCTTTTCCATCTTTAATCCATGTCCAAAGAATAATTTGTATAGATTTGTTAAAGGATTAATTTCTGGGTGTTTGTCTAAGTCCTTTTTGTTTACAAGCTTTGAACCAAGCTTGCTTACGATGATCTCTATTTTGCTTAGTTATTGCAGAGTAAACAGCAGACATTTTTCTACCATCTACTGCCATATTGTTTAAATTTATCATGCATTTTGATAAATTTAATCACTTCAAGGCACAGTATTTGTGGTTTGCAACTTGCAAATGAACATAGTCTTGGTATTGTTTAAAATTTGACTGTTGATTGCATTAAACATGAAATTCAGAGTTGCAACTAAGAAGCATCCTGTTTTTCATGCATGTACATCTCTGCCTACACAGATTTATACCAATCAACAGGAAATTTTTGATGGCCTTAGTGTTGTATAGCAGTGGGTTGGTGAGGAGATATAGACTCTGTTGGTAGATTTATTGAAAACGAGAAAGTGATTGCCATCCTCAAGCATGAAACAAGTTTATACTTCATAGCAAGTGCATTGAGAAGTTTAAAATGCCTGTAGAAGTTAAAATAACCAAAACAATAACACTTGTTGTTCATAAGCAGCTTTCTAATTCTGTCAAACAAAGTATCTTATTTACAAACTGTTTCTTTGTTGCTGATGTAGTTTTTCAGAAGGGTGGGAATCTAAAAATGTATGATATTATCTGTTTTCAAGAAAAGGGCAGAAAATAGAATGTTGTGAATCTTGTTTTTGTTCATCAATGAAATCCATTGGAGACAGCAGTATCTTGAAACCACATGTTGCAAGTGGAACTAGAATATTCATTGATGAAAATTGCAGTATAATGCAAGGAACCTTTAAATTATTAACATTAGTGGCTGAGATAATCCAGAGCTAGCCTTTGTTATTTTGCTGATATTTTCTGGAACAAGCCAAAACATTTCTAGCTTTCCACTAGACACATCAAAGAATTGATGAATACTGCAAAATGTTGAGTAGAAATAAGAATGTGATATTACCAAGTGTATTGATAATATTGTAGTACGTCAAACAATACAGTGAAATGTTAGCACAATAAACTAATTAGCAGGAGTCACTAATTAACTTATCACTGAAGCATTATTTTTTTCAAATGAATTAAGACAGCATGATAATATATATGGAATAGTCACTTATTGTGTTGTTTGTGTTAAGTGTCAATGCAATTGTATCACAACACAGAGTACTCTGTTTTTGTGCTGAAAGGAGCAACCCACCCCCCTTTCTTGCAGATAGGTATGCACATAGCCATTACCTTTAGGAACTGAAATTCCAATACACTTTGTTTGCCAAATTCTCAAAGCTGTGAGGAAGGGTAATAAAGAAAGGGAAGAAAACAGGAGGAAAAGAAGAAAGATATAAAATTTCTTGGTGGAAATTCATTTGAGGACAAATTGTTTTGAGCCAAATACTGCTTTAAAAAAGAGAAAGAGAAGGTGAAAGAAAGAAAAACGACAGAAAAAATAATAAAATCATATAGAAAAAGAGTAGTGGGATACGATTCTGATATCATGTTTTTTCCTAAATAGCAGTTATGAACTCTAAGTTTGGATTAAGAAAAAATGGCTTTGGTCTTTTTGATCGATTGATGTCAATACTTCCGAGTTACAAAATAACATACATACATAAAGTCCACAAATAAAAACTTTCAAAGTGCTTCTCTTTTGTTTTTGTCTTGGTCATGAGACTTCTCAGTGGTTATCTTGGCAAGAGTTATTCCCATTGAGCATTTTAACTAATCATTACCTCTTATCATATTATTTATTCTAGGGATATTTCCTTTGAAATGTGCTGTTCAAAACTATGCATGGGGCAAGATTGGCGAGAACAGTATAGTTGCTAAACTAGCCAATCAGGACAAAGAATTCAAGTTAGAAGGAAACCAACCATATGCAGAGGTATAACAACTTTTTAACTTATATTGTTACTGATTTTTTTGAATGTGTGCATCATCATCATCATCCATCTAAAGCTTGCAGTGAATTGCAAAGTCTCTAAGGATCAGAATTCTTGGCCAGCTCATCATGTTCCTAAGACAAAACATTGCCTCAAATGTAGATATATTGTGGAATTGAAGTCTATATGAATGAAAGGTAAAAATTGGAAGGAATGTTAGCAAGGTTAAAACTGTAGCTTTCCCAATAAAATTTTTGGAAGATAATGTTTTGCTGTTTTGTTTTTATTTGTGACATTTTGAAGAATCCGGTAAAGGCAAAAGTATCTTGTCCAAAATTTAAAGTTTAATTGTCAAGATTCAACAGGTTCCTTTCCTTAACCTTTTATTTGGCTACCCAATAATGTTGTCAAATTGTAGTGAATTAGCTTTACAGCAATGTACTGAATGAGAAGGAATACAATGTGACCTCCCCACCCCTGTAATATGAAATTCATTCCGAGGGCACTGAATTTATGCCAGTTTTGCTCTGATTATTATGTTTCAAAATCCTTGTAGATCCCAGACACAATCCTGTTTTCTATGACTTGCCACCAATAGGCTGAACAAGGGATTGATTTAGAGCCTATTTGTGAACATAATTGGTTTCATCAGTTATTTTAGTTTTATCAAACTAAATCTTGTTAAACATCTTGTTAACTGGGACAATCTGAGGTAAATTGAGTAATTAGAACTTGAATACATTTAAAGATATTCAATCCTAAATGGTTAGTATTATCATTTGATTAGCCTGGCAAGAATCATGAATGTTTCTGGCTGAAACATACTTTGCTTTACATGAAAATTCAGGCTTATTTGGGCTGTTTATGATCCATATTTAGGATATTTCTGTAGATCATATTTTGGCAAAGTTTGGAGAGGGGAAATAATTGAATTATTATACACATTGAATTGTTTAAAGATTTTGGGGAATGGCGGCTCCAGCCTGGGATAAATGGGGGGGGGGGAGAGAAAAGGTGTGTCAGGGACCACGCCCCTTTCCCCCTGATTGAAACATTTTCTTCCGGAGGATACAACTCTTGTCTCCCAAGAAATGTCATTTAATGTGTCGATCTAGATAATGTACATACACCCCCCCTCCCGAAGTTTTCTCATCAGGTTTGCAAGAATTTAAAGGACAGACTTTCTGAAAAAGTGGAGGGGATTAGTATTTGTATTCCAAGAAATTGTATTCCAGGGACAGGCTATCATCAACCTTTCAGTTTTTAAGTTGTAACGTTTTCTTAAGTTTTTTTATGTTTTTGACGAGAACGCTTGCATGTTATTGCACTGATGTTATTCAATAACTGAAGTCCAAAACATTTGGTTTTTTTTCTTCAGTAAGGTGGTTTCCCTACAGACATGCTTGCCAGGTACATTCGTGTGTCACAGCATCCTTTTGAATGCCTCGACTATTTTCATTGTTTCCATCATAATTCGTTTATGAGGCTTGTGACTGTTTTATCATTCTTTCCAAATGATCACGGGTAAGGTTTTCCCAAAGATCTGAACTGCAATATTCACCGAGCGCAACGATTGGGTGGGTAACGGTGTTCTGTCCACGTGAAAAGACTGTTCACATGTACAATAGGTCATTTCATCGATTGTTTGTACGAGACTTTGCTTCCACTAGATTTTGTTCGTCACGTGCAGTGTCCTGAAAAGTCTTCATTATCACTTTAACAAATTCCCTCAAGCTTTGGTAAACCTTTCCCAGAAAACAAAGGAAAAGGAAGGTCTGTTTTGGCATGGTGCTTTAAATTCATTTGCTGTTCTTTAATTTCTTTTGTTTTAATATGACTGTTTCCTAACCCTTGTCGGTTTATCAGCACCTGGGAACCTGTACTTTCAACAGAAAACCTGCTTATAAGTGATTTCATTTTAAGTCTTTGAATATTTACAGAGAGAAAGGTATTTCCAGGAAGTCCAGAGCTAATTCAACACTTTAAAATTTTGATGTTCTGTAGGATTGGTCCTAGAATATATTTTTTTGTTTAAAGCAAGTTGAAATAGAAGTTATTCTCGGTTAATCGAGTAATTAATTATTAAGCATCTTTGTTTTGTTGTCTGAATTGGTTTCAATATCTCTTTGGGTTATTGCAATCGGTGTCAATAATAACTGCGAAGGAAAAGTTCAGAAATATAGAAGCAGGAATTAGAAATGTCTGTTTCGTAGACAACTTAACCCCGCTGGAAAGAGTGGTTAGAACAACCATTGTCGGTTTATTGATAATTCTAGATGTTGTTGACTGTTATACGTGTGCAGATGAGTCGATAATTTCACAAAATATCTTTGGAGAAAGCGTCTAGAAGGTGAACGCCGGCCGGGCTTCTTAAGAAAACCACCTGTAGAACTAACCATGCATTCAGTACCTTGTGGGCAGCATCTGAGCTCTTTGGCCGAAGATTTTGTAATCATAAAAACCAACGTGTCAAAAGAAGTGCTAATAGTTCTACCAAGGGAAGTGCATATGGTCGAAGTTACTGGAATAGCTAACCTCACAAAGAATTTTGACCCGCGCGTGGAACGTTTCCACTTGTCCACGAGGGGGGAGCTTGTCCATGAAGGGGGCTTGTCCACGAGGGGTCTTGTCAGTAGGAGGTGCCTGTTACTGAAGGGCGCTTGTTAAAGATTTCTTAATTGCCTGCGGTCTTAAGCAGGCTCTAGTCTTTGTAGATGTACGAACACATTGCCTGTATAATTTTGTTCATGCGACTTTATCTGATTAATGTATAGCGGTAAGATAACGATTTTCTTATTTGTTAGATGTGGCTAGATAATGCATTGGTTATAAAAACAACGGGTTTACTATCTTATAGGTGAACTAATATTTCATTGCGGAAGTAATTGTTTTCTTATCGGAGCTGTAGAGGCTCTTTCATTTCATGGCGGAACGACATCTTGTAATCATTTACAGGGTGGGGCCGCCTGGTATCAAATGTCTTGTTATCAACAATGTATTATTAGCTATATATCACCTAAAAGTACCGAGGCTTTAGCCTCCCTTTTGACGTTTCCCCGGTCCAGTAGCCACCACAAACAATCACAACGAAAAGCCTTTGGTTTCGTAGACGTTTTCGAAATCTGATATTCTATGCCAATTTATTATGTGATTAAGTTTAACTGTTGATTCTTTTTATGTATAGTTTAGCCATTAAACTGAATCGTTTTCGTTTTTCTTCAGCTGTGGATGGGAACCCACATCAAAGGACCTTCACGCGTGGCTTCATCAAAATACAAAGGAAAATCTTTGAGGGATGTGTTCATCGAGAATCCGCGATTGCTTGGGGATCATGTATATAAACGATACGGTGTTCAGCTACCATTTTTGTTTAAAGTCCTTTCAGTCAATAAGTCGTTGTCCATTCAAGCACATCCTACAAAAGAACACGCAAAAACATTGCATTCACAATATCCGGACCGGTATCCAGATCCGAATCACAAACCGGAGTTAGCAATCGGTAAGTGCAACCCTTGGCCTTGACTTTCTGCCATCTGTCACTTTTTGTGAATATTCATCTATTCGTTACGGTTGCGAGCACTATGGTATCCCAAAAATATAATAAAAAGGCTCCCGTAAGGAGCGAAAAAGAAAGAAACTGAATTAATACACGAACTCCTTCTTTCCTGTGGTTTCCTTAGCCCTCCTGTCCTTCTTGGTGAACCTTCTTTCGCTTCTTTCCACTTCTTCCGATCTTCGGCGTCTTTCTTCGTGCATCTCCTCTCCAAATCCTTCTTAATGACATCGGCAAGGTTACTCGTTGGCCTACCTCTCGTTCTTTGCTTTTGGCTCTCCGTCTCTTTGTACGTCTTCATCGCTTGTGCCGCATATCCTCCGTGTCGGATCGTATGACCCAGAAACGCCCATCTCCTCCGGTCCACCTCTTCGCTTGCGATTCCTTCACCGGATGTTATCTAGACCTCATCGCAACCCATCTACCTTGGGCAAAAGACCCGGAGCACCCTTCGGAGCAGGCGCCGAAGGAAAGCGTCCAGGATGTTCCGGTCCTCCAACCCTATATACCTGGTTGGGCAGTTGAAGAAGAGGACGGGCATGACAAAAAAATTGTGAATATGCGTAACTTCAATTTGCTAGCCTACAGGGGTGCTCATTATCGTAAAAAAGGGGATTGATAAGTTAGCAAAAATGATTAAGCAGATGTACCTGACTGGCAACAGTTATAGCGGCGCTGTGTAGCCTACTCCGGAAACAGCTTATTATTAATACAATCTTTTATCACTGACGTTCCCTTTGGCTCCCAGCATAGAGTTCTCGTGAATATTGTTGTAAAACAAGTTTCGGCTATAGCACCTTTGCTTGTTTGCATTTTGGTAGTTGTGTAAGTTTCTGTCATAAATGGAATGGGACATCTACACGAGATTGTTGACCGTGGCCAGTAATTTTTTCGTATGCATTTTGTAGATTGTCCAAAGGAATTTATTTTACTAGCTGCAATTAAGCTGGCAACAGCATGCTATTGGTTATTTGACGAAAAAAATTCAACCTTAGTTAGTGCTAGCCTTACAAGTACTGACTAATGGCTTATTTAGAACACTAGAAATTGTTTCATATTTGAACAGGCTATATACAAGTTGTACTTCGAGCTAATTGCATTGAAAAATTTTTTGTAACAGCTAGTTAGATTTCATTTCAGTCCTAGTCATTTGATGAATTCGTTTTGGTTTCATCTTTTCTCTATCTCACCACGTTTACGCTTTTAATCAAGTTTTCCGACTTTAGATGAGATAATCATCAAATTTATTCAAAGTGTCTTACCAGAAAAATAGATTATGTTTTACATGACACAAATTAACTCAGGTAGGCAAACAGACTCTTAATAAATGCGACCTTTTTGAATTGGTTTGTGTTTTCAGCTGTTTCTAATTTTCCAGCAGGAGATATGGGGGCGTGCCTTACAACTGTGAAAATGCGTGCAAATGGTAGCTAAAACTGAATCTTACTCTTAGAGCCTTAGGGATTTATCATTAGGGTACAGGCATATTGTTTTACCTTGTACAGAATTCCATCCCTCATTTTTTCTTGGAAATCAGCGTATGTTGCCAAAAGGGTAATATGCTTACTTGAAAAACCGATCGGACCCCTCTGCTTATATATAAAGCTTCCCTGGTTATGTGCATCTTGGGTCATCCCCCTTAAATATAATATGGAACTTGCATTTCAGAATAATTATGTTGTTTCTGGGTCGACAAGGACGCATATTCTTTAAGTATTTTTCCACTGCCTAGAAAACATGATGGTCATTTGTCCGGCCATTGTTAGTAGATCGATGAAAACAAAACAAATGTAATTGCCATTCCCAAACCTCTCTTTGTTGTTATTGTTTTCGAAGGAAGGTCTCCGGGTCTGAAATTATTATAAATAAGAAGTATTAACCTTTTTGCACTTTGTTTGCCATCAGAAAAGTTTTCCATGTAGCGAATAGAGTTCTTACAAAGAATTATATTAAAACTTTTTGGGGAATTTCTGGACACAGATTCATAAGACATGAATTTTATGCGCGTCGTATATTGTCGGCAGCACTTCCCAGCAATCGAAAAATTCAACCTCAGAGTCAATGATCGCACATAAAATCATATCGACCCCCAAGTAGCTATTTTATTGCATCTCCCTGTTGCTTTTGGCAATCAATCTCCTTAAGTAAACATTTTGCAAGGACTCGTCAAAGCTGACCTAATTAGCCTGTTCAACCACTAAAAATTGGTTACAGAGTCCCAAGCGTTACTGTTCAGTGCGGCATTTTTTCTCAGTTAGACATTGTGGTTTTGTCCGATTTGCGGCACCAACAATTTTCTTTAACAATTGCCAATTACCAATTGATCGCTGATTTACATTTCTGTTAATTTAATCTGTCTTAATTACAGCCTCAATTTTCTTCTCATTCTAGCTCTAAACAGATTCGAAGCCCTCTGTGGTTTCAGACCAGCCTCTCAAGTTTTGAATTATTTACATGATGTCCCAGAATTCCTTGCAGTCGTCGGTCAGCCAGCTGCCGATGAGTTGATCAACGCAGAACACGTGCATTCAGGTTTGTCCTCCTTGCTCAGTACCTTACTTGTTATCATCAGGTTTGCCCTATACGATACAGGGTTGTTTATTTGCGCAGTTGTCTGGAAATCTAAGCACTGTGAAGCTTGTCACAACGAATCTATTTAGATTAGGGGATGGACCATAGAATTAAACTTGCAATGGCCTCGAACCCAAATATCTGTAAGGAACTGAAAGTTGAACCTGAGTTATTCTAGGTTAAAGCCATTTTTGGAAAGCTCTCGGCTTCGTTGATGAATATGTAACATCTTGTATTTCTTTCCTTTCCGCTACCTATTATTTAGCTATTCTCAACAAATTTCCATATCATACTCTGCTATCAAACGTTCTTCCAAAAGATTCTTGCAAAACTAAAGTTTGCTCTTTCCCTCCTTGCTCCTGGTGGTGACTGAAATTGAAGTGACTGAATACTGTAGCTGGTTTGTACGTTGATCCCATGGATCGTTTTTGCCACTTGGAGGTATTTACATAGTATTTAAGAGAAGCCGAGGACGGCAAGGTTCTCTTTAGCACTTCTCAATTTATATTAGCATATGTTACCAAACAACATGCTTTTGCTACTTTCTCAAGACTTGCTAATTCAGTGAGCTCGGGTTTTCTTACTTAAGAGCCCGGGCACTGATCAGCTGTTTCTTAGATCAATGTGACGCCCAGGAAAACGTATTTGGTATTAAGCTCCTAGGCGTCGATTTCCAGTTATGGCTAAGCTACTGTTTAAAGGCTTATCTTATGTGTATCCAAAAAGAACCTTCATTTTATGTCTCAAGTTAATTCACTCTTACAGCCCGTCGTGACAGTAAATCCTAGCAGAATTGTTTGGAATATCCTTGTTTATAGGCATTAAATGACCACACAAGCTACAATACCATCATCCACTTACAAAACTTGATCAATCCAGAATTTCTTGGCATAAGCAATGAACAGCTGCTGCCCTTGAAAACGAGGTTGACTGCTTATTGGGTGAACGGCCTAATTCTTAAGTCCCGTCTCCGTTGTTGACGTATTTTTAAGTTCAGAACGTCTGAAAAGACACTTTATTGCAATCAAGAATAGCAATGAGTCTTTCATGTGTTGTAGCAGCGTTCAACTGAAGGGGACAAATCTAAGTTTCTTCGTTTCACATAGTCCCCTCAAAAAACTTTTGTCGTTGCCTAGGTCAAAATCTCTGCATTTAATTTAGAGTGACAAATGCTTGGGGAAACCCAGCTTCGTCTTGCTTCAAAGAAAGCTAAATATTAATTGTAATTTTGTTATCTGCACGAGCTGCTGGGATCTGAGCTAGCGAAGTGTCAGACATGGCTCTATGGACAACGCGCGCTGATATTTTGAATCTTCCAAAACGGACTGTTGTTGAAAATGATATGCAATTACTAGGCCATTTTCGATTTTTCTTCTTATCAAAAGAGTACTAATCAATTAGAATTTGGAAAGTACCTTTTGGCAATATGTAGAGCCAAAGTATGTTATTTGTTGTTGCAAGGTTGCATCATGTCTAAGCAATTTTGCTGCATAGGAAAATTTCAGCATACAATAACTGTATTTGCTTATTAGGCTGTCTTGTTAGAGAAGTTCAAGTTATTCATTTAGCGAAGCTTTATTGATGGGATCTGCAAGGATTGCGTCCTTTATAATGGTAGTTTAAGGTTGTTTTACATCAAACAGACATTCATCCTCACGTGCTTAGCCTTGATAAGAAATGGGTAAAGCCTCTTAAGTTATTTTCTTAATTTAAAACGTTTAAATATTTAAGAGCGGATTAAACTGTGGCTCATAGCACAGATCACCGGTTTAGCTGTTTTGATAGCAGAATGTATACTTCGAAGAAGCGATCACGAAGCGTACCTGACCTCCTTAGGCGAAGTGATTGTGTTCCAATAGAGCATTGTTTAACTTTTTTACAACACGTTTTTTACAACATTCCATCAAAAGGCTGTATCATCCAGGCAGCAAATTAGCTATTTATATATCCTTTATCAGCAGAAGAGACTTGCCTTTTTCTGCTCGATAAAAGTAAGTTGGTGATACAGATGCTAATGCCTTTTTGGAATGGACACAGTCGATACCATTGATAATATTTTGGGAGAAAACTTTAAATGAATGCGTTGTACTGCGCCCTATTCGAGAATGCCCCTCTCCCTGTATTGAGCAATCATAAAAAATGTCAGAAGTCTGCATATGCTGCAACATTTGCATAGATGCTTCAATTACAATGAAACGTGTTTATTCGTAAACTGGATGTACCTATTACACATCTGACCTGGAGATTGACGAAATAAAATTAACATTCGTGTACAATCAGGCTCCTTGCATGATATAGACATACCATATTGGCCATGAAGATAAGTTTCTCGTGGATAATCGGTAAGCCGACAGAGTAAGCTACAAAAAATGCGATTGAAGACATGCTTAGTTGAATCAATGTCTTAATTTGTCAGTCATCCATCACGTCACTGGTTGATGGCTTGCGTCATTGGTGCCCTGGGGCTAGAGTAACACTCCTTATCCTCGTCTTTGCTGTTTAGGCCTGAACAAGCCATGTCTGCATATTAACTTGGGACTGATGATTCACATGGTGCCCCTAGGGGCGTCGAGAGAGTGGTTAGGAGGGGCAAAAGGTCCGGGGCCCGTGCTCCGACGGGGTCCGTGCTCCGATGGGGCCCGTGCTCCGATGGGGCCCGTGCTCCGATGGGGCCCGTGCTCCGATGGGGCCCGTGATCCGATGGGGCCCGTGCTCCGATGGGGCCCGTGCTCCGATGGGGCCCGTGCTCCGATGGGGCCCGTGCTCCGATGGTGCCCGTGCTCCGATGGGGCCCGTGCTCCGATGGGGCCCGTAATAAGGTAACAAGATCTATTTACAATGCAAAGAGCTACTATTTCAGCTACTTATACGGAATCAACGCCTGAGTGTCTATCGCAGAGAAATGTCAACATGTCCTTGATTCATGTAAAAAGGTTTTTGCGCATTCTTGTAAAAATTCTTAAAAAACATGTTCAACAATTGTACCTAAAAAGGCGTTTCCCTAGTTCTCCAGGAGATTAAAGGGCGTGGCCACAGGATATTTTCTTAAGGGGTCCAGTTTTGTGAATCACCTCTGGGCCCGAGCTGCCTCTCGACGGCCCTGAGTGCCCCTCCAATACGAAGCGAATCACTCTTCAGTCCTTCCTTCTTCCACAAACGTAAGCATTTCAGTCTTGAACATCGATGGACAAGGCTTGGACAGCAGGTTTTGGAGATGAGTTCTTAAGAGGGTTTATCTACCAGTTTATCTTGGATGTTTCTGATCCCAAGTTGAGCTTAACTTACAGTATTGTTTATGTGTTGCACCAGTTCTTCGTTACTGCCAAATAATTTGTTGGTTGTTTCGTAAATTGCTGGAGCCAGTCATAAGTAAAAATTTTCATTAAAGATCTCAGGGTTTTTGTAGGTTTAGTATGGACATTGTAAAGTAGGTTTTTAATTATTTCGTTGGCGTTAAATAGCTTACTAGCTATATGTATTTTTTGTTCATTCTTGCCAACGTAACAGAAATTGTTAATAATAATAATGGAAACTTTTCATTTTCAATTCAATTAAAACTACAATTACAAATTTCACTATTACAAAGGTAATTTGCAATTGGCTAGCCTGGGTTTACAAAAAAAAAGACTATTACAAGCACAAACAAAAGAAATTAACAAAAAAAAGAAGGAAAAAGTGTGTTCGTCATTGTTTGTTTTAGAAGTCGTCAGTAGCCGAGATCGTTAGAATTGAAGAAGTTCAGGATTATTCCAAGATTTATTTCTGCGGCAGAAAATGTAATAGGTAGTACGGATAGTTAAGTTGGATAGTTTGGAGATCATGAAGCGGAGATGATTCTCGCTGATATCTAGAGCGTTGCACATGTCGATGAAAGAGGAGCAAGAGAGACCAAAGATACCTAGGGAACTGATAGAAAGATTAACAAACATGATAGAAGAATAGGCTGTGAATGAGATTCGAGTATTTCTCTCTTTTGCGGTTAGCATTAACATCCAAGTTAGTTTCGTATCCTACTGTAAGCTCGAGTATGAATAGTCGATGGTCAGAAGTGACTAGAAGTAGATCAGGACGGAAAGAGTCTCCTGTTATGATAGAGGGTGAGAGATAACCTGAAGGGTCTGCGTAAAGAGAGCAATTAGGTATAGCTTTTAAAGATTGTGCTAGGAAGTTCAATGCAGAGTTATGGCGCCATGTGTAACGGCCTTCTTCGAGGTATGTTTTGCAGCCTGCAGCAATGTGAAGTAACGTTTCTGGCATATGGCAAAAAGAGCAATCGGACGACTGAGTAATGTTCCATTTAGATAGGTTTTTTCGCGTGGCAAGGGAGTTGCTAAGATATTTGATAGTAAAACTGTAAATGTTCTTGGGCATGTTGCTTTGAACCGTGGTCCATATTTTAGAGGCTATAGGAAGAGAGTGGTCAAAGATGAAGGAAAGAACGGTACCTTGAGATACAAGATTGTTTTGAAGGCGCTCTTTATGTTCTGATCTAACAGCCTTCAATACTTCTCTAGTATTCCTGTAAACATCATATTGGATGTTCATGCTCTGGCTGGTATTTTTCCACAAAGATTGGATGTTTTTGTTGGGAGAGGATTTCAGTGCATTACGACAAACAGTTTGACACTGCATGAATTTAACAGAAGGAAGAATCAAGTTAAGACCGAACTGGTTTTTTGACAGATATAATGCCACTTAAAGTAGCACTTATGGGTAAATCGAGCCAACGGCGGATAAATGCAGAAACTTGATTATCAAGGTTTTCGACGATCCAGGTTTTTGATAGATCGGCTACTGTGAGGTGCCACGAAACTTGTGAGAGAATAATAATAATAATAATAATAATAATAATAATCCTTATTTTCTTACACCGTTTTGTAATTTAAGCAACAGTGCGTTGTAGGATCGATCTGAGATTATTTTTGAAGCTTATGTATACTTAAATATTTGCTTTTTTCAAAACAATTTTTTAAATTTCGTACCACAAAAAGATTGTTGGTATATTTGAATTTGTTTGCTTTGTTGCAGGAGGAAATAAATCAGAAGCTGTTGCGAAGGCGCTCCGCCAGTGCCTCTCATGCGTGATGAATTGCGAATCCGAGACCGTTAAGAAACAGTTGAAGCTACTCGTGGAGAGGTTAGAAGACAGTCACTTGAATCGTCAGGACACGACGCCATACTTAGGTCGTTTGTTTATGCGAATTTACAATGAATTCCCAGGAGACGTTGGTTGTTTTGTTATTTATTTCTTGAACCACGTGATTCTGGAGCCAGACGAAGCTATTTATCTCGCCCCCAACGTGCCCCATGCCTACCTCAGTGGGGGTAAGTATCCTTTAAGAATTAATTAAGTTCCTTATTTTTTGCATAGCTTTTTGCAGTGTTTTGGCTCTTTATAATAAAATAGGCTTATTATTATGGTATCTCCTTTCAAATTTCGCCTTGATCAACCGATGCCATTCGCAGTGTTGTTTGCAACTTTCTTTTAAGAAGCCCAAAACCAGTTGTAGAAAGTTGTCTTTATATTGACAAGGGCAACCTATTCGACTGCTAACGATGTTTGCTCTAACAAAATTTCCAAAATCCTTCTAGGGTCTCGTCTCTATTCATATTTTTACTTTGAATTAACTTTGTAAAGCTCTTTAAACAGCATTTCAGGATCTGTAGGCAGTATGAAAGATCTCATTGTTTTAACATCGAGGGTGTTCATTGTAATGTTTTCAAACAAACCGATTAAGGATATGTGTCTCGTTGTTTTTAAACGATGTATTTTTTGCGCAAGTCTCTTTGCTTTGAATGTTGTTATTTTTTATTTGTTTTATTTTAACAATTTGTTTTAGACTGTAAACCTAAAGTGAATCCCCCTAACGAGAAATCTCCTTCTTCAAGTGTCAATTTGTTATTTGGTCTTGGTTAAAAGATGAAAATAACGATGTCATGTTACAGGCCTGGCCATTTGAGTAGAGCCATTGCACTTGCTCCTCTCCAGGCTCTCCTGAAATGGTGGAGGGAAGCTACATATTGCTCTCATTAATTGCTCTAAACAGCAAATGGATCTTCTTGAAGTCAATTTTTCCTTTAGTTCTATTTTTTATTTATCTACAAATAGCTCATCTGGAAATTATTGGGAGAGCTATTTACTGCTCCCTTGCTAAAAGTCTCATGACCAGGCCAGTTTGAAAATTGATTCAGTGGACAATGCCCTTTGCGATAACAAACCTTGTGATTTGACAGCCTCAAATAGGTTCTTAAATACAAGTTGCTTGGGCATAAGGTGCTTGTATGTTCTCAAATTGTTAGGTTCTTTTTGTGGGGATTTACTGTTCTTGTATCTGTATTTTCTTACAAAACCCGCTGGTAGAAGCAATTAAAGATTTCCTTTCTACAACGAATTTGTCTGTTTTCTAATCTTCAGACTGCATCGAATGCATGGCCTGCAGTGACAACGTTGTAAGAGCTGGCCTAACCCCGAAGTTCAAAGACGTCACGACATTGTGTAACATGCTAAATTATCGCCCAACCAAAGCGGAGGAGAATAAATTCAAGTACACTGTTAAGCCAAATGACGAATTTGTCTGTACATACAATCCACCAGTCGACGAGTTTGCAGTTGATAAAATTAAGGTATACCTGAAGTATGATTATTTACTTCCACTTTACAGCCCATCTTCCCTTCTGTTACGCGTCTTGTATTGTCAATTTATTTTCCAGTCTAATGTCTTTCGAAGTTTTCCAAAACTGACTCTTTGCCTTGCTTGGTAAGTTGTGTCCCTACCTTTGCAACTCGCATCTTCTTAGGCTAAACTGTGCTCAAAGTTTGCATTTAAACGTTTCAGGGTAAATTTCTCGTCCCAATTCTTACAGAAACGTCCCAATTTTGACCATACGACCTTGGGCAGGTCCAGTAGCCATAGACGAATAATCCTACTCTTAGGCTCGAATAAAATATCCTTGAGTTACTGATTTAGAGCTTTGAAGATGAGTTGTATCCTGACGCAAGCTGACACTGTTTGTTTCGTTTGAAGAATACATTGCGGCTTCACTTGCTATGTAGCCAATTCTATGCTATGTGGCTTAAAAGTTGATGGAATTTTTATTATGTTATGTCGTTTTAATTCAGAATAATATTTTATCTATTTCTTGTCTTAGGTACCTAAAGGTAGCACAAATTATGCACTTGCTCCAATAAACGGACCTAGCATCGTTTTAACAGTCAAAGGCAAGGCAGCAGCAACTAATGCATTGAGCGAAAATGGCGACGAAGTGGAGACTCTCCAGCCCGGAGCAGTGTTATTCATTGGTGCAAATCAATGCCTAAGAGTCATCACTGTCCAGGAGGATCTTCTCATGTTCAGAGCCTTTTGTGAGCTGCAGACGTGATTTATGAATTTGTGGATGTATATCTTGCAGTATTTTTCTAGATGCGTGAGGTAAATATATAGAAAATTGGTACAGTATGTAGGTGACATTGAACGAGTGATGACCGTTGCTAAGCAATCGGCTTCAGCCTTAACTTCCTTTTTCTAAATATGCAAGTACGCTTTATGCACAAATTTAATTTCTTTCAAATTGAAAAAATCAACCGATGCCTTTTATTGAATGTAACCTACGCGAAAACTTAAAATGCATTCCAATAGCCGACACCCTGCGACTCCCCTACGACTTCTCTGCGATTCCTCTGCAACTCCCCTACGAGTTCCCTGCTACGCCTCTTCCACTCCCCTGCAACTCCCATGGGACTCCCCAAGAAGCGAATTAACAACTTAAATGCGGGATGATGCGTTGCATTTTTCAAAAAAAACTAGTCGAAAATCTCCTTACTATCAACATGGCATCTCCATTATCCCATCAGCACAGCTTTATGTGTGATTATGCTACGTTTATAAGATCTGTCCATTTAAATTAAAAATGATACCGTCTTCCTTCATAGCATTATACCACCTTCCATTCGCTAATCCAGAAGAAAACCCTTTAGCGAGCTCTTTTAAGCTTCCTGCGCTCGTTGAGCAAGTATTTGAGTTCATCGAAAGATTTGAGTTCATCGCAGGATGGATTGGGCAAAGTACCTCGTGTAAATGCACCCATTTTGAACGGAGAATGTTCCGTTATTTATTTGCATAAGGTTGCTTCATCTATAGATAATACGCTTGCTGCTCGCATGATTGTTAACCGCTGAGCTATGTTGCACTATTACCGAAGCTTATTCACATAATTTATGCACGGTTTTCGTATATTTCAACTGTATAGTACATCTGTGTATTATACACGGTTGTACAAAACCCCTGTGTCAGTGCTTGACTGTGTACACAGTGGAAAACCTCTTACTGTGCCGATTTTTTTGTATCTTTACCAATAACGTCAACTGTGGTACCGAGATTTTGTATCGCTGGTATGATTTTCGAAATGACAAAGAAAACAGTCTAGTCTATCAGCCAAAATGTGAAAATTAATATATTCTACCATTATTGTCGTTAATTGTCCTTGCAAAGTTTGCTTCAATGTAAATTTTTAAGGTTGTAACATGTCCAGTACCAAATTTGAACTTCTAGTGCAATTTTAAAACCCATATCCTGAACTTTGTGTAGTTACAACAATACGAGGGTAGATCATGTGAATATTAAAGAAAGTCTTAGCTGAATCCTAAGCTTTACCTAACCTGCATTTTTATCGGCTTTGAAGCGATTAACATCGAGAGAGAAATTGAAAAGTTTTGACCAAATCATATTAACTTCTTTCTTATTTATATTAAGTGATAAAGTAGTATTTGTCACATGCTGGACATTCTCTGACCTTTTTAAGAAATTACTCCAGCACTTTGCTCCGCGTTTGCAAAGTTATTTTGGAAGCAAGGAAGCTGTTTATGTTTTGAAATGCCATGACTTGTGTTAATAACAACTAGATACCCTGGTCCCACACCGGGGGTATCCTCCAACAAAGCCAAGTAAATATAAGCACTCCAAGTTTATACACATCTTACCTCTGTCGCCCGTTTGGCAATAAAGTTCTTGTGATAACGTCGCGACGCGTCGGAGACTGACCTTTTATCAAAGCTTAAAAATACTGGAAAAAAACTTTGTTGTTTTGTCTGCTTCATGTTTTTCTGTAGTAACTTCCCAATACACTATGTTTGATGTTATTTTTAAGCATGATAAATCCACTTAGGTTGAGACTAGAGAATTGGGATGTTATAATGGAAAGCTTGCTTGCCTCACCAGTCACTGCTGTCATACAAACACATAATACCTTGCTTCCATATAGGACGGCTTGTGTCTACATGTCTTAGTGATGTCGTCTAGTTTCTATCACGATTTGGCACTGTTGTTATCTATCAAGTTCAGGCGGATCAACTGTAACTTTCGGTGCCTCGTTTGCATACTGCCTCGCTCGAGACAATCTTTGAAATTTATAATAGTTGTCTGTGGAATACCTAAGCCTAAACTGTGCCATCATGTTGAACATGGCCCATCCACACCTGATTGCCAAACCATTTTTTAATTGTGATATTGCTGCCTGAAACTCGAGATAGTAATTTAAACTAAACAGCAACTATATAATCTTAGCGGCTAAACTCTGTACAGTTTTAGGGCTAAGGAATTTCTCTATGGCGTTGTGCTACTTGAGACCACGACTATACTCGATGGTAGTAATTGATCAACAATCAGCTGCTTTAAAGATTTGTGACAAAGATTATTATGAAGTTCTGGTGTCTAGCATAATTTGGCCCTCCTAAAGCTGTTTTTTTGATCCGCCCCTAAACCTCGTCAAACCATTAAATCCCTTTAATGCAACGAGAAACGCCAAAAAACATCTGTGATTGATAAGACGAACTTAATAGAAGCCAGCGCTCATATTTTTTGAATAGAAACTTTATGTCTTATTTTTTGTTGTACACATCAAAATAGCGAACACGTAACGCGTTCAGTTATGGTAGTCTTCGCTCGAATAATAAAATGTCAACAAAATACGCTAGTCCTGTTGCATAGTTTCGAAAAGCTGTTGCAATCATATGAAAATTTATGTGCTTATAAAACTTAGTATTCTTCTTTGCATTTTGTTCTTCAAATCAACACTTTGTCTTTGCATCCTGCTTTGATATGTCATCCGATTCCCACGAGACAGCTTGGTGTCGACTTAGGCCGGATATGACGTCATGCGATATATCAAATAGTCTTGTACAATTGCATTTATCGTTGATTTGGGCGGAGGGAAGTCACCCCCAGTTGCATTACTCTATGTAAGTTCTTAACCATTACCAGAAAGACTTACCATTGATCAAAGCCTACTAATGCATTTTTCGAAGATTCTTATTCCAATTAAATAATTCTGTTGACAGTATTAAACGAATATATAATCGTCCATTTGCATTCTAGAAATGATGATATTTTGATCAAGTTACCTTCAAACTACCTACTAAGTCTTGGAAATCATAAAATAAATGGTTCGATTGAAAACATTTAAGCTGTTAAGAAAAGTGTTTGACAAGGAGGAAGATCGAAATTTTTTGCTAAAACCACAGGCCTATACACATTTAGAAAATAAAAGTATGTATTGGCCATATTCAAGCTTTTGGAATTCTTTAGAGGAAGACGAAATCGCACATTTTCGCTTTAAAACCCGAGCCAATATACTTGGAGAAATGGTAGTTTTTCGACCAACGATTTTCTTGCTCAGAAATGAGACCTTTCCAGACCTACTCACGTTCTCAAGCTTGGGAAATGGCAAATTATTTATTGCATTGACCACATATCACATATTCAGCAATATTTTAAACAAGAAAAGAGTTCCCCATTTTTTGCTTGGAACACAAGCATTTAGGCAAATATGATTTTTGACTAGATATTTTCATGAACAAAACCACCTTCTTTCGCTCAAAACACTCACAAATGGAAATCTAATATATGTATCAACCATGTCTAAACCTTTACGTAATCTTTTGGCAAAAAGCAATTTTTACTCAAAATTCCAAGCCCAACACTTGAAAAAACGGAGGGTTTTTGACAAAAACCAAATACTATCTAGTTAACCTCTTAAATCTTCGGAAGTGGACAGTTGCATTGACAATGTTGAAGATTTTTACTTACGTTTTAGTCAGAAAACAAGGTCGCCTAATTTTGCTGAAAACCTAGGCCGGTATACTTTGAGAAATGATAGTTTTTGACTAACACTTTTTTGAGTAAAAAACAACTTATTTGAGCTTCAAATCCTCGGAAATGAACAGTGAATTTCTCTATTGACAATGTTGACAATTTTTTATAAAACTTTTGTCAATAAACAAAATCGCCTGTCTTAGTATAAAAACCCAATCCTATAGAGTGGGTATAACAATAATTTTTGCTTAAATATTTGCTGAATATGATAAATTGTTGCTATGTTTCAGTCTTGGTAACAACTTAATCCATTTTGTAAAAAGAGAAATACTGAATGTATTGCAGAAATTAGGTTTAAGGGAAGCGATTTAAATCGGCTTTTCCCAGCTTTGAGAGACACGTTACTCATGAAGATCAGAAATAATTCAAAAGCTATCTGCAAGTAGTCAGACGATTTTTCAAAATGCTGAGAAAAATGCAACAGATAAAAACTCGTCTAATCCAATTTAGTCTTAAAGAAAGATTGTCCCTCTTGGCGTTGCTTTGTTCAAGAACTGACAACAATTTATAACCCGAGAAAACTAACCATGAAAGACAACCACAATGAAATCAATCGCGATATAATTTTTATGTACAAAAATTTCATCACCCAGCCTCACTTTCTTCGGCTTCTCAAACTTGATTGTATTTTCTGTGGGAACAAGTAAAAAAAAAGAAAATCTTAAAATAAAATGATAAAAATTGAAAGATCTAAAAAAGAATAATTATGATAGTTTAAGAAATTACACTAAAGAAGGCATATTAATTCATCACGAGTTCTTGATATATAAACTTAGGGTAAAAACAACCCCCCAAACCAGCACAGCTGCTTTCTGTAGATCTCAGTCGAGAACAACTTAACATTTTTGCCAATGATAACCAAAAAACGAAAGAATTGTATGTTTGATCGTAGCATTGTAACATTCAGAGGAAAGGTTGACAAAATTCAACGAAGCCTGTTAAGGTAAAGGTGAGCAAAATCGGTGTGGATAAGGGGGCTCACTCAAGTCCTACAAACTTAGGGCAAAAGTTGCAATACGGCATACTGTCATTTATAAGATGTACCCTTTTCGACATTTGCTTCTTAAAATAAGCCTGCGTATTAGAAATAAGGTACTTGATAAGTTGTTCTGGACAGGTACGAATCAACATCTTGCAAAGATTGCCTCAAATTTCAGATTCACTCTGATAACTTTTTATCAGTCTATGTTTTACAAACCTTAGGGGTTGATGATGATGATGATGACTTAAATGTCTCTATCCAGCACGGTTCATTTCCATTCAAGACTTTAGTGGTTTATTCAAAGTAAACGAATACGATTTTGCATTAAAAAATTCTTACAAATAAATTGAAAGATTTTAAGGCAGGAAATATAAAAAGAGGACGATCGTATTAAGAAGATAAATGTGGAAAGCGGATTTTGGAAGGGTGGAAGTATGGGGGATGCAAAATGTCCCAGCTTTGACAGGACATTTTATAAAATTATTGAGTTTTTCCTGAAAAAAGTATTGAGTCTTAAACTAAAGAGCAGTTCTTTGTTTACCTTCTCGAACTGCTTCATTTTGCGTCGATTTTCTTGTAATGCTTCTTGCTTGGTTGGCTTCTTCCTGCGCTCTCTGATGAAATGAAAAACAGCTGTATAAGTTTTACGATTTATTTAAGTATTACATACCATGAAATCAAAATGGCCTACTTTAGATGAGTTTGTGGAAAGAAAATGATGATACATTGAAGGCCTCAGAAGCTTTGAGCTTTATAATTTGATAAGTAAGTAGGAACATTCCACAATGTATCCAGAAAGGTGCTCCACATACAGATAAGGGTCGAAGAGCTTTCTTTCCCTTGTGGAATCAATTCAGTAGCGGAAATTCATGGTACGGTGAGATGAATTTCAATAATTTCGTATCCAATCTCCTGCAAGATACCATGCATCACCAAAAATAAATTTAGCAACATAAATGACATGAGTAGGGAGAAAGTAGTGCGGAATATAGAGGGTGAACGTACGGTTGTTTGGCAGATATCTGGGCACGACTTCTGTCTTGGGTATTTTCTCTACCTTGGGCACGTTCTTTGTTCCGAACACCTTGAAAGAAGCACTTGTTTAGTTTAGGGAAGGCAACAATGTTATTAACAAGAACACCGTCTTCCAACACACTACTACTGTTATGAATGAATCCCTGTTCATTGATTTAAACTAACTCCAAATGTTTTCACAGTATCCTACAAACTTTGCATGTCAAAAAGCAACAAAAAATTTGATATTCCATGCCGCTTTAATAAAAAAGTCTTTTAATCACAAGTTAGGGGTATTGAGTGGTCGTTTCAACAATTTTTCACAGATCAGAAAGAGAAACAGCACTTGTTAGATGAAAAGTTCTTGGGTCCTGCTTCAAGTGCCTGTGGGAACTTCAAGGCAAAATATTCTTATCTAGATGAAGCATTTTGATGATGTGGTTGATAATGTCTGGTCTTAAACTCAAGGTGCTCAGCCAAACAAAATCAACCTGTTGGTTCTTAAATTCCTTGGTTCTTTTTAATTGTATAATTCTCAATTAAAACAACATGGCATGATAACTTCATACCTGTAACACCTGGTGGTATCCTGGGAGTTTTCTGGTGCCTAGCTGGTTCTTTATTCTCTCTGTTTTCTGCCTTAAATGCTTTTTCTACTTTTCCATCGATCCGAAATTTATCTGCCTTCTTTTCATGACTCGCTGCGTTTTCCTTTATCTTATGCAATCTCTCTCGAGATCTCTTCATGAACGCATCTCGTTTTAGTCTTACAGTATCTGGCAGGTCAGAATCCGACTCCTTCGCAGAAGACAAAGGCGCTTCCTTTGCAAGAAGATCGTCCCAAGTGCTAATGACATCATCACTCGAATTTTCATAAGAACGGTCCAGCTTAGTAGAATCTTCCGGTTCACTTGAATGATCCTGCAAACAAAATAAACGGTGAAAAACTAGACTTCAAAAGGTTCAATAGCGCGCTGGTTTTCTAGCATTAAGAAGAGCTTCTTCAAGGTCTGAGCTGGAAATTTCGTAAAATGAAAGGCATTTGGGGTCAGACTTGTGAACTCGATAGAAATTGAGCCTGTCAATCTTAAATTTACAACACAATTGCGAAGACATCTTTGTGATTGTTATGATTACTATGAAGATGATATTAATGGAACAGGCGATAGTAACAACGATGACCATCTAAAAAAATTATTCCACTTTTAAACTGTTGGTTTAGATACCGAGAAATTTCACGTTTAAGCCTAACGCACAAAGTAGACTTTTGTCGCAAAGATAAAGATGAAAATACAAAATGAAGTCTAAATTACCGGCTTTTCAACGGAAGAACCAGACCACAAGCTTTTATTTGAGTCGTCTATTAAACCATCTTGTGTAAAAGCTGGTCCACCGAGCCGGATATCACTCACATGTGATGCATCACCTTTTACGTTGTCTGAAGAAAGCAGCCAACTTGTCTCTGAATGTCCTACGTCAGCATCGTAATCAAAATTACTTAGCACAGACCCATCTAAACCGTTATCGCCGGTAGGCTCGAGTGACGTTTCACTCAGGGACGGTGACGTGGGCCTTCCACCCTTTTCCAGTCGAGTTGACGCAAATCGTGGAAAGGATGGCATGCTAAAGTTACTGTCCGTTTCATCCTTGAACGAAGTTGATTTGCTACTGTTGCCTGAAATCGTCGTTTTTTCACTCTTCGTTTGTCGCGAACGGTGAACAGTAATGTCGTAGTGATTTGGATTCTTAAACCCGCTTGAAACTTCACCCAAAGAATCAGAAACGTTAACTCCAGATCTGCTTCCAATCGCAACAGAAGACGCATGTGTTTGGTCAGGTCCACTAATAGCAGTGGAAGCTTGCGAGGCCTCGGCTCCTTCGATCATGGTTTTCGAGGACGACGGCCATAGGCGAACCAACTCTGAGACAGTCTCGTCCGACCGAAATTCAGACGAAAATTGACTTCTGGTCTTCTGACTTGAAGAATTTGTAAGAGAGCTTTTAGTGGCGGAACTTTCCATTAGAGTTGAAAGATAATTATCAAGATACTGTTTTTGAAGCGCCTCAATATCAATGGGGTCTGCAGGAGACGTTTGGACACCGGGAACTCTATCAATCCGATCCCCACGATCTTGTGATTCAAGCATAGTATTCTCGATAAAAGAATCCCCACCATTCATGCTCAATTCCTTATTCTCAATCTCCATTCTACTGGTTTCAACTACCTCTTCTTTATCACTAGCAAGAGCTCCGGTCCTTGATAATGTAGGGCTGTTCTCAAACTCGGTACTCTCAAACAATTTTTGCTCCATCAGGTGATCAGCCATAAACGCTCCTGGAATCTCGATATAATTTTCGTTACTATAATCCGGGGAGTTTTCCCCTTCAGATGACACCAGAGATGCTTCCTTTTCACCATAAAACGTTGTTTTGTTATAACCCCAAGCATCCGGTAACGACCCGGTCCCCATAAAATCGCTAATTTTCCAGGTCTGTGGTTCATTTGTATCCTCTTCAACTGTCGCTTTCTCTTTTATCGCTGCTTCTGGCAGTTCGATACCTCTTACCGGTTCATAAACGCTGATCCTGGATTCACCGAGCCTTGCCACAAGAGACAGATGGTTCTGTAGCCTCTCAGGTGAAGTATCTTTTGTTTTTGGAATAGTTCCTAATAAGTTTTCTGACTGGGGTTTGCCTCCAGTATGTTCTATTTTAACTTTGTTCGCTTCTTGAAGGGCCGGCTCACTTTTGTCTCTGCCCGAAAACAATTCATATCCGGCAAAAGGATCTGGTACATCCGGATGCAGAAGCGGCTCTACGGCTTCTTTTCGCCAAGACCGGTACGATTCTGCTAATCTATTATATTCTTCCTGATGCTGGTGTGGCAACATGCGGACCTTTGCTAAGATCTCTTCGTATCTGGTTATGTTGGTCGAGCTTACTTTGGATGTAACTGACGAGGACGGCGAATTTTCCGTTAATACCGGACTTGTTTCTCGCATTGAAGACTCATAATTTGAGTTCGATACTTTTTTATCCTGGTGTTCAGCCGGGCGAGAGTCGGAGGGGGGTAGAGCATGAACGTTTGAAGCAGAAATTCGTTCGATTATGCCTTGCAATTTAACTGGGCTGAAGATATCTATTCCACCATTGGATGGCTGGTAATATCTTGTTTCAGCACTCTGTTTTTCGCTGTTGCTTAGAAAATCAGCCGGTAACTTTTCCTGTATGATCCGACGAAACTTCTCTCTATCAAATGCAAACAAATCTTGTAAATTCGATGTAGTTTTTCCATTGACAAAGTCTATATTATCTCTAGTATCTTTGCTCTCTTCGATTCTCCTATCATCTTTACCAACTTCGGAATAGTCAGCGACTAATGGCGTCCAGTTATCAAAGCTGGATTGCAATTCGCGAGTAGAGGATCTGGGCCGGTTATGACTTGCAAGTGCTGCTTCCTCAATTGGTCTGGTGTTGACAGCTCTGAGGGCAGTTGGAAGTGTAAGAAACTCGGTTTCTGAGAAATTTGATATTAGTTCATGGAAACTGAGCGCTGATGAGGCATCCGATTTACCTACAAACAAGCAAAGAAAAGATGCAAGGGGTAGAGACAACAATTGCTATAGTGGGCTTCCAACACTCATCTGTTACTTCAAGAGTAGATGTTGCTGCTCGCTGTAGTGGCCTAGTTTATTTTCCATGAACTAGATCATTGCTGCAAAAGTAGCAATCAAGTTAAACATGGATGCCTAAGTACCAAAAATGGATAGCTATGTATATGCGTACAAAAGGGTTTTCTGCTTACATAAAAATTTTCTGACCATAAATAGATCATGCTCCGTGCCAAGATTTTTTAAGCTTTCTTAATCTGCTTTTTAGAACTAATTGTCATCAAAGATCTTGTGAAAGGAGAGCACTTCTGCTCTCCTTTATTTTCCTGTCCAACTGACGGCTTATGAGTTCTCCCTGGTTGGTGAAATGCTCGATGAGATATAAACATCTGATAGACCAAAGCAACCTATTACAAAAATATTGGACTCACCACCAGAAGCCCCGCTACTTCGCAGAGACGAATGGCTGTGTCCAGATGAAGACTTCATAGACATCGGAAGTTCTTGCTCCGTCAAGGAAGAAACGCTTGCTGTACCTGTTCAAAAACGATTTCATAAAGAGGTTTTGTAAATGCAGTTAAGGATAATAACAATGAGGAAGCAAACAGTCCCACTTTTCAGCCGTTTCATACCCCTACCTAAAACTTCGTCACGTACAACTGCCGATAAATCTTAATAACATAAAATGTTATACATTCCCGCAATAAAACATATTTTCCTGCACAAGAAAGCCATATTAAAGGAACCCGGTTGAAAGGCAGCACCAAAGAATAATCAACGACCTTCTTTTACTTCGAACTGTCGCTTGCAAGGCTGTCAAAACTAGGTTCTTATGTGTGTGTCTACTACAAACTTATAACCTACTGAACAGTGCAAAGAAATTACAAAAAGGGGAATTCACAAAAGATTTACAATTAATAGCAAAGCAACAAAACTATTGAACTTGATAAAAGGATGGAAATCGCACAGTTGTTGGGGGGAGGGGGTGTGACTTTTGTTAAATAGTCAGTTTAAACACAATTTTTAACACTTTTGTCGGTAAACTTTGTCACTTTTCAGCATCTGAAAAATGAATCTCCGCCTCTGATGTGATGTTCAGTCAGCATTTATGCATGTACAAACAGAAAATCGTTGATTACATCCACACATTTTCCAGGCTTTGGTGTATGGAGAACAGGACGGTTCTAGGTTGCTAATTCGAGGTTCACGCTTAATGCAATCGTCAGACGATAGCTTGATTAAGAATTGCAACTCAGATTATTAACTTGGAGCAGTAACTTAGAACTCTTCTGTTCTATACACCAAAAGCATGTACAGCTCTGCTTTTACGGCATCAAGCACTTTATAAAAGGCTGTTAAACGGCAATCTTAACTGCCTGTATAACATTTTCTCAATTTAATTACAGCTTTGAAGCGTTCGTAATGTCATGTAATTGCCCTCATTTCTATTCGTATTGAAAGAATTATCAATATTTTATGTCTGTTTCTAATCCACTCTAATGAAAAATCAAGATACAAACCTTGAACAACTTTATTCTCCATGCTCTTCTCTCTTAAACTTGTTTCTTCCACTTCTTGTATCGGAGAGAAAGTGGGTTTACCAGATACAATGCGTTGGTTCTTTTTAACTGTGTTGTCAAGAGTCTTTGAAACATGTGAACCCAATACCTCTAATGGTTCGTCAACGGTTAGGAAGTCCATACTATTCAACAAGTCATTAATATTACTTTGTTTAGGTGCATCTTCAATCTGATGCCTTGATTCGGCGAAGGCCCTGGATTCGGGTAAGGTCACTGATGCCCTAGGGACAGGTAAATCAATTGATCTGCTAGACATGTTTCTACCCATATAGATTTCTTCTATACCGTTCTGTTCCCCAGATCGGGCTGTCTGTGGAATAAGCTCTACGAAGCTGTTTGTTTGCCTATGAGATTTTTGTTCCTTATCGTCCTTTGATCTTAATGCCTGAAGCTGCTCATAAACCGACTGTCTTTTATTCAAAGATGACGTTTGAGAGAGCAATGTCGCAAGTTCGCGTACTGCTGCCTCGGTATCAGTTTTATAGATGTCTGCCTCGATTTGTCGCTGCTGTATCTCAGCTCTTACCCCTTCTTCTTCAACCGTGTTTGATTCCTTCAGCGGATAATACCGTGCTTCTTCAGTAAGACTGTTCTTTGTTGAAGTCTGCACGGTAGACCCGGACATTGTTGAAATCTTAGGCCATTCTGTAGTTTCAGCAACACCCTTAGCTTTGCTAGCTTCAAAAGCAACGTCACCGCCTTGCTTACCAGTATCCTCCTGGCCAGCAGGTCTCTCCTGTTCTAACTGGCCTAAGACTTTGCCATGACTTGGAAAACGTTTCTGCATTACCTCCTGTCGACTTTTAAGCCACCTTTGCTTTTGAAGCAACTGTTCCTGATATTTTCTTATTCTTTCGTGATCAACTCTTGATTTCGAAAGTCGCATGTTGTCTTTCTCACCAGGCGGATCGGTAATTGAAGTGGTTGGTCGCTGGACATTTGTTGAATCTCCAGAAGATTGGACTGGTACTCGAGTTGCATCACCATCTCGACTATCATCAATAGTTGCGTCACCGGTAAGGAACCCGCTAAAAATGTTCGGATAGCGTTTTGATAGCTCTTTTTGCTGTGAAGCTGATAGGCCATTCAAAAAGGAGAAATCTTTAGAAGTAAGGAGAGTCTTTTGAGTAGAATTTTTTGCGGAATTACGCTCATTGTCAGGGGAAATTTCCTCAATGCCTTGGGAAGAGCTTGAAGTAGAATCAGCGCTTACATCAACCACTACCTCAAATGTGCCACTAGATTCATCATCTTGTTTGATCAAGTCATCCAGCTCTTTTCCAGTTTGTTGAAGATTCTGTCTAAGCAACTCATTTTCGAGCCTTTGCTTTTGAATTTTCAGCAAGTACTTTTGGTTCTCAAGTGTCTTTTTACGCTTTGTGACATCAGATAAAACCTCTGGGTCTGTAAATTGCTTTACACTGCCTTCCTTGCTATTGGCTGATCTAACCAGCTTTGCCTTCTCAAATGGATGCAAAAGAGAATCATTTTCTGGTTTGCTCGGTGAACTATCTTCCTTTTTGGAATCTTCTTTTGGTTGGGCTGTCTCTTGTCCGTCTTTTTCTGAAAAAATTAAAGAATGATCAGTTATATATAAAACAGAGAAAGGGCCGAGAAAACTAAAATTAGCCAAACATTAATACTAGGCGTAAAATAAATGCAAATAGATGCACTTGTTTCGTATGAGGAACAATTTTTTATTGCAATAAGAAATATTCAAAATCAATCAACTAAATTTTTCTGCAAATTCATATAAAAAGCAAGTCTCATAAAATAGGTACTTGCCATCTTGGGCACTCTCACCATTGCTACTTGCAAATCGGGCACTGAAAAGTAACATTGGAAGACAATAAATTTCCATGTTCTTTGATTTCTACAGAGAGATATCAGTATCTAGAACGAAAGGTACACTCCATACGTTTTCAACTTAGCAGCACCTCCCCCTTTTTTCTATATTTCATCATTCCAGCATTATCTTCCGAACTTTCAAAGCTGTTGTTAAATACCAATCGAAAATGCCAGCGGCTAGATATTTGAACGTCTATAATTATGGAAAAGGCTGGTCTGGCGATATGTATATAACTTAATGTTAAAGAGACAATATTGATGTCACATGCAGCAAAGTTTATCAGTCTGAAAAATGTACCTATGGCTATAAACCATGTAGAAAAATTATTTAGATTCTCATTAAAACTGACAAAAGAAAGTTGACAGAAGATAGCCTTTAATGTAATGTAAAAAGAAATAAAGTTATTTGAAAGAAAGCTGTTTTGGCGGTTTTCATTTTAAGGCCTACCTCTCAATGTCTGCAGAAACAAGACTCCCTGTTGTCTCGCTATCATCTTCAGACTGGCCTAAAACCAACAACGAAATGTATGAAAACAGAATGGAGACAGAATGCGGACACCTAGATTTCAACAAATGATTGCATTAAAGAAAATTGCTTGGAGGAATGAGACTACTATCAGATTTTGAAAAGCAAAGTGGTGTGACTCAAGTCCTTCCTTTGACCTAATGAATACTGAAAAAAGAAGGAAATACTTTTGGCTCTCGTGACACTGGTTGCACACCTACAAGGTTTGGTTGAATACCTTTACACATTCGGTAACATAGCGTTCGGCAAGAGAAAATACGAGGAACATTTTTGATAGCTTCTTGGTGTCTCATTAACTTCATTCGAAAGCAAGAGACAGACTAATAGACAAAGGAACAAACATACCGTTCTCATCTTGCGAATCCAAGTTGCTTGAAACTTGAGATTCACGATTGGCTTTCTGTTTCGTCCATTCTTCTTGTTGCTTACGAATTCTGCTCATTAACTTTTGCATTCGACTCGAAGGATCTAAAATAAAAATTCATGTGCTTGCGTTTCTGATTGACTTAATGAGACCCACAACTGGGTATAAAAAATTCCTAACTTACAGGTTTTGAACATTATTCTAACATTTTAATACTCTGAAGAATTTCAGACAAAAAGCGTAAGTTTGACTAAATTTTTGAAGCCATTTCTAAGAGAAAAGGAGGCGACAATATTGATTGTAAAAAACTCAACTTCTTTTCATAGGAAGACTCAGTATGGAATGCAGTTTTGGAAAAATGTAAACGTGGCTTGAAAAAATCTAGTTTGAAAACAAAAATAAAGTGACGTCCCAAGCTCGCAGAGAAATTAACAGTAAATTGCATTAAATTTCTAACAGTAAAAATCCAAATTGAAACTTAGTTTATAAACGGGAAATACCTTTTGGAACTTTGTTTGAAGATTCAGCTTTTGTCTGTTGTGGTGGTTCTCTAGAGCTTGCGTTTTCAGATTTATCAAATTCTGTTTCGTCAGGTAGTCGAGCTTGCGATTCAGAAGAAGGATCGGCGCTTTCTTTCGACTAAAATCGAAAAAATGGTAACAGTAAAATTAATTTGTATAAACAAATACAATACTTGAAATTAAGAGGTTCTCAAAAACATTAGATTATCTAAGCAATATCATACGACAAGACAATACAAAGAGGTATTACTTAAATTTGGTATCATCAAATTTAAGCAAATTTAAGCAAAATTTTGAAACTTATGAGTCGAAAAAGGTAGCTAAGTATTGGAGTCTTAAATTCTTAACAGCAAATAACTTTGTGGTCATTGATCGGTAGATGTGATTGCTAGACCATGATTCGTCGTCTTTATGTCAAAACCCATGTAGTCACCAGATAATTTGAGCTTCCGTGTATAAGCAAACCAGACTGACAGCACCCAAGAATTGAAAACAAAAGGTCAAGGTAATGATGCATCTAGGCTCCCCAAGATATCCCGGTTTTCTTCCTTTAGTCTTTTAAACAAGTCAAGTACTTTAATCTAAATTATTTAGGCTCCTAAAATTCATTGTTTTGTTGTCTTGGTCTCTCCAACAGGTCGAGTACCTGAATCTGGAAAGGTAAATACGCCCAGAGAGCTGGACAATTCCTTAAGTTATATAAGCAGCAAAAAAAATAGTTTGTTACCTCGACCATTTCATCCTCATCTGCATTATCATTCGGTTGAGACAAATCTGAAACAAGAGCATCTTTGTTGAGAAAACAGATTTGGTCACAAACAGAAGTCTAAAAAACGGCGAAGGGGATTCTGTGAGTGGCAACAAAAATGCAATCTAAGAACTTCTGAGTGAGAGTTCCTTTCAAATATGTAAAAATTAAAGAAATGTGTCCCATCGGGCCTAGCCATAAGTATTAAAGCATGGCGAGTGATAAATAACGTGCGAATTTTAACATGGCACATGATATGATAACGGTGACATGGTTGGCACTTAATTAAAGGTATAAGGAAATAAACTTTCTGGGAATCACTTTACGGTCGGAACTTGTACGAATTTGAATAAGGAGACTAAACTTTATTTTTAAACTTCAAACATTTCTGAAGACTTTCCTAGGCATTTATCAATATGAACAAAAATTGATACAACAAAATAACGACTTTGTACAAGAAATGAATTATTAGTACGACATTTCGAGCATAAATCTTCATAATTTTTGTTCATTACTCGACGTACAACACGCACAACTCCATTGATTAATCTATATGCTTGTTTAACTTAACTTGCGTTCAAAACAATTGCTCGGATAGAAAAAAGTTTAACCAAGGGGTGTAACAAGAACAGGCTCAAAAGTGCGAGATGAATCGTGCTCCTAAGAGTGCCCGCGCATAATCGCGTATCATTCACGGCCAGGCTTGCACATGTCAAGATAGATAGCTGCAAATACTGATCCGACCTTTGCCTCGCTTTCGGAAATATGGATTTATTATAAGGGGAAAACGAGTTAATGTCAATAACCTCAATTTTTGTCATAACAAATAAAATTAATACTGGATAGGTACTGAATTGAACGCAGTTACTACCAAAATGACAACAGTGTGAGAAGAAGTAGGAAGAAAATAATTGGTTTAAATATAAATTTCAACTTATATACCGGTCTCTGTTACATCCAAGTGACTGTCAAGATCCAAACGAAGTTCCTCTTTCCGTGTATCTGGAAGATGTGCAGATAAAGGAAAATCAAGATTTTTATACAATTATTGGTTAGGAATGTTGCTTTTCATAAGAGAAGCCTTTGCATTACATAAGCACGAGGAAGACAAGAGATTGTAGATACTCTGAAATGCTGTACTAGGAAATGTAGCGAGAGTTATTACAATAGAGTTATTAAGTGTGACGTCATAAAGAGTATATTTTTAGAATTTTCGTCTTTAATCAGTTAACATGAAAGAACACAGTGAAATACCTGGATTACAATATTTGCAGTAGATCAATATTCATCTTTAATTTACCGCAAACTGACCGGGATATAGCGAGTGAAAGAAACGAGCTTACTAGTGGATTAATATTTTTGGCCACCAAATTAATATATTTTAGAACCAGGATCAAAGTATAGTGAATTAATTGGGTTAGAGCCGGTGCTCATGTCGTCATATCTTAGCCAGTTTGGAACACATTTCTTTTGCACATTTAGGGGTATTACTTGTTTCTCAGTCTATTTCAATTTAATTCTAGAAAAATATTCGTACGACGTCATCAATTAAGAACTCTGTATGTTTCCCTTTCATGATTAAAGAGCTAAATAAAGTGAATGAATTAGCAAGCTTTGAAAAGATCAAGGTATAGGAGTCACAAGGTATGGTCACACGGTCAAGGTATAAACGAGGAACATTATTTGCCAAGCAAACCTCCATTGTGTCCTAAGATGGTCTTGTAAAGCATTTTTGATACTACCGCCAAGTTCGTAATTTTACATGTCGATAACAGTTATATTTTCAAGAATTGAATTAGATGTAAATTTGAAAAAAGTAAAATTCTTTGAATGATAACCTTGCTTCGGCATATGTGCATTTTCAAACACTTCTTCGAGCATCACCTGCCTCGATCTGGCATCTTCAAGTCTCTGATATGGAGGCTGAAACACTTGCTTCTGTTTACGGGAGTAGACGGTGATAAATATTTCAGTAACTAACAACAAATATTCTTTGTTCTGGACTAGTGCAATTACTAATTATTGATAATTCCCATTAGACATAAGTTTTAAACTTTGCAGGAGAAACTTTCAATCAAAGAAAATTTGAAAAATATAGGAAGCTCAAAGCCATTGGTTAGCAAATGCAAAGATACAGAGGGAGCTTATGAAAGCTTCCAGAAACTTCGATTTGAAAAGATTCTAACGGCCCATGTTTATCTCTAAAAACATTTTATATCTAGTAAATATCGAGTACCAAAATAAATTTTTAAGCATATCTTTTCGAATGCATTTTTCAGCAGATCTAAGAATGATGGGTCTAAATTACCGGTATATTTCCAAGAACTTGCTGTCGTCTCACTCTGTCTTTGAATTCCAAGTCTTCAAGTTGCATCATTAATCGATCTTTCGACTAGACGAGAAGTCACTTTTTTCAAGAAAACTTTCTAAAAACAAGAATAAACACCCAAACCAGACCCAAAGGTTTCAAATTTGGCTGAGGAAGATATTCAGAACTTTGCAAAACCTAATTGAGGCTTAAGATACCATATCTAACTACTACCTACTGTGGAGAAGTTGAAAAAGAACAACGTAACGGTTGACCTACGTATACTGAAAATGGACGCAGAAAATAGAAAAAGAGCGTGTACGATAGTCTTTGATAACCTTCAACAAAACGTCTGCGATGTGATGAATAATTACTTCACTAGGAATATACATGAAAAGAACACAAGAAATGAGAAACTATCAGCAAGTTTGCCACTAATGAAAACGGAATTCGGTCGAAAGGGACTTTTCCTTAGCTGCAAAAAAGTTCAACAGCCAGCAAGAAAAATCGAATCCCGAGTTCTATTAAAAAAGTTTTTAGATAGCAATTTTAACAGCATTTAATTTGGTAAATATCGAAGTTTCGCTTGCATTTAAAACCTTTGCTGGTCTTGCTTTATTTAAAAAATGTTCCCCACAACAGTGGTTTTACGTATAGTAATAAAACCTTCCTCAAAACGTAACTGAGCCAAAGTCTGATTTCCCTAAAACAAAACTGAATTTTCCCTAAACCAAAATTGGATTTCCCTAAACCAAAATTGGATTTCCCTAAACCAACATTCGATTTCCTAAACTAAAATTCGATCTTCCTAAACCCAAATTCAATTTCCCTAATCCAAACACTCTTTCTTACATTATATCTTCTACAGTTCCTTTCTTCCTACATGATTAGGCAGCGCGAATTGCTTCATAATTCACAAAACCGTTCCTTTGTATGTTAATTTCATGGTAAGGCAAAGCCACCCTTGGGTTGGGTATCAGCCAAAAGTATTGCAGAGTGCTTTCTTGTAGGCAGTATGTCTCGTGATATGTATTTGCTGAATTTTGTAAGATTACAAAAAAGATGAAAGACAAAAAAAATGCAACACACTTGGTCCAAAAGAACTTGCTGCCTTGCATGCTGGTGTCTAAGGTTCGCTTTCTCTTTTCTTTCGTTTAGATCTTTATCAAGAAGCTGTGGAAAAAGAAACATCGTTATGGTAAATGGATAAAAGATATTTATTACACTAGCAATTAATATTGATGTATCGTGAGAAAGTTGAAGTGAGAAAGTTGAAATATCTTAGATTCATAAGAAACTTTAAACAACCAATTCATGCAAACACTGAAAAAGATAATTAAATACACAAATAGATAAATGAATAAGTAAACTATAGTTTCTACAAATCTTAAAAAAAGGAATTACTTCTCTTTCTTGCAAAACCCTTTCTTCGTGTTTCTTGGCAGCCTCTCTTGCATCCACCTGCTTCAAAGATTCAAAATCCATCATACCTAAACGTCTAAGCTAAACAGTATACCCAGTGCATTAAAAGATAAAATATCATAGACAAAAACTCCGGGAAACTCTGCTTTGAAATTCATATTCTATTCATTTCTAAAACAGAATTTAATCCAAATAGCAAACATCGATGAAAACATTTTTTAGAAAGCGTCATGAATCCATAAAAATCCCTAGCAGAAAAGTGCCTCTGCTACAGTTACCCTTCCAGTAAACCATAAGGCTGGCTTAAGTCATTATAGCATATACAAACTTTAAATACATTCCTTTATCTCCTACAAGTTGGTTGCATAAGAAGCGGACTATAGAGTGTATTTTAACGCAAGGTATTTGAACATTTACCTCACGGTGAATGTTGAAATCTTAAAATGAACAGATAAAAATAGGAATGATGACTGTCGACTGTTTATTTTTCAACCAACCTTTGTTGTCTGGTCTGCTTTCTCAGCATAAACAACGGGCATATGAAACCTTGTACTGCTGAAACTTTCAATACTTTTGGATTTGCTTGAGAGCGTTGAGCCACCTTGAAGTTAAAAAAGGTTGGTTGAAGGCAGTGCCAAAGTAGCTCTAAGGTTGTAGTCTTCACGTCTGGGATCGGGCGACCTTTGTACTTTGGAGTGGTACTTTGACAAAAAAGCTCTTGCTTCATTTTCTAACATTAAGTGCTCATATAATCTAGTTTTCGTCCAGCAACAGAGGTATATCTGCTCATCACTGTAAAAACCCAAAACGGAGCCCTACTAATGGATCTTCAATATCACACATATGACATACGTGATAAAAATATTATATCAAAATATATGGGACACATGGTAGATATATTTATATGATGATATCAACATTTCATATACAAAAAAGCCAAATGCTGTTATTTTCAATACAACAAAAATTCATTTTAACATCTTCGTACCAAAGACTGTTTAATGTTAAAAAATCTCAGTGTTTCAAAGAAAGCTGTCTTCGCCATTATGAATTCCTAAACTTTTTCATTTTTCGAATTTGAGCCTAGTAAACCACAAATTTTCACAAATATTCATCTTGTTGCTCGAAAGTTTTAAAAACCGACCTTATACTGCCACTTTTGGTATTGTATTTGCAATAAAAGCGAAAATGATTTGGACTGATATTGAAATAATACTGCTAAAAAGCAAAATTGTTCTCAGTCCCTTATTTTTAGCTGTCATTTGTTTAGAGGTGAGGCTTCAAAATATAATCGATCATTAGCACAAGGAACTTTTCATTCAGAAATTTTGCTTATCAAAACTGAAACATATGGCTACTAAAGAATTCAGTGTGAAACTGTAGCTGGTCATTTCAAAAAGCGTTGCCAAAAACCAACAAAAATTCAAAGATCTTAACGAATACTCACGACTCTTGCTTTCCGGCTTCTAAAACGAGGTTAAAGATAAGATTACTGTTTTGAAGCTGATGCAAAAACCTAAAAGCATACTTTACCATGCTTTTCTATTCTAATAACACTCTAAATATTTGCTATAAAATACACAGAGACACAGAGAGCTTATATGCTTAAAGTTAATCAAGTACAAGTCTGCCAAATTAAGAGCTTCAAAAGAAACTTTAGAAACATACAATCCCTGCTAAGGGTACTTGGAACACTTGGCATTGTGCTTTTTCAATTTTCAATTTCTTTTAACCAACACTACTACTTCCACCCCCTTCTTCCCCCAGACCAGAACAATGTCGATAGTTTAGAAAAATATAATAAAAGTCACAGGAAAAAAACGTCCTTCTAAATTTCTTCTTTGCCTTATCGTAAACAAACATTGTTTCAAGGAGGAGAGGGTGGCTAATGTTCTTTGGATGGCCTTTGAAAATTGATGCCAGTTTGCCAAGACTTTCAGCAGCCATTGCAGATAATCTACATATCCTCGTGGAAAATCTCAAATTTGCTAAGTGGCCTAAGTGGAATGCTCGCACTTACCAAAATAAAGTCCGGAGCAGGAGGTGGTTTTGAGGCTACCGTGGCTGCGCGTGCTTGCTCCTCTGCAGCCACTCTAAGTCTGGAATAAAAGGCCAACGATCAAATATTTCATCTTTAATATTTTTCTTAATAAGGTCAATACTTTATAAGTTATCGAAATAATGCGAAGTGAAGCTCAAAACAAAGTTTTAAATCTATAATGGGGAAAATTATAATAAATCCGCAATCCAGAATATTTAGAAACTTCACTCAACAAAGCAAGGGCGAAATATATCCCCTTACTTTGCTTTTTCTGTAACTACCTCTGTACATGCATTCTATTCTTCCTTCATCTCACCCTCGAGTGAATATTTGAGAATTTGTGCTGACTTTTTGGTAGCAATTTCACAGCTGCTTCAATTTCCAAAGCACGGTCTATCCGGCTTAGAGCGATCAACTAAGCATTTAGTAGCGCTGATAACGTTCTGTCTTCTTCAGAGATTCACTTAAGATAACCAGGGTCTAATATATTTTACCCAAACTTTCAGGTATTCTTCTCTTCTGACACCCTGCTCCCCCCTCCCCTCCCTCTCCCTACCCCCTAACTTCTCCATTCTAAAATGTAAATAAATGTAAACAGTTTAACAAATTGAAGCAAATCTAGAGAAACAGGCTCAATACCTTAACTTCGACTTTTCATCTTCCATCATTCTTAAAGACGCTCTTTGCTCAGCAAGCTGCAAGAGAAACTCCAAAATGTACACAAGATTTTAAGTGACCTTTGATATTAATGATTCAAAGTAAGGGTAACTGCGCTATGTCCACAAGGAACAGAATTTTTTTTACTTGAAACCAAGATTAGTAATGATTAAAGATGTTTCACAAAATCTCGTATCATTTGAGAGAAAGATTTCAACAGAATAAAACAAATAACGAAATGCCTTCATTTAGCATAAATTAGTTTATGGAAAGATTCAAAGCAATCTTTAAAAACACAATTTCCATTATTGCATATTTTCAAAACACACCATAGAAGGCGCCACAGCTAAAAGTTGTTAACCAAATAGAAAGCAGTATTTGAAAGAAATGGAAAATTTCAGAACATTTTCAACAAATTTGAGATTTTCTGCGCGGTTGAAAAGAACGTGTCAAAAACTTGGTAATATTACTGTTTTCAGATCTATTCAGGCCATTACAAAGATTGTTTACATTTTGTGTTCATTTTAACCCTTCAACGTGTGTTATAAGTCTCATCATCACAACGAGATTCATATCGTATATGTCTGAGAACCTACTTTTCTTAATGCTTCTTGGTGTCTTTCTTTTGCCCTGATTCAGAATAAAAAACATTTAACAAGGTTATAAAGGAGAGTCGAAAGAAATGCCAACCTGCTGATCTATGTAGTAACATGCTTCATTAGAATACAAAACTATTTACTACCTAAAGGTATTCATTGACAAACATACAAGCAGCAATTAGCAATTCGTTGCGATTGCGTTGTTTGATTGTTTTTTATTTACTGTGTCATTTTTTCCATAAAAAGACAAATTTTTAAACAAAAGCACGCTCTGCACAAAATAAAATAACAGTAATGGCCATCCACAATAGCAAACCTACCAATGCCCATTCAAGGGTATACTTATTTACAACATGATATGCGTGAAATGAGACCAATTCATAGTATAATGGCCAATAATGGCCAATTTTTTTCAAATGCTAGCCAGCCCCCAACTGAAGGATCTCTCATGCTACAACGATCTACCAGATATTTGTGAACTGATACTAAATCAAAACTTTCCTTAAAAAACGTCGTAAAATACTTTGCTTTCAACGTTTACCTTTGATTCATGAGTTCCTCAGATTTTGACATATCCTTAACTGGAACCTTTCAAAACAAGAACAAAGTATAAGAGCAACTTCAAAGGATCTTTTTTCAAAGCAGATTTATTAACAGTGAAACGAGGAAAGTGAAGCAAAATCCTAGCAAAGTATATCCTGGATTTTGGTGCTCGGAAAATTTGCTTGTGTAGCTTATTTCCGAATTTATGCGGAATGTTATTAAGGTAGCAAGATTGATCAAATCTGTGCAGCTCTCTCTTCCATCGAGGCAGCAGAATCACTTGGCTAGCCCACATTGCATGTTACCACACTACAAAATGCAGTATTAAAATTCTGCAAGTCTGTGCATCAAATACAGTGGTAAAAAGGGCCTCCCTCAGAATCCACCAAAAATTACACCTTTATGAAAAAGATACATCTTTGAACAAATAAACTGAACTACATTTTTTGGAAAAGCGAAAATGGACCTCTTAGTCATTCGTTGCCAATGAAAAACTATATGCCAGTGCCCCTTCACCAGTTACTCTCTCTCTCTAAGTTTTTCATTTTATTCCTTTTGGGACATGAAAGAAAAATGTGCCATCCCCTTACCATACAAGACTATCAAGATTCAGTTACCTGTGAAACAGATTTGTGTCCTTCTCCCAATGTCTTCAACCTATTCTCATATTCCCTTTCAAGGTCTTGAAGCTCAGAGAAAACCTTTCTTTCCCACTCATCCTATAGTAAGAATTAAAATCATTGCAAATAATTGTTTTAATTTGAGACCTGTGCTGGTTGATTTACGTTTAGAATTCTTTCAAACTGATATGATGAAACCAGTCTATTATTCTGAATCATGTCTCAGGAAAGCTTTTTATCTATTTGTTGTTCTTTGCATTTCCTCTTTGAATTGAATGTCTTTGATTTGATGCAATGTATGGTAAAATTCATACTTAAAAATGCATGTAGTAAGTAAACAACAAAAACTAAACTAGATTATATCTTCTCAGGTAACATTTTGCACATTTGTTTCATAAGGAGCAAACAAGGATTCCCTCACAAAAGGTTCAAGCTACCTGCAACTGCATTTTGAGAGAATTGATCTCCTTTGCTTGTTTGCTTTTTACTGCATTAAGCACTTTTCCTGACAGCTTCTTCTGCTGCTTGCGAACCTAAAAACCAATTTTCATACAAAACAATCATAGTGGTAGGGGTGGAAAACTTTTGGTTGGAAAAACTCAAGAAGGATCAATTTACCAAAACAACTTTGAAGACAGAAAGATTCTATTTTGAACAGAGGTTATATTCAAAACACCATGAGGTTGATTAAAATGAAATCGCATAAAGTGTTCTTTGTGGAATGGCATAAATGGTAACAAATGCTCCCTGTAAACATAAAATCCATTAGAAATATTTGGGAAAGCACTACTTATACTGGTAAATCATAATCTTTGTACTGTTTAAAAAGTCTATAGAAGCATACCTGAAGCAGCCTTAGCTTTTTTCTTTCAGCTGTTACTCCCTTTAAAATGGCTTCCTGTATAGAAAAATTAAAACTGTTCAAGGAACATGATGATAATACATATTGTTTAAGGCATAGTACTTAATAGAACAAGCTGAATGAGGCTTATTGCATCTATTCATAAAAGGAAGGTGTTCTTATATTAGGTGTGAGGATTGCGCATCGGTTAGGGTCACACACTACAACTCCAAGTCTCTGGGGTTTGACTTCTGGCATGACCAAACTTTCAACTAGAGTGAGAAGAGTTGTCAGCTCTTTGCAATTCCAGGAATATGAATCCTGTGGTTATAGCCACACCAAATGTTAGTTGAAAATGTGTGACAATAAGAAGAGTGTGATTTTGAACAGAGCTTATACAGAATAATGTGGTACATTTGGGTCTAAAATTTAGGCAACTGCAAACAGTGGTGTGAGATCATGCAGAGTGACTATAAGCAGAGACCACTGTGTAGTCACATTGAGAGGAAGGACCAAGACACTGGTCAACAAGCAAAGCTTCTTGGTGTCCAAAAAACTATCTTTGGATAATAAGAAGAAACAAGTACAAAATTTAATGTTTCAAACAAAGGGCAGTCAGGGTCAATTACATATTCTTGCTTAAACTTCCCTGCCAGTGATTTATGAATAACTGAAATGTTTTGTGTTATATAATCATTTATGCAATAATATGATGTTTTTTTAAATAAAACTTGTACCTCTTCATTAGGGCTTGGCTTCAAAACTCTTGATGACATGAGCATCCTTCTGTTTTCTTTGTTGTGATTTTCCATTTCCAAGATAGGCCAGAAATACTTCAGAATAGAAGGTAGCCAATAGGCTACAATACAAATATTTCTCATTGAACATAAATCTGTTACAACATACAACATTCATAAAATCATCAAATATGATATTCAAGTAAGTGTGAATTACAAGACAATTTTGGTTGTATAGTCGATGATATGCATTTTCATTAATTATAATCTTGATAACAATAGACATAAAAGAATAAAAAGCGAAATATATTGCGAAACCCCCAATTTCTCTGCATTACCCCCACCTCTGAAATATGTAGAGAATATACAGGAATGAATTTTGAATTTTAGAAAAAAAAGGAGAATGCTAAAAGCCCTGTCTCATCTATCTACATAAGAAGGTGCTAAAAAAGGAACAGATCATGCTTGTGTCGAAATGTAGTTAAGTATTTCGTTACCTTTCTCTGTTGCATATTTGCTTGCACTTCTTCTCTTTTGAAACACTACAACATTTTAAATTCTAGCAACGGAGCAGCCATTTTTCTCTGCTGTTGGCGCCTTACATTTGAAATACTTTGTGTACAACTGCCAATTTCCCAGAATTCCCTGTTGTTTGGTTGTCTTGGAGGCAGTCTCAAGTGTTTCAAGATGGCGGGAGATGGGCAAGAAAACACGTATATGATTAGACCAAATTTTAGGAACAAGTAAGACTTTAATTGCACATATCTATAGTCAATACATTATAGCCTTGCCAATTTATTGTTTGTGTTGCAAATTGTAACATAAGCTTTCACCATAAAGCTTAAACTCGCTTGCCAATATGTATGGCAACTATTTTATTTTAATAAAAAATAAAAATTAATTTCTAATAATGTATTCGGTTCATATTGGCTTATGATACAAGATCTTTTCACAACCAATTTTCACAACCAACCAATATATATTTCTCGGCTTTACAGAGTTGTTACAGCGATGATTATTTTTTCAGATTCAGACCAGTGGCTGTAAAAAATGTAATACATGAGGTTTTAAGTGAAGAATTAGGCGGTAAGCAATACAATGCAGAAGAAACAGCTACCTGGACCAGAGCAGTGTCAGATTCTATTAAAGATAAACTTAAAGGTAACTGCAACACTTATATACAATACAGAGGAATTTCAATCAAAGTCGAGCTATAATACTTAAAATGGAGATGAGGCTTATGAAGTTTCCCAACCAAAATGTTTTGGTCAAGATTTTATTTAAAACTAGCAGCCTAAAGATTTGTCTTGAAATTCACAAACTTGAAATAACATAAACAAACTTCCAAAAATGCCTATTTGATCACCTAGCGCCACTTTGGAAATCTGTTTAGCACCTTTTTGTGCCTTACACACTACTGTTGGTTCACAACAGCCAGAATAACTGCACCTTAAATTGTTCAGTTTAGATCACTTTGTTTATTTTAAAATCCCACTTCATACAACAACACTTAAACGGAATAAGTACACTTGATACAAACATGTAAAAAATTAAACTAACATACATAATTTGATTATACAATAAACAAAATAATAAATTTGACTACAGCTATGATAAACTAGATAATAGAAATTATGGGAATTGTATGTAGGGGAATTTCTTGAGGAGGAGCACACTCAGTAGCTAGGATAATTGAGGAAAGAGTACCGCCTATTCTAATGATCATGTCAAAAATGTCTTAATGAGAAAAATGCGCATTAACAACTTTGTATGGTGTGCTAGGCTGAAAAAGATCTGTATACAAGCCTCTTACCTGTTGTATAGAGGAGCACTCTCAGTATATAAAAGCCTAGAGGTATAGACATGCAAAGGTAAAAACAATAAATGTAACTGTGCGAAGGAAGGTGATAGAAGGATCAGCGTTTTGAGTATCAAGTTTAAGGCAGATAATTGTTGTTGTTATGATAAGTATATGGATTAGATGAAAGACAAGAATGGTAAAATAAAATAATTGTGCAGTTATTAGTTCTTATTTGTTTTGTAATATTTGCAGTCACTGTAATGAGAACCCATTTTGGGGTGAACATCAGTTTATTTCATTCAAAAATATAAATAAGTAATTTCCTGCTTATATTGTGCTATTTTGCATCACTTTTTGTTTACGGAATATGTTCCAGCCAAAATCCAGCTTGCCAAAAACACCAAGAACCATATTTCAAAATGCTGAATATTTTTTTGGTTAAACTTTATTTTTATTAGAAATGGAATATGACAGATACAAAATTGTGGTTCAAGTTGTAATTGGTGAGCAAAGAGGAGAGGGTGTAAAGTATGTTTCCTTTTGTTTTTGTTATTTTTGCAAATTTTTAGCTGTGAAATGTAGAATCATCAACGAATTTTAAAAAATATGATGAACATTAAATTCAGTGTCACTAGGTTATATAAATTCAGTGCTAACAAAATTTTTAGTTTGAGTAGACAGTAAAAATTTACTTGTTCATTCTCTGATTGAGAAATATGCAGCCAAATTTCAAGGTTACAAAATGATATCAGTTTCAAAATGATACAGGGATTTTTTGTAGATAATGATTCAGTTATATTATGCCTTAGATTTACCGCACACATTAACCTTTGAGTTACGAAAATATTGACTTTTTGATATATATGTTCTTGTTGTGCCTGAGCAGGTTTTATAAAAACCAGATGAATTTTGCTCAAGCTTGATGATCTTATCTTTTGATAATTTCAGGCTTGGGTGCTATTAATATCCTTCTTATCCTAAAAATTACTTTTTAACAATTACATTATATAAATTGCATCTAAAACTTAATGAAAGTTTTGCATAACTTTGAAGTAGCACAAACAGATTGTTTTTTCTTCTTATTTTTCATCTGGGGCTGGGCAGGTTCTTACAATGTTCTTATTTTTTGTGCCAAATCGAGCCTCGGTGTTCTCATGAAGAAAAAAATGTACTTTGTCAATATTGGTTTTATGAGTACATTTGGTGTGATGGATCAAACATAATTATTGTTTGTATACACATTTAAAAGGCGCTTGCTAACTGAAACATTAATGAATTCAAAGCATCAAAACCCGTTTATTATATTTAAAATAGGTTTGCTGCTAGATGTTTATGGGATTCTGATACAGACAATTTTGCACAGGATATTTACACAAACGTATGTATATATTTTTGTTTTATATTTTATGTATATACACAAACGATATTTAAATAGTTTTGAATTGATTTCTTTGCTACATATGTGTAGGTGATACATTTAATGTCGATTAGCAAATCGCAAAAAGCAATTCATAAAAATATGACACATTTGCAGGATTTCTCAAAAGGAGTACCTTTTGTCAACGCAGATGTAGATATATATATAAGCGATATTTCGAAAAGACTCGAAATTCATTTTTCAAGATATATTTCGAAATTCATAATCTAAGAACCTTAAAGACCAAAATAAAATTGGGGTTCGTGTTAACTTAAGTGTGGGTAAAGTTAATTTAAATTATGGAAGTGCTACTATGTCGAAGAAAATTTGCGAAAGCTGTACCAAAATGGAGAGAATTGAAAGAAAAGAGTGCATTGGCGGGGAATCGAACCCCGGTCTCCCGCGTGGCAGGCGAGAATTCTACCACTGAACCACCAATGCCTTGAGAACATGTGTGATCTTATGATTTAAGATTGTCTTTTTTAGGAATCGCTGTTTTGCGTTGCTGTTGCTTATGGTGTATTTTATTACTGAAGTTGCCGTTGGAAACGGGGAAGGCTTTACATTACTTCATGAACTGAAATTTTGCTCAAATCGAAAAAACAGTCAATGCTCCTTATAACTTCAGCAAAATAAAGTTTGAGCATGTACCTCTCCCCTCAAAACCAACATTTATATCAATGACGGCGCCAGCCACTAGGATAAGGGGGGACAAAACAAAAAAAAACCGGCACGTCCTTTTTACCATCAGAACACGTCCTTTACCAACAGGGAACACCCATGACTAACTTGTGGTTGTGGAAAGGCAGTTTGAAAATCATAGGATTATATCACAAAAATTATGTTGCCGAAATATTACCCCTCCCTTAACATTTAACCATTGTAGCACCACCCTCCATGGCCCCACTACTTATAGGGATGTGTCCCCCAGTCCCCCCATCTCTCTGTGGCGCCGCTACTGATTTCTTTATCAGTTGCTCACGTGGGCTAAGACCACTAGTGCGCAAACTGCTAAAGGTCCTCAAAATGAAATATCTCAAGTTCTTTAAGAATTTGACAGTCATATTATCAAGCAGTACCATCTATCCCCACCTACCCTCCCCCAGTACTTTATGTCGCTACCATGCTACCAACCCTAATCTTAAGTAGACTTTCTTAGACATAATATCATTTTGTTCACTTTGTCTGTAGCAATAATTCTAAAAGTAAAGTGAACAATTTTACTCTAGTTGTTTTCCTGTCATTGACACAGGCATATAGATTCGACATGTAAATACTGTTTTAATTTTTTCTCAATATGCAGAGATTATTCAAAATCATGCTTGATTGTTTCTTTTTTATACTGTCTTACCTTATTTTTTCTTTCTGTAGGTAACTGTTGCATTTATGATTATGATGTAGGTTCTAATAGAGAATTTCCCATTTAAAAATATGTTGATGTATTTACACTAGAGGTTACCTAAACTGGGATGCAATTTCTTTACAAAAGTACAACTCTGTCAGATAGCTAGTATCATTTATTGGAATTTCAGGTTCTAGTAATTCTTGATCAATGTCTTTGTCATAATCTAATTTTGGGTTGTCAGTCATTAGATCATCTGTCCAAAATTCCATTATATCTTCATCACCAAGCACATCCGTTTTTGAAGATTTAGATACTTCATATGCAATCCTTTTAGGAGCAGCTTTTTGCAGGTCTTTTTCTATATCAACATCCACAGGAATAAGGTCAGTAAAATGTTGCTGATTTCTCTTGAAGTTCAGAGCAGTTGTAGCTTTTTCTTTAACAAACCGTAGCTTCCCATTGTCACAATGCAAATTTTCAGTGAGTGATTTTTCATCACAGATCTTGCTTAACTTCAGTTTTTCCATCTGTTTGGAAACCCCATAAGTTGAGTTTAATTGTGGATTTGCCAAGCTGCAAGAAAAGTTAGGAACAAAAAACTGTCATGTTGCAATGGGAATGAATTAAGCATTTTGCTTCGGAGATTCACTATAAATGGAAATTCAACACATAAGTTAAATGGATTGAGTCTTGTTAAACAGTCTTTTTCTACAAGGAGTTGTTCACATTTGGCTTGATCATTGTAGTCTTGTGATATCAGCATAGGTTGTTGACAATTTGCTATTGATAGAGGCTGTTTACAGAATCAGTACAGTTTTAGCTCATGTGATCAGAGCAAGGGCCTGTCCCACTGATTCTAAACTGGAGGGGCTAGCAATTTTTAAAGAAAGCTTCCTCTTACCCCTTTAGCCCCAAATTTTTTGCTGATGCTGCTTTATTGTATACTTTGGTTAAATGTATTTGTAGTAATGCCCTGGGGTCCCACCAATAGGAAGTTGGCCCTCCAAAAGCATTGCAGCACAACAATCATGACTCTGGGTATTTGGGTACATACCCTCTCATAATGACTTGATGCTTTTAAGTAGTGTATTTTATGTGGAAGGATATTTGAAACTAGTAGAGTGCAGAAAGACTTTTATCAACATGAGTGCATGTATTTGAAAGTGGGAGGGGGGACAAGGCTAACAAAAGTGGGAAGCAAGGCTCCTTTCACCTTTAAGTGCAACTTTGAAACTTTTTGCTTTACAAAATAGTGGAGGGGGCATGCCCCGGTCCCCCAGTGGCATGGGCCCTGTACTGTTAGGAATAGTCATTTAAAGGCATACAAAACATAATCAACTAAAAACAAAGAGCTGTGTGCTTGGAATCAAGGTTAATGGTCAGCTAAGTCTTAACATACCTGGGGTATTGTTCTGAAGACCTATTGATAATAGCATCATCTTTGCTATCTCCAACCTTTTTCAAATCATCAGCAAAAGCAACTTTTTTCCTGCATAATGGTTTAACATTCTTTGTCTCTGCATTCTTTTGTAAAGTGCCTTTTTCAGGTGTTATATCAAGTTGATCAAAACTTCCAGGGGGCTTTGGCTTTGAGATTGGTTGCAGTCTTGTCAAAGGATGTGGCAGAGCTTCAGCCATCTAAAAAAACTTTCTTTTACAGAACTCAATTTCTGTAAAGATGATCACATAGAATATTGCTTCTTAAAAGGTTGGCTTTAACCCCTCAATCCTATTCATTCATGAATTTAGACAAGAATGTGTATGTCAAATTTACTGTCCGTGAATAACAGATGCACATGTCAGTTCCATTGCACACAAGTTTACATGGATCCTGTGTCAGTATCTCAAAAAACATTTTCCCTGCACTTTTTTGGGCATTCATTTGTGTAAAAAGAGTCTATGACATAGAAACTTGACCAGAGACTAGTGCTGTAGAAAGGATGGAGTTATTGGGGATACAATTGTTCGAAAACAATTGGAACAAAAGGTTGAAAAGATGGAGTTATTGGGGATACAATTTTTCGAAAACAATTGGAAGCAAAAAACATTTGTATAATTTTTGGGAACACAAGGCAACCCTCGCCCCTGCAAGATCAAAAGTTGTTACTGCCTTGGAGACTGGTTTATTACAGGCCACAGTTGAGTCAGCCATAGGTTCACAGTATCAAATCACATTAACATATTTTTCTGTTCATAAAAGCCCATAACTTGAACAAATTTAAGTATGGCTCCATGATAAAGAACTAAAAATATATGAAAAAAAAAAATTTAACAAACTGAGAGAAACTTTGATTTTAAAAAAAATGATTTCAGTAACTTGATGATTGACCCAAGTACTTCATTTAGTTATTTACTCGACCATGTTACAGTAGGGGTTATACACACTAAATGAGTCTACAGGGTCTCTAAAAGTCAATAAAAGAGGGTCTTTTACTCTGTCTGCAGCTGCCCAGAAAACAATATTCCACAGTCATTTGACGCTTCGTATAGACTTACTTCTTAATCTGCACACTCACTTAAAGATTGGCATATAATAAGAAAATCAAATTTGCTATGTTATTTTTAAAAAATGAAATCTAACCAGGACTTGTTTAATTTTGATGACTGTGATATGAGATGAAGCACAGGCGAATCCTTCAATAGCAAAAATAATTGAAAAAAATAAAGCTGTGAGCATGTATGCAAATGTATAAGTAATTTTACCTTTATCACTTTATTTTTATTGCCATTTCAACCTATCACAACATAACCCTGCAGTAAATAAGAAGAAGAATCAGCCCCACAAGCAACAAAGGACTTTAAAAGTTTTCGTTGTCAAATAAACCCGCGAAGTGAAGTACTCCGTGTATGCTCACCCTCCTCCGCAGCTCGGGAGGTGATAGAAAACTACAGTATGAAGAAATATTACATCGTACAACTCTGACAATGTGGGGGAAGTTTTAGGAATATGCATGAGCTAGATAAACAAGGAAAGACTTCTGCAAAATAAATAGATCCAATTTTCTTACAGAAAAACAAAGATACAATGAGTGAAACAATGAATAAACTTAGCTGTTTCAGTTTGTGCAGATCGTGTTAATAAATGTACGCAATATGTCAGAAATGAGAATCTAGTCATCAGCTATGGAAGCCAGGTTTTATGACATTTGATGCTATAGAATGCAATCCCCGCCAACAATATTTGCTCCAAAATTTCAATTTAAAAAAAAAAAATAATTCCGACAAAATTTCAATAACCCAAAATTTCCGGACTGTTCTAGAATTTGAACTACTCTAGAAGAATACTTCAGTTACTCTGAGCTAATGAGGATTAGTCATAACAGTGTAACTGAAATATTTGACTATATCGGAATTTCAGTCTTGAAATCTTGAGTCATTTAGATTTTCTATCAGTACAAGCAAGTATACTTAAATTCTAAAGATGGCAATGATATTAAGTAGGAAAAATGAAGTGATAGTTAACAATTTTTTTTTGCGGTACAGAATTTGAAAATGGCAAAAGCAAACATTTTATGACATACTAAAAGCTTTTTCGTCTGACAATCCTCAGAGCATAAAACGTCAGAATAAGGTTCCGAAAGGACACGATGGAAAATATATACCCAGTTGTGGATCTAAGTGATAGTTCATAATTGTTAAATTTTGTCAAAAAATTGGCATGAAAGTGTTTTGATGTCCGTGCGACGAATCCACGGTTACAGAAATAGGTTGTTATAAACACCTCGATGATTTTGGAATGATCACAAGGACAAAGATTTTGCATTTCACAGAATAATCCAGGCCATAAAATGTGCAAGACAGAATCTTTAATCAGGCCTTAATAATTGCTACATTAAAGTAGCATAAAATTCAATCTATGAACCTCAACACCGAAAGATCTCTAGACATTTCAGGCCGAAAATGTTGTAGCCAGCAATCAACCTAAAAGGACAAAAAAGTTTGAAAAATGCAGAATTTTGCCAAAATGTACTTCTACGATGAATCAGTAATGAATGCAATAAATTAAGCACGAAAAAACCGCTACTGTGTAGACAAAAGGAGTTCGTTTTCACCTTAGGACTCCACTGGTAACATTCTAATAGGCAAGCGGCACTGATTGGTCACAGTCATGTGCTCGTGTTTCTGATTGGCCTATTTCGATCCACAACTGGGTATATATATTTTTCTTAGCGTAGAGTTTTCGATCTATGTTCTGTCGTTTTAAACTCTGAAGAGTGTCAGACGAAAAGCTTTAGTTGACTAAATGTTTGCTTTTTTCAAAGCCATTTACAAATTACCATTTCAAAAACAAAGAACTATCAGTATCCTACCAGCGAATTTACAGGTTTTAATATTTTGTCTGTTATCTTCGGAATAGGCAATATAATTACTCGTAAATTTTGCTCTATGCCAGCATGCATTTAGTTTGACAAAATATTGATGGTTGACTTGAAGTTTCAAGCATTTCCTTCGAAAGAGCTCAAGGATACCTGACTTGACAGTAGTAAGGAAAATTACCAAAATGAAAACAAAGCTTTGGCTAGATACAAATTGACACTAAACAGCAAACACCGCGCATTTCGTTCAATACGGACAGGTTAGATCGGAACTGAAAGCTACGCAACGCAATGCAATCAACATTCTTTAAGTAGCAGGTACAACTATTGAAAACACTTCGTTTAATCTAAAAACTGAAAACTTCGCAAATTTATTGAAGAAATAACCCGCGAGGAGTATTTCAACTTTAGGGTATTTTGACGCCTGTCTATGCAACCTGAACAAATGCTTGTATTGAACCTGCCAGAAAATCGTTAAATATATAAGTAGAACCTATATAATAGTTTCAACTGCTCCTCCAATCTTTCTTTTCAGACCAGCAGAGGGAGAGTCAAATAAGACAAAATCAAATTGAAAAAGAGGCATTTAATCTGCTTCTGTACACTATACAGCAAGAACTTTACTTACAAATATGTACAATAGCCTTTTACAGATATCTCAAATGACGTTGTGTAAAATATACATTAAGCTTATTGGTGAAGGTTAGGCTTTGTTGACGTAACAAAATGAAACTAGACCCCAGTCCTGTGGGTATTGTGTCGTGCGCGGTGGCGTATTGGTAGAATTCGCGTCCGCTGCATGTTGCCTATATTATACTGACTTTATACTGACTAAAGTTCTAGGCAAGGGTTCGTTAATTTTGTCAAAATCATGGATGTAGATGTGGAATAATTTATTTCTCTTACAAGAAAGTAATGATCAAGCAATAGTTGGTAGCTGATAGGGTGGAGGAAATGAAATCGCCTGGAAAAGCAGGGTCGTATTCATTATTCAGCTGACGTCAATAAATGGAAGTCAAATATGATACGGGGCTGTAGTTAAAACTTAAAAATACTTCTATGGTAGAAAAATACTTTTCCTCCTATTTATTTAATGACAAAATGAAGAACCCCCCCCCCCCCCCCCCTCTTGCCTAGTTTCTACGACGACCTAATTTGAGAATGCGGGAAAACGCATTGAGCAAATAGCTAACGGAGTCCTCATTGTTATTATGCGAGAAGTCTACCGAGTTACGTCCCCTGACGCAAGAAGTAAGTCGAATAATCGCCTTTTAATAAAAGTTATGATGTTAGCAACAAACAGTATAAGAAACATTTTGCTTGGCTTGGCAATCTCAGAGTTAATTAGAAAACTTATGTTCTCTAGCTTTGACTAAGCGTAAAGCTCTATCAATAAAGAGATCCTTTATATAAATTTATAAATCGCCTGTATATAAATCAAACACACTAAAACATTTTGTACTTCATTGCTTCTTACGTCAGAAGGAATTTTATTCATATGGAACATTTATAGCTCTTTGGACCTAGACAGTATCGTTATTTGCCAAGATTTTTGCTCATTATCGGATAACATATATGATTTATCTTTAGTAATAATCTGACTTGCAATCTGATTGGATTAATCGAATAGACATTTTTGGAGAACCATTGAAATCGACTGTACTACGACATATGACTTTTAGCTTATATGACATATGGCTTTTAGCCTGGCCACAAATGACATTTGTGTGAAAGCGTGGTGTTTTTACTTGCAAATATAAACGGGTATGCATCTTCACGGCATCTTTAAGATTATTATATCGCATCTAGGTTATATAGTTTACCTAATAAACTTATTTTATTTTGCATTGTTGACAGGGCATTGTTGAAAAGAACTCGACAAAAAGAAAAATCACCATAGAAGTAATGATATTTTATCTACGACACTATAACTAAGTCTAACAGGATCTAAATAGGTGGACTTTGATTTCCACCTTTGGTACTTTATACAAGGCCATAGATCAAGAGGCACAAGACCGTGCTTTGTTTCACCTAATTTTGCAGAACTACCTGACCAGCTATAATAATTTCTACAGAACTATTGCCAAAAAAGGAGTGAATTTCGCAAATTGAGGTACTTTGTTGAGATTTTGACAACGCACTAGATTTGTGACAAAACCTTTCTGGAAATTGACAAATGTTCAGGCTTGATATGATATCACCACTGTCAATAATGTTGTAGCTAAGTTTTGAAATTTCTAATGTCTGGAAATCTTTAAACAATCTACAAAAGTATTCTGACATTAAACTAAAGCTGGCATTGTACTTTCCAAATTAGAAGTTCTTTTGTCTAAACCGTCCTTCCCACAGTCGTCAACAGTGGGTCTAAACCTAAAATCCATCGGTAACTCAACCTATATTTGTCGAAAACGGTGGTTCTAGAAACGCTGTTTGCAACGTTGACTTCACCCTATTAATTTTCACTAGAGTGAAATGCAGACCAAGCGACATTGTTTCATTTCCAACGACAAGAAAGGCCGAGACCGCATTTCACCAAACTTTAGTTCTATTCATCTATTTAAAGAAATGACACCAGTCTAATCACCGGCAAGCGACTCTTCTAACTTATAAAACATTCCAAACATAAACAATTACGGCGAACATGTGCCTTTAAGCTACCAAAGTCATATTTACAAAATGGCGCGCATTTGTTATACGGGGCCTTGTTTGACATCCAGACAAAGAGCAGCCTTCACCAATAAGCTGTTCGATTTGCGACTTCTAAGGACACAAGGCGTGGTAAATTCCTTTCCTAGTAAAGGACGATCTACTTTGTTTCTAGTTCAACTCTTGTTTAAAACTTCCCCTATAATAAGGCGGCTTGTGTCATAACGGCATTCTAAATAAAACGCGTGTTTGGACGATATGAGTTCTTATTTCCAAAATGACAACAATTTGAAAATTTACGCGAAAATTTGGGCTTCCTTTCAGATTTATAAACTAAGACGAGAATCTCTTTTCTCTAATCTATTCTCCAGGAGGGATAATCTCCGTAGGATATTCTAAGTAACGCCAAATATCTGCAGAGTCTCGTTGCTTATCAGAAGCTAAGCCCATCTATTAAACTTTGTTTATCAGCAAAGCAAATGCTGCGTTTACATAATTGGGCCTAAGTTCACTTACGGGTAATTCTATAAATCCGATTCGATGACACGAATAACTTAAACAAACTGCGCCTTCCACTGGAATGTAGATCACGCGCTAAGGCTTGGCCCGTTTTTTGGGATGCATCCGTACAGAGCACTAGGACCTGCGCCATTACACTGTAGTAAAATTCCACGCTTGATCGCAAAGTTTTCTTCTTTCGTCTTGCAGTCGTCATCTTGAGCATCGACCTTCAACTTCCGATACACTCTCATCAAATCCACGTAACAGAGCTGTTAGTCTGTCACGCAAAGAGACCACCTTGAACTTGTCAACCTCTTCGATAATGTCTTTCAAAAACATGCACTTTACTTCGCTTGGCCCGTCCAACATGGAAACCGCTTGCTCGATGTGTTGAAAACATTTGCCACGATCTGTGAACAGAGAGAAACATCGCCTGAGTCAGCAAGAGCCTAAAAACGTCTTTTGACACTCTAAACATCACAGCAAACTCCACATTAAACAAACGTTTCTGTGGCTGAATCTCATAATTCTGCTTCGCTCCAACATGGTGGAAAATGTTTTGAATATTGGGGAGAGTACAGATTATTGCATCAAGGGCATGAAAATCTCCTCTTCCAAGACATAACCCGTCATAGCATGAAAAGAACCATTCTATTAACTGAAAGTTATGTTCATTAAACAATTTTAATGTGCTTTTGGTTGCTTTAAGGCACGACAAACAAAATAGTAAATTTTATGCCAAATAATTAGCATAAAAATAATAATTTACTAGCATTTATTTTCCAGAGCCGGACTGAGAAAGTTGATAAAAATATCCTCTTTTTTGCATTGAAATATCATAAGAAGGGTGCGAAGATTTTGTCTTGATTTTGAAGACCCACATTTTAACCCCCTGTTTCATCGACCAAAATTCGAAATTCTTAACGTCCTTGTGATCAAATTCAAATCCCCGCTCATCTCCATCATCTATCAACCCCTCACCTTTTTATTAAATTTTGGACACGGCCACGACCCCCTGTTTATTTCAAACAGACCTCAGAGTACACCGAATCTTTTACAATATGAAGCACACAAAAATAACCCTTCAGAAAAATTAAGATACCTTTGAGATTTCTGATCACTTTCCAAATTTCCATGCGCAGTCTAGTATTTTTACCACTTTGCAACAATAAACGGCAAGTTTTTGGACTAAGAATACTTCTATCCGTCTCCGCAGCATCCGATTTGTTTCGCTTCGCAGCAACCTCTTCACCTCTTGATCCTTTCTGTGTTCGCTTCTTACCAACCTCCACTTCAACGTCCTCCTCTGCAACTTCCAATTTTGTGACGTCATCAGGCCCAAACGTTGTTCTCAGTATTGATAATATCGGCGACGGGTTTTCATCGTCATTAACAAGTCCGCTTTTTGCATTATCCGTTTTATTGTTTTTGGTGTTTTTGGATAATTTACTTTTATGCATCTCCTGCAATTTTCGAAGTTGTTTACTTACGGCTTTACCTACAGCCTTTTTATCCGGACTAATTCCGTTTTCAAGAATCTTCTCAGTCCTCTCGAGTTTTTCAACTTTGTCACTTTTTTCTGCTTCTTTTTCCTTCAGTTCTTCAAATTCAGGCTTTTCCTCTAAGCTGTCAGTTGGACTAACGAAATCTTTTCGCTTGTTGGCAAGAATTTTGATAGGCGGCGGCGGCGGCGGCGTTGCTGGCCTTGGTGGCGGAACATTTGGTGGTCCCTGTGGACGGCGACTTGGAGGAGGTGTTTCGTTCTTCCTTCTTTTCTTGTTGTTTATGTACGAATTCTCCCCAGGTCTCTTTTTAGCGGGCATACCCGGTCCAGCAATGGCCTCGTTCACGTCGGCCTCGTCTACAGCATACAACTGCAAAGGGAATGATTGAAAAGTAAAGAAGCAATTCTCGAAATTTCTCTAAGAATTCCTGGAACATTTATACTATGCTGTGCTGTGTTTCCACTTTTCCATGCTATCTTCGAATTCCTAATAATGGTTCAGTGTACTAGTATTTAAGTGATCCTTCAAATCAAACCAAGAAGTAAATTCTCTATTCTTAACGTACCACCACGAAGTTGACTTGCAATAAAATAAAAAGACGATTCTTTTTATGATGCTAATGGAGAACATGCTACACAAAGATGCTACGCAAACAGATTTGCTTGTGCTGATAAAATCCCAATGTCAGGTTGTTTTGAACAAAGTAACATTTATATAAACTCACGAAACCCATTCTTAGCGAGAATCAGACACTTTCAAGGTAAGATTTTACCATTAACATGGGAGAGGAGGGTATACGTCGCCTTGAAAATTAAGAAAGCATGATACTTTGCAGAAAGGCTGTATGTTTTTGAATCGATTTCTCAACAGTATCTCGCCACGAGGAAGGCTTCGTAAAAAATACTACCTGGTGATCCTGCTTCAGCTTGAATGGATTTCCAAAAGCATGCAGCCTCGTTTGTCCTGGGTCAACTTCCCTCAAAGGTGCAACCATTTTCAAATATTCTTGGTAATTCCCCATTTGGCCGATTGCTATGTAATGCTTTTGGTCTAAAAAATAACACGTTTAAGTGTTGCTAACTTAAACTGAAAAATTGACCGGCGAAAATTAAACAATTTAAAATCATGATTTTCCTGTATTGGACAACAAATCGGTTTAATTGTGAGAAACATTTTGGAAGGAAAAAATTACATCCAGTTTGGCAAGAGTACCATGAAAGTCTATTTGATTCCGTTTAAAATGCTAGCGCTAAACGAAACAATAAAAGGATGGGGAGAACGATAACACTGACGAAGTTTTTGCCTTAAACTAATTGGGGTTAAAGGGGACTGAATACAGATTTCCTATAAACAATAAAATATCAGAATCACTTTCTATGAAGGGAAGTTGAATGAAAAGCTAAAACGTTATTCGTCTTCAACTTTTCATCTACGTGGCTTACTGAAGTACTCTAGATTGATGGGGCTTTTCACATTTGAAGAAACCCAGGCGACTCATGTGTTGCTACAGGTGATTGTATAGATAATTTTCCCTCTCATAAAATTTTTAGAGGCAAAAACATGGAGGCTTCCCTTCCTATTAATACACCAATTTACTAAGAGATGCGTTGAAACATTGCAGGCTTGCTGTAATGGTTACCTTCATCTTCGAATTTGTTAGAAGTTGCGGGATGGAAGAAATTAAGACGCATTCTTCGGAGCTGCTCGATCAGCCGGTTTCGTGGGATATCGAAAGGGTTCTTGAAGCTTTGTGTCTGAATATGCTAGGAAAAGATTATAAGAACAATATAGATTAAGAAGTGCTTGTGGCCTTCTATTTGATAGAAACAACCTGTTGGGAAAACAAGAAAAAGCCAGTCAGTCTGGTTTTTGATCAAACGTGTACACTAAGAGCCTTTGCCTTAAAAAACGTTTCTTCTGTGATTTTAATCGATGTTTCTTGGGGCTTTTTAAGGGGATTAAATAACGTCTATGGAATTTTCAAAGGGTCCTGGGTTTGCGAAGGATTTAATTCCTAAAGATGGTAGACTTCTGAGTCAAGATTCGACGGCTGTTTATAAACTTTTATTAACTAATTACCTTTACAAGGCAAATATCCTTGACTAATGGAATGCCGGCCATAGGAAAAATGTGAAAATGCAGAGCTAGAATTCCCTTTCAAATTTAGAGTTGAAAAACTTATTTAGACCGAGGGAAGATCAAGGGCAGACCTACCGAATCAACCTATGGTCATGGTAAAAAGATGAACAACTACAAGTTCACTTTGAATATATACATACCTCTTGGGGAAATGGCAGCCCACGGTCTTCCAGATTCAATGAAATGTCACTAAAAAGATGAGAGCTAAGACTTTGAACAAAGCGAATTTCCATGAAACATTTGAATATACCAAGAATGTGTTCTGTACCCAACGATGAGTAGTAAGGCGAATGTGGGAATAACCCTTGTCTAAAAATTATGCTTACACTTGTGCATACTGGCAGAAATAATAAAAGTGTTAATCAAATTATCAAAGGAGTACAACAAATAAGATATCTTATTCTGATCGCAAATAGTGACACAGCAACTTTAAGTTTTAGCTCTTCGTAATATTAACTTTGACTCAAACTTCAACTTTATGTTCCTCGGAGTACCTTTCCCTGTATTGTTGTATAGTAGTTTTTGTTAGTAGTGTAGCCTGTAGTATACATTGTAATTTTTAGTCGAATGTATAAAAAAGTGTTTATCAAAACTAATGACAGCAAAAGATAATTAATCAAGATCTGTCGCAGAAAAGCCTTCTTTGCCACACACACGATATAGATAGTTAAATTTAACTGTTTGATTTCAAGGACATGCTTCACAGTTCACATGCGAAGATCATATCATTAAGTTGTTCACCTTTGAGACTTTCCAGTGTTTCGCAGGGCAATTCTTGGATCTGCAATCGATGTTTTTCGGAGTACTTTGCGATAGTCGAAATGTTTTCCTTCGTTGATTTGAGGTATGCTAAATGAAAGAGAAGATTTCCACTCAAAATAAATCACAGAGAATTTTCTAAATAAACACACAGCAGCCTAAACAAGAAAACGTGACACAGCCTTATCACAAACACAAGCTGGAATTTGATGGATTTACAATATGCGTAAAATAAGCACCTAGAAAAATGTGGAGGTAATTCTACAAATCATGGGTCACGATACTTCAAGGATTGGGAGTAATATGTATATAAATGATGTTTTTGCCAACTATAAAGATCAAACTATGTTAATACAATTGGAGATTTTAAATGTCTGCTTAATAGTATCAGCGAATTTCACAGATTGCACAGATATCGTATGGAGGTGCAAACCCTGATTTGTATTTTGTATTTTATATTTGTATTGTATGTTGCTCATCGGGATGCTCACATTGTGCAGATATCTTATCACAGTTCACAAAAACAGTTAATAATCGCATTTAAAATTCCGTTCAGAAATTGAGGCCTGAAAAAGTTCCAAACAGATGAGAATCCTACCACTAATACACAAATCAAAACATGAACAGAAGAAAGAGAAATCAGGAATACTAGCAATGAGAACAAGTGTTTGACTTACGGTGGAAGCGGTTGGTTTAATGCATCTCTCGTTGCTTTTTTGCCAACCAAGTTTATAAGCCGATCAGCTTCTAGCTTGGCCTAAGAACGACAAGTTTTATTATCATTCTAAAAAGACAATTCAAAAACTAAAAGACCAGAAGAATTAGCATGCTAAACAAATATCTGTAGAGTTTTCTAGAGTCAGGTATATCCAGAAGGCAGTTACAGATCGCATGAAGGTAATTAGGCCCTAAAGAAAACAGGCCTAAAGTTCCATTGACAAAAGATTGTTAAAGGCAAACTGTTACTTGTGAATCAATTGGAATTTACGGAGATGTAAGTAACCTAGTGTTGAATACATGCAGTTTAGTTGAAACTTCACGCATGAAGGAAATAAAGAACTCGAAGTTCTAACAAGGACAACAGTGACTGACGATAAACAGTGCGAACAAACGGGGATTTCAAATGAAATAACAAATAAAACTCTGCCTACTTGATGCTTTATTTTCTTCAAATGCGTAATGATACTGAAACTCAAAGAACCATCGATGTGATCAGGTACGAGGTTGTTTGGTGCTTGCATTCTTCTCAAAGCATTACGCAACGGCTGAAAAGAAACACAGGAATACTCAAGTTAGATAACAGCAGTGACAATACTAAATTAGAAGATATCTGGCAACAAGAGCATGAAATATAGGCAGCGATGAGCAATCTTCACATAGCTAAATATCTAAAAACACAGGCGAACGGCAAACACGTTCCCCAAAAAAATATCAAAAGGAAAACTATTATTTGAATAAAGGCAAGTGCTTCATTCTACACATTTAAGGATTATAGACCAATAAGCTTCACTGACATATCGAAATCTTGATCATAGATTCTGGTTTCCCTGTCCATTGCATCTCACAACTTAATTGAATGCTTGACAGGACCCTCTTTCAAGAAGAACCAGATTACTATAAAAATGTAGAAAATATCAATGAAATATCATCAAATTTAGCTGCAAATGCAAAAGTACCCCTGCATAGTAGTTTGGCATCGTTTGTAGATATGCCTCGAAGCTTTCCTTCCACTTTATTGGAGGCTTGCATTTATGAACTTTAAACAGCTCATCTGTCCAAAAGAGAGAAAACCAAAATTAATACCCGCATCATCATTCTAAAATCTAGAATACCACTATCAGCCCTAATACCCAAATGGCATTTTAAACGAATTTCATTCTGGTTGGCACATCACGAAATAAAATTATTTTCATATCAAGTTTCTGTTTCTAATTACAGTTTTCAATAAAGAGTATAATGGGAATCTTGCATGAAGACTTCTCCTGTGCCCAAGAGAAACAACCTCAAGTTCATAAAAGAAAGTACAACTTCCTGATCGACGTAATACATTCAGATACGCTCCTGAAAACAGGAACTTAAACGTATTTAGACGATTCTTACCTAAAAGTGGCAGAAGTATAGGATAGTTGTACGGCATCACAAATAAATTGACTGTCTGTAGATTTGAGCTTGCCTTCAGGTAGCCAAAAGGTTGGGGGGACCGCCCTTCTCTTCCAGAACCACTAACAAATGTCTAAACGATGAAGAATAAGCAAATTAACGCTGAATAGTAATGAAATTTTTACAGCATTCTAGAAAATATCAATTATGAAAAAGAAAGTAACGGCCAAAACCCTTCGTTTATAGAAGAAACACGATATCAATCTTTGTTTTAAATCAATAACTGAATGCAATGGAATATTAATAAGAAGTCGATATGCACAGGGGAGAGGGAAAGGGTTTAGGAAACAGCACGAAATACAAAACTGCCAGTTACTTTGACCATTAAAATAGCGCAAGAACATAGAAATCTGTTCATAACATCGCGGAATTAAAAAAATTATAGCTTGAGAAACTGGGACGCGACTGGGTAATACAATAAGCTGAAATCGAGGCAATTCCCCCCGATAGAGTTTCCTGGTATAGAAATTTAAGCAACGAAAGAAAGACAAATAAAATCTTAACAGAACAACTAAACCAAGCAACACACCTGCCAGCAATAATTTGGTTGCTTTCTTTCCAGAATGAACTGCGTCAAGGGCGAGGGTTCCAGTTCATATTTATCGAAAGGCAAGTTATCAATGACCATTGGCTCAGCATTGGCGCACGTGAACTGCACATTCGGTTGGGCGTCTCGGGGTGGCTGTGGAGATCAGTCATAGTATCAAAATATTAATACACGTTTGTCAGATAAAAGCATCTGGCTTGCTCAGGTCTATACAAAGCAGAACAATAACTAAAAAAACATTTGTTAGCTAACATACCATGCTTTGAGCGCCTGGATCTGGCCAAAATGCTTCAGGTATTGGCCAATGGCCAATCGCTACTCTCGGATTTGAGCGTACGTATATCATTCGTCTTGTGTTTTGCCAAGTGGTAGAAACTTCCAGAGAAGCATCTGTGTTCGTTGAATCGTGCATTAATTCGTTCCCCGCAAATGGCGCTTCGTTCCCTCTTACAGGATTTTCATGTATCATCTGCGAACTAAAATACAACTCTAAGTAAGACAACATTTAGAATAGATTTTTTCACTTATTCAGTAGATCTGCAACCTTTTGAAATAACTATCACCAATATACATTAAAATAAATCCCCAGACCTTAATTATACGACCACAAACTACTGTCGTTCTAAGAACAACAGTTCTAATAGGAGAATAAAAGGTTCCCCTATTGCAATAACAGAGGCATTGGAGCCCTGATCTGCTGACCGCCAACCAGGTTCTCTGATATGCAAAAACCCAAAAAAGATTATGGAAATATAAAATTGTGGCATCACTGTTAACTACATAACGATTGACAACACCTTGAAATCAACTAAGCTCATTAGCGAGCATGGTCAAAATATTTCTCCTCCACACCATTAGCTTCCCCCCCCCCTCAGATTTGTAAGCAACCCTGCAATTATAGTTTCCCCTGCTTTACATGTAAAGGAACCCAACTGAAACTTTGACTGTCATGAGCCTAAGGATCCACCTACGTACATGTCAGAAGCCCAAGGATGCATCTCCCTTTGCCACATAAGGCTGGTCAGTACTGTTTTCGTGTAGCATTGCTTAATAAAACCAATGTATCATAACATTCAGAACTTACCTAGTTTCCTCTGCCTCTGACTTAATCGGTTGAAAAGTTGCGTTTTTCTTTAGGCCATCGATAGACGGTAAAATGCCATTCACCAATGTCTGCCCAATTAAAGGCTTATTCTCTTGATCAACATCCATGTGTTCAGGTGAAGGGACCATATCTTCCAGTTTGGGCGTCACAGTACCCGGCGTCCTTGCACCTGAATAACATTAAACAAGTAAGCTTTGATAAAATGTAAAAAGCAACTAGCCAAGAAATAATCAAACACCTAGTAGCAATAGTTGCTTGAGTGACAGACGAGCTTTAGTGATAAGAAAATGAAGTAATGGCAGGTATTGAATTTCCGGTTGGCAATATAGCTGGAATTAAAAGGAATAAAAAACCTTTTTGCATTAAGTTTGATGGGTTCATTACTATGATTCCTTCGATGTAGAACTAAACTTTCGTCCAAGACCTATTAGTATGCTCCATATTCTCTATACAAGCTGTTAAATGATTACAAAAATTCATGTCAAAAAATCTATGCTTGTGACTCTTTGTGGTATTATCCACTAAGTTCAGCATTGTCCTTATCCGCAAAAATTAACTCTCTTCAACACAGACTTCTGTTGTTTAAAATTTTAAGAAACGATTTTGTACCATTTCGAAAGAATTAATGTTAATCATACATAAAAACAGTCTACACCTACCTTCTCGAATAACTGGCTCAGGATTGGGTCCGATTTTTTCAAAATATATTACTACTCCTGGCTGGATCTTCTGCGCAATGGATTCCAAACTCTGCATCAACATTTTATGAGACGCTACCACGTAAGATCTCCCTGGAGACAGAAGGAGACGACCAATTAAGCAATTTGATCAACTTCTACAATCATATCTAACAATTTTTACATATGCATGTAAGCTTTTTGGTAAGAAGGACAAATTTATTGAAGTGTTGCATGTTTGATTGAATGTGGAGCTAATATGGTCTATTTCAAGGAAACATTATATTGTTATTGTCACTCAGAGTTTAAGGAAACGTCATTCTAATGTAATAAAACAAGAGTTTCTGCCAAATTTCCATTGCTTCTTCCCATTATAACTTTTCCCACAAAATAAAAAAAAGCAAAAGTATATATTTACCTCCGGTTACATCACACATAGCAGTTATTGGTGCCTCCTCAGGGTTCACCTGATTTTGATGTAGTTTCTCATTTGCATCAGGAGCTGTCCCCGGAATCTGTAGGATGAGGCTAAACATTCTTTGATCCCATCTGAATGGCTCCTTTGTTAGTTCACTGCCAGAGAGCTGATTGTGCATGGGCAAATGCAGCTAAACAGAAAAGAAAATAAACATAAATGTAATTGTACAGTGGATGTGAAGACTTCATGAAAATATAAGAAATTGCCAAAGACAGATCATCCTTCAACTCACTGCATATCAGTGCCAGGTTATATAAAATCTGTTCCGATTATAAGAATATCTAGGAAGGCTAGTAAGAAGGTACATGTCCATAAAAAAGACAATATGTGATACTGAGTCTTTGCATTTGCCTGGGTTGACAAAAATGAGCAGATGCAAACAAGTATACACAAAAAATTACTTGTCACCACAAAATGAAAGAATAACACAGGTTTATTCCCCAATAGATATATACATTTAGAATAAAAATAGACCAGGGAATCTGCTCTCCGATTTACCAAAAGTATCTGATTTTGATAATCCTGACCTGATTCCTCATCTGCAAAATTGTATTTAACTTATGTATTATCTGTACATAAAAAAATGTTTCATGCAATTGTGTGCTTTCTTCTTGAAGAACAGCATGCTTGTGATGCATCAAATGTGCTCCAGAATGAACTGTGTCAGAGGTGATGGTTCCAGTTCATATTTATCGAAAGGCAAGTTATCAATGACCATTGTCTTAGCATCAAATGCATCAAATGATTGGACCAAGTTTTGTTTTTTACAAAGGATGCATAAGTTGGCAATGAAGGTTATTGACAAAGCTTAATGTCAGTTATAAAAATGATTAGATATTCTAAATAAAGTTCTAAGGCATTTAACAAGCCTTTATATAAGATAGGGTGTCTAAGAATGAGAGAGCAGGGTACATCAACATAAAATGTATGTGTATATTATATACAAACAGATGAAGAATACCAGAAAAGAACTAAGTAAAATACCTCTGGCAGAACACCAGCAGTGTTGCATAAAGTACCATTGTCTGTTATGGAAACAATAATTGCTGGCTCTAAGTAATGAGGATTTCTCCCCTGTAAAAAGAAGAAGTTAAGTGATCCTGTTAGCTTATCAATAGAAAAACATAAGGGTGTTGCTAAGATTATTATGCTAAGATCTTTGTGGAAAGAGCATCAAACAGACTTTTGTTAGATTTTAAAGTGAATTTCAAACTTAAAACATTTTGCAGGAAATATGATTTCTGAACACATCAGAGCTTATGAAATCTCAACCTAATGACGGACATAAATTTTGTGATAAGTCCAATAATCAATAGAAAAATTACAAAGTAAAGCTTTAAAAACTGTAGCTAAAATCAATAACAGACTTACCATTCCATAGTTATCAATGCCAGATTGAAGTCTGTGTAAATTCAAAAGGTTGAAACTCTCTTTCAGAGCTGGACCAAGACCAGATAAACTTGCAGCTTGCAAGCCTTTCAGTTCTTCCAGAAATGTTGCTGGGCTTTCTCTCCATCCAGCCTTTAATTTAAAATATATTCATTATACATATGCTTGTAATGAAAACTGCCATTTATAGATCTGTCATAAACTGCTTGAGGCTCTATGGGCAGACCTGTAGACACTTTTGGCATAGAATGGGGCAGCTTTCTAAGTTTCAACTCTTAGTTTCAGGGTTCTAAGACGAAAAGTCTCAGGAAAGTGTTTTCTTTGAGTTTAAATATACAATACATACACTGAAGTTGAAATGAACTTTGCTTTTTTCCTGAAGTATATATACTGCTATGCAAAAAGCAAAATTGAAAATGTCTTGATGCTTTATACAAAAGGTCAGTGAATGACCTATCATCAAATGATACACTTAACACCGTTAAATTTTTAAGTAGCGTGTCAAAGTGGAAATATGTCACATACTGTTCTCACTTTTCAAATGAAATATTGCAGACTAAAATATCCCAATACATTTAAATATGCATAAAAGAAATGGTTGGGAAAATGCTTAAATATATCTACACACTGTGATATCATTTCTGCATTCTGCAGAAGGAGTATCTACACACTGAAATATCATTTCTGCATTCTGCAGAAGGAGCAATTCAAAGATGCTGGCTTACTCCATAGGCTTGAAGTGTCATTGAGTTTATTTTGAACAGTGACAAAGAGGATTTGAAGGCATTTTGCTTCTTTCAGTGTGAGAAAGCCTTTAAAACTAGTTGAAAATACATACTGGCTAACCCTAGCAAATTTTCCATGATATACCAAGATTCTAGACTCTCAGGAATTACAAAAGCCTACCACAGCTTCAAAGCATGTGTCTATATAATTGTGATAAGTCTCCTTAGCTTACATCATACAAAACGCAAACCAATTTATCAGTCTGCGGGAAATACTTGGCAAATCAAATGAGATCTACCAAAGGCGAGTCAGAAATCTACCAAACAAACTTAAAAAATTATTAAGGCATTAAAAAGTGCAGCAGGCTGTAAGATGAAATGTGGGCTAACATAGAAAAAATTTCTATTTTGATCAAGGCTTTGATGTTTAATATAAACTACAGAGATTGTTCAAGAAAATGGACATGCAGGTAGGGCAAGGAAGCAAAAAACCTTGGACTTATAACTGCAGAACATTTAAATGATATAAGTAACTATTTAGCATTTAATGTATGAAACCGGAAGGATCTATGTTACTGGAGACTAAATATTGCCCGAATTGGCTTCAAAAGTATGCGGAATTTTGAGCATTTTGTTCTAAAACATCTTTAGCAGCCTTCTATCTCAAAAGCAGGTTTTTTAAAAGCTTCTGTCAATTATGGTGCTCTAATAGGGTAGGGAAGTCGCTGATTGCGATGGATCTCAACAGATTTTTGCAAATGAAAGAGCTCAAAAATCTCCTCACCCTGAGAGAACTCAAAATTATGGGTAAGTAAACACAAGTTACCTGCAACAGCATTCGTTGCTTATGAAAAAATGCCCCAGTTATGGAAACAGCAGCAAGTACTGCCTTCTAAAATCTTCATGCAGACCATTGCAAACAATCTTTGATGTACCATTTAAGTTTTGGATATGCAGAGAGAAAAAAATCAGGCAGCCATAAAGTCTATTTCGCATTGAGGCAGACATAAGGATGGAACTTTCAAATCCATCTTGTACCTGTTAAAACATCTAATCCATTCATGTATCTTATTAGAATTTAACTTGAAAGTCAAAGAGGTGAGAAGGGGAAAAGGACATAAGCATCGGCAATCATTCTTTGTAAACACTCTATGAATGTTGCAAATCTGTTTTTCCAAAGTTTTTGCAGGCAGTTTCTATTTTTGCAGGAAATGATGCCATAATTTCCATTGACCATATTTGAAACAGGCCTAACCCTGCCAAGCCTCCGAGAGCACAACACCTGACAGAAGCTTTTAAAAAACCTATTTTTGAGACTAAGACTACGGAAGATGTTTAGGAATAAAATCCACAAAATTTTGAATACTTTTGATGTAAATTCGTCCTGTGATTAGTTTGAACCCTAATTAGTAAAAGCCGTAAACAAAGGCCCATGATAATTTTATCACCCAAATTCTCACCCCAGTCTCTTCAAGTAAATTAAGCGTGCAGAGATCGAAAAGGTGTATTGAGCATGATCACAGAGTAACTGAGTGGACATTGTTACGAGCAGGTAACAAAATTTAGAATAAACATACACTTTAGTCTAGGATACCCATAAAGAAATACATGAAATAGAAGAAATACATGAAGAAATATCATACTGTACAGTTTTGTCTTTGGTAAAAAAGCAAAAGGAGGGTTAAAATTTGTCCCCTCATTTAGGCCCCCTCCACCAACATACAGTGTTGGATGTTATGCAAAATTTTCCATTGCTAGAAATATGATTATTTTTTCTTTTGATAATCTTTTCTAGTTGAAACAAGAACAAATCATTTGGGAACATGTGTTCTCCAAGTGTCGGCTATTAAGATGATTTGATGAAACACATTGCACAGTGGTCTTCATGGACAGATGCTTCTTTTATGTCTTAAAGAATCAATATTCTCAAATTTTGTACACAACCCATCTCAACTGAAAGTAGTTATTCTGAAAGAACAATTCTAACCAGCTGCTAGAAATCTATTCAATGGCATATTTTCCAGTCTTAGTTATGCAAATCTTTAGATAATTCAAATGAAAGATATTTCGCAATAAAAGCAAAAATATGTTTTCCTGAATTAGCAACCTTCCTAAGTGGCAACTTTTACCACAACTTTCATTGCTCTTTAATCTAATCAGATAAATCTATATGGGGAAAATCCCAGTTACAAACTACTTTATGCCCATAGGTAGAAGCTTTGAATTCTGCTAACTGATTTTTTACTTTTCTAATTTGCTAACTGTAATTTTACATTATTATCACCAGCAATATCTTTGTATCTCATAAAATTGTTCAACGATATTGAGTTATGAAGACAATAAACTGCTAATTTAACATAAAATTAAAACATTGATATTATGAAAGTTGTTCTAAAAATGGCATTGATTAACCCAGGTGGTTATAAAGGTAAGTTTCAAAGCTTGCAAGTTGTTGGATGTGAATTAAGATAGTCCAGACTGACCTTGCTTGATAAAAGCACTTAAAAAAGAAGAAACCAATACAGGGTGGTGATAATTAACAGAGAAGTTATTTTTAGCCAATCTGACAACTCAAATAGAAAAAAATCAATTTTGGTTGAGTAAAGGTTCTTTATAGCTTCACACAATATTTTATATGAGAAAGTTCTCATTATTAAATATAACACTCAATTTAACAATGCAATCTTGTTTAACTTTTGTTCATTTTTTAAATTTATAATGAATAAGAATTTAGACATAAATTTCACGTTCTAGCCATTGAAAAGGGTATTTTCTTCTTACTCTCAGACTGCACTTTACTATCAAACTGCAAAAATACTTAGAGATAGCAAGAAACTATATGCTCTTTTTGCAAAGAAATGTTTTAACTCCATTTGCATGATTCATTGTGACATAATGTGTCATTTAACTTTGTGGGATATTTAGCATTGCAAAGGTGAGACAAAGTGAGTGCCTCTATGAGCCTTGGAAAAAAGGATCTTTGGTGGATAGTTATTCAAGTTACAAAATAAAAGGTATGTGAACATAGGTTATACTCAAGAGGTACCTCAAAACATACAAAACTAAGCTTGTATGGAAATCTTCTAAATGCTACAGCATCTTTCCAATATTCAAGCTAAATGATTGTCAAAAGCTACACTTTAAGCCCCTATAGATTTTAGCAATAATATTTGAAATAATTCTCCAGCATTTTACTGTTCTAATCATTTTTTAGCAATTTCCTTAAAGACACACAGAAGATTAAAACATAGGGATCCAATGGCTATGTACGAAGAGTATGTCTGGTACATAATATGAGCTCAGTAAAGAGCTGTAGCAAGAAGGATTGGGCTTTTCTATGAAGATGTTTATAAAGAAAAAATATCAGAATATAGGGTGTCGGCTTAATCTACTCTTGTTTACATGGGGGTGGGGGATTATTTATTTTTTCGGTCATGAAGGGGGGGCTTATTTGAGATGGGAGCTTATCAATTATTCAAAAAAAACATATTTTAAAAATGCCACAATGCTCTGGGATTTCTTCGAAAGAAGCAATATTAGTATCTACTTGACTTCTAAGACGCACAAAGAAATCTTTACATGAGCCATGTTTCATGCACAATCATCATATCAGTCAAGAGAACCACTGAATGCCCATGGTTTCTTTGTTTTATCATCAGGGGCTAAAGAGGGGGTCTTAATGAAGAGGGAGGGCTTCTTTTAATTTTTACATGGTAATGGGGCTTAATAGAGAGAGGGCTTAATAGAGAGGGAGGCTTAAATATGCCGATTTACAATGATTTACAGAGATTTATTATCATTTGAGCTGATCCACTATGACCTTCATAGATTTATCATGACTCAGGATGATTGCCAATCACTCACAATGATTCACGATTATTAACACTGCTTCATGGTGATTAATGCTGATTCACAACCATTTGCATTCATTTACAATAGTTCATGATTATGCTGAGATATCGCAAACTTGAAGAGTTTATTGTTTCATTCGGCGTTTTATAGTTAGAAAAGGGGTTCATGGTCACTGTTGTAAGATTCTGAAGCTGAATTTTTTAATTGCGTCACATATTCTGAAAGTCTCTTTATGACCCATCCATCTAGGCACTGTTCCATTGATAAAACAGCTTTATCAATAATTGTAAATTTTATCGAAAAGAAAACCTTATTTCCCGCAATAGCCATTTCTTCACTTGAACGAGTGCACAATTGCTGAATTGTGTGCTGCAGCTTCATTTGAAACTGTGCCAACTTCTCTTTTGCCACGGCCAAAATAAAAATTTGCAAAATTGACTTGCTGATGACATTGAGTCAACATCATTTCGTAGACGCGAGCAATAGAAAGCAGGACAATAATTAGAGGAAAATTGGAATTTTTCGTGTAGCATTCTATTACGGAAACCGTGTCATTTTGTTGGTTACTTACTTACTTACAGGGTCCCCCACTCCTATATGTACTTATTCTTCGTACATAAAAATGACTTAAGCCAGGGGCCAGGGCAAGCTAAGAATAGACAACCAATGAGAGTTGGTCATGTGATTATGCATGTGATTTCTTCTCAATCTTCTGAGTTGTTATCTCAAAACTCTCAAACAATGCAACAGCTTGCTGTTTGATAAAAAACCAATAGGTGTGAGATGTTTTACAGTGTATAGATAAATCCATTAAAAATTTGTACAAAGAATAAACAGGGATGTCACTGTTTGGCAGATTGCAATTTCATCTGTGCAGTTGCTCCAGAAAGCTTCAACAACTGAACTATTTCTAAACAAAGTTTTATATCAGTGGTGTGTGAATGGGTTTTGTTTGGTTTCAAGTAATCTTGTGATGCATCTTATCACGTTTTTATCAACTTCTTTAAAATATCAAAAACTTGACTTTTGTGAACAATCTGTTGACAGGTGCAAAACCACATCCCCTGATGATATTGTAAATGCTAACCAAAGTTGTCATGGTAACAAAAGTTTATTTTAGGATTTGCTCAGCCAGCCCTTCATAAACTGAAGACTACATATACACATAAACTGAATAAGATAAGATAAAAGTAATTTTGGAAAGAGTGCCATCATACAGTGTGTGCCAGTTCTTGATGAGATCTCATGTTGACATTAACTCTTTCAAAAATAGCATTGAATCAAAACAACAGTGCAAAATGATATTTTTCATTTTTGAGCAATATTCTGCAGACTGGGTGTTACCCTATAACTTACTCCTTCATAGCCAAACTGAATTTCTTTTAAAAAAAATAAAACTTTACATCATATTGAAAATATCTCTCTTCTGTTGTGCATGGTGTGAAACTTAAAATTTACCACAAAAAACTGTACCATAGCAAACATTCCTTTTTATTCATTTGTTTTTAGAAAAAGTTAAGAAAAACCATAATAATGATCAATATCAAAATGAAAAGTGATAATAAGCATCATGATCGACTTTTGTTCTATGCAATTTCATAATTACATGAAAAAAAATTAAAATAAAACATAACCCTAATTTCATAAAAATTTTTTCGTATTTAAAAGTTTCTTTATATTAGAATATGGCCAAGATTGTTTTTCTAGATTTCAGTAATCGTCTGCGAGAGCAGCAAGGTACCTCTCCAACATCCTTGCTCCAACAAAACCTCTGACGGGGGTAATCATTGACATATCATAAAGATATGCTGTTGGCTACAATCGCTAACAAAATTTACCTCGAAAGCCAACATGGAACCCTCCATGCAAAAATTATGAGCTGCAACACTATTTAGTGATTAAAATTGCCCAATGAATCTGGAAAATTCAGGTATCAAAGATCCAAGAACTAACTAAAGAGTTCACATGCATTACAGGAACACTCTGTTGGTACCATTGTCATCGTATTGTCCCGAAGTTCTTATAAATACGCCTACACCTTTTAAAAATAACTTTTGAACGAAGCAAATTTGAAGTGAAGAAATAGACGGACCAGGGATACCCTTGGGTAAACACCCCCGTCCATTGCCCTCACCTTGATGCAGTTTGGCGGCTCGTCGAATGACACCAGCATGTAACGATCTCCTCGAGCGGCCTGGTCCCGCGACCGAACCTAAGTGAAGAATGGAATGTATTTTCATCACTTTGTTTTCCAACTTTATAGGCAACCACCAATTTTGAATCGAAAGGCCGAACGGCCTAAATGAGACAAACAGAAAAAGAGGGGGCCTACTTTCATAAAGGACTCCACAGCTCCCTTGGCGATATCGAGATACGTAGTGCCAAGGTACGTCCTTTGATTCATAGACGCACTTGTGTCTATAAGAAATAGTATCAGTACCATCGATAAGACTGTTGAACATGATCATAATACAACATTGGTTTGCTTGGACCTTTTAGGCCCTTTGAAGAGGGGCATACCTCCAACCTCCTACCTCGCGTCAGACACGTATCTAATGAAAGGTTTTCTGGGCGCAGCTTGATAAATTGAATGGTTGATCACGTGCCGCCGCAAACTTTCTCATCATTGGCTAGTTGATTCGTTACCCAAGCTACTATGCGGGCTGAGTAATATTGTTTTCTGCTGTTATTGATCGATTCTTGTGATTTATGTTGGTTCTTCCTGATTGGCCTCTTCTATAAAAGATGTTCGAAACTCGAAACTGTTCGTAACCTTCCTAACTCTATGTTCGTAACAGAGTAGTGCAGGCTACAGAACATTTGGTAGAGGGCTGGTACGAAGGCTTTTCAAAACATTTTCTTCTACTAAAGAAATCTTTTAAGACAGCTTAGTTATTCGTGGCAACAATGGCGGCGCCAGCCACTAAGCTCTGGGAGGGACAAATCAAAAAAATTTAAGCCACGCCCTTTTAACCACCAGAAAACGCCCTTTTACCAACAGGGAACAATAATTTTATCCGAAAGGAACGCCTATGACTAAATTTTGTTTGAAAATTGGCAGTTTGAAAATCATAGGAGTACAGCACAAAAAGTACGGTGTCAAAATAATCCCCCTTCCCCAACATTTTCTCATCGAATTTAGACGAAATGCAAAATCGATTCTGCTGAGGACGTGTCCCCCCCGTGGAACCGCTACTTCGTGGCAAAAATCAAGCACAATGTTGGCCCCATGTTTATTGTTTCTTAATTCATTCATTACGGGGCGTGGTGGAAATTTTTATGGGCCGGGAAAATAAAGTTTATGATGTTGATTGTTCCTTGTTGCTATCACTTATAATATGTTGGAAATGAGCATCATGGTGGCAGAGTGGGGCCTTACTTCATTTGTTTTTTTCTCAGAAAGCTGATTTTACAAATGATAAAAGCTTGAATGAAAGAAAAGTCCACATGAAAAATTTTAAGAGGAGAGTTTAGACACGGAAATGTATGTCTTTTTCTCCGATTATTCAAATTTACCTAGGGAGAGCCTCCCTCCTCGATTAGTTTACCTATTGATGGGGCTAAGTGAATCCTTGCTTACAATTCATTTGTTCCTCTGTTGATATTTGTATCGAGTAACATGATTTATACCATTGTAGTCTACTTATATATTTTTCTATATGTATTGTTAATATTCTAGAATTGTATGTAATGGAATTTAAACTATAAATCTGAACTGAACTGAAGAGGCCAACCGACCAACTGTTGCATTGAAAAACTAATATTTCTTTAATTGTTTTTGGATTTAACAGACTTTCCAGGCCTGTAAAATTCATATTTTGACACTTTCTCGACTTTTTGCAAAATAATGGAGCTTTTTTAAAAAATCTTTTGTTAAATTTTCCTATACCCCCCTCCCATTTTCCAACCTGTGTTGGAGCCCATGTCTCTTAGTTTTCTCGTCCATTCAAAAAATAATAAATTTCTCGACTTTTTTGACACCTTCATGATATCATGATTCGTGTTTAAAGAACACGTAGTCGGTTTGGCAAAGGATTTAGTCCAATCTGATGCTTACGAACTTATTGATACTGTAATAATACAAATTTGGACATAGTTTATTTTGTTATTTGTAACCATACACTATTATTACGTTAATATGTAACTATGTGGTATTTCAATTAGTTCTTGCTTATGTTATATTTTGAGCATGCTACTTACTGGATAAATGCGATAAGGTGGTAAGCTTGACTAAATATTCATTTTGAAACCCCTAATACAATACTGTCTGTTGTACCCAGTGATGATTATGGGGGACGAAGGGGGCGGATTTGAAACTATTTTGATTTTCTGGGGAGGACTGGTTTGGTTTAAAGAATGGTGTGACAGAATCACAAAAACTTGTTACGAAAGAAAATAGCAGCCTTGAAGCTTAAGAAGCAAAATCAATAGGAAGATCGATAGAAACATTTAATATCAAAGGTCCAGACAAAAATAAAGAGGTAACAGAAATGTGTTTTCGAATAGCATACTTTTTTGTCTAAAAAACCGTCTACTCTTAGATTATCCAGACTTGATTGATCTCCAAGAAAGGAATGGTAATTCACATCCTTTCGGTATATGTGATAAAACCAACTAATGTATTTTTGACATTTGCAAACATCCTAGCCAAGAGGCACAATGTACTTCTTTGGCGTTGAAAATATCATTGCATATTTCTGATGGTGCGCGAGTAAAAAAAAGTTTTGGAATGAAATTGAGATTGACAGAACTTTTTTCTGTGATATTAAGTTGGCACTGCATGAATCGTAGATCAGAGCTTGCGGTTTTGGATAATGTCCAATCTATTGATTCGTTCTGTTTTGTAGAAAGTCTATTCAACAAAATTGGAATTTGTAGATGTCGCTGTGATTAAAGATTGACTTGGAAAAGTTTTCATATTGTCTGCACTTTTTCAGAAAACTGATAAAGGCTTCTCCGTGGCTAATGGTTATTTAAAGTATACGACTACCGTAAATCCTCGAATTGCCCCCCCCCCTCGGATAAGCCCCACTCGAGTAAGCCCCCACCCTAGAACTACATATTGTCAATCAGCCCCCCCCCCTCGAATAAGCTCCCACAGCACCCACGACAAATTCATACTTTTGGTAGTAATTAATAAAATGCTCATAAAGAAATTCCTTTTTAAATAAACGAGGTCTTTTAATAATGTCTTCTTAATGTCTACAATAATCTTATAAGCCTCCCCTCATATAAGCCCCCCTCGAATAGGCCCCCATCCAAAAATATCAAAAATAAATAAGCCCCCACGGGGATAATTCGAGGATTTACGGTAACTGTTTGGAGAAGATCATGTTTTCTATCACTGAGGGGAAATGCTCTTTTATCAAAACATTTGAAAATGATTTTGCTTTCAAAGGAGCCTCTTTGCTCAACTTGAAACTTGAAAGCAGATTTACTGACTCTTCGTTCAAGATAGACCAGTTCTTACAAAGTTTAATTGACAACATTAAAGAAATAAGGCCCCACATTGCCTCCGCAACACTATTTCTTGATTTTCCGACCCATAAAAATTCCCATCATGCTCCTGATTAGGGCGTTATTTCTACGGCAATCTCCAGTGACGCATTTTCCCATAGGTCCAATGGGCCTGTGCCCAGAGGCCCCCTAAAATTTTTCGATTTAGGGGGCCCCGTGCAAAATTTTAGAAGCCTTTTAAGTGCTCTTGATTTCAATCTTGTGTTTGAATGGAGCTAGGGGCCTCTCAAAGTAATTAAATTCATTTTAAGAATAGAATAAAGAGCGTGACTGCAAGAATTTTCAGCACGCTCCGCTCGCAGGGGGCCTCATATTTTGTTTTTACCCCAGGGCTTTCGAAACTTTGGCCTGTCCTGGTTAGAGCTTCCCCAAATGCAATGACTGCACTTAGTTTGTTGCTCAATTTGCCATACAGAGGTTTCTTCGGTGAAAAATGTTTCACCATGCTGAAAAGGGTAAATAAAAAGAGTGTGAGCTAAGGTCCACAATGTCAAAGTAGCTCGTTGTTTCCTTATGTTTAATGGCAGCAGATTTTGATGTCCTGAGAGTTTTAAATTTCAATGAAATCATCGAAAAGTTTTCAGCAGTTGAGTAGTTTTATTGGGAATGTACTGAAATGTGAAATGGATACAAGTTTATTCGCAGGGACGTAAACAAGTGGCTAATTTTGGGGTGTCGTGGAAGGTTGAAAATTCCAACTTTACCTGATAAATTTTTTCTTTCAACCTGTTAATCATCTGTACCTACTAAATTGATTTGGAAATAGTCTTATTCCAGATTTTTAGGTTCTGTATAATTACCAACATTTTACTCATAATAATTAGTCGTAAGCATAAAAACACTAAAGAAGATAAAGGAAATCTCTAAATTTTGATTAATGTAACACGAACATTTAATATTTTTGTAAGATATAAAGCAACATCAAAGCCATACCAGTCTAGATCTTGGATATGTTTAGTGTTTAATGATAAAAAGTAATATTCTTTCAATTCAATTAACAGCAATTCTGTTCATTTTCTGCTTTGCCCATCTTAAAGCTATTTGCTGCAAATCTTTTTAACAATATAGAAACATCAAGGAATTGAAAATTTTATCTTTTGTTCTTGATTGAAGAAAATTTTTTACAATTTTCAAAGGGCTAAATGTCCTTTGTTTTTTGGAACTAAAAAGGGTGATCTGAGGGCAAGTGCATATGCCCGAATCGTAAGATAAAACACTCTTCTTTGACCAAATACTTCTGCTGCATCTTTTTTGATCAATGTTTTGTGGCTTCTCATTAGCATTATCATAGCAATTTATGATAAGATTCAAGGAGGTCTACAAAGTGCAGGAGGAGCTTAGCATACACCCGTTAAGAAGCGTTGAGAATTTCTAGAAATGAAACATTTTTAATGTTTTCAATTGAATTGGCTACTCGTTGTTTCTTAAAAAATTCCCACTTTCAATTGTTCTGATCAATACAGGGAATGATTTTTCAAAATATCAGGCTCAATCAATACTGATGGTAAAATTTAAAATTCTTATCCAGAAATTCACTTTGCCTGTTTAAAATAATCCAATTCAACAACCCCTGTCAAAAAGAAAACAAGAAGGTGCAATTTGAGATCCAGTGGAGACAGGTCTTCGCAATTAAAAACGATTAAAGATGTGCCTGCTCCAGAGCTTGAATTTTAATAAGATCTAAGATTTTTACATTTGAAATCCCAAAATCCTAAGCTATAAAATTCACATATTTGGTCATAATAGTTAGAAAAATTCCAAGTGAACATTTTAGTTTTCCAACTGCAGTTGGATTTTCCAACCTTTGGGGCGGGCGTCACACCCCCCACGCCCTCTATTATTAACGTGCCTGTTTATTCGTGTCTTATAGTTGTGCACGTGAAATAATTTTTTTGGTATATATTAGAGGGCCCCACCCAATCAACTTTGGGCCCAGGACCCCAACAGCCCTGGCATGCGCCCCTGGCAATGTAATATGAGTTATTGTAATAAAATGTAATAAAAGGCAGAGATATTGTGAGGATATCCTAAAATTATGACCATTTGAACCAGAGGCAAAACATTCGTTTTAATTGAATTGCATGTCTTTAGTAAATAATTGTTTATTTAAGGATTTGCAAAAGTAAGGAAAGGAAATCACGTCAATACAGTACAAAAGATAATAAAACTACAACGTAACAATTGCAAATCTACATACGGATCGTGAAATCAGTAATGTACAAATCATCACGTATTTGTTTTCCAAAAGCATAGAAAAACAAGTAAAAATAAGGAACATACTGTTGCCAAATTGTTTCAAACCTAACCTTAAAAAGACATTTCATTTTGAAACTCTCGAGTATGCGTACGTTATCAAGTGTCTCCAGCATTTTTTAAAGCCTTGTTGATCGTTTTAACTTATAGTCTGGAATCCAAACTAATTAAATAAACAGACCCTTCATTTTAATCCATGTAAATCTTTTATTGATTTGAAATTTATTTATAAATTCATTTCAAATGTACATTGAAAGGCAGGGCAGATGGCATTCGGCTCAGCAGACAATCATGCTTATTTTCAGAATGGAATTTATCAAACGTAACAAAAGTATGCCTAAAAATAGTAAAACGTTTTAAATGAATGCAAGAAAACGACGTCTACAAATATTTTGAAATGTGTTAAAAGTTAGCCGAAAGGGCGTGGTCGTAAAAAATTTCTAATCGCTTAGCTCACATTGGGCCTCTAACTTCCGATTTTCGAACATCTAATTCCTATATATATTGCAAAAAAAATGAAAAGCCAAACAATTTCATCGTCTCGTTATTTTTCCTTTTTTTTGTTAAGGTTGTACCATCATTTTAAATAGTAATTATCATAAATTTAACTATTCATAAATTTTATTTGATTATGGATCCCTGGAAAGCAGTAATTAAAAACTGAGTTGATGACCATGAACAAAAAGTAGCAAATGTATTGAAAAGAATAACAAGATAATCATACTCCAGTGCTTCTTTCCTTCAATTTCACAATTACCTTTTTTTGAAACCTTTCTAGACGTTATAAATCGTCTTTTTGAAAGTTTGGTTGACAATGTTAATGCTGACAGGATTTTCATAGAGACAAATAGCGATCGATCGATGCTCTCGAATTCTTTTATAAAAACCACTGTGCACAGGAATCGAACAAGCACCCAGTCACAGTAAGCCTACTCTCAGCTTGAAAATTAAAGAAGCGCCAAGGCGGCTTAATCGTTTATTTACGGTAAATGACAAAACTCTAATAATCAATCAGAAAATAAACAAGAAAATATTTCACCTTCCAAGGTATACCAAAAGTGTATGAATAGTATCCTTGAGATTATCAGCATACAAACAGTGACTTAGACTACAAAATGTTTACAAGAAATTTGGGCTTATCAATTAGACCTAGGCCCGATTTAGCGATCAGATACAAAATTAGACAAATGTATTCAAAACAGAAAATAGTTTTATTATTCCAAAATGTTTTACCATCAACAAACCGAATATTGACAGTGCCAGTTATTGGTTGTAAAAAGCTCCGTGTATAATAAATTAAAAAACAAGCCCGAATACAGGAGATATTAGCTGTTATAATTATAGTTGGGTTGGAAAAGCTTAAAAAGTTCCAAGAGTTAAGGCTAAAGGCAAAAATATAGAGGGTGAAAAATCTACAAAGCCAGAACGTTTTAGCTTTGGTATGGCTGTATGGTTGAATAACCATCTTAGAGAAAGGATACAGGTATACAAGTGTCCCAAATACATATAATTGCGACATTATACACACAGAGTAAAAGAGTGCCCTTTTACAGTTAGGTTCCAGGGTGGGCACTTATTCGAGGGAGGCGCAAAATCGAGGGGCGCTTATTTAAAAAGTAGATTTGGGTGCAAATTGTGTTGTTCATTAATCTTTCCTGTTGAATTGCCTTCCAATTATGTTGAAAATTCGAACAAGCGTCCGTTTCTGAAGGTTGAAGGATGGGCGCTTATTCGAGGGGTGGGCGCTTATTCGAGGGGACTCTTATTTGAAGGAGGCGCTTGTTCGAGGCATTACGGTAACTTAATATTCAGCAAATACATCGGACGTGAAAATAGCGCAGGAAAGCCTTCCTGGCAATTTCTAAAAACTAAGCAAATTGATCGGTTTCCTATGTGAGGCTTGATAGTGGCTATTAGAGAGTAGTTATGTGCTGGAGATTAAAGAACAGTAGAAAGAGACAGATCTCGAACTTCTAGTTGAAGGTTTGCGTCGATGACCCAAGTGTTGAAAAAAGGGGCGGCGTCTTCAAAAATCCAACAAAAAATAAACAGGAGGGGGAGGGGGTGGCGTTGATTCGCGTCCTCGTCGTATGTAGTGAATGTCTCCAACTATAGCATTTCAGCTTTATTGTACTTTATCGAAGTTATGGCTAGCAAGTTAATGTGAACAGCTGGTCAGTACAGAGGGGCTGTTGTGCTTTTAGAAATACACGCATATACAAATATTTAGTTTTAAAAACATAAATTATGGCTGAAATTATTCCCGTTGAATCTTATAATCCCTCATAATGCATAAAATAATGATCGAATTCACATCAGTTGCAATACAAAACGTTAAAAATAAACTGCAAATAGTAAGGACGTGTCGATGTACGTATTTTTTCTCATCAAAAGTATTCCTTGTTACTTTTATTGTAAGGCGTTGTCGTCTCTAATACTCGAGATTATAAGGCAGGATTTGAAGCTAAGACCTTATGCAATTAACGGCATAGTCCATTTTCGACCAACAAGGGTAAGAAAGAACAACCTATCCAAAAATTAAACTACTATAAAACCTATTTTCAAATATGAAATCAATGTAACTTTGAAAATCTGGAACTTTAACAACAAAATTTTGAAATCAATTAACAATATGATTAAAATTTTAACAAGAACTGAAATTATTCCGGAATAGTCCATAGGAAATGCAAAAAGTGTTTCAATATGCACGAAAAATGCTCTAATCTCCTAAGCTCTCAGCAAAAAGGTCTTAGCAAAAGTTAATTCATTTAGACTACTTTCTGTTGTGATGTTGAAATCTTCTGGTGATAATAACATCATTTAATCAGAATATTATCTCCAAAAAGGAAAAGCCAAAGTAGATAAATCACATTTGTGACAAAAATAAAATGAGATTTTCTGTTTCTCTACAACTGTCTCTTTTCTGGTAAGAAACTGATGCTATATTCTTTAACAGGCAATTGTGCAAAGTTTGTGAGAGTTTAGACAACTAGGGGATCCATCCAATCAACATATCCAGTTAATGAGGGCAATTAAAAGGGATTTTTAAGCAAATTGCTAGCAGCTAGAAGAAATGCTACTTTTCTCAAAAGCACCAACAATATCCTTTATCTTTAATAAAAAAATCAACAAGGAATGTTAAAAAATCTAGTGAAACATTATACATCATAATTAATGTGCATTGAAGAAAAGTGATCAAAAATCAATGAAATGATAGTTACATACGATGTGCATACCTCAGCAATGCCTTCACCCATTGTCTTGCTTCTTCCACTGTCTCTGCCTTGAGCTGCCAATCTCTGTCTTCTGCCTCAATGCATATTACCATTTGATTCTCAAACTCTTGTCGTACAGGGCACCCTCTAAGATAAATTGATCCAACTGGCTTGCCTTGTTCTTTCTTGCTGTAAACCAAATAGCCAGATGCAGTTATTTCAAAGTATCGTCTGTCCCATTTTGGAGCCCTCTTTTTGCCACCACTAAGTTTATCAAGGAAACCCTGTTTGATAGGCTGCCTTGCAGAAACTTCAACAGCAATACCATGCTCTTCTGGTACCTGGCTTAGGTCAGGCATTGAAGAATGGTGCAATATCTCTGCCTCTTTCAACTCATATGACTTTGCTTTAGAAAAAACAGGTCTAATAACCTCTGCATCCGTCATAGAAACTTTTGGTGACCTTCCAGATGGTTCATATGTTCTTTCTGGCATAGGTGGTGGGCCAGGATGTGCCTCAGTTTGCTCTTCCACTGGGCTTTTAACAGTTTGACCTCTAATGGCATCATCTTTCCTTGGTTTTAAATTTGCCTTGTTTTCCGCAAGCTCATGAATAACTGGTTGGAAATTCTTTGATTCATCAATCTTATTCTTTCTTTCCATTGTTGAAATTTCTTCAGTGTGTGTTGCATCATCTGCAGCAAGACTGTTTGGCCTTTTAGACTTTCTTTTTCTCCTTTTTTCCTCTTCACTGAATGTCTTTTTAAGCTGCTTCAAAAACTCTGCCACATCATTGAGCCAGTTTTCAAAATTTGTTGTTGGCGATTCTCCAAATTTTTTCAGAAGTGAAGAGGAAACAATCTGTATTTCCTTGCATCTGTCTGAGACTTCATTTAGCTTTTCTGTGTATTCTTCAAGAAAAGAAGAAGCCTTGTCAAAAAACAACTTTTCATTGGCACTCAGATTGGATTTCCTGATTAACTCAATATTGTTTCCAGCCTTCTTCAAATCTGATTTCATAACATCAATCTCAGCTGCTAGACCTTTAATTGAGGCATCCATTGGTGTTAGCAACCCTGGTATTTCTTCAAAACATTTCAATGCATCAACGTCTCTGTCAAACAGCTGTTCAACAATAAACCGTAACAAATTGTGTTCTTTGTCAGAGCTACGAATGCTGACAAGTTTTACAAGGGAGCTCAATTTAAAGCCATATGCTCCACCTCTGGTTGTTCCTCCATTCAAGTAGTTTCCAACAGCAAGGACATATTCCAACAGATGCTCAAAACTTCTGCTACCTTGCAATGCCCTACAGGATTCAAGCAATGACAAGACAGGAGGTTTGATTTCATTATACTGACTTGGCACTTCCATTATTGTCAATAAGACATCCAACTTGCGGTTGAGATTTGGTATGTCACATAGTTTCAGCATAAACTGATCAACAAGAGCCAAAGTTGTTGCATCACCTTGGAAATTTTTATACATCTCAAGCTCATCTGTGTTTGGCTGGAAGCGCTTTAATGCTACAAGGTGCTCCAAAAGAAAACCTTCATCCTCATTAAACATTGTTAATTTTGACTCTATTTCTTCTGGATGAAGCTTAAAGCCGCTAAGAAATATACCAAGGTTCTGTGCCTTCTTGTTATCAAGCATTGTCTTATTCTGTGTTGATGCTTTTGACACAAGTGGAGTAGGATTTTTACCCTCAACTTGAAAAAGATTTTCTAATTCAGTGAAGTCAAAACATTCTGGCTTTTCCTCTGCACTTGCCCAAAATGAATTGGCAACTATCATATCTGGCACTTTTGTCCAAAACAAAGGTTTTAGTTTTTTGCTTGGTCTGATTTCTGGTTTTCGTGGAAGACCAAATCCAGCAACAGGTGGTGGGGGTGGTACTCCAGGTGCACCTGGTGGTGGAGGAGGAGGAGGTATCCCAGGCATTCCAGGTGGAGGAGGTGGAGGTGGGGGTGGTGGCACCCCAATTGCTGGTGCTTGAGGTGGTGATGGGTGTTGTTGAGGTGGTATTGAGACATTTGATGTTGATAAAGGTGATGAGGGTTGCTCTGTGGATAATGCTTCTTTACTCTCTACTCCCTTTGAAACCCCTAATGAAACACCTTTATCTTTATCAATGATCTCAGACTCATGTAACTTGCTTGAAGCTGTTTTACTTGGATGCTTTGGGGCATTTTCTGTATTTGCACCATGGGAAGCCTTTCTAGGTGGCAAAGGAGGAGGATGATCATCATCATAACCATCATCTGGTGAAACTGGTGCAACAGGTACTGCTGACTTGCTATCTTTGGCTACTTTTGCATACATCTCATTGACACTCAATGGAGAATCAAGCCCGCTTTCCTTTCTGTGTTCTTTTACAGTACCGGGCTCAACACAAGCACCATACTTTGGCGGCAAATAATGATGACCACCAGACTGTCCCTTTTGGTGCCCAAATTCATGTTTTGCTCCTTTGGTTTCATTGCGCATATCATAATTTTCCAAACCAGATGCCTCAATTAAAGCTTGTCTTGATTTTCTAAAGTCAAAACCATGGCTGACAGTTGAGACATGACTTCCAAATGCAGTTGCGTTTGCATTACTTCCATTACCATGGTATCCATTACCACCAGTGAGATGAATTTGGCTATAAGGATATACTGTGTGTTGATTTCTTTGATTTTGCTTTCTCGTATGTTCTTGAGCCATTGTTCTCATTGTCCAGGACAACAACCCTGTTTTAACCTGCTCATCTAGTTTGTGAACAATTTCTCTCACTTTTCTCACCTGAATTGATGCTTTGAAGGGAGCATCAACAATTGTTAGTATTGTATTAAGCTGCTCTAACTCTTCTTGCAATGTTCCAATCACCGACTTTAGAAACTTCTCTTGCTCATTTGCAATTCCAATAGGATCCTTTAATTCCTTGGCTCTGTTGGTAACTGAATTGAATCTAGTGGGCCTTGATGCTTCTTGTATAGCAATTATCCATTCATCCCTCATCTTTTCAATATCATTCCCTTGTTGGTATGATGAAGTTACTATACGAAAACTGTATTCTTTCTTGCCAGTTATAACTGCAAAACCATTATCATCAACCTTTTTGACAAATGATGCACCATGACCAAGTTGTACTACATTCAGTGCATTGTCATTGCTATTTTCGTCTCCAAGCTTAAAATACAATAACTCTCCAGCTCGAACACGCAAATACCTTTTGGCCCAGACTAGAGATGCTGCATTATGCCCTCTCTTCTCAATTACATCCTCCTTCAGAATATCACTTTCCAGCCCTCTTGATAAATATAAGCCATCTTCACTATAACCCTGTTGTTCAATTATGTAGTTTAGAAGACGAACAATTTTGTTCCTATCCTCAAAGCTATTTGCATCCAACTCAAATTCAGTGGTGTCATCCATTGTTATAGATAATCGTGTTGTACCATCTTCACTTTCTGCAGTTTTAAGAGATGAAAAGTCATACCTTTTGCTCCTCTGTCCCCTTTGAACAAAATACATGGTATGCTCAGGAAAATCTAACTGGAGCACACATTTTATTGATTTGTTGTTTTTGGAGAATCTGTGAACACCAAAATTATAAACTTCATCTCCTTTTATTTCATTTTCAGACTTTGTCTTAAAATCAACATCTTGATAGGGTGAAGAGTCTACACCAAGTCCTCTTGCCTCCTGAATAGCCTTATCGATCGACAATTCTCCCGCCTTAACCATATTCATAATTCGTATCCGTTCTTCATCCCCTGTTTTGAAGCTAACCTTTGTAGGCCGTTTAGGACCATAAGAAACACTGTTTGTTGTCCTGTGGGGCTGCGAATTCTTTGAAAATTCCATGGTGTTCGTTGTTGAACCCAAATAAAAGGCCTTTACTCTTGGAATATACTAGTAAACCCACTCCACTTCCATCCAAACTATACAAAGCGTTTCACCACTCGGCCAATGTTCAATGTCTGCTCTTTCACCTCTGTATCCCTCCCTTATTGGAGTTTTGGAGATGGTCCACAGGGCTGAAATGACTGACCATATCACTAGGCGACTGATAGTCATATGAATAGCCAACATCAAAGATCAATGGGTACCGCAGATCAAGCTTGTGTCATGCGGCTCCCAGCCTCCACGATGCCTATACCACAGAATAGAAAAAGGGCCTTTTTCCTATTCTGTGCCGATACTGTATTTATTGGAGTTTAATTTCAATTAGAAAGGAACTTTATCCATTTCTATTCCTTCGAGAAAGGGGGTAGCTGGCCTCTGGCGAAATGTAGAAATAAAGAACACCGCAACGCGCCCAAAACAGACAACAAAAAAGACAAGCAAATTAAAATAATTAAATAAACTAGTGTAGTGGAATTAGATATAAAAACGGTCTAACCCGGATAAAAATAATATAAAGCTGTAATTTGGCACATATGTTCTATACTAAGTTGGAAATGACCAGAAAAAAGCCCAATCAATTGGACATTGGGAATTCCTTATTTAGGCAAATACCATAATGGCGTACTGATCAGTAGTGGTTCAAAATTTTAATGTTGCTAAAACCCAGGGGCGCAGTGGGAGTTAACTTTTTGGGGGGGCAAAGCTGAAAATTTTCCGATAAAAGTATGATTTTTCCGACAAATTTTTTCTCAATACATTCCTTGAAGATTACCCTTGCTGCATATACTGCAACACTTGATACTACAATATCACGAATGGATCTTGAAATCGTTAACGAATGGATCGTTCGTTATACACTTTAAAGTTCAACAATAGCCTTTATTCTAACAAAACTTACCAAATATAAATCGCTATGAACAAAACTGCAACTAGTTATAAATTTACACCCTACAAGTCTTCTCGCTATACTAGACAATAAACTGTCACGTTAGTGTTTATAGCTGTGTATAGCAAAAAGGTTTTTGTGACAATTTTTAAATCGCATCATAATTACTTTGCATTTATTTATGCTAAACCTTAAATAGATATAACGCGTCCAAAATAATAGTTTTCTTTTAACTGAAATTTATATAAACTGTTACTCAAGCAGCATCTTTCTCAAAAGAGGTGTGGCAGCATACAAATCGATGATGTCACCATAGTCTATCGACTGTAAAATATCACTTTCGACGTTGATTGTTATCAGAGAGGAAAGGCGGTCTTGTCCCATCGTTGACCGTAGCCGATTTTTTTACAATCCTCAGCTTTAAAAAAGCTCTTTCATACTTTGTTGAACCTATTAGCAAAGTGACGAGAACCTTGTAAAGAAGGACCAGCTGTGGAAAGGCACTTTGCAGGTTATACTTATCATCAACTGAAGAACTGAATGGAACTAAAAAGTTTTCTCTTTCTCCTGCAGCCGGGAGAGGGTTGCAATTTTCCAAAATTTACGGTAATTATTGAAGAAAGAGCTGTAATCTTCTCTTAATTTTTCGTCATCCAGGCCGTAATTCTTCGCAACCTTTTTGAATTACACTGCACACAACTGCCTTTCAATTGTTTTTTGAAAACATTCAGGGTTGAGCAAAGCAAAATCTGTCAAAATCGCCTTATGAGACGTGAATCTTGTATTCATTGAGCTGATAGCTGTATCTACTATCACGATAATATACGGATTCCCTATTTCCCTCTTATTCATCTATGCAATTTTCCCCTGGCATCTTTTTCTTTCTGCGTATTCATCGCTCGACAAAATTTTCCTCTGCTAAGTCATGGCGAAAATATTAACTTTTTGCGTCTTCTACAACACCAGCGAATCCATTTCGAAATGAACTGAGTTGAATTTTAACTGTCGGAAATGGGAGTTTATAAAAAAACTGAGACCAGAGCGTTAATCTCCTTTACAAATTTCAGCAATGCGATGGTTCCGATAAATACTCTAATGAAAATAAGTAAGAAGGGTTGAGCATGCCCTATTTTACACCAGGTTTAAAAAAATATGCGACCTTTCGGACAGGATCGATGAAAACCTTACATTTTGTCTAATATTTCAAATTTTCCGACAAACGTTGGATTTTCCGACAATCCGACAAAATTTTTGCCAGGGGGGGCCCCCCAGCCACTGCGCCCCTGCTAAAACCACATAGTATGTACATCTTTTGAAAGATAATTTCATGCTGAATAACTTTTATTTAACAGACGTACCCTTAGAATATGCAAATAAGTGGTGATTGGGCAGAAAAAATGTGGGACGAGTGAATATTGAAAAGCGCGCGGAAAAATGGCTGATCCTTTTGCTGAATATTTTCATCTTATATCTCAAATTCTATCGATGCAAAATCAGTAAGTGTGTGAATAAGATAAAGTATGATAATACCCACTCAGTCCGAGCTGACTTAAACCGGGCCCATTCAACGCGGGCCCACTCAGCCCGGGCCCACTCAACCTGGGCCCAAAACAAACAACAACAAAGACAAGTAAATTGGGAAAATATGAGGACAAAGTACGATGATATATCGTCAAACTTTCGTAATAATTCTTCAACATAGTCGTCTGTCAATTTGGATCCCGCTGAAGCATTAAGAAAACTCGAGTACTCAACATCGACCTTTGTTTCTTATAAAAAAATGAGTGTATACAAAATTTTCAGCCTAACCAAACAAAGAAGGGCTGTTGTCCAATGGGGCCACAGGCTTACTGAGCTATATTATAGAACATTTATAAATTTAAATGATGCTCTATTTGGGGGGGGGGGGGTGCTGGAGCCACCCAACAATTTTCAAGATGTACTTTGTTTCCTTTAAATAGTTAACTGAATGTGAAGCAGTACAATAGGCACCCCCGAAATACAAATTTTGTCCCGATGACACTGTGTCGAAGATAGAACAACACACCTGAACCTGAAATTAGTCAAACCAAAACTTGATGTATAGTTTAGAAATTACCTCCTGCATCTATTAAAATTTTTTTGAACTGATTGAAATCTTTTGAGGGGAAAATTTTTGGAAGGTCATGAGGGAGAGGTGTTTCCGGCGAATAATCCTTGACATTTGTGAAGAAAGCATGACAGGGATCCCTGCTGACAATCTTTCCGGTTTGCACACGTGGGCACGACAAAGTGTTTTGTATATCTGCTGCCAAAATTGAACAATTTCTTCTCGTGTCCCCAGGGTAACTCGTTTTTGCATAAAAATCCTTGGACTATTCAATGTTGAGAGTGGGTTGTCCTCTGAGCGGTACTGACAAAGTTTAGCAAAATGGGAGACGTCGTTCCTGGCCATATGGAGTTTGAAATGGCATCATCCTTCGAGTACGATATCTTTAATTTTCCAGAAGCAAAGAGAACGTACGAGCAAGCTGTGTTAAAGGGCCACAAACTGGCTCAGTTCAACCTGGGTCTTTGGTACTTGTACGGAAACAGACCTGGTACTAAAAAGAACCTCATAAAGGCAAAGGAGTTGTTTCAGGTTTCTGCTGATCAAGGCCTTGGCATTTCTATGTATAACCTTGGAGCTTTGTACGAAAAGGGCGAAGGAGGTTTGCCCAAAGATGAAAATGCTGCTTTTAAATTATATAAAAGAGCTGCAAAGGAGGAAAAGGACTGGCCAGAAGATGGTAAACAGCGTGTATATATGAAGCTGTCCCAGATGTATCAAAGTGGAACTGGAACAGCAAGGGACATTCAAAAGGCAGCATACTGGATGGAAAAGGCAAATGAAGAGAAAGCATTGCCAGCTCAAGTTATGACACTGATGAAAATGTTACAGCAATTGGATCCAGGTAGGCATGGAGATATTATGATTATTGATTTGACATATTATCCAAATTAGTGAAATTTATATCTCCTGTAAGATTTATTTGCAATGCATTCTTCTTTCCTTTTTCCATATCAAATTATACTTATAACTATAACCATTTTTTTTCCATATTTTTGACAATATGAATAGGCACTCCAAATAGCCCCCCCCCCCAAAAAAAATGACCAAAAAGAATGGTTGTACAAAGGGGAAATGTATAGCAATAGGGATAAAGAAGGGATTCTAAGACACTTTCGTTTTTTGCAAATATACTGTGGAAGGAACACAAATTCTTCCTGTGTCCTAATTCTTGCTGTCCTGTTTTTTAAGGAAAAATGCAAACTGAAAACGATGAACGATGGAGGATGTTATGTAAATATCTTGAGGAATTACCTAAAAAAGAAAAACCTACCACTTTCAAATCATGGGAGGAAGTATTTTTAAAATTTGGATATGTTCCATCTAATCCAGTATGCAAAAAGCCTAAACAGAAAGCCAGAAGATGCAATTTTTCTGAGTTTATGGAACTTTGTGGAGGAAGTTTTGAAAATCTTGAAACCTTTGAAATGCAAAAGACACCAGTGCCTCCTCCTGTATGTGCATACTGTGAAGTGGAAGAGCAAGCTAACAAGAAGTTGAAAAACTGTGCGCGTTGCCGTGAAAAATATTGCAGTAAAGATTGTCAAGTTAAAGACTGGAAGAATCACAAGAAAATATGTGACATGGTTTATGACCAAATTGGGCCTTAATACTGATCATATTACAATAAATTCAGGTGAAAATCGTAATGATAGTTGGGTTATTTCAATATTTTGCATCCAGAATTGTTAAAGTTAGAGGAGTAAATAAATTTATCTGTTAATGAAATAAGAAATAAATTTTGTTACATCTATAGAAGTTATATATATATCTGTGTTGACAAAAAACCAAGTTACTATTTGTAGTACAAAGTATATTATGCAAATTATGTGACATTATTTATTCTCACAATATGTAGAATATTCACCAGTTTAATCTAAAAATTTGTTGAGTTGTAGAGTATTCATCAGAGCCCCAATGAGGTTTTTGAGGCCCTAAGGCAAAACAGAAAGACAAGGCCTCTACAACAGAAAAGCAGATAATTTTTGCGACCACACCCTCAATTTAGTTTAATTAGCCCAGAAAAATTTGGGGAGTCACTCCTAGCAAGGATTTAAAAAGTTTGTTTTTTTTAAGACAAACTTTAGCACAGACTGATTAACTCAATCCTCAAAATGGAGCTCATCATTGTATAAGGCCCCCTACATCATGAGGCCCTGGGGCAATTCCCCCTGCCCCCCTCTCAGTGGTCATGGTATTCATATTAGATTCATACCATGATTATTCTTTTGTTATTGTTGTTTTGTATTTTCTGTTGGATGGAATTTGTATTTAGCTGGAATTTTAAAAATGAAACTTTAACTTTCTTTGAAACTTTAGCTGATAGATTGCTAAACCTATAACAGGCCCCTGCCTATTTTAAAAATAGCCACCAAGTTTTCTTTCATTTATTCACGAAAGAAACTGAAACCTTTTGGTTTTTTATAAACCAGCTTTTCCACAAATGTTGAATAATTTCCGCTTTTTTCAGTTATGGGTCTTCTAGAGTCTTCTAATGGCTTTCGTTTCCCGCATTTTTACATTTCGCGCTTTGGAGGCTGTCTCATAGGTGTTGTTGTTGTTGCATATCGATGTTTGCGCGACTAGGCGGTGCAGTTAGGCGAGTATACCCTGGGTGACTTTGCCTGCTTTTGACTCACATTAGATAGCTATCATTAAGTGGTAGAAAATAGCAAATTTTACAATTTTTAAAGACTTTTTATGTTACCTTTGAATCACTGTACCGTCCCCTGCCTCGCCACCACACTCCGACTCTCCGACCTAAAAATTGCTGCCTATAGTTGAATTCATTCGTAGAGGATATGGCAAGGCAGTCGCACAGGCAAAATAAAAGAAATACAACAAAATTTGATCGCTTCATTTCTAGATCGTCATAATCGATAGAAAAGCTGACAATAATTGACTTCAAAATATGCCATTCCTCACAACCTCTAAAGGAGAAATGATTCTTTATTTTACAAGGCTCAGTAATATCCCCAACATGTCCATAAATATGAGGAAAGTAAACAATTTAAAGGAACGTTTAAAAACAATTAAACAAAACAGACACACACAGTACAATATTTACTTCCCGTAATTATGTTTCCCCTATGAGTAATAAAAAATAGGTTGACAATAAAGGATAGTTAAATACCTAGGTTTGAAACAGCCATTCAAACCAAAATTTTCTTTACTAGTGGTCTACAGTGAATAGAAATTAGGCTTCCCACAGACTATGAAAGGATTTCGACACTAGCCAAATGCAAGTGAAGCAACCTTGCTGCTTGTTGTTAACAAAATACTAATGATTAAATAAAGACAAGCAGTATGACAAAAGATAAATACGTTACTTACTCAACTAGATTATTTGGTATAGGACTCCATCACTGGCCAATCATGGCTACAGCAATCACAGGTAAATACTAAATTTTTACAATAAATATAACATCAACAAGAGGTATGTTTAAAAATTTCAAAACACTGTTACAAAGTGTTATTCTTTTTGAGTTGAAAGGAAAACATTGTTCTCAGGTATATAATTGTATATAAAAGGAACACATTAGTTAGTATTGTTTTGCTGGCTAAGCCTACAATATTGCCAGGTATGAAAACATTGATGTATTAATATGATTTTTAGACTTGAAAAAGGGAAATATAAATTAACCACAAAATACCCATTGAAACACAAACCCAACTGTACAGGAATTAATTGTAGACAACACAAATATACAAAGGACTGCAAAATCAGAACTATATTTCAGACCTCAGAAAAGTTTTGTCAAGCAAATCCAGCTCTCTACATGGAATTTTGCATCAAAACTTTATAATAAAACAATGCCCAAGAAGCTGTTATTATGGGCATGATTAAATCCTGGTCATAGTAAATCAGACAAGACATTACAATGAGAAGACAAAAATTAAAAAGGCCCAATTGAGACCTTTCTTTGCCTCCTTTCTATGTGGCCTTTCTTTGGAGTGCCAGACCCTTTCTTGGATTGTCAGGATCTTTCAATGTCAGGTTTTGGGCCTGTCTTTGGGAACCAGTAGTGGTCTTGCCTAGGCATTTCTGTAGCTAGATACTAGGGTCTCTTCAAAAGAACCATGCTATCCATTTACATAATTGTTTGTTATTGAATTGGACTCTAGGCCTTCAGGTTGAACAACTCTTTAAAACAGCTCCCGAAACCCAGCATACATGGCAGCAGCTAATCCACCTACAATTAGACAGATAATTTTTAATCACAGAACAAACATGCAAGTTAAACTTTTTTATGCAAAATGTTCAGCTAGAAGAGCACCAGCACATTTTATGGGTTTTAGTGGGTACTGTTGAAACAATTTGATGCGGGAAATACTATACACGCAGTTATTGGTTTTCAACAATAAGAAAACTTTGACAAATCACAGGGTGATAGGAACTCTCTTGTCTTTCAACAGGGTGTCATTAATAGGGAAAGATGTGAAGTCAATAAAAGTAATTATTAGATTCAAAATTTAAAATAACTGACAGAGAATTTATTGGTAAAGAGGTAAATATATCAATGGGTATGACATCATGGACAAAAACCCATCACTTCTTTTATAGAAAAGACTATGTTTTGCAGTTACCTGAAACTGGAATGGTGACTATCCATGATATGATGATATTTCTGAACAGACCCCAATCAACAACTTCTCTAGACCTCACTTGTCCCACCATGACCACAGAACCAACTTTACAGTGAGTTGTACTGATTGGTATACCAAGATTCGAGGCTAACAGAACTGTCACTGCAGATCCTATCTCAATGGCAAAACCACTAGAAATTGAAGAAATTAAAGGGGTTTAACTATTATTTCAAAATGAAACAATTTAGGCATGTTGGGTTAACTTAAAGCAATCACCCTCAATAACTGCCCATGCAAAATAATTTGGTCCTCCCTGAGAGATAAAAGGAAGATCATAGGCAGAAAAAACGTTTTATTAAAGCTAGATCTATAAAACTGCATGGACACATTTTCAAAGTGAGTTTCCACTGGGCCTGAAAAACTTGGGTGTTCTCTGAGGCTCTGTTAGCTTTGCTTGTGAACTATTGAAAGGTAGTTCACTCCCCTGATGAAAATTTCTCTTAGACAGGTTAACCTGACTAAAATACTTAGGTAAGCAGCTTTGAGGGTTATGGACAGACACACATTCTTGGTGCCATGTAGAACAGATGAATTTTGGCCTTTAGTAGCCTTGACATATTAACTAACTGTGATACCACACGACACAATCTAGTTTAAGTACTATCTCTCTGTTAATAACTCAAATTATCCAGCTTTCAGAATTAAAACAATCCCTGTAGCCAGAGTTTTTTTAATGCTGTAGCTTACAATGAAAAATAACTTCTTTACTTAATAAAATAATGTAAAATAGAAGTAAGATGTTCCATATACCTTGAAGGGGTGATAGGAGTAAGATCTTCACCCATGGTTTTAATAACTCTTCTCCCCCAAACCCATAATCCAATGACAATTCCTACGCCACCATAAACCAAAATCCAAATTGGCGTTTGGACTTTAGTCACAATGTCACCAGTTTGATATATGATCCATATTGAAACCAATGGTCCAATGGCATTGCTGAAAGTAAGAAGGTGTTTCAGTTTGGTAATCCATTACATTATTCTGTTAAGATCTACTTTCCTTTCAAAACATTGTCACAATGTTTCATTTTACATCTGATGCCAGCTAATTAAATGACCACCCTTAGCAATCACTTAGGCCACTCTACTCTAAACCCCAGGGCTTTCTAAAAAAATGAATGAGCCTGACCAAAAACTCATGTGATCAGACTGGGTTACCCTAATCAAAAGTCACATCAAATTTATTTGAAAACACAAAATAAAGAAGTTTTTCTAATGAAACATTAAACTCAACAAAACTTTTAAAATTAACAAAATGCTATGCTGTCTTATTATGTTAAACTTTCTCCTCAAATAGGCCAGTCTTCTCAACTTAATATGTCTGTTTGACTCTTAAAAAATAGTTCATGTAATGGAGCTTAAACTTTTTGGATGCTTTCTTAATTGTTTATTTCATTGTAACTTTAGACACTGATGTGATTTCATTTTTGCTCTGCAAAGTTAAAGACAAACAGGCAAAACAAGCTTTAGCAAATGGAAACAAACAAGCAGTCCCATTCTGACTAACAAATACCAAATGTCAATTTAGCATATATTGAAAATAATTTCAAAGCGTCCATTTTGAAAAATAAGTTTCTCAAGTGGATTACTCAACCTCAGGAATGGATCATAAAAGTGCCAGCATCTAGAAATTGCTCTTACAAAGGACTTATTTATAATTGGATGCACCACTAATCGCTTGAAAATGAAACACCATGTCTGCAAACACTCTTTCAAAGGATCTAATTTTACATCATTGCACTGTCACTGTCAAATTGAACAATGTCAAATTCCATACCTAACATCATTACCACCATGAGCAAATGCACCAAAGGAGGCTGTGAGAACTTGCAAGAAAGAAAACAGGCGAACAGATTTAGGGTCATCTGCAATCATTTCCCTGGCAATTTTCATTGCATCTTTTTTAGAAATTTCTTCAGGCCTTTTAGATCCCAATATATAATCTTTAATCTGTTGCTTCCAAGTTGGCACAGAACCTTCAACGTCTTCATTTGCTACTTTTTCAGAAGGGACTTTGTTTGGAAGCAATTGAATTACTCCGTCTGAAAAGTAAGAGCTTAAGAATGAACTTTCCTGACTTTAGTAAACATACTGCATTACATTGGTAAATGGTTCATTTAAAAGTATGTCCCTTTTTAAACATCACACCAGGCATTCATCAGAAATTAGAGATTAAGATAAGCTGTTTATTGGGTAATAAAATGGTGGCAGTGGTTTCCAAGAGACTCAACTTTATCTACAATGAAATCCAACAAACTTGACATTGGTGGCTTAGAAAAACCAATTTCTTATTTTGAAGAAGTGAAGTAATGCTCAGAGCCTTACAGGACCTGTCCCATATCTCTTGAGAAGATATAATAGAAAAAGCCCCACTCTTTATCTTTGTACAGCAGCATTTATTTTCTTTGCTGTTTTTGAATATGAGGTATAAATAATGCCAAAAGTTTATCTATTGCAAGGAAAAGTTGATGAATTACCTGAATCATTGAAGTTCACAACTGTTTCGTATTTGTCTGGATCCACTTTTGAAAGCTGGGTTTCAATACTCTTAGGTTCCTGACTTGTAGGTGAATATTTCACCATTTCCTCCACTGATTCACAGCAGTCTTCCTGCACTTTTCGCTCCAACCATGGCACAACAAAAGCCTTTACAAGGATTCCAAACAGAATGCCACCTCCAAATGTGAGTATCATCACACCATAAAATGGTATTTCGTTAAATTTCAGCACTGTCAAAGAAATTGTATATATACAATTGAATATTGAATCAGATAACCATAACATTACATGGAATATATACTGCAAGGTGCAAAACAATACGTCACAAGGTGTTCCATGCTATATAAGCAGTGCTGTTTAAACTTTGGTGTGAAGAAAAGGACAGTTGTAGAGCTTAGAACTACCCTTTGCTGCAAAAAAGCATCAACTGATTTATCTCGAAACTTTCCAAAAATACTTTCGATCCCAATTTCCTATTATACTTAAATTAATAGTGACTAGAACTGGTATAAGGAGTATAGGTTTAATAAGACATTAACAATAATACTGTGAAAGTCTCATGGAAGATGCACAAAATATGCATAAAACGAAAGAGAGGAGGGTTTAAAAGAGTATTTTCATATAAAGTGGCTTTTAAAGTCTTTAAATATATAAATTTTATTACACTCTGTGCTTGAGCTATATCTAAACTGTCTTAAGAACACAAATAAAGAGTGGGAAACATAAGAACACAAATAACAAAGCGTTAGGCGAAAACCTACAGTGTGATCCTTTGTAAAATATTGAGAACAAATTGATGGAAACTGTGACTGCATATATGAATGGCAGGAATTTCAAGCCAGCTTGAAAAGAATTTGCCTACAAAAGAGAAATATAGAAACTCAGTGGCACTGATAGTATCACTAGTATCATTTGCTTGATAGCCATATTTCCAAAAAATGAAACTTTGCTTCAGTTCATATGATGGTACTTAACCCTTAAATGCTGCTCTTTCACTTTGGTGTGGATATCTGCATAATTGGATTCAAGTAAAACATTTCAGTCTCAATCTCTACGGAAAACCCAGAGCTCTCATGGTTTTATACCTAAAAAACTCGAAGACCAGTTTTCCTCATAGTCAAATTGCCTTCATTATTGGCAAATGGTGCTCCTACTAGTAAAGAGTTGGCAGAGAGTCATTTTCAAATTCTATGTACCAGTAAAATGTTAAGGGGCATTGTATTATTAGCTTTGATTTCTACTGATACAGACCAGTCAAGTTCCAATTTCTAAAATAAGTGAGTTTTCAGAAAAGGTAGGGGAAATGTCTGGGCTGCTTTGGCATCTCAAGGCCAGGGGTGCCCGAATGAATCTTTACCATCACACAAACAAAAGCAGGGGCCTGGAGCCTAGCACCCAGAAAATTCTTCCTTTGCCGAGCCCTAGTTCTTCTGAAATGATTACTTTCAGCAAGCACCCATTACTGGCACCTTTTGAAAAGATTTAAAAACAGAAACATTTAAAGATTCAAAAACTTTGTTATAGAATGAATAAATCTGCTTTGATGCCTTTAAGTAAACATAAACATGGCTGTGCTCAACTGAATTTCTAGAAGAATTTAATCTACAGAAGAAAGGAGCTTCAGAATTATTAATGGAAAATCGTCATTATAAATCAGTGGATTGACAGATTATATAGTTCATCATTAGCTCCAATGGCAGCAATTGAAATAAAGGAAAATTCATAATATGCACATTTAAAGCAAACATACCACAAGCCATAGGTAGCAAGATATATATATTTAATGATTAATACAGGAACTGTCTTTAAAAAAGCAAAGTTTCATTTGCCTGACTTTACAAGAAATTTTTGTTAAAAGATGATGCTCAAAGGCAGCACTTTTGTCCAGCAACTAACAATACAAAAAACGAAAATAAATGGACATTATAACAATAACAGGAAAAGGAACATATATATACAGACTTTCAAAAAATTTACCTTGTTTAAAATGAAGGCTCTAATAAGCACAAAAATTACACTTGAGACAATACCAGACATCAGTGGAGAAATCACCCAAGATGCAGCTAAAAGCAAAGCAAAACTATTCTTCAAAAAATTAAATTGAAATGACAAAGTTGGATTGGACTTGTCTCAGGCTATTTGTCCTGTACATGACAGGCAATGCATATATGACACACCCATTTATTTTGAGAAATTGCTGCTACTCTAAAGAGAAACAATATATTAAGGTATATCCCTAAGATAATTATAAGAAATTTATGCAATCAAAACATATGAAATTTGTAAATGGTTTAGTTTTGGTTATGATTATGGTTTGAAAATGTACCATGGATATGTTTGTCATCAGAGTTGTAATACCAGTTGTTCTTATTGTCCCAAAATAAGCTTCACAACAGACAAAGGACAGAATGATATCCAGATAAATTCTATAACGATTCTGTTAAAGAATGATTCATTATCAACAGGGTTTTCAGTTTCAGGAAATAAGGCATGTGACCAAAAACGCACATACTAGCATTTGTATCCTCCATTCTCAATACTTTTATTTGCTTCAGGTATCAATGCTTGGTAGTAATTTTTTAATTATTTTTGGCTTATTTGAGAATTATTTGCATAGATATAGCCTGAAATGCGGTAAACAGAGCTTGACTAGCAAAAGAGGGGGAGGGATACAGTCCACCATCTCAGTGAGCCTGTGGGTTTGTGTCCACATTTATGTGTTATAGACACTGAACTATTAATCAAACAAATAACATATTTAAAGACCCTCAGAGAACTATACTTGGTATAATATATCAATCTCTATTATCATTTTCCTGTCATCATGGTTAGTGGTAAGCACATAACCTTCTTAAATTTAGAGCTGAAAAAATGATAACACCAATATCTGAATGAGAAAAAGATACTGTCAGTTATCTACTTTAAGAGATTTGTTGATGTTTTCTAGCCAAAGATTAGCAACAGACTTCTGAACAGTTCAGTAATGTTCAGTAAAAAAATGCTCAGTAAAATCCTCGGCCTTCCTTAAGTAATTATCTGATAATGATTATCTGTTTTGTTGAAAAAACAACCAACCATAAGACACTGGCAGACAATTGAGTATATTTGTGGTACTGAGACAAATCTGCCAGAAAATTTGAACCTTGGCTATGGCTTCACCCAGGGCTTCACCAAAGCTGTAGATTTCCACAGAGTGATTTACGGCTCCCCATCCACAACAAAAAAGTGGTGGATTGGAATGTAATCACATTGAAAACCAAATGTGCTTCAACAATCTTGTCTACAATGAATCTGAACTTATGACTCTCTTTGCTTTGTTCACAGACAGGGCATTTACATCATATCTAAACAATTTTAATCACCACTGGAATTTCATTGAGGTAGGTTTGCAATTACATTAGAGAGCATTGAGCAATCAGCCTTTGTTTACCTATTAGGCCAAACTTTTTCCAATGTACACCATTCATGCCATGCTCAACCAAAGCATATCCAATTGTTGCACCAACCACACTGTGAGTTCCAGAAATTGGTAGTCGTAAAAATGATGCAACCAATAGCCAAATACTTGTTCCACCCAATGCACTGAAACTACCAACCATGGCAAGGGGCTTTGTATCATTGAATGATGTTATGTCAATAATTCCTTTGCGAACTGTATCTATATGAAGAAAATGATTGGTTGCTCAAACAAGATACTGTCTTGGAAGCGAGTGAAACATGAATTTACAAATAAGAGAAAGGATTGCAGGTTGATATCAATTCAAAATCCTTGCAAAATTTGGACCCTTGCTTGTATCCACTTGCTCTGCATAGACTGTCCATGGACTTCTATTTTATAAAATTAGAAAAAATTCTGCAATTACATCCCCATGTTCTTAAGAATCATTCTATGGCAAGCACTTCCACTGAAGTTATAGGCAAGCAGAATCAGAGCAACTATTTCCTAAGTTACAATATCATTAAACAAATAAGCGTTCTTTATGCTGTTTTCTTGAGAAAATGCTAGCACCACAGATTGGTTTCTTAAACAAAATCAAGTATGCATAAGCCAAGACAAGGAAAGTTATCGTTGGTTCAGTTTTGATAGCTACTTTTACGTGAAATCAAGACAAGTGATCCCCTTTTGACGAGTTCATGTTTCCGTAACGTGAAAACAATCAGTGTTGCCTCGCGTGTTTGTGTCTGGTTTTTCGAAAGCCTTAAAGTTTTTATCAGTGGGCATCGAGCTAAAATTCTAGGAAAAAGATCTTAAAACCGTGTACACCATATATCTGATAAAAATCGATACGTCAACCACCCGCATAATCGCCACAGAAAAACGAAGATAAGAACAAGGAGGAATAGGAGCAATTAACCTTTTTGCAGTGATAAAATGATTATAAATTATGGTGAACTATTCCAAGAAAGGGGGTTATAGCTGCGTTGCACAACGATAGACAGTCCAATCAAAGAAAAATAACATTAAGAAAAATAACCCTATTCTTATCATTCACCAGGTTGGAAAACACATATGATTTTGCCTACGCGTCACTGCAACCAACAGCAAATTGTCAGCTGCGACCTGCCAGCGGAAGCATTTAACTGCGAGCAACGATGCCCATTATATACACAACTACAGTGTATAATATGAATTCGTTGATATTTTAGGTCACTAGAGGCCAGAGATGCGAGCACAAGATGTCCAGCGTCGCTGCTGCGAGTATATGCAAGTTTTCCAGCCTGTCTTATGTACGTAACTACACGCTGAGAGGTGCGAAACTACAATAGCACTTAAGTTACTCAGGAAATGCCGCTTGGCTTAGAACTTGGAAACCATCAAAAGTTGACTGGCAGAAATGTTTGCGAATTTCGCGCCAAAGGTATTGGTAAGCCATTTGCATCAAATTTAAACAAATCCTGTCAAAAGTGATGACATAATCAGCAGAAAAGTCAACGCTTACATCCACGTGTCATTAATGTAGGCTTTGTCATGAAAATGGGGTTTTACCCATAAGGTAGGGAAATCTAAAAGAAATAAAGCAAACATTTTAAAAACCTACCAGAAACCCTTGCACCTATCAGGACAGCTCCTGCAACTTCAAAAATGCTTGCGATAATGCAAGCTTGTTTCAAACTTAGGACTTTCGATCCAACTGAAGTGCCGAAAGAGTTGGCTACATCGTTGGCGCCAATTCCAAAAGCAAGGACGAAGGCGATAATGAATCCGACGATTACAATCCATAACAAATCTTCATTGTAAGGCTCCATTTTGCTTTGATTTCTTCAATGACTCTTCGATACCAGCGCAGTTCAGAGCTTAGATTGTAGTTCTACCACAGGACACTCCTCCAGTTACACCCTGTATTGTAGGCCGAGAAGTGTTTGACGAAAATAGGCCAAACACCACTTTTGTCGTGGAAGCTGAAAGAATGATTGATTTCTTTCTATCCGTTTGTATGTTCCACGATTTCGAAAGCTGCTACAGGAGTGGACAGGAGCGACTGTGGCAACCTCCGACATGAAACACGTTGTTCAGACCACATAGACCCTGACAGCATTGACCGTAAAACACGCTAAAATTGATTGCATAAATTAGCATAATTTACATGCAGGGAAGAACCCGAAGTCGTGGCACATGCAAGAGAATCACGTTTTGGTTGTCTTGATATCATGTGATCAGGTCAAAACTGGTTATGAGGAAAAGCAAAACAGGCCGAAGCTGATCCACCAGCAGCAAGCTCGGCGATTTAATGTTTCTTCGAAGGGTTATGAAGGACTTAGCCTTTTCGAAGGGTAATACCTTAAATTCTCTTTTTAGCCCCCAGGGCTTATTGTTTTTCAGCACTTTAAAGGGGGGCTTATAAGAGAGGGGGAGCTAAATTGAGAGATGGGGCTTAATAAATATTTTGTAATAAAAACCATGTTTAGTGGTAAAACTAGTTTTTTGTTATTTGCCAAATAAAAAACATCAAATCAGCCTTCTATATCAATAATATTGTCATCGTCATCGTCATCAATTTTTCCAAAGTATCTTCTTGGGCTATGTCGCCTTCTGAAATCGAGCATTCGAAAAGGTCGACTTCATCCCTCGGAGTATCAACGGCTTGTAATTTTGTTAAAAGCTGGAAGAGACATGGTGTGAATTTAACGTATAAAAAGGTATTTTTTTGAAAATTATCTCCAAGCTTCATTTTTGAAATAACTTTATTTTTGAAAAATCGAGATTTGTCAGACATGCAACGTTGGCAACTGCTAAAATGAAGCACAAGTTGCTTGCTGAGGTTTAGCAATATTCTTATATACTGTATACTTGAGAACTGATTACCCAAACCCTGAATATTCTTGCAAACAAAATTCTTCTAAAAATACAAAAGTTGGTTTTTACCTATTGATTTCTTGAGGACACCTTGAGACTGCGTGACTTTTTCAGAGAGATATTCACAGTTAAGGTGTCTATTTAAGTTATTCAACTTGTTATGAATATGCTTGTAGGATTCCATCAACAATTTTGAGTTGCTTCATACAGATTTCGTTATTAATTTATCTCGCGTTATTGCTTATTTGAAAAAATCAGCATTTAGCCAAGGCGTGTATCTATTAGGGGTCTGGAGCACAGGCTAGTTTCTATCAGACACATATCTACGTAGAGTAGGTGCATGTTTGTCTAGAATCAGCGCAATTTGGGTCCACTTGCTTACTGCATCATCAATGTCATTAGCATATGCTATAAAGGCTTCCCAAACAACCTCGGGGAGATCAGATAGGAAAGCTTCTTTTACTAAAATTTTCATTTGACGAGATGTTATATATTTGTGCTCGTGTTTAACACCGCCACGTAATTTTCTAACTCAATAAACAAGATAATTGTTCCTACGACTGATCTTAAGCACTCCACTCTCTATAGTATTGTTGCAGTTTGTCGTAGCTGTATAATCAATCAAAGTTGAACCGTCTAGCGTGACCCTCCTGGGCTCTTTTAGCTGCCACGATAGGCATAGTATCTTCATCTTGCTAAACCATTAATGGCGAGGTTTTCTTAAAATGCCCAAGGGTATTTAGGTAATTTTTTCCGTCATACACCGTTAATTAGCATAACCATGTTACGTGCACACGTTCGATATTGTAATTAGCTTGGCTAGACATAGGAAAAGCGCTTCGGCAAGCTATGTTTCCGCTTTTCCGTGCCATCTTCGAATTTCGCGGTACCAAAAACGTTTTACTTACAATTCTATTTAATGATTAGCAGACTTGATTCGGCTGATCCCTGTACTTCGTAGAAAATATTTGTCGTATTTTTTATGATCCTCGACCTTAAACAGTACAATCAGGAATTTTGCAGGCCATTCTTAATCCCCTCAGCGATATCTTTCCTGGCACTTTGTAAAAGCTTATTCTTCTTGTTTGTCCTTCCAATACTTCAAATGGAGGCTTCTTAGCATATTTCATAGAATTAGGTGTTTTTTTGGAATTCAAAATCATTTCGCTAATTAGATATTCTGCTTAGGATAAGGAATATCTGGAAAGGAATTTTATATAACATCAAGAAAGGTTAGATATATACGATAAAGTACAGGAGCGTAAATTCATGCGACTAGAATAGCTTTAATTTCCAAATTTTCTGTATTAGAATACAACAGTTTCACTGTGTTAGTGGCCATGAGTTATTTTTTTAATGGGATGGTAGGAAAGCGTGGTTTAAAATTTAACAAAGAGATAGATTAGTGGCGAAGAGTTGTTGTGAAAAAACAAGGTCTTTGAGACGCAATGCGGCGTTTATTAGAAATCGATAAGCAAACATCCTTTTGGCAACGGATTTCCTAAAGAGTACATAAATAATGTTTCAATGTATTTCGTTTATTCAATCATTTAACTGTTGTATACAAGCACAGAGCATTGCATAATGCACTCTTAATAGAGCTTCAAAGTGATGACGTCATAAACAATCTTTTCAAGCCAATATAGGAAATGTTGGACGCTACGGGGGCGCATCCGCAAGATTTGAGTAATGTCGTCATGAATAAGGCAGTGCAGTCAGAATTTCATATCAATCTTTTGATAATTGCAAACAGCCGATGTCTAGGACACATCTATGAAAAGGGCACTTTGGCCCCCCATGCATCTCCTATCAAAAAGAAAACAGGCGCGGTTGTCCCCCGTACCCCCTTCCCGGCGTCCCTGTCTATGACAAGGCCAAAACAACAGAAATTGATTAGAAATTTCAGCTCTTTCACTTGCTTTATCGCAGTCTGATTTGACAGTGTAGAGACATTTAATGGTGTTTTTCCAGGTTCTATAGTAGAGTATAAAACGCTTCTTACAATGGCATCACACTTTGGAACTCTATATAGGTTACATATAGCGGTATACATTCACAGTACATGACACTGGATAACGAACTTAACACAGCTAATCAAAATGTTCACTTTATTCAATCATCTTTAAAAAATTTAATCAATTCTACATTTCTTTGTACCGTTTGTCCTTCTTTGTATGGAATGCTTTCAACAACACCGTCTTTTTGGGCCTTTATTTTATGCTTGAAATCGAGAAAATAAGCGATAATCAGAAAGGAAAGCGGGAGGGGAATGAACGATGAAGCATAGCAGAATGACTGAATACTTTTTATAAAGGGCCATAAAAGCACAAAATCCTGGAAAACGAAAAGCACAAAATTCTGGAAACAGAGGAGCACTTGGGGTAGTTTAGACTTTGACATTTCGGGGGGGGGGGCAACATTTTTTACCAACGTATAGAAATGACTTTATTAAAAATAACGTACAAAGGTAACCCATAAACATATACAAACCAACACAGTCATGGAAGAGAGGGTTTAGAGGAAACGTGCACATTTTCAAACTCAGTACGATCTGCAACCGTTTTGGTTTGGGAACCCTCTAGAATATTGGGGGCCCCAGGCACTCCGACCCCCTCTTGCTACCCCCTTGCTTCAAACACTACGTACTATTAGCCAAATCAATAACAACTGAACTAGTATGGAAGCAAAATTCTAATACGGATTCTAGTACAGAACGATCCGGATCCGGAGGCAGCGTTTAAATTGGACATGACCAGTCCGGATCCTTCTAGATATGCCATATCTGTAGTTTTGAAATTTTCCCATTAAATGACTTGCCTATTTCGAAAATTCAACCAGGAGACAAGCAGCTTTCTCTAAGGCATGCAGTTCGCATCAGTGATCCTTGATAAGTGCTGTGCACGAGTCAATTTAGAAAGTGCTGTGCATGAATCAATTCTTCTCGGGAGATTCCTTGCAGGTTTCAATGTGATGAATCAATTTTAAGGGGTCAACTATCACTTACAAGGGGGAGGGGGCGGAAGGAAAAACCCTACCATCTACTAACCAAACAGGAAAGGAGGCCAGTAGAAATTGCAACAATATTCGTGGTACAAAAATTTTACCTCCATCTTCATAGCTTCCATGATCATTAAAATATCACCGGCTTTCACTTTATTTCCTGGTTGAACATTGACCTATAATGAATTTTACGTAATATTTCAGTGGGAGAAGTGAAGTCAGCTTTAGAAAACATACAGGGTGAGCTGCGTAGTTGACACATAGACATTTCAGATTTGCATCGTTTATATAAAAAGACTACTCGATTTGGGTTTTTCAAGGCATTACTGTCCAATATAGACGTGGAAAGCATTTCAGAATTGTAGGGGGCACATGTAGGGTAGGCACGAAAGTGGGGGACAGGTGTCCCTTGTGTCCTCTATGCCCCCTGGTTCCTACTTCCATCCCTACTCTTTTGCTACCCAAACCATTGAGCAATACAACGAAGAAGGTAGTCACTGCATAAGGAATGCAACTAAATGTTACCTTGACAATAGTCCCTGTCATGGGAGCAACAGCACCTCCACTAGGCAAGGATGAATGCGACCCTGATACAAACTTTGGAGACGGTCTATTTACATGGAACGTTCCATCCTAAAAGCAAAAAAAAACAGTACCCCTGTAGGGAAATAGCACTTTCAAGTACTGTTAATAACAGTGAGCCTATATAAAGGAAGATCACACGAAGATTCAACAACCTAGTGATGTTGTTTATTTTATATAGACTCGTTTCGTTGCCTTTAATGAACGCTGTAGAAGCTGGTACATAAAAGTACAAAATACTGAACAGTATTATGTCCACTGTTGACTTTGAATGCACTTCTGCAAATGTCTTTTCATTACACTCTTCTTATAACCTCCGTGAATTCTTGCCACAGCAAAGTCGTGCTCTATAGAATTAATTATACCGCTACCATTACAACTCCTAGCGGATCAGATAAACAGCCTTTAATAGGATGCCAACATACACTCTGAAGAGTATCAGACGAAAAGCTTACATAAAGTACCAAAAATTTCGGTGGGATTTATTTTCGGTGAAGCAGGGCAATTTTTTCTTACCGAAATGTTTTCTTACCGAAATCTTCTAACGCTGCAAAAACCTTGTTTTACATCGATGGACTTTAAAAATAGTTAAAAAGATTTTCCTTGATATTTTTATAGAATTGTTATACATGAATACATATCAATATTCTGTTTCTGGTTCTCCTTCGTAACAAACAAATAAGATACCCAGCTCATCTTCACTTCCTTTATTTCGCCCTCTATTTCCAATAAACTTGAGTTCTCTATAGGCTGAACTGATGCCTCTATTGGCTCTTTATAATATCCCCAATCATTTCTTTCTAACATTCTAGCGGATTCAAGAGTATCGACGATTCAAGTGTGACGTCATCAAAAATATTTTTTTAGAATTTTGAAATTTTGACCACATAATCTCAAAGAACAAATTACCTCTGTTCAAAATTGGATTTAGTTAGATATATTCACAATTGGGTGAGATATGGTCAATTAAAGACTTCAAGTTTGCTAACAGATTACTTTTATTTTGGCTCAGTTCATAAAGTTTTAAACCAAGACCAAATTACAGAGGTTTGATGGGGAAAGATCCTGTGGTTATGCGGTCATATCTTAGCCAATTTGTGACATATTCATTTGTAACTGATTTTGTACACTTAGAGGTATTTTATAATGCTCTTTTAGGGCATGTGGTAAAAACTAAAAAATTTCTACTCTATATCTGCGCCTTAATTTTTAACTCACCATCGATCTGAATTTATAATCCTCTCTGTGATTGGCGATCGAAAACATTGCCAGCTGTGAACACTTTCATTTAATCTTCCTCCATGGGTTACAAGAAATGAAAGAAAAGCCCTCCTCCAATTAAATAATAGTTTATGATATCTTTACCTGCTATTCGGTTCCATTTATTGGGCGGACATAAAAATATTGTAAAATAGTTGCTTTTCTAAAAGCCATTTTCAAATTTTTCACCTCCTTCACAGCTGTAAACAGTAAAATGTGAAGCGGCAAGGATCGAGGATGCAAATAAATCGCCCTCTTTTTAATGGTTTTCCAGATATCATGATTCCACAAATAAGCGACAAAGTTCTCTAACTGTAGAAATCTTATGCAATTAGTTCAGCTTAAAGAATTCAGTTGGTGGCAGAAAAACCTGGCTAACATTTTTAAGGGAATGATATAATAGAGCTTGACTCACCTTTGTAAACAAATGAATTGACTGGTTTTGAAAAACAACTGCGCTTCTACCTTTGACACCGTTAATGACTGAATTCAAATAAGTTCTTCCATTTTCTTTAGATAGTTCTCCACTGCATAGAAACTCTAAGCTTTCCACCTGTAAATGATAGGATGAAACTTGGATCTTTTTCAAAAGAGCTTGAGAAATTCAGTTATTCCATTTGAAATAAAGTCCATCCAATTAAACCCACCATTTTTACTCTCAAGTCACTGTAGCCCTGTTTGGGTGTCCAAAGAGAAGTACCGTAGCAAGTTGACACGGTGCAGTGCTATTTTCAAATACACTTTTTGTAGACAATTTCAAACAATTTTTATAAAAATAAGTGTTCACAGGTCTGTCATAAAGTGCTCGATACTCGATATAGGCAGAGCTGTACACGCTGTTTGGTGTATCGAACAGGACGGTTCTAAGTTGCTACTCTGAGTTTCACGCTTAATGCGAAAAATTTGAAGACAGCCCAGACAGAAACGGCTTTTAATATGTTAGGCTTTTTCGAAATTGTCAAGTCTTACAATAATTCTTGGTTATTTTATAAAAACATTAAAACAGGAGAGTCATTCTTACCTGAATAAGGTACTGTTTATCGCGTAAATATGTAACATGCAATTCTTTCACTAAAAAGGATTATTTTACGGATTCTCAATAAACTAGTTCCAAATCTATTAAACAGAATCTGTCACACTGGAAATATTCAACTGAAGCAAGATCTTATGAAAATCTTATAACAAAATCTGACTGTGTAACAGGAAGCTAAGAGCCTTTGTGAGGTGATCTCAATCCTTGGGGAGGTTCCCTAAGCGGCTAAATCAGGGTTGCCAGATGCTTGGAATGGTTGGCGGCCAAACATTTAACGCTTGACGGCCAAAATCGGCTAGCCAAACAAAATATACAAAAAGCTACATTTTTGGCTAATTCTTTGGAGCAATAGTGTAATCAAAATTGGCTTTTTTTGTTAGAAAAGCGCTCATTTGCTTTCAATTTCCGTTTAATTTTACTTTGTTTCTTGCTTCGCTATTTGCAATTTTGAGATTATTTTAACAAAATGTTGAATATTTTCCGTGCAAAAATGTCGTTTTATTTGTATTTTTGGGGCTTTCAATTTGCGGCCAAAATTTGGCCAACTTTTGCTTTTTGGGCAAATCAATTTTCGACGGCCAACAGCTTTGAAAAACGGCCAGAATGGAGGAATTTGGCCGTTAAAACGACCATGGCAGCCCTGGGCTAAATGACCCAAATTTTACGGGCATTGGAGAATAGATGTCAAGATCACAAAATGTACAATACACAAAATGATAAATTCTCCAACTCACCGACAAAAAGAATAACATAGGAAATAAAATGTAAAATACTGGGCAACCTCTGCTCTTTGCCTAGTTCACTGCTTTTCGCTTTGAATAACCTTCTGTGAAATTCAGTGATACCGAAGGTGTAAGATTTTGCTCTAGGCCAGCTCATGTAAGATTTTTCTCTAGGCCAACTTCGGACGTTACCATATTCAGCGGAAAGAAACAATGGTAATTTGTTTCAAAACGTCTGAAATACGGTGATACTCAACGCCCCATACAGTGATCAGGAGACAAAATCAAGTCATCATTCTAGGCTAAAATATTATACATCAGATTAAAATGGCCTAACAGTTTCTAGGCCAAACCCACCAGCCAAAAACACGGCCATAAAAATTAAACAGACTTTTGTCATTCAATACATACTTAGATCAGCATCTAGAACTCGTAGCGGTCTCGTGTATTCTTTGTTCAGTCTAAAGCCAAATGTGTTTGTGAACGGTGAGTTTTGCTCTACAAAAATAAAAAAGTGTTTTAATATGCTTTGACACATTCAAAGCTCAAAGCTGGAAAACTCTATCGGGAAACAATATATTAACAGACCATAGAGAGATTTTGAAATAATATCCTGACTAGAACAATGACAAAATGTTTTATTTGGAGCTTAATGAAAATACTACAGTATAGAACATTTGGAGGGGGCACCTCCATCAGCAATTCTAATGGATTTCATCACATAGCAAGACAAAGTTCCAATAAATTGAATGATTTAATAGAAAATTTGACGGCAAAAAACCTGAAATATACGTCCTTAGGAGAAACACAAGGCCGTTGGTGATACACGATTGCACAAGAGTCATAATCAGCTTGGAAGACACGTAGAATAAACACTGGTGTTAGAACCCGGGGTACTTGACAAAATAAATGGGGCAAAAATTGTATTCAAGAATGTCTATTTTCTTATAATTCATTCATATAAGATGAAAAGTGTCGTGCTTTCCTGCATTCATGCCAAAATTTCCAAATGATAATATCTAAAGGTATACAATTTTTATACAAAAAAGGACGCTTACCTAAATTCCTTGCTAAACTTTTGTTAGCATCTGTGATACACAAAAGGAGAGCTAGGCCAGCCTCGGCAAGCTGTGACTGAGAGAGGTTTCCTTTGACGGGCAGCAACTCGGCATGGTGCTCCTGGACAAAAAACAGCTTTGTAAGTGAAAGAGTGACGACAACTATATTGTAAGAACGTTGTATACAACCTTCTCCAGCTACGCCTTTACTTTTCTTATTGAATTATTCCTCTCCCTGAACAATAATTATTTTTCTGGAACTGCCTCAGTAGCGAGGGTTTTAAAAGAATGACAATGCCATGTGCTGTATTGAGAATAATTCACTAACATGGAACCAAAAACCAGTTTTTATAAATCTCTCAGATTACTTTTGCAACTCGTCATGCTCATTTGCAAAAATGTGATGATTCCAAGTTTCCGAAATGGAGCTCCTATAACTCTAAGAAAACGGCTGGATCTATTGGATGCTCATCAAGGGGACAGAAAAAATGTAAAGAGAACAGAATAAAAGTTGGAAGTATCACAGCCAGGATCATACCTCTATGAAGCCAGTATGTACATCTCCGTCAACAAAGTTGGGATGGCTTGCTAGGTCTGATAAGAATTTTATATTAGTGTCCAGACCCACAACCTGTTAACAGAAATAGCGTTTTTGAGGTTCAAAGAAATAAAGCGTTGTATTCTTATCGGATCTTGGGAGGAAATGAATTAACTGAAAACGATAAAACCATTTCACCTGAAATGCAAACTAGGTCTGGTGTTATGGTGACGTGCAAATATGACATTATGATATAACATGAAGATAACGTGATCAAAACGTGATGGCCATGAGACAAATTTAAAAAAACATCTGAGCACAATGACTGTGCACGCACGAGAAGCAGATGACAAGGAACTTAAAATTCTTGGCAGACCATTTAGCGTGCATAGAGACTCTACGGAGAAGAAAGATTTATTCCTCCATAGGGTGCAAGATAAGTGCTTTACAACCATCAAGGATTTCTCAAGTTGCATAGCTTCGATTAACAATATATTTTTTAGACTGGTTAGAAAAAAACAAACGAAGGATGAAACTTTTAGTATAGGAAAATAAATTCGATGCTCTGAAAATACACTACCCTAACAAACCCAACCTTTCTATTCTACACCGACGAAAAGGCTAGCAGTTTCATTCCCGCGTCCTGAATTCGTTTTGTGTAATGATAAGTGTTGCTTAAAATAAAACCTTGAACCATATTTTTGCTCCCTAATCATTAAAAGCAATTACGAGATGGCTTTGTAAAGGCACTGGGCCTAAAATATTCCTTTAGAGTTCAGTTCGTTCTACATTGCCTGTCGAGATTTTCACTCGAATCAAGCTACTTTTATCAAGATACCCCCCACTGACGTAGATTTAGTGGTTGAGTGTCTGGTGCAAACAGTACAATAGAAAGAAAAGAAAGAGAAAAATTATACGATAATTAAAGGTTCATCAGAAGACAATGAGAATACACACGTGGTAATCTCTCAGCTTTGATTGCAGTTTTCTAAGGGCTGCCCCTCTACTCTCTGACCAGACGATTAGTTTTGCAATCATAGGATCGTAATGCACAGTAACTTCATCGCCTGAATATAAACAATTATCTCATAAGATCGTGATATTTTTATAAGTTGCATGAGAAATGCAAAAATATAACTTAAAGGGGACTGGTAAACTGAAAGTAAAGTAATAGACATGTAGGAGACAGTGTCCTTGTGAAGAGGTACGAAATTGCAAAATTGCTCTCATCTTAAAAAATACAGCAAGTATTTATCAGTCGAGTATCATGAAATTATTAATAAGAATGTTTATACTTCAACTTTCTCAGTAGAAGGTTAAGAGTTGTCTACAGGGTGTCGAATAAACGAAATAGTGAGAATATTCACAAATGTATCAATAACATTATTATTTAAAGAATGTGACTGTGAAGGAGAAGCGGTTCTGGCAAATACTTTAAATCGATCACTCGAAAAAAAATATGGTCAAAGTATATCTAACGAATGAGATGAGGAAGGATGAAAACTGTGTAACAGCAGGCACCGCGGAGAAGGGCACCGCGGCACCCCCCCCCCTCCACTTTTTGCAAAAAATGCAAAAAAAATTTACAAATGAACCACCAGTCAAGCCACTTTTTATTCGGTTTTAGCCCTCCCCCACCACTTTTTATAGACCCCCACATTTCTCAACGCTCCGCGGTGCCTGAACATTAGAGCGAAATCGATGCAAGGATTCGAACCAATCATCGATCGAAAGAAGAAGTGCTTAACAGGTTTGTTGCATAAAACGTAAAAAGTAACGAAACCAAAACACTGAAAGCAGAAAATATCAAAGGCAAAAGGCAGTGTTGCATCGCAAAGCGTTCTTCAAAGTGAAGGGACATTTTCTTTTTTATACTGACCTTGCCTCACACCAGTGTCAATGCGAACATCGCTGGCAGGATCTGGGGTTGATAAATGAATTAATGGTCCTGCTCCAGGTAGAAACTCGCTGATGAGGAAACGAGATAATGTTTAGAAGAATTATTGATGATAACTGTGATAAATCGTTATTATCTTCAGGTATAAATCGAACTTAATCATCGAGGAATTTTCGTTTTGTGCTAAAAGCTATAATGGCGACATGTTTCGGATTATTGGTAAAGCCCGATCGTCGTTCCATCTGGCAGTTTTTGAATCTGTCTAAATAAACATGGAAATGCCACTTTTGTGTAGACAGATAGAGTTCATTTTTACCTTAGGACTCCATTGGTAACATTTTCAACAGGCTAGTGGCACTGATTGGGCAACCTCAACAGTCATGTGCTCGCGTTTCTGATTGGCCTATTTCGATCTACAACTGGGTATATACATTTACTAGCGTAGAGTTTTCGATCCATGTTCTGAGGTTTTATACTCTGAAAAGTGTCAGAGGAAAAGCTTTAGCAGCATGTTTCAAAGTGTTTGTTTTTTACAAAGTAATTTATAATCGTCGTTTAATAAAATCTTGATTATACTACAAAGGGTTGGCATCGATTGGACGTTAATACCTAGGATCAAATCTAATGAACATTACTGTTTATAAGTCTGTCAAAAAGTGTTCGAATCCGTATAGGTAGAGCTGTACAAGGTTTTGTTGCATAGGACAGGACGATTCTAAGTTGTTTTATGTTCGGCTCTAGAATCTAACACTAAATTTAATTGGAAAAATTATTCACCATTTTTACTTCAATAGCGAGTTGCTTACCTCTCCGGGTCTTCAGCATAAATCCTAGCCTCGAAAGCATGCCCGTTTGGCCGGAGGTCGTCTTGTTCGAAGGGAAGCTTCTCGCCAGCAGCAACACGAAGCTGCAGCTCAACCAGATCGAGGCCTGTAATCAGCTCCGTTACAGGGTGCTCAACCTTAAATAAAGAAGGCGACTCCTTATACTTCCAAAAATAGACACAGCATTACAGATATAAGCTTTATTGTTAAATATGGACTTTGACATGACTGCAGGCCCGCGGGACACACAAGATAAACAGAGACAGAGTGAAACCTCGGGACACACAGAGCAGTAAAGCCTAATAAGGTACAACGTGTTTCTGTACTTGATGAAACTGGTGTTTATAAAGAGACTAAAATCCCCAACTATATCAAAACATGCTACAACTCAAAATGATATTTGGTGAAGTTTCGTTATCCTTTCATTTGAAAGAAATCAGTGAAAATATTTTAAAAAATAACGATCAAAACTGACAGAAAATCAATCACCTGCAGCCTTGTATTCATCTCCATGAAATAAAACTTTTGGTTTCTATCCATAATAAACTCAACAGTTCCTAAAATAAGATGATCTTGGATATGAAAAATACATCGATACAAAAATGTAGTGCCTAAAGTAGATATTACAGACGCTTTAAGATATAAAAGAGGTAAAGCAATTATAATTTTGGTTATATCTCCATATATCAGACAAGATCATCATCATGGTTCCCTGTCTCCGCCTACAGCAGATTGCGCACTGACACGAGAGAGTGTTTTCCGTGTCAGTCTCTGCTAGTAAAATTCAACTCGGTGAGTTCAATTTGTGACCAAGTTAAGATGTTATCGCGCCACCGTTTCTTTGGTTTTCCTTTGTTTTTTTTTACTTCAACAGCGCCTTCCAGGCAGATTTTTGAAAGGCCCACTTCAGAGCGTTTGATGTGTCCAAATGATTTCAATAATTTGCTTTTGATGGTTGATATGATAAGGGTATCATTGGTGGTTTTCAAGTCTATGATTGGTCATAAATCTTATGTAGTGATTCTGGAAAGTTTTCATCGTTTGCTGGAACTTCTTAGTCCAAATAACACATTCCATTCCATAAAGAACTACTGGAAGAATATATGTATTGAAATTTTTTGTTTTTATATGATAAGGGACTCTGGTAGATGTTAGAAGCAGTTTGTTTTTCTCAAAAGCGACCTATCCGAGACCGATTCTATGTTTAACAGCTACAGTTCCATCATTTGTAGCAGATAATTTATGGCCAAGATAAACAAGTCATTTACTAAACAGCCCAGGTACTATTCTCCTTATCACAAGAAAACATAGTCCCTTCACAATGTTGGCATTTGTACATTTAATTTCATTGTAGCATATCAACTACAAACAGTGGATCGTAAGTTGTAAAATACGCAGAAATATTTTATGAGAAAAATCAATACAAATAAAAAATATCATGTATGCATGGCAGCTGGCATAGAAACAATTCAATCTTGAAATGTTCACAACATTTAAAATAACATATTCTCAAAACACAAAGAAATCTTCTGCAGCCACATCTCAATTTATCATATTGGTTACAAAATTTTTACAACTCGAAACTTTGATTGGCAGAGCCGTGAACAGTAACGAGGAAACCATTGAATTGAAATTAATTCCATCGGTGCCACGCTATTCTACACAAACACTTCTTCTCATTTAGCAAATAATGAAAAAAACATAACCTATCATTAGCCAATATATTTCTATCCATTTTTGGAACAATAAGGTTAATCTATTTTCGAAAAAGTTGGGAGGGGTTGGTAAAAGCCCTCATACCCCTGATACCACACTCCAATACTCCCTAGACAGCATCAGCGATCATGCTTAGCTGATACAACTGAAATAACGATCTACCTGCACCAACATATCCAACTGCTTCGGCGGCCCTCACTGCTGCTTCACCGATTTCTCTTCTCACATCGTGCGAGATCCCAGGCTAAGAGTAAGAAAACTGGGTACACAAGAGCAGAAAGCTGATACTGTACAAAAACATGACATTCAAAAGGGTTTTCTTTTTATTGAGGCCCTTACCTAAGACAAATAGATACGAGAAAACTTGCATTATGCGCTACTTTCCTAAATTGCTCTGCATCTTTTGGTGAAAATGGGAGAGATCATTTACAGAAAGAGAATCAGAGACCCCAAATCTCTCACATTAGAGCACTAAAAACAGCTACGTGCAAGCTAAGGAAACGCCATGTAATAAAATATGTACAAACCAATATTTATTCTGCATTTGTAATTGCAGCGAAGGGGAATTAAATACCGTTCCAAAAAATATGAAGTCCATAGTGTCCCAAAATACAGCATAAACTCCAAATAAAACAGACGCACGTTGAAAATCATTAACCATAACATTTACAGGAAGACGTGTACTATACACTTAAGCTCTCTTATGTCTTAGTACAAGCTTGAAATAGCCAAAAGAGCAACTTACTGCTGGGGCCTCTTCAATAATTTTCTGGTGCCTCCTTTGCACGCTGCAATCTCGTTCAAACAAATAGACTGTTTTTCCGTAGCGGTCAGCAAACACTTGGACTTCGACGTGCCTGAAAATACAGTCAAGTAAATTTGCTATGGGTTATTTAAATATTTTGTGACTATCTTTGAATTTGTAAAGCTGGTTGCTGCTGATAACTTCACTAGTTGTACATTGTTGCAAGTACTAGTTGTAATGTATATGCACAAACTTTTTCTATGGAGATATGATTTTCTGATTCCTCTCTTTCAAACAAAATACTCCAATCTCGAAATCATCCAATAGAAGAAAATCATCTGGAATTCTGTCGCATCCATATATGCAAACAGTACTTGAAAGACCCAGTTTCAAAGCTGAACCTGAACGTCCTGGCATTCACATTGATTTGCTCTGGCATCACAATATTTTCTTCCATGCACATTATCAAATAGAACGTTTAATAACACAGCACCAGCAATCAGCGGCTGAACTCAGAAGGCACTTCACAGTTGCTTGATTCAGCTTTGTAATACATTTACTCATAAATATACAAATTTTATTTCAAAATTTAATTAAAATTATCTCCTAAATCTGTCTTTCAGTAATAAACTCCTCTACAATCGGTTTCGTCATCGGAATTTGAAGGCACCACTACTTCGGCAAGAAAGTGCCACCCCCACCCAGTGCATTTTTTGGTCAAAATCACTCACCGTGGACGTTCGACATATTTTTCAACAAGCATGCTCTCGTCTCCAAACGCATTTCGAGACTCTCTTTTGGCAGATTCCAGTGCCGATTCAAAATCACTTTCCTTCATCGCAATTCTCATACCCTTTCAAAAAGATATTAATATAATGTCAAAAACAGTAAAAAGGTAGCTTGAAGCTATTGCTACAAGTGCGATAATGGATTAATTCTCCAATTATTTTGCAAAAACACAAAAAGACCCTATACAGTTTACATATCAAACCAAAACTGTTATAAAAACATTACTCAAAAGAAGACTATAACTAAAGAAAGCAAAAGATTGTCACTGAATTTCTAATTGCAATTTTTTGCTAAAACACAACCGTTATCTAAAAAAATATGTACACCCATTCACAAATAGCAGAACAGACAGCTTGATGTGAAGTTAGGTGTCCAAAATAAACTTTTTAGCATGATGAACTTTCTTAGCAATCACCTTTCCACCACCACCCCTGACTGCCTTGATCATGACAGGATACCTACGAAAAACAAAGTAACACACAATCAGTATTCAAAAGAATGATCAATCTTCACTTTCCCGTAAACAGCAAATGGCCGGTTACCTTAAGAACAACAAGGTCCCATTACGAATTGAATATACCAGTCAAGTTACATTTGCAAGGAATTCTTGGTATTGCACGCGAGCGACAATTTCGGCATTAGAAAAAGATTTGCAATTTCCTAAATATTTCTACTGTTTTATTTTTCTGCGTGTAGCTGGGTGAAAAATTTGCACGAAAACTGGAACAAACAAATTGAGTTAACTTAAACTGTTTTCTGCAAATAATTAAACAATAATTTATAGTCAGGTTATTCCTTTAGATCTCTTCAAACTTACAAACCTTTTTAGAAAAGACAGTAAGAGCTTAAAAAGGCTTATAAAAGGTCCACGATTAGTTTTCATATAGTAAACTAATAACTCAACCCTTCGACACATAAAAAACTTGAATTGTTAAAAAAAATAACAAAAAAAGCTTATCGCCCCCTTAAAGACCGGGAAATCGTTAAGGAAGAGTAGTTGTAGTTTGATAGCAAAAAGCAATCTTGAAAGGACCCTCACTGTCACTATTTACTGGTAAATATAAATACCCCTTACTTCATTACGGGTATGAATGAAACGTGTTGACAGAAGCTGATATTTTACCCTATTCTTTCAGCCTCGTTCTTTAAATGCTGTATACTTTGATCGTCTCCGTGGTAACCTTCGATTATAGGTACCCCAGCAGCACTCATAATTGCCTTTGATGTACTGTAAAAAATGGAACCATCAATGAAGCACACAACAGATTATAGTTTCAAAGCTAAATCATTACGATAGAAATAAGCATTGCTTCTGAGTGACAGTACTTCCTCCCATGATGTAGTTTTCTAAAAATGTAGGGAGGGATGGTAGGGGAGGATGGTATGGGGATGGTAGGGGGATGGTGGGGAGATGGCAGGGAGATGGTACGGGGATGGTAGGGGGATGGTAGGGGAGGATGGTAGGGGAGGACGGTAGGGGAATGGTACGGGGATGGTACGGGGATGGTAGGGGGGTAACATCTATGTCTTGACTGAACAGGAGCACGATGGTATTCTTGCTTTTATGAACACCGGATAATTTTGGTTTTGCGACCGGCAAAAGTCAAGTATCAGAAAATTACTACATGCGGAGGGCACTGGTCCCTGAGTCAATTTTCAGTCAACAGTTGTTTTAAAAAACTAGAAATACACCATTGATATCAAAAAGAGTTTATAACCGATTTTGGTCTTATCAGCATTTCAAGCATAAATCTTCAACGCGTATCATCATAATCATCATTCGACGTACAATAAGCTGAGCCAAATAGTTTTTTTACTTTTAAAATAGTGTGTGTTTGACTTATTCTGTCCAAATTGTTAGAAAGAAGGCAATTTTAGCTAAAATATTCACGGGAGCAACACTTTGAACAGGCATTTCAAATAATTTTGCAAAATCTTATCTATGACCTCAATTCGATTCGCTGTTCTGTCACCCACAGCCTCCTCAGATGATAAAAATAGAGACATTTATGAATTGATGTGGAAACCAATGTCTTTGCAAACCAAAGTCTTCTATGTATGTTTCTTTTTAAAATGCTGATGTAATATTTCCAGGTAAAAAGGCCTTACCAAGAGGTAATAAAGCTGATGTTCCAAGCTCTTTAGGCTCATTAGAAAAAACTCTTTATAGTTCAAAGTTTACCTCTTTATACCCATATCGCGAATGGCTGAAGATGGCGGACCGACAAATATCACATCTTCAATTTCACAGAGGTCAGCAAATTCTGGTTTTTCTGATAAGAATCCATATCCAGGATGTATAGCCTGCAAAAAGACGGCATAAGTTTCTGAGTCACTCAGAGACCCTGGAAACGGGAGGCTGAGGGGGGCTGTATCACCCCCAATAATTTCCAAAATGTACTTAAAACCATACAAAAAAGTCATCCTACTTTAGATTTTTAGCATGTTTAGCCCCCTCAATCCGTAATATGCTCCGCGGTCCTTGGAGTAAATTTTGTTCCACTATAAAAGGGGTATATTTTATAATGCTTTTCAAGAATGAAGTAAAATGAAAATGGAGTAGAGTAAACATTGTCTAGTTGAGTGAGGCTGTTCCTATAAACCAAAGACTATGAACTGAGAGACTGTAGACAGTTTTTTGGCCAATGGTGGGAGCTTAACCTTTATATTGAGCTATTCAATGTTAAGATAAGACAGAGTTTGGTAAGGCTGAAGGTCTGAGTCAACCCAGGTATTTTCATTTGTTGCAATTTTGTTTGTTATACTTTTGTTGGCTGTACTTTTGTACTATTGGACTAAGGCTAGAAACAAGCATCTAATATCTAGCAGAAATGGATAATCAAAAACCTGATTTTTGCTTTGAAGTACTTATAAAGGTCCATGCAGTGGTCTAAATATGGCCCATAAAGTTTATAGGAAAAAGGTTTCTTTTACAGGCAACCTGGAAAAATAAAAGACTGTTCATAAAAACAACATTGGTGCTGCTGAGTTTTTTAAGATCTAAAGTCTCTCAAGAAGTTATCCATCATATCATTTCCTACATAAGGTAGGAAATTGTAGAAAATGCACAAAAAGTCATTTTTTGGATACAATATTTTCTGGGTGAAACTTGAGTAGAACACCTAAAAAGCAATAAATGGAATGCCAACCTGTGATCGACTCATTTTGGCAACTGACATTATCTTTTCCATGTTTAAATAGCTGTCTCTCACTGGTGGGGGTCCGATATGATAAGCCTCATCTGCCTGTAACAAAGGCAAATGGAAATAATTTTTAAATGCATGGGAACAATAGTTACATTTTCACAAATTATGACTACTAGATTAACAACAATGTCTAGCTTAATATTACTAAACCTGTGATCACATATTGGTCAACATAAAATCAGTTTTACAGAGTTTAAAGATAACTGTCATATTGCTATTATAACATCTTAAAATTAGTTGGCTCCTAAAATTTGCAAACTGGAAAGCAATTTATGTTTTTTTTCCAATAACATAGGGCCAATAAAAAGCAAAGCCTGGTTCCCATATAATCAGAAGTCACTGGTGCCATAAGAAGAATTGACAACATGGACAGAGTGATAGTGCTGTACTATGCCCATAGAAATCACTAAAACCAAATTTCAAATGACATGAGAAATTAATAACCAAACACCAAAAAAGAAAAAAGAATGTGGCTGTTGTATAGGAAAATAATAAAGGAACTTAGAAACAAATAATAAAGAGATGTTCAAAAAGTAAACTAGTAAGCATGTATTTATCGTATTAAACTAGAATTGTACATTTTAAATGCCTCACCAAGTCAACATGCATGGAACACCTGTCTGCATCACTGTAAACAGCAACAGTTCGAATTCCCATATTCTTTGCAGTTTTTATAACCCTGCATGCAATTTCACCTCTGTTTGCAATCAAAACTTTTGTAATTGGTCTGGGTTTTGCTGTTGATTGAATAATATTCTTTAATGAGTGACAGCATTTGCACAAAGATCTTGACTTATTACTATTTCAATTTATTTGCAAAGAGTAACTGTATATTTTACAATTGACAGTCAATTTTTGGTGGAACACCCATGCTACCCATAGGGAATGCCCATGGCCAAGGCTTGCTTAGGGCAATTCAAAATTCATACTATCGCAACATAAGAAAAAGACGAAAAGACTTGAAAGCATAGACTGTAGGATACTTGGAATAAGTACTTTTCGAGTTAATTACTACTCTCTGCACTGTACAATTTATGTATATGTTCTCTTAATATATACAGTTCAGCACAGACAAGGACAAGTAAATTTAAAAACTCTATTAGATGCATAACTCAATCTAAAATAACATTAAGACTCACACCAAAAAATTACAGATGACAAACTTCACAATCAGATGGGTGGTAAGATATAATAGGTCTATTGTACCTATTACTTTGAATAATCTTTAGAGCCAAGAGCAAGACAGAAATATCATGCGACTTGTAGTGAGAATATAAACTGATTAATCATTCATAATTAAACAAAGGTTATATAAAAGTGAAAGCAAGGTTAGAAGCATGTGACATAATATACAGTCCTACTACAGTCCATCCCTTCTACGTAAAAAAAAAGAACTAGAAGGGATTTTCTTTCTTTTTGTTTCCACACAGTCTGGTAGTGCTTACGTCACTCCCAAATGAGAAGTGAGGGCTTTGGGTGTTAAATTCTCCCGGAGAATACAGTTAAGTTCAAAATTCATTTGTAGATCGTTGAAATGTCTTTGTAGTCTTCTTTTGCTTTGACAAGATGATTTTGACAGAATATAAGGTTTTCGCTTAAGTCGTTGACGACCAGCATTTCAAAATGAAACACTCTTCCATTAGCAAATGTTAATGAAACGACTGTTTTGTCATCATGTGTGAACCATTGGCAGCAGAAAGACTGCAGTCATTGGAATTAATTGACATTATTTGATGTCCCTTGGATGGAAGTGATTGTGCAAATATTTTGGAAACAGAAGCACAGAAACAAGATGTTGTGAAAATGAATCCGAACGCCTAGTTGGAATCTTGATTGGCTCAGCACTTTTTGCAGGGTTACCTTTTCATAGTTGTGTCAGCTGATTCTGACAATCCTTTATCTTATCAAGACAAGATAACATTGCTTGGAAGAGGTTCTTCAAGATAGACGTGTTGGCCCTTGCATGTTTATCTGGGCTGTTCACATTATAGTATGCTTTACAATCTTTCTCATTACATATAACACATGCGTGTCGTTGTCCAAAATTGCAGGTGGTCAGTCCTACGATGGAACATTTTCACTGTTGGAAGCGGTTAAAATCATGGCAAACACTCTGATAAGAATCTTTCATGAGAAGCTTCAGGCAGCTTACACAGAATTGTTCTTTGCCCTTACAATATGAGCAATGTGAGTTGGTGGAAAACAGCATGCTGAACGTTCGAAAATTATTACAGCGTTTTGCTGCGCTTGGCTTGCGAGATTAATTGATGCTTGCTAATGCAAAAAGGGTCCTCCACCAACTACAATAGGTCTAGCTGTACCTATTATCTTGAGTTGTCTTTAGAGCGAAGAGCAAGACAGAAATATTGTGCAACTCGTTAGAGAATATCAACTCGTTAGAGAACTAATCATTCATAATTAAACAAAAGTTATATATAAGTGAGAGTGAGGTTAGTATAATGTGATGTAATATACAGTCCTACTACAAAGATTGGGAGGGGGCAAAGGCAAGTTGAGCAGGGGAAAATTTGGGTCCCCACTCTTTTGAACACAGGAAAATGCCCTCTTTCAAAGAGATTTGTTGCCATTGAGGGGGGGCATCTGCCCCTTCTTGCCTTTCCCTCACTATGCCAGTAAGCACCGCACCATTAGGAGAGAGCACTACTGATTGATACTTCTTTCAGTTTTATTTATCTTCATTTATAATTAAATAGTATATACAATTTACCAATATTTGATAGCAAATACATTGCAACACCAATACCAAATTGAAAACCAAAACATTATGTAAAAAATAATTGGAAACCTACTTTCATGCTTATTATTAAGGTGGATCCTTCTAAGAAAGCAAACTAATAGACCAACTCAGAGTTTATGACACCGTTGTTAATCTGAATTTCGTTGATTAACAATGGACCTTGTTTGAGCTAAAGAAAAATTTACAAATCTCTATGATAAAGGCAGCATCATAATCTCTGAGATGGTCTTATTAAGAGAGATCCAGCCACAGCAAAAACAAATAACCTAAAAATAATGTTAAAAGCAACTTTATAGATAATATCCAATAATCATTAGTGATTTAGATAAGTTAGAAAATCAAAGTACTTCATCTTTGTGAGCATGAAGCAAGGAGATAGCATTCCAATTATGTATAGAAAAAAAACAGCCGAGATAGCAACACACATTAACAGTGGTAGAATGTTCGGAAGCTTTAAAAAAAGTATGGAATGGTGTCAAGATTGTGCAAAGCACTTACTAAGACCATACTAAGCAAGGAAACATCATCTTATCAAGGTATTCAAGGAGTATTGCAGAAGAGGGTAAGGGGATAGGAAGATCTGGATATTGATTCTTTAGATTATAATGATAATATCATTATGGTTTGACAAATAAAAAGGCTAAAACAGAAAACAGAAAAAGTCAACCTACCTAAATTTTGTTTGCTAGTACTGCTGCAAGAACATTTTTGGTTTACAGAAGTAAAGTTATATCGCAGCAGACTAGGACATCTTAGCCTGTAACAAAGTTTTCATAAGGACAATCATTCAAATAAAGGCTTCTTGATGATCTTTGGTTTACTTGGAAAAACAACTTACTGGAATCAGGTTGAAAATGAAAATCAGTGAATTAAATTATTCAATACTATTCAACAAAACAGACAGTTACGAAATAGAGATCCCAGACACTTAATAAACCTGTATAGATGGATTTAATTCTAAATCTTATATCTCTTATTAAGATATTCTGTGTGTTCTTTTGGTTATGATCCCATGCGTGCATTATGATTAAACAAAACAACTTCTGTAAAAAGCTAAATACAGCTGCAAAATTTTGAAGCAAACTATTTAAAATTGACACTAACCTAAAAGCAGCGCTGAAATAAGGCACCATACTCAGGGATTTCATTTTCCCACCAAGAATTGTGGAGGCAGCCATTTCTGAACACGAATCTCAAAACAACAGCAGCAACAACACCCTGTTTGAAAAGAGGTTGTGGGCGTGACGTAGTCGTGGTCAATGGTGAATATTGCATAGCTGGGAAAGCTTAACCTTATATAAATATTGCATGGCTAACGCCGCCGCCCCCCCCCCCCTTTTCAGACATAAAAATTGTTTGACCGTCTTTTATTATTATTTTTGCAAACAGAGCATGAAAAAAAGAGAACACACTGTTTATATGCTGCATAATTTTATTCGATCTGTTTACTAACTTACTTAGGTATATTTCTATTATTTGTATATTATTTTCATCAATCCAGTAGATAACTTTCTATATCTTTGCAATGTTCACATTTTGGATACGTAAACATCGCATTTTGGATTTGGTAGGTAAAATTCTCTCAATCAATCAAGGGTGCATTTCATGTCAACTGTACGCCAAAGGCACGCCGAATATATGCGCAGTTAGTAAAACTGTAAATATTGTATGCCAAACAAAAAAAACTGATTAATTTAAAAAACTGTGGTGTATGAGTCTTTGTTTTATATGTCAACTATGTACGTGGCTTCCTGCTTAGCACGCCAACTAACGAACATTTTACGTACCTATGCAAAATTTTTTTTTATTAATTTTCATTCAGAACGCCGAAAAAGACCTGAGAGTACACCAACGATCTTCGGTACATGGAACGCACTCTGGCAATCAATACAACAGCTTCTTGTTATTCAGATCGATGTGCACTCTGAGCCAAAGGTCACCCTTTCCTTCTTTCCCCAACGCATGAATCCTACCCTCCTAAAATTTTCCTAAAAGTCAATGTTTTTTGAGAATCGTTTAATTGTCTTTTCTGAGCGGTATAGTTATTTGTTAAATTCTAATTTGGGAGATGCATTTTTCACCATTTTAGAGGTCTTAATTTCAAAAATTTTGTTTCCCGTCGAACCCAGCCATGATGGGTCCTCCTATGTCACTAAACGTGATTCTTAGCTCTACCAGGTTCAGTTTCGTGTTCCTGTCTCTGATGTATCAATTCATTAAGTGTTGCAAAATTAGGTGCGCAATGGGGCCAATTTTTTTGGTTAGCAAATCTTTGGAATTTCCCGATAAAATTGTTTGATGCATTTGTATTATGCATAAAGTAGGTCAAAGAAGAACAAAACATTTTGTGTTTATTTGCATTGTGTATGTACATCTAAAAGGAAAAACATTGCAATTGGAGGACCACATTGACTGGTTTGATGTCCCTTGTTTCAAGTGAAGCACCCCTTTTAGACCAGGTCAGTTTTGAGGTAGCTGCTACCTGAAAGCAGACAAATTGCTGTGGTTATTTTCAAGTACCCACATATGTAGGGGTTCAGAAAAGTGAAGGTGAAAAGTATTCAATACATGAAATCAAATTTATGGTGTTGGGCATCAACCTTCCTATACGATGAAATAAACAATCAGAGTGTATTTTATTAAACTGCATTTATTTTTCTGTAATTGGATGCTCCTCGATTTACTCCAAATCATTATTCATATTCTTTTTCTCCTAATAATTATGTTTCTGAGCACAATTCACGTCTTTTTCTTCTTTTCTCGATACTCTAGGCCGTTCCCTTCTCATCAAAACACCATGTGACGTAAGAATTTGTCGGCGCCTTTGAAAAAAAGTGATGAACTCGATTTTACTCTGCTTTCGTTCAGAGTAAAATTTCCAACTAGAAATAGCTCTTGCTAGTACTGCCCGCAAACAATTAGTTCCTTGATAATGATTGTTTTGAAAATTTAGGTCAGGATATTCGAAGAAGACACCATCTTGGGTTTTCACAATTTTATAAAAACAGCTGCTCTAGTTGATGCTAAACTATTCTTTTTATCAAGAATTTTTGGTGTTCAGTTTGCCTTTGATTTAAGTCCAACGCCCTTTTGAAAATCATGAAGTTTTTCGAGGGTTTGACATTTATTTTTCGTTTTCGTGAAGTAAACAATGACGTCTGAAAATGGACACGTGATAGAACGGATACAGCTAAAATCGATTGCGATAAAGGATTCGTACAGCGATGTACAGGCGATAATCAGGACAATCATAACGTTTGCTCCTACGGTCTCGAGTTTTTGGGAGAAAGGTGTGGCATTCGACTGGTTTTGATTCCCAAGACTTCGAATCAAAACTTCCATCCATTGCGGAGAACCGAGCTGTGATGCAGCACCGTTTTCGTGCCAAAAAACCGAAGGCCTTTAACAGAGTCTTGGCAGAGCAACGCTCCGAAGATAATTCCGCACAAAGAGGTGGCGGTTAACGACCTCCTCGACAAAGCCGATTGATTGACAATGAAATTGATTGACAGTTGTCATGGCAGCAAAAAAATGACAAAATCTGCTGACAAAGTGCTGACAACATGAACTGAAGCTTCCATATGCTACTTATACGCGGGGCAGACTATAAGCCCTTCACTCGCGCGCTATCGCGCGCGAGTTGCGGGCAATGATAGAAGATTAACAGCAGATAAGCGCATTAAATTCTGCAGCGAAAACGGACAATTTTAGTATGTTACACGATCACTTTTCAGCATGTTGGTCCAATATCGAAAAAAGTGATGGTAAAAAGTGATCGTGTAACCCGGCCTTTAGTTTTGAAGATAAACAACTATCCGTTGATTGCTCGACTTTTCATCCTAAAACTTCTTCTAGCCAGCATTTCCGAAACAAAAACCTTTCCATAGAGGCAGGGATTCAAGTGGCAAGGATTCACACCCTTCAGGCATGCTTCGGGTGACTGTAAAATGATTGAGAAGAAGCCCATTTTTCAAATTCAGTTTTCAGCTTTATGATAAAGAAGACAAGCAGATAAATTAAGTAATTTTTGAATCATTCTGTTACTACTGATTTTATACCGAATTGAAGCAAAATTTTCCAAAAAAGACAAAAATATTGGAGGGCCCGATAAATTCACCCCTCACAGGCCCCGATAAATCCGTCTCTGCATAGAGAAGGGGTGTCCAACTTAATTTTTTGTGGGACAAAGACAAAATCTTACTGCACAGGCGGGCCAGATGAATAGTTATGTAAATCATCGGCAAATATTGTATTGAACAGTAAATGGATTACTGTTTACAGTTACATAAAAATTATATAAAAACTCACACAAAGAGTACCTTGAAAAGATATCAATGTGAGAGGTTGCATAATTTTTTACAGAAAGTTTATTGACATCTTACATTAACTTGTAGTTGATTTGCGCAAATCTGCATTTCGCATGGGTATCATCACAGCTAAGCAGTCATTTTACGAACTCTAAGGAAACTCTAAGGCAGTTTATACTCTAAGGAAAATTCAAAGTTCACCCCCCCCCCCCCCCCCCCCAATCTGCATTTCGCATGGGTATCATCACAGCTAAGCAGTCATTTTACGAACTCTAAGGAAACTCTAAGGCAGTTTATACTCTAAGGAAAATTCAAAGTGTCCCCCCCCCCCCCCTCAATAGTATCTCGATAGGAAATTTCAGGTAAAATCCGTCCAGTGGAAGAAACGTTTTAGGTATTTTAGCGACCTTCATGTATTAACATCAATAAAGGATCAAGCAAAGATAGTTGCTCCTTTTGCTAAATATTTGATAAATAAAAAGAAATCCTTTTGCTCAAAAGCTAACAATCCAGGCACTCTTGAGGTAAAATTGTGTGTCGTGTCCATTTCCCCTAAAAAGGCATGCTAAGATGGAAAGAGGGATCTAAATTGGCAACCAGTGCTGCTTGTCACCTGGCTTTAGAGGTAACTGACAACATGGAATTTTTCAAGACCACGGGAAAATTTTACCAGATGTTTTTATCTGCTGTTCAATTTGTTTGCAAAAATAAAAGAATTCTCGGTAGGATTAGGAGGATTACTTTAGTAAAATTTACTTAAAAGAGTGCATTTTCCAGGAAACTGGAAGCATCAGAATTCGAAATTTTCTGGTCCTTCGGCGGCAACCATGGTGCCGCCTCGGATAGTTGCCCGTCCCAGTATACAGATTTGGCAAAACTTTTAGGTAAGCCCGTTATTATCATTTTAAAATAAAAGTTGCGAATTATATGCCACACAGTTAGATTGACAAAATGTATGGCAGAGGTTTGTGACATCAACTTAAGAATTTCAGGTAATTATTTTTTAATCGGGTAAATTTGTAGTCCACACCCCCCCCCCAACAAGGCTTGCCTCGCGACGGCCCTGGGTACTATGCTATGTTTAAGCTTTTCCGACACTTTATGTACCAGCAAATAGCCTTGAGCTTGGAAAAATCTAACTACACTACCAATGTATCATTCTCGTAATGCTAGAAGATATTCTCGTTTTATGTCTGTTAAAAACCTATAATGTTATAAAAATAATTCAACTTCAAATTAAATTTTCGAATGGTGTTGACAAAATTTTAAATCTACATAAACCTGGATTTAAAAAAAATCAATTACCATTTAAAATGCTGTTATTCGTAGAGGTCATGTTTTATATGACAACTCTGTCAGCTCCTGCAGTACTCCATTCGATGTTTTTAAAAGCAACAGTAATTCTCTACTTCTCTACAACTGGAACGTTGTTCCAAACATTAAGTGTAGAGCAGTAAAACTTTACCACGTGTGCTATAATTCCTCTTTATACAGCATCAAATTACCAGCCAATCTTATACTATTATATTAATAATATTGACAGAAAGGGTCACAAAGAATTGAAATTTTTTGAAAGATAGTTGCTTTTCCCGTATACCACATTTCACATGCTTGCTATGATGCCATCAAACGTGATTTCATGAGACCATATTGAAATTAGAGGATTTTTCAAATCCACTCATTTTTGTTTTGAAACCACGGCTTTGAGCACTGTTAAAATAATTAAGTTGACATTAGCAAAAATTAATTCAGAAATACTTATAAGATCTATATTGCTGGATAAGGCCAAAAAAGCCACAAACCAAAACCAAATTTTGCAGGACAATCATGTTAGAAAGAGGCAAATTTCTGAATTTTCCTTCAAAAAAGCTAGCTTACCAACCCATTGACAAAGCTGGACTTCCACAAGGTGATTTTGAATTATTTTTTCTCTTGGCATGCATAGAATCATTCTCTCAAATTTCACAGCAATTGATTTGCAGAAAAGCAGATCATTGCTACAAAGAAGTCTTTAGCTTTGAAAAGTGGCCAACCATTTGATTTATGACTGAGATAATGGCAAGTACTGGCACATAAAGCAAGGATAGTCAGTTTGACTCATGAAACATCAGTTCATGTTATTCTTTAACATTTTGGGGATCTTTTAAATATATTCACAGGGTCTATTTTGCAAAGACATGCATACTCATTCAATTTGCCTATAAAAGAGTTTGCGAAGATGAATACAAACTTATAAAATTTTGCTTTTTATTGGAAGCTCTTAAAGAATTGAAGCAAAAAACAACAATAATATTTTCACTTATATTTTTTTATATTTACTTCAAAAAAGAATTGTTCATGGCTTCTCACTGTGCTGTGGCAACCTAGAAAGAACAAATTAAAGCAACTTAGAATTAACGAATTGTTAAGTTAAAACATGTCAAATACATTCAGACAGAGTATTTCACAACTTTGAAGGCTCTATGTCCCAAAAATATTAAAAGATCTTTAAAGCACAAACCAATGACAATAAAAAAGCTTTGTGATATGCTTTAATCGATTGGTTTACTGCTACAAAATACAAATAAATGATCTGCTCAGCTTTGGACTGGATTTTGGTACAAATACAGGGAGACGATTTGGGAGCCCAATCCCAGCTATAAGAACAATACTCCAAAAGAGGAAAAGCCTGAGACTACTCTCAGTTAACACTGATCATAAAATTTATGTAATGGAAAAGCAACTGAGAAAATTGTCTTTCAAATGAAATTGAGAAAATGTCATGTGAAAGACTTTTCTACAGACCTGTCCAGCAATTCTGTCCATGTCCTTTTGTCCTTGTGGTGTGATGCTTCTGCCACCATTTGAATCCTTTTGAACTAGTTTCATTCCTTCCAATGCTTGAAGGGCTTTCCTTGCAACTGATGCTGAGCCAAGACAGAAGTGGTTTGGTCTTGTTCCATTGCGCTTTGCACCTGGAGAAAATTTTCATTTTCAAACCATAGTTCATTCTTGCTATGCAATTTGCTTCATACTGGGTCACTTGACAGTTAAATTTGCAATTAGATTATGCACTTTGGTAAATGAATTGATATATATAGTTTACAAAACACACTTCTTCAATAGTTTACAAAAACTATCATTCTGAACTTTCAGGCTAATACTAAACAAATCCTATCATTAACAATTGACATTTGCTTGCAGCGAATCTTCATTGCAAGATGAAATATCTGTAAAGTGACTATAAAAATGATTGTTACCTCCATACACTTTTCTCAGTGCACCAACACCAACACATTGTCTTTTGTAAATGTGTCTGGCAACAGATGCTACAAAAATGGAAATATGATGTGATGATAATTTCTCACTTGACATAAAAAGATATAAACATTTTGTGTTTTTTTACAAATTGATAAATACAGAGCGATTTAAAAGAGCCTGAATTTATTTTATATAAAAACTGGCACTGCAGACTTTTCAGATATAAACCTTTAGAATTAATATAAAGCCACAAGGAACCAAAAACCCTTTATCAATTTGGGAAGTTGGCTTCCCACTATGATATAAAGTTCTAAAATTTATCTTTAGTTGTTTTCTATTAACATTGTTTAAACAACAGTTTTCTAAAAGTAATTTGAGACCCATAAATATAAATGTAATGTCAGTAACCTACAACTGAATCCATACAATTGACATTTTGCTGTCGCTTACAACCCTTTGCATTTTTTTGCCTATTTTTCCCACCCCCCCCTAAATTTATTAGGTACATCTACAGCCAATATTTTCCAGGGTGCATTCCATAGACACCATATGCCAGAAAGTATGCCAATGAAGCTAAACATACAATGGATTTTGTGCTCAGAAAATTAAGGAAAACTTTATGGTTTCAATTTGAAATAACAAATAATTTGATAATTGAAAACAATTTGAAATTTTTTAATATTCACAACAGTAAACAAACAATATGGTTGTCATAAGAGAGTGCAATGGAAGTTATGTTACCATTCCAACAAGAAACACAACTTAAAACAAAAGATTTCCAGGCCCAAGCACATTGAATGCATGCGGGCCCATTTAACTAATAAGTACTCAACAGTCAAAATTCATACATACCACAGCGAATGTAGAACCAGTCTTGATCATATGGTCCTTGTTCTTTGCTTTTTGAGGTTTTCACTATTTCGGCCCATTCTGGAACCTTCATTTTCCCAGACCTTTGAAAGTTTGATAAACAGAGTGATCAGTGTTGGAGCTAGGTTGAGTCTTTCCTTTTAAACAGAAGCTTTGATATCTCAAAGAGCCCAAACTACTTGACAGGTTTTGTTTCATTTTTGAAGATTAAACCACAACTTGAAATCTGGTGTTCAAATCAAAATCAATTCTCTTTTCACTTAGTTCTTTCTTATTTTCAGTTGTAAAAACCATCAAGCCATGTCTACAGAAAAATCTTCTAAATCTGAAACTCCATTAAGCAAATCACGCCAGCCAGAGCAATCATATTCAAAATATATAGCTAGTAACTTTACAGCTGATATTATGCAAGTGCTTCACATTGCTGCATATGTTTACTAGGATGAAAACATTACTCATCACAAGATTTTGTAGACAAGTTCATAAAAATTAAGCAAAATATTCATGACCAGCTTATATTTTGGCTATAATAATTTAAAAACCTTTCAGATCTTGAATGGTTTACTGGGCAACAAAGTTGGATATACTTTTGTGTACTCTTGGAAGGTCCTATTTGTAGTTGTCATATTTTAACCATTCCCAGCTTTCAAAGGCTACCTCTTTACCCTGGCCTTTTTTTCCATTGCAAATACATAATCTTTTTTTCCTTTGCAACTACTAACACACTAACATACACTCAACACAATGCCTATAACTTTGGGTTCTGTATCATATTCACATAGAATAATTCATTTGTAATTACCTGTAAACATAGGCCTGCGAAATTTCAAATATTGTAGTGCTTCTATACGCTTGAAATATACAAACTATAAATCATTAAACATTTCTTAATAATTTTAGAGTGCAAAAACCTTCATATACAGTTCAGGCAAGTTATTTGTTTCGAACCCAAGATTACCGGATAACGTCGAGTTGAATCACTTACTTTCTAAACAATTGTTATAAGAATACATATAGTTTATTTCGTTATTTCATGGCATTAATGATTTGTGGTATTGAAGAAGGCAGATTATTTATAATAAATCTTACTTTTTTAGGTAGCCTGCAAAGGCCTTGACGAAATCGTGGGGAGACACGTCCTTCACAGTGTTACCGCCTGGCATCTACAAAGAAATTGATGAAATTTTTACATTTTCAGATTCGGACAAAAGCACAGATATTTCAAAGAAGCTTTTAATGATCGAATTCTAAACTTAAAAGATGTTAAGGCGGGCAAGGGAGTCGGGAAAAAACTTAAATTCTACGACAACTTTGAAAGCTATTCCTACCTTGATCTGTGAATGTGGGTAAAGAAAGTCCTGGGCACCACGTTTTTGGAAATTAGAGCCCAGTCTCTTACATGAATGCGAGACCACTTAAAAATGGTTTTAAGAATCTTCACTGGAATTTTATAAACAGATATACAGTATTTCCATTGATCTATTAACTTTTTTTACAGTTATATCTTTTATCAGATTGGTAAGATATTTTAGAAAATGCATGCAAAGAAGAAAAATTTGAAAGTTAAAAAGATTAAAAGACTTTTTGTGGGTTTATAAAGCAATACTGTATAGCGTTGGTGCATGCAAGCATTGCGCATAAAATTTTTTTGAATACTCAGTCCCATCTTTTTGGGCTACATAGGGCGCCCCTGTACGTAATCTTTCCCTGCTATGGGTGGTAAAATAAAAAACCCCGAAAAATTATTGCCCTTTCCACACCACTAAAAAAATTGACTTGTTCTACTGCTGGGGGGGGGGAGGGGTCTATGACGAAAACATATACACTCCCCTCACGAAAGTATCCGGACAGTTCGAAGATCGATTGCGCTTTCAGACAAAAACAAAATTAGGCTGGCGAAAACGACTATTTAACTTAGTGATAATAATTTTTTGAGAAACCCTTACATAATAAAGCAGAACACCAAAATGCTGCAAAACTTCTGCGTTTTTTATCTGTTATCTTTTTTGTTAAAATGCGAAACCTTTACGCTACAAGCCTTACGCAAATCAACTGATGTCAAATAAGCGGAGAACAGCAAAGTCAGGTGACTTGGACTCAGTTAAAATTGGCCAATAAAACCTGGTAATTTTTTACAAGCTGGTTCTTGAGACACAAATATTGTTGAATAAAGAGAAATACAACATGTTTACTTTCAGTTGGGAAAAATGTTAGCATGGAGATGCCACCGATCGATTATAAAACATGGATGACATTTGGTAACATTTTACCAGATCAAAAATTTCTGTGACATTTCCTTTTTATGGTTACTTCTCTAAATAACCACTGATGTTCAATCGATATTAAGTAAGAGAATGGCGATGCTGGAAAAAGGTCTGAGAGCCAATGGGCAATGTCTCCACAAATGCTTCAATTTTTGTACTGAAACATGGTTGCGGTGCTCTGATTGTGATCTTATCGCAGTTTTAAGTCTATAGCAATGCAAACTAGGGGATGAAATCAGTCTTCAATCTAGCAACATTTAATGTTTAGAGGTTTACGCCAAGAATTCAAAAGAAAAAATCTCGCAGATGATTTGGAAAAGTACAAACTTGATGTTTGCTGTTTGCAAGAAACAAAACTACACGAGGGCCTAGACACAAACGTGAAAAACAATCGCCTAATATGCCTACCATCTGATTCGGTACATTATGGAAATGGTTTCTTCGTGTCTTCGAAACTTGCCAATCATATACATAAGTACTGGTACATAAGTACAAAGTCTCAGACAGGATCTCAGTTTTACAACTTCGAAGCAAAGACCTAGCATACGATAGTCAAAAAATCAACGAAACATCTTTGAAAAGTTCGGTAGTGAAGACGAAAGCTGTAATCAGGCCGACGTTGCTAAAACGAGGAACAAGCGGAACAACCAAGTAACAAGCGGAACAACCCAGTAACAACCCAGTAACAAGCGGAACAACCCAGGAACAAGCAGAATAACCCAGTAACAAGCGGAAATGTGAATTAATTTTTTAGTAAATAACACAATGGGGCGTTTATAATCGAACTCTCTGAAGTTCGTGTGGGCTAGAACTATCAAGAGGCCGTCAATCATGTCCTCGTCTGTTTCGGAGGCTTTGTGATTTTGCCAACGGACAGAGAGAATCTATCGACCCCGGATCGGGACGAAAAATAAATAGTAAAGCATGCCTAAAGGGGTATGGGGAATGCTCCCCCAGAAATTTTTGAAAATGGTGGCTGCTCTGGTGGCTATTTTGGTTGCTAAAATAGCTATGCTGGGTAAACTGCTCTGGCGGCAGTGGCTAAGATAGAGGGAATCAGAGGGGGGCAACAAAACCCTGTAGAGCTAGACCGAGGGGCAATTTACTCTTGAAAATTGCGTACAAGATTTCACCAAAACAAAAGGATTTCTAGGGATTTTCAGATAAAACAATAGGATTTTCATAAAAGGTGTACAAGATTTTCTTGGAGAGATTTGCCCCTCGAGCTAGACTCCTATTTTGTCGGAAAACCTCTGGTCTTCTGGAAATTTTCTATGTTTATCTACTTGCTATGTTTTACGTATAGGAAAGAATTAAAAGCTAAATAAAAATAAGAATATCTGAATATGTCAAAATATTTATTTATTTCAGTTCTGATGTCGTTATATTTTGTGTACTAAGATATGATTGTATTTAGAGTGTATTATGGCTCTTCAACTAAGTGTATTTAGATAAATTAATTTTTTTATGATGATGATGGAAACGCCAAACATTGGTTGCGTGTTTGTCACCTTGCCATCAAAATTTCACGATATTGCGCCATTCAACCGCCTGGGGAGAAAAATGACATTGATGTGCCTACAAGAAAAATCATGCCCCTGTCGTGGGATAAAAGTCGGAAAATCCAGGAACCAGGAAACTGATGGTTTGCCTAGAATCATTTTTACTGAGGCGGAAAGTTAACCTCTTCTTTTATCCAGATTATAAGTTTTCCATGTCTTCGTCAGTTGTAAGAGGTTGCCCATTGTATTCCTTCCCATCCAGTACATTGTTATAAAGGAAACATACTACAGTAAGACAATTATTGGTGGGGCTCCAGAAACACCCACCAGCCCCCCGGCTCCGACGGGCCTGAAAAATGTGATTGCAACAGGGCTACAGGGCATTGGCATCCACATCTATTTGCAACAGTGTGTTTGTTGTGATCGAATTTAGTTAACGAATTAAATGTTTTCCATTTTCATAGACTTCGAGAAATTTCATTTTTCTGCATTATGGTGTTAAGATATCAGTTATGCTCAAATTATATTAAACAGCACACAGAACTTATATTAATAGCTAAGAGACAGTGGCGTCGATAGGAAAATTCACAGGAGAGGTGAGAAACTTTCCGACAAAAATCTAACAAGCATTTATATTTTTTCATAAATTGTAACAAAATATAACGACATCAGAACTGAAATAAATATTTTGACATATACCCCTTTAGGCATGCTTTACTATTTATATTTCGTCCCGATCCGGGGTCGATAGATTCTCTCTGTCCGTTGGCAAAATCACAAAGCCTCCGAAACAGACGAAGACATGATTGACGGCCTCTTGATAGTTCTAGCCCACACGAACTTCAGAGAGTTCGATTATAAACGCCCCATTGTGTTATTTACTGAACAATTAATTCACATTCCCGCTTGTTACTGGGTTGTTCTGCTTGTTCCTGGGTTGTTCCGCTTGTTACTGGGTTGTTACTGGGTTGTTCCGCTTGTTACTAGGTTGTTCCGCTTGTTCCTCGTTTTAGCAACGTCGGTAATCAGGCGGGAGACGAAAGCTGTGATCAAGCAAACAACAGTGAGAAATCTTATCACAATAATAAATGTATATGCCCCCACTACAGAACGCGTTAAAAACGATGAAGGTGAACTGGATCAGATGTACACAGATTTGGGGAACTTAATTTCCGAATTAACAAAGTGTTATGCAATTAGTTTTGTGTTTTATTTAGTTTTGTGATATTCAGTTGCTTGTTCTTTTGGTGTTCTTGATAGTTCCGTTGTTTGTCACCTTGCCATCAACATTCCGTGTTATTGCATCATCCCATCGCCACTAATGTTGTCATCGGTCCTTTTGTTTGTTTGAAGTAATTATTTTGTTATCGTAATTAGGGTGTGTTGTCATGTGATTTTTATGTTGTGCGTTGCTTGTGAATTCAGTCGCTACGTAAAGCCGTCAAGTAAAGTCGTTTTGAATCCGTGCCGTTTTGCGATGTTGCCGTTACGTGGAATCGTTATTAAGAAAAGTTGAACTTATTATCGCCGCCGTTGCTTTTTGGATGTTTAATTACCGAACTGTTGATTTTTCTATATAAAACTGCTACTACTAATTGAATTGCTGTACTTTATGCGAAGTAGAACTTCTGTGAAACTTAGTAGTTTTACAAAAGGCAGCATCTCTTGTATTGATAGCAGGTGATTTTAATGCGAAAGTTGGAAAACATTCTGGAAATGAAGCATGCCTTGGACAATACTCACGAGGAAAGAGAAACAATAGCGGTCAATTACTTATCGATTTTTGCAATATTCACGATCTATTCATCAGCAATAGCGATTTTCAACATCCCGCACGCCACATCATAACTTGGGAATTCGCTAAAAAAGTTAACAACAAAGTTATTCATATTTACAACCAAATTGATTACATCATTTGTCGACGGAATAGAAAACACGTTTTAGTAAATGCACGATCCTACGGTGGTACGCAAGTCAACAGCGATCACCGTATAGTTATATGCAGATTAAGGATAGAGCCATTCAAATTATTTCGAAAATCAAAAAGTACAAACAAAACACCTTTCAATTGTACGCCATTGATCAAAGATGAAAATGAGCAAACAAAGTACAAAAATGAAATTGAAAAAGAATTACAGCAATGTAAAAGTAATGATTGGAGAACGATAAAAGAAATAATTACAAATTCAGCACAAAACCATCTAGGATATGTCAAGAAAGTTGGACCAAACAGAAGAATACACGACCAAATCATTCAAGAAATGTCAGAGAAGCAAAAACAACTTCGACTAAATCTGTCTCAATGTAATAACATCACTATGTACAAGGCACTGAAAAAAGAACGAAACAAAATCCTTCATGAAATCAAGCATAGACTCGAGCAAAATAAGGAGCAAGAACTGAATCTGAAAGTTAGTCAGCTCGATCATATAGAAGACGCTTCTAAAATGTATAAGTCAGTTAAAATTTTGCAGCAAAAGTCCTTTATAAATCCTTATGTTTACGACGAGAACAAAAAATGCATAACAAAGCCATCTGAAATCTACAAAGTAGTTAGAGGTCATTTCGAGAAACATTTCAACGACGATGATGTTAGTAGTATAAATCCATTCGATGGTCTGCCAAGAAAACTGAATAAAGAAATATCAATAGAAGAAGTTACAGCCGGCATTAATAAACTGAACAACAACAAAACTCCAGGAATTGACAATATATCTGCCGAAATGGTAAAGTATGGCCCTTTGGCCCTGTCCAAAGCCTTCAAAAATACCCTGAATGAAGCCTTTGAAAAAGAAATAGAACTAGGATTGGGCGACGGCATACTTGTGTCCTTGCTGAAGCCTGGAAAAACCAAAGGCCCTGTCACCATCCTACGACCAGTGATATTACTCCCAATACTGAGAAAGATCTTGTCAAACATAGTTCTACATCGCATCCAACCTAAGGTAGAACGATTCTTATCAGATTCACAAGCAGCATATCGACCGAGTCGCAGTACTTCAGATATAGTGTGGGCATACAAATGGATCAGTGCAAAGACACAAAAATCACAAATTAGAGTTTACATCACTAGCATAGATATGAGTAGCGCTTTTGATACAATCCGACGTGAACAGCTTGTTGATATTGCAAAGAAATTCCTCGACGAAGATGAAGTAAGAATGATACAGTTGTTATTAAGTAATACAACTCTAGATGTGAGAATAAACAACGCCGAGACAGAGCCCTTCAGTAGCAATATGGGCTCACCACAAGGTGATGCGCTCAGCGGTGTACTGTTTAACATTTATTTTGAAGAATCACTCCGAAAAGTAAGGAATTTTAGACATGAGATTAACAGTAAAGATGATGAAGGAAGTGGTAACTGGTCTCCAACATTTCTACCTCAGGAAGCTATATACGCAGACGACGCTGATTTCCTCACAACTAGTGAATTGGAGAAGAATATCATCACAGAAACGATTGGAAAATTCTGCTTAGAGATAATTTGAAAGTAAACAACAGCAAAACAGAGCAAACAGAAATTTTTCGAGGAGACAGAAACACAGAGCGATGGAGGACAGTTAAAAAGCTAGGCTCTCTGTTAAGTGATACGGAAGATATACAAAGAAGAAAACAGTTGTCGATAGCATCCATGAATAGATTAAATCACATCTGGATCAGAAAAGACCACGTCAGCGAAAAACTTCGCCTCAAGCTTTACAGAACACTTGTAAAACCAGTTCTGATGTATAACAGCTCTACTTGGGGACTGACACAAAAAGATACGAAAGGTCTAGATGCTTTTCACAGACAGCAACTGAGACAGCTAATAGGAAAAAAGTATCCTAACAAGATCTCCAATCAGAACTTGTACAAAAGATGCGAAGAAGGACCAATTTCAATTGACATCCTCAAGGGTAGATGGCGGCTGTTTGGTCACATATTACGTTTGTCCGACGATACACCGGCTGTGAAGGCAATGAGATTTTACTTTGAGGGATCGGAGAGGGGATTCAGAGGCAGACCTAGAGAAATTCTCGTGACAACCTTAAATAAAGATATCACCAGAGCAAGAGCAATGGAAAGGTCTTTTCCACTACCGAACATAAAGAACAATGGAGATTTTGAAAAGATACGATCCACAGCAAAGGACCGCAAAGAATGGAGAAGATTATCAGAAGTAGTGTGCAGAGCTGCAGAAGCAGAAACAACATGAAACCTTCATGTCGGGACTGCGTAACTGCAATTATATAATATATAAACATGGTTGCATACTTTGGCCTCATATATCATTGTAGTACCTGTATCATTAACCATATAAAGACATTAATGAAATTTCACTATAATCATTAATCTCGCATCTCAATTTCAACTTTTTGTCACATTCATTGACACGTTTCTTTAGTTGGAGTGTCTAACCATTCCACACAAACCCTATTTGCTTACACCAAGAGTCAGGGACGCTGGAGCAAAATTTTGAGTGGGGGGGGGCAATGTTCAAATTGGTAAACTCTTATGGTGGTTTGCCAACATTATCTTTCTTGAAACAACCGAGGGGCAAATCACTCCAAAAAATCTCGTACACCTTTGGTGGAAATCCTATTGTTTTATCTGGAAATCACCAGAAATCCTTTTGTTTTAGGGAAAATCTCGTACGCTATTTGCAAGAGTGAATTGCCCCTCGGAAACAACATTAATATGATTTGTCAGCGAAAAAGTGGGGGTGGGGCTACAGCTTGGTGTGCCTGAGAGTAGAGCGTTTGGTGTGACGGTAGAGCTTTGAGAATTTGCCTTGTTAGAATAAGGTCTTCAACTCTTGTATGATCAGATAGTTTATTGATCATTTTCTAGTAACCAGTTCTTGCCCCTTACATGCTAGATTGTGTTACAGACCAGGCTAGGGTACGTTTTTGTGAAAAACCATACGCACGCTTGTGCGCCCGGGCCGACATGCACACGGTTACTGAAACGCACATGACACCGAACCAAGAAAAGCCACCAAACTAGATTTAATTCGTGTTTTTTAGACAGTTATCGCTTATTCGTGTTCATACATGATCGAATAAAAATTCATACCAATATTCACTATACAAAATTTACTGAGCTCTCATACTGAGAAACTTCCCGCTATTTTCCTTTGGGTATCCAGACCGGGCTTAAAGCTCGAATCTAGTAGATACCGTATGTATCCTCTTTTATTCATTTCAAAACTTTACTTTTAAATTTGCTTCAATTACCATTGAAAGCGACTTCTAACAAGACATTTTCATGAACACTGCATTGAGATGCTATTTATTCTAGAAACATCATCACTATACTGGCAATTATAAATGATTAAGAAATCATAGAAATTGTTCACCTCTTTACTAAGATTACAACACAAGTAAACTTTTATTTAAAAAGCGTGTATCAGGTCTGAGCAGACTCTGACCCATTAACATTTTCGCAAATGAAATTAAAAGATATTCTAATGTTAGAAGATTCGACAGCTGACTGGCTTTTCTAACTGACATAATAGAAAACTTTGAATTCAAAATGAGTTCAACACTTTGCTTAACCATATCAAATTACTTCAAACAAAGTGGATTTTTTAAAGGGGAACTAACTGGTAGCAGAAAACCTAATCAACATTGTCCCTATGAATGAACACTCAATAGATAACACACCAGAGTACCTTGAACTGCTAGACTAACTTGAGTGCCTAGAGCTGCCAAAATGAGATTATTCGTAAACGTTAGAAAGCATGATTCTCTCATTATAGAAAGCACGATTCTCTCTTCACGATTCTTTGACACTTGATAATTCTGTTTGTCAATGTTTTATGGAGATGGCTTCTCTGCTTCATTTCATTAATCAAGCCTCGTTACAACCAAGTATTATTCTTCAAATTTTGAGCAAATTTATCAAATTAATGCTAGTTTCTTTTGTAACTTGGTTCGTCGTATTAACTGACTTTTGATTTTGGCCATCAAACAAAACATTTACCTTCTCGTGATGTATTATATATCAAAATTCTAATTACTTTGCTATTTCATACCAAATGGGTAACATAATTAGAGAAAGGCAAATAAAAGCGAAAGCGTAACGAACAAAAAGAGATTATTCACATCAACTGGATAAATAAGGATAAAGTTCATTACTTTCAACATTTGCTTTTTAAAATAATTAACAATAAAAACTGAAAGCAATATAATCTTAAATTAAATCAAATACAGCAAGTTTTATCAAATGAAAAATTATTTTGCAAACCAGACTCAGTCCCTTGGATGCTTCGTACTGATCAAATACTCCTAAAGATGGTATCCTACATCTAAGGTAGCACTCGAGATAACCAGGACAATCTCTTGGTTGAAATCCTTTGTCAAATAATTTCAAAATATCTCGTCAAAATGCAATACTATCAGAGATGGCACTGTCATTTTCATTCATAAATCAGCCATTATTTCAAATTGCAATTATATCGTACTCAAAATTTGCCGCCCGGTGATTATTACAAAATTAGAAATTGAAATGTCTCGTGTAATCATATTCAATGGTTGGCATAACAGCTTGAACGAATTTGAGAAATATCAGCAAATACCTGGTGTAAGAATCAAGGAAATACACTATTTAACATGTTAAAAACAACTATAAGATATTAACCATGAGAACTTGAGTGCAAACCTCTTTGCCCCTCAGTACTTAAAGGGGAAATTAACAAGAAACGATAAACCAATTCATTGAGAGGAAAAATGAAAAATTATTTGCAGCAACATAGCCAAAGTGCGATAGGATTCCAAACGAAGAAAATTTTGACTGGTCTTTGTTGACATGTTGACAGCCAAGTTAATTCTGACCAATCAAATTTAGTTTATGTACCCAGGTTCCTTCAAATGTACAAATACAGACATATTCGACTTTTGTTATCGATAACACAGGCGAAAGGACATTTGCTCCACCAGTTCTGTATAAAAAAGCTGCAGACAGAAATGCTTTTGTTTCTTAGCAAATAAACTAACATTTTGAAAAGAAACCAAGTACAGGAGGAGCAATGTGTTGAAAATTTAAAAAAACAATAACAATAAGTAATCTGTCAACAGAAAGGTACATTTCAATCTTTAATACATAATCCTATATAAAATGCCAGTAAAATATTAATGATCTCATAAAGAGGGTGAAGGAAAGGATACATATGAACCCCTAAGTCGCCTCCGCCATCTTGGACTGTCTGAATAATCTTCTTCATAACCTCTGCATGCCTGTAAGACCAAATACGATCCCCTCAATTTCCAATAAAGAATTATGGCATTCGAACATTCCATTGTTTCCTTTCTCCAATAGAAAAACCACTATTATGTAGACAGAAGGAGTTCGAATTCATCTTAGAACCCCATTGGTTATATTTTCAATAAGTAAGCAGCACTGATTGGTCAGCGGCACTGATTGGGAAAATGTTTACAGTCATGTGCTCGCGCTTCTGACTGGCCGATTTCGATCCACAACAGGGTACATTCATTTTCTATCGTAGTCGTAGAATTTTCGATCTATGTTCTGAAGATTTATACTTTGGAGAGTGTCAGGCGGAAAACTCTTCTTTGTTGGTTTTTCAAAGCCATTTTTCATTGTTGTACCGCCAAAAATTGTTTACAAAAGACAAAAGTCAACTTCTAAACATAAAATAAAGAAGCAAAAATGAGAGAAAAGCGAGTTAAGTCTTACCTGCATGGATGAATAGATGCTCTAGGTGGGGGCGGTAGATGAGGGTGGTTCTCGATTGTCACTGTTTTGTTTACATGATCCTGGGAAACAAAAAATATCATTTCAGTATCACCATAAAGTGCAAAAGTAAGTCGAAATTTTGAGTTGAAGCTTTAGAGATTCCACTAATGCTAAATAGCTTGCAAAATGCATCCGCTAAATAACTTCCGGTTAAAACTGGTACTGGATACAAAAAATATCTCCCTCTTGGTTACAATCTTGATGAGTCTCATCTCACACAAATGAATTTGAAAATATACTAAATAACACAGAGAGCTTCACATTGGAAAGCTAACTGAATGTTTCATGACATACATTCTTTTTTATTTAACTTGCAATAGCTATTGCGAAAGAGGAAAGGCAAGAAAACAATCTCTAGTAAAAATTCTGTCTGACTGGACACGAATGAGTGTGGCATAGTATTACATAACTGTGACTTGGACAAATTAAAACTCTTTAAGCATCTTGTAGAAACCATTTTAGATTATGGGCCTTTTACTGACAGATACTTGATAATTTTCAGGTTCTATATCCTAATCAATTTAACTTCCATACCTGGCAATTTTAAAAACAGCAGTTATCTTAGAAATTAACTTGTACTCAAGAGTAACAAAAAGAAACATAGAGAAATGAAGAATGACTGTTTACGAAACAAAAAGTAAATTGATAGGCGACATAATTGAAACATGAAGCAAATTTGTCCATAAAATGGCAAGAGTGTGTTCAGAACTGAGAAAAAGGGTTTTTCAAGAAACAGATCTTGAGAGCTAAAATGGAGCGAGGATTGAAGTTGACATTTCGCTTTTTAAGGTTGAAGGTCCCTGGTAATGAAATAATACCTGGCTGATGTCCTCGCACATCTGATCCATGTCAAGAGGTTTTTTGTTCTAAAGAAACAAAATTCAGCAAAAATGTGAAGTTAAATAAAAAGCTTGTATTTATTTATACGTGACGCGAAAAAACAAATCTAAAGAAAGATTGTTTATTAATACAATATTTGAGGAGAATATGGGCATTATATATCCAAGAATTTTTTGAAAATGTTCAACTTTTCCCTGTTTCATAAAAAACGAGAACAGAAGTCATAGCTTTTATACAGAACCATAGATTTACTCAAGCTAATCAAAACCAATTCATTAAAATTACCATCGTACAATATAAATCATACATAACCAATGCTGCTTATGTATTGCTTGCAAAGGTCACAAGTACAACTGAACAAGGAAAGTTCTGAAATATCTCCCTTGCGACAAATGTCCCCTTCTTTCCAATGTTCGGAGAATATGCCACATTCCGTCCTAAAAGCCCCTTTTCTCAAATTAGGCCATCAAGATTCTGTTTTGATAAAAGTTTAAGAGCAGCTGAAGCATCTCGTCAAAAACAGCTTAACATCGACGAAGTATTTGTAATTCAGGGTAGAGCAGGGAAGCGGAAATAAGGAGCCACAAAAATAGCCTCATTAAGCACTAACAAGAGTTAGAAAACGTGGGATTATATCAAAATGTGGGATTACATTAAAATGTGGGATTATTTTAAAATGTGGGAGAATGACAGCATGTAGCGTGATAAATCCCTGGAACACACGCAGAAAGCTATGCAGTTGCACAGCACCTCAAGCGGTTTGAAAAAGTACCTCGTCATAACCAAACAGCCACATTCTTGGAGTCTGGTAATATTTATCATATGTGATGTTCAGGTCGTACGTTCTAGTCTGCAGGATACCATCCTTTGTAGCAGCAGCCTCGTGAAGGATATCTTTCTGGTTAGATGCTTTTGATTTGGTTGTCAGTGTGGCCTAGACAAAAATAGAGCTTTAAAGGTCTACTGCTCTCTTTTTAACAAATAAAAAACCCCTAACAAACTTTTACCGTGTCTTTCTACATAAAAACATATTCCAAATTGAAGAAAATTGTAATACGCGTCTACGTTTGGTATCTTGTTTATCCTATCATTGTATAAACCTAGCTGTAAACACGGTCCCTGTAAATCAGATTTTATCATGTTAGGAGCTCTCAACGCTCCATCGCTTCTTTAAAGGGTCATCATCCCTCGCACAGATGGCAGAGGTGACAAGGAATATACAATACGACTTATCAAGAAGTTATACTTAGAGATACACGTACGATTTTGTATAAAATCATTCAAAGGAGATTTTTGTCCGACAGTCCTAAGAGCAAAAAGTAGGGAAACATAAAAAAGCCAAGCAAAAATGTTTATCCAGATCAGATCGAAATGAACCACAGAGAGAGGCAGAGAGAGGAAGAATGGTGCGTTAGCCTGGTTCCCTATTTTTACAATTCTTCCTTAGAGGTTATATTCCATATGCACCTGGACAAAAATATTTGCTTATCTTCGATCCAACATTTTGTTCTATGAGGACAAAAAGGACTTAGCATAACATGCTCCCGATTTTCCGTGTCATTTAGAAGCTCATTTAACAAATTCGAGGGATTCTAGCATAAAGCCAGTGAAGCATGAGTCAAAGAACGTTTTGTGAAATCAGCAGTAATTGAAATGCTAATTTTTGTTTTCTCTTTAGGCGATCTTCTTTATGTGAAAAAGCCTCGACATTTGCCAGGTACGTAATGATAATTGACAAACTGATTCATGTCTCTTCAATACATTCTGATAAAATAGATCATAGTAAGTAAACAAATAATACCTCGTCCGATTCAAGCATTCCACTCTCTTCGAAAGCTGCAAAAAGATAAATAATTAACGATTGAGTACATGGATTAATCTTAATGAAGATTTCTTCAAACAAATTTTCTTCAAAACTAATAAACTTTCTTTAAATACTTGAAAAAAGTGTAATAACACAGCGCTTTGAAAAGTCACTTGAATTTGAAAAGTGGAAAATGAAACTGAAGTCGCTTTAATTATACTTCAATATCAGATTAGCCCTATGGAAACCAGTCGAATTGTATATTGTATAGCAAATACCAGGTATCGTTGAGGCGACGTACCAAGAAAAATATAGGTGACGTCTTAAATAGAATTAACGTTGGGCTGGAGGAGCTCGATCAGGTCTTTTTAAAGATCAGTGGGACAACGATGTCAAAAGCACAAGCTGTTCTGTCGAGTTCCACGGGGCCTGGCGGTATGGCAATTGTTGGTCCTCCAATCTGAATGGGGTTTACCCCCCCCCCCCCCACCGGATCAACCATATACACAAAAGTTTATAAGTTGGGATGATTCAGTTTCAGGGATAATCAATTTCGTAGAAATGAAAATGACATTACCTTGAACCGCTCAATGTGACAAATAAAACATGGCTGTCCGAGAAAAGTACAAAGATAATATGTTGGATACTTTCCACCTCACCACATGCCCAAGAAATAGTAAAAAACTTCAGAAAAAGACATGTCTAAATGTCGTCCTTCCCCCCTTTCCCTTTCGCAACACCTCTGGACTGTGTTCATATCAGTTGCACGGCTCTTGCAAGTATGCAAAGTGCATTCATGTATGCAAAGTCTTGCAAGTATGCAAGGTACAAATCTTACCTCTGAGAACCAAAAACAGACAGTGGACCGTTGCAAGGTTAGCCCCTTTTTTCTTTCTGATCGGTATAAGATTTTTGGTTCTAATAAAACTTTGGCACACCTCTTGGTAGCTGGAGCATGTTAACTAGGCAGATCGGACGTTACGAACATTTTCCATGACTTTGAGGTTGGATTTTTCTTAGCTTTTTCCTAAATGATTAGGGTGTAAGCAGTGCAATCGCTAGCTCTTGTGCTCAAAGGGAGTGTTTAGGCCCTACTTTCCCACAAAGTGAGTGAGTTATTCTTTATTTGCCGACTAGTTTGAAAATTTCCCGACAAAGCACCGCTAGATGGCAAAAAAACCCCTCGATTTTTGATGGAATTTTTTAAGCAGGTTTCACAACTTAATTCAAAATTACATTTTACAGTACGACAGTCTCAATTTGTTCTTAAATTCTGACCAATTACGAGGCAAGTGTTCTTAGAAAATTGTTTTTGTAAAAGAGAGTTCAGCTCAATTTTTTTGAACTGGCGGTTTCTCAAGTCATTGGATTCATAAACGGAGAATTTCAACAACTCTGTGTGTTACATGGATGTCAGTTGCAAGATATTGTAATTCCTTTAAAAAGATCTGTCTGGTTTACTCTCTAAGGTTGATTGAAAATCGCGAATTGTGCAAATTGCCTTCCCCTTTGCAAACCCTGTTGATACGGATGCTACTTGCTTCCGAAAGAGTCTAGCAACATTCTGACCTACAGGCTTGTATTTGCAAACATTTTAGACCCAACTTCCTACAGAAACGACCTCTTCAATAAACACTCATATCAAATGACGATTGTATGTAGACAATCAAAGCAAAAAACGAAACCTTAAATTGAGGGTGTTTTACATATAACGCAAATAAAGAATAAGAAACTCACCTTCCATATCCTCTGCTTCTTCGTCATCATCTTCATCTTCCCCTTTTTCATTTTCCTAGCAAACGCAAAAATTTTGTCATCACTCTAAAAATCTCACCACCCTAGCAATTAAGGATGATAAGTTGATCTCTTCAAGAGAACGAGACCGTTTTGCCACAAGTATTTATAAGATAATGAGCTCGTCAAAATTAGGTATTCAAGGACTTGTACGATCCCAAGCAAAATCACGATGTCAAAGGCAGATAGTTTGTCTCGTGTACAAATTGTAATGTTTACTTTTACAGGAAAAAATAAGCTCATATCATCATTTTAAATGACAATATAAGGCAACATTATCGAGAAATAAGCGGAAATAAGGGAGCCCGGATGAAAAGAGCAAAAATGCTAAACTATGCAAGAGAAACATTTACATAACTGCCTTCGGTTGTCATTTGATCTTGTGTGTGAAGCTTATCCTAATTTTTGCTAGAATAATGTTTGTTTCGAATTTTTGTTAGATTTTTTGTTTCTTAGACTGCTGGCTGCCACTTTCGATCGCCACAATAACAATCTTTGCACAAAAATGTTTTATTACACATGATATCAAAAAGGTCCAATGACTTACTAAGCTTTACTTTTTGCAAACGGAAATTACTGGAAACAGATTATTTCTATAAAAATCTTGCACAGTACCATACGACATAGCACTTACAATAAGAAAAACTGGGCTTTGTATACTGCAATGTTTTGAGAAAAAATTTCACTAGCAAAAACAATGAATTGCTCAAAGTTGCCTGCCTTTTTATCAACTAACTTGATAAAGTTTAACCAAGCTGCATATATGATTTTGCAACCATATTGTGAAAAACCCTAGTGATGCTTTACTTCGTGTGCCCTTTTAATGATGAATATGTTAAATGTATGTGTTTACCACTTCATCTGTCTTCATCTCCTGTGCAGGCTCCTCCTCAGCTGCAGCCTGGTCACCACTTCCATCTGTATTGTGATGTGTGTCAACCCAGCCACCATCCTCATCATCTTCAACTATTGCCTCATTCTCCTTTATGTGTAGCATTTGGCTACATCTTTTGTAACAAGGAACTGACAAATAGAAAGATATTATTCATAAGAATAAATGGTTAAGCAGCATAACCTAACTTTATGTGACAATTGATAAACACTGCTTCATTAAAAGCTACAATTTGGTATAACTATTTATAAACAAACACAAATATTTTTTATGTGAAAAGCAATATGCTAGATTCACTAACTTGGGAAACAGCTTTTATTGTTAGAGGGGTCTTCAAGTTTCATACAAAAATAAGAGAGGACAAACATTTATGTTGATTTGTCAACTGGATTCAGAGGTTTGTCAACTTTGTTCAGAGGGTCACTTAGTATTTATCCTTGGTGTCATGAAATAAAGTCTTGTAACAAAAATAGCATTATGTGTAACATTTTCTCCTGTTGGTTTCATTTTCCTGCATCTTAATTACAAATCAAAAGCAACACAAAAACACTCCTAATAATAAAAAAACATCTTACCATTTTTTGTGACAAGAAACTGTTTTTCTTTAGGCAGATATGGTTTTACTTTTGATTCATCTCCAGTTGCCCTAGGATTAATTAAAATTGTAGTCCTTTTGAAAGCACTCAAGATTGTCTAATAAACAGCACTTTATTAAATAAATCTGATAAGGAATTCTGCATGATTTCCAAGCATGTAGAAGACCTGGTCATGGCCCCAGACTCCTCCACCTTTTCTGCTGCCAGTAAATAGTTAAGTGTCTGCCACTGGGGGTAACAGCATCAAAGCACATATGTATATAATACATATCTATGCAAGTAGTATATAGGCTAATGTTACAGTCAGATTGTAACACAAATAATAGACTATATACATATGCTATCAACTTTGGTAAGATATATGAATAGAGGAATAATATGCAAAATGAACGGTAGTCCATTATTTCTTGACAAAATGCAACCTACCAATGCCAGGTTGGGCAGTGATGAATAAGGAAGTCTCCTGCAGCCACAAACTGAAAATAACCAAATATAATACAATTGTTTCAAACAAAAGAATTATGTCTGAATTGATGCCTTCAATATCCAATGGAAAAGAATACTTTCTTATTTTGAAACTGATGATACACCAAATAGTTATTAAAAACAACTCAAAGACAAGAGAATAAATCATTATTCTTTAATAAGTTTTTCCCTCCATAAATCTAGCGTCTTGCCTTTTGGATCATTTGTTAAGGGCCGTGCCACTGATCCAACTTAATAATTAAACTATTAATATTTTAAAACCCTTAATAATGATCTGCAACTCATAAAATATAGACCTTTAGAAGTCTAGAATAACCTTCATTTGAGAATTAAAAAAAGATGGCATTCATGCTCCTGCCAATAATCCAGATGTCTCACTTATTTGGAAGAATTTTTGCAAACCAAAAGGACATTAGGAACTGGCAAAAATACTCTAAGATTAAGCTTGATCTCCAAATAAATAATAAAGAAGTTCTTGGTACAGCAAAATTTGAAGGTGGCACAAAATGGCAGAAACATGGCATACTTAAGTATTTGTTCTTCTTTTGTAACATTATGACAGTATCGTACTTAATAAGTATAATGTTTCTGTTATTTCATGCCATTTTCAAATAAATAACACATCAGCAGAGGGCTCAAGGAGCAATTTCAAAGAAAAGTGGTTGGTCATAGACCCAAATACAAAAACCAATGCTAAAGCAAGTCAATGCTTTTATGATGGTTTCCATTTCAGAGTCCAGGCATAGCAGCATTAAGAGAGACTGGAAAACATGAATTTTCACAAACAATACAGCCTCAATGAAATAGGCCCTTATAGAAAATAATTTGCTCACCTCTTCTGGGGTAATCACACCTGTTTCTTTGAACTTTGATTCCTTCAGAAACAAAAACTTATTATATCAATATGAGCTTCTACCAAGATTATTTGCTATAAAAACTGCATGCCTGTGCCTGTACCCCCCATCCCCACTCCATCCCTATTACTAAATGTTTGATGCCAACAAGATATAGCCAAATATAGCCAGTGTGGTTACTCTTGGATAAAATATTGATTTGAATACAATTTGAATAAAATTATACTTGGACAAAATATTGACTGAAAAGGTAATCTAACTCTTTTTGCATACATATCATTATCAATTCAAGCATGCTACCTATGGGACAAATAAAGCTAACAAAACAATTATATTTTCAAAGATCACACTTGTGCAAAATAACGTAAACAACTTCAGATATTTTCAAAACTTCTAAAAGTTTTAGCTAGATGGGCATCCAGATTCTAGTTAGTCCTATAATAATGGATAAGTTTGCCAAGCATTGGAGAGGCTGAATCAGTTACTTGTAACTTGTTCTTGTTATTAGCTCATCGACAAAACATTGATTAGGCCAAACCAAGCCTAGATAAGAAACCAGCCACAGTAATTACATCAAAGAGAGGAAACTGGATCTGACCTTCAGAATAGGCGTTAAATATTCAGCAACTCCAAGAGCTTTGCTTTTTACAGTGTTGAACATATTTTGCATCGCCATTTTTCTGTCTTTGAGGTTCAACCTTTGGAGTGCGAGGGAAACATATACCTTGCATTGACGTTGAGCAACAACAACTTGAAATTATGATCAAGTTGATTTGATGATTCGGGGCATCCATTGATGCGATTACTCGCGATTCAAGCAAATCATAATCATAAACTTCTAGGTCGTACCAAACGACTGGTTAGTGGGGGGGGGGGGGGTTGCGGAACAAAGGAATATTATGGAAATTTGACGCGGATTACCGAAATTTGGCAATTTCTCGACGACGGAATTCTCTACACTTCCCAGACGCGGAGTTTCTCAAAAAGAGGGGGTGTTTAGGAGGGTCCGGAAACCGTAAACCTGTACATTATTTTTCTTCAAACCGCATAACCGCGCAAAGAAATAGCTAAAACTCAAAACATAGTGCCCCGACCGATAATTCTTTGCACCCTATGGAATAAATCTTTGCACCCACTGTTATGGTGCTTTTAGCTCTGCGTTTGCGTTGATGTTACACGTTACGCTATGTTATGAATTTAAATGATGATTAAGTGTTTGAGGCGGCATTTCCAAGAAACAGTGGATCGGGTCCCAACAACAAAGGTCTGACAAGCACTGATTGGTTGTGATGTTTAACGCAACGTAGCCGTAATTGTAGACATAGCCGTGGACGTAACCGTAGACGTAGCCGTAGACGTAACCGTAGACGTAGACAAAACCGTAAATGCACTGTAAGTGCAACCGTAATTGCAAGCCATAAATGTTAAATTTTAACCGTAAGCCTTAGATTTAGCCGTTCAAGTTTACGTTATGCTAACGAGTTAAGGGTAACGAGTTAAGGGTAACGAGTTAAGGGTTACATTTACCGATTGCAGGTGGATGACGTTTACATTACGTTACGGCACATTACGCTACGTTACGCATTTTGTTTGCGTTTACGGTTACGTTTGCGTTTACGGTTATGTTTACATTTGCGTTTACGATTACGGTTACGTTTGCGCTTACGTATATGTTTGCGTTTGAGTTAATATTTGCGCTATGCTCATTCTAAGAATCAGTGCTTGGCTATTTCACTTAACGCTACGTTACATTATATCACGTGACGTTAAGTTATGTTATGTTTAATCATCACAAGCAGTCAGTGTTTGTCAAACACTTACCTCAATTTTTTGGGGTTCGATGTCCTGCTTCTTGGAAACACCCCCTCAAACACTTGATCAACATTCAAATTCGTAATCTATGCCCAAAACACATCAGAAAAAGTTGTGTCGTAAATTCTCCGCTCAGTTGACAACAACGTAAGCTAATAATCAGGTGACAATAATGTAACCCTCCAGCCTCTGGACTATTACAGCATTTCGATCAGCGACTCAGAAAGAATTCAAGATTCACACATGTATTTCATGCGCATTTTATCATAAAAGTGGATAAATAGCGTTATAAAACAAATCGAGCGATATGTTAATATTTGAACTTTGACACTTTGAACTCGAACTATTTGATAATTTAGATATTTGGCAAAGACATTATTTCCGGTACGCTGTTAATTATCGATGTTTCTATTGGTTTTAAGGTCTTACGTGTTTTTAGCTGATGATTGTTTTTTTTTAATATTTAGTAATATGCTTTTATCTATAAATTCGCTGTAGTAGTTTTTAGAGTGAGGCTTTTGGTAGAAGCATGTTGCTGTTTGGTCACAGTGCTGACGAAAGAAGTTGCGTCTCTCTGTTCCTCTCTGCCACAAGTCCCCCACAAGTCAAGTTGAAAAGGGCCGTGAGTTATTCTTTATAGGTATATTCAGTTGCACTGTAGTTAAAGTGTAGTATAACAATATTGTGTGAGATTTATTTGCATAACTAGAGTTGCATATTGCCTTATTCTCATTGTCCATCATGTCACTTGTTTCATTTTGTTTCATTCATGTCATGTGCTTTACTGAGATGATTTGGCAGACTTTGATCATTTTGCAGATTTTTGCATAAGTTGCAATTAGTTCTATTGGAATCAGCCATGCAACAGGCTTTGACGATGCAAATTACTCGCATCTCCCCACATTTCAGCCGAGGCTGAGGGGGTGTTCGGGTTTTACGGTTACGCGGTTTGCCCGTATTTCTGCTTCGTTTTTCGGTTTCTGCCTTAAAATTTATCGGTTTATCGTTTTTCAATATTGCCACGTTAAACGATTGTTGTCGTTATTAGGGTTGGTATTCCGGTTTATAATGTAAAAATGTATGGTTTTTTGGATTTTCGGACGAAATGTCTATTAAAAGCGATTCATGGAATGGTCAGTCCTAATTAATTCATAAAAATAAGGGTTGATGCATAATATTCCTGGCTAGGGAATTGCCAGAGGAAGATTCTACAGTCAAGACAACTTCATCTCCGTTGGTAACTACTGAAATGAAAATATTCAAACAGTCGAAAATATATCTTTAATCCTAATGTTGTGGACAGGGTTGTGCATAGTGGTCTTGGCCAAGAGGCAGCTACCCCAAAGAAATTTTTAAAGCTGGAGTTTTTCATGATCTGCTTGTAAGCAGAAAGGGCCATGTGAGGTAAAATTGCTTCAAAGAGTGAATTTCGAGCAAACTGGAATCAGTCACATTAGGAAATTTTCTGACCCTTATTAGCTGCCTCCGGAGTGAAAAGGGTTTTCAATGGGATACGGAGAATCTTGGTTTGTGCTTACCCTCCGCACCCCACCCCAAGAAGGTGCATTTTCGTGATAACATATAACAAATAAAAAATTCAAATGATTTTCAAGAATGAATTTTTCTTGGTAACTACAGAAAGGAGCCAAAATTTCGTTAATGTTCACCTCCGTTACAAACCAAAACGCTTATCAAGGCCCCTAGCCTATGCTGCAGACCCTCTACTTTCAAGTTGGGGATCTGGAGCACAGGGGCCGTGACCCCCCTGGCCCTAAAAATAGCATCATTTTCTGTTTTAGCTAACTTTCCAAGCGGTTGTGCGGTTTTTTAAGAAACAAATGCACGGGTTCACGGTTTTTTCAAAAATTTCATGCAGTTCTATAGCTTTCGGATCCCCAAAGATTGCTATTCTTGTGGGACAAGGATTGTATCTCTCTATTCACAAACATTGTTGATTTCTGAAATGAAAGAAAAAGCAACAAAACAAGTCAACAGATAAATGCAGAAATACTGTTCAATAGAGGGCGGCGTTTATCATAGGGCGGCATCTATCAGAGGGCGGCGTTCATTAGAGGGAATACGGTACGTTCTTCTGTCTCGAAGGCGAACATCTATTTTGCCACTGTTCCCTTGACAAAACTGGTAATCGCAATCCAACCTAATAAGGGGAGAAGTACTGCGTGGCGATTGTCAGAGATATCGGGCATCTTTGTTAATAATTGAGAATTTCATCAAATGGAAAGCCTTAACCTCCACAATAGCTTTTTCTTCCATTGTACAAGGGCACAACTGATGAATTGTTGGGGCTGCAGCTTCCTCTGAATCTGTACCAACTTCTCTTTTGGCACGGCAAAAGTAAAACTTTATAATATTATCATCATTTCGTAGCCGCAAGCAATTGAAAGCGGGACACTAACTACAGGGAAATTGGAATTCTTCGTGTCAACGTGTAACTTCCGCCATTACTTACAGGATCCCCAACCACTGCTATATGTACTCATTCTTCGTACCCAAAGATTGATAGGCTGCGGCGTAACGGAAGTATATGGGGCCCTGAGGAAAAAAGAGACGGGCCCCTATATATATACTGCAAGAGAGTCCCATCCAAGAGCATGTCAAAGACACTTGCAAGACGCAAAATTGATAATTTCCCTCGCTAACTGTTTGAGTTAAATGCTTAAGTTAAATCACTTTTTAAGTTTCTTAAATGAAGTTAACTTGAGCCAATTCTTCAAAGCCAAGGCCATCACTACAAGGGGGGGTGTTTGGGGGTATGACATCCCCCAGACCCTAACCTTGTCAGCAAATCTTTGAAAAGAGAAGTTTTGTCGGCAAATCTTCGAAAACGGAAGTTTTGTCGGCAAATCTTCGAAAATGGAAGCTTTGTCGGCAAATCTTCGAAAGTGGAAGTTTTGTCGGCAACCTCTTGGAAGCGGGCAAATTTTCAAAAGAAAGACAGAGAATTTTGCCATTTTAAAAAAGATATTATCAGTTGTTGATGACAGCATCAGTCTTTCTTTTCTTTTATTTATTTTTTGTTTTTTATTTCGCTTAATTTAGTTCTTCATTCTAGCGATGGCCCTGTTGAAAACATAGATATTATAAAAAAGAACAAAAAACGTAAAGTAATTGTGAAAGTCTGTGAGCAGATTTTAAAAGGAGGACTCTTTCTTTCAGAAGGACAGTACCCTCGTGGACAGAATCCTACCCAGTGGCTTGTGACACAAACTAGCGCAAAATCTCCTGCGAAGGAATTTGTCTCGATTTATTACAGGGCCTATTGAAACAACATGGCGACGCTGTGTTATAAGTTGATGAGAAAAACGACTGTACAAAACTATCTAACACCAGCTCATAGGTGTTTACACAGTGGTGTCTTCAGCAAATTTTTAAGGTACCTATCGTATACCAAAAAAATTATGCAATGTTCTTTCTGTATCTATATCTTTCAATCATACGACCAGTAGAAAACCATTAAAAATTCGCCACAAAAATCGTAATCTTCGCAGACGGAATTTGTCTTATCTCGATTCTTCTTCTGCCAAATGATAATAATAGTGATACAATTTATTTATTATATTGATACAATTTAATAATAATGATACAATCTAGTTTGCTAGAAAAATTGCCCGTGCTAATAAAGGCCAACTTTACATTACCCTATTTGCAATGTTTTTAAAATAAATCTATAAAATGCAGTTACCGCATCTACATCAGGACCCTTTCCAATCTCTGATTTTCATTTTAAACTGATTTTTGCTGTCTGCAGCTTTGTAATTGTCTGGAAGCTGATTCAAAACTATGCTACCCTTAAATGACAGAGACTTGTTTTCATATTCATTAGTCCCAGTTTTAAGAAGTTGGAGAAGCTTACTTCTTCTTAAGTTATATAGCAGCAGTTTTCTATTGAAGAACTCCCACAGGGAAGAGCTGCTTCCAGACGTGATACATTTGTTTACATCCTGCTCAAGTTTTTGCAAATTTTTTACATGCATTGAGACTTCCTCGTTCCTGAGTTAAGGCTCTTCAAAAATAGAGTCAAAATCATTCACCGCACTCCCAGGCCATACTTATGAATCTGATTTATTTCATTGTGGACAGATTTTCCACAACAATTCAGATGAGTGGGCAATAATTAAAAATTCTCAGTATATGTGAGTTATATAGCAAGCTTGCCTTTTGAGGTTTGAGGTTTTGTGCAACCTTTGAAAAGGTTTTAACCTTGTTTTTGGTCTTTTTGCAGATAGCTTTGATTTTCATTTAGCTTAAGTTTAAGGTAAATGATAACACATAACAGTGGCAAAATGGCTATGTTTTCTCTGGGGTGGCTAAGTCAAGTCTTCTAGGATGGCTAAAAATGCATCTCATAGACTAAAATTTTATTACTTTACCGCTAAGAATAGGTTATTACTTTACCGCTTATTGATTTTTAGAAAAATTTGGAAGGGGAGGATTCATTTGTTGGGAAAAGAAGGAAAGGGTGACCTTTGGTTCAGAGTGCAGATAGATTGCCAGACTGATAGAAAACATTTTTGGCAAACGTAAAATCTTTGTTAGTTGGTGTGCTAAACATGAAGCCATATACATAATTAACACGAAAACATATGACACAAATATTGATTGGGTCATGGCAATGCAACTTGCTTCGATTGTAGAATGGCCTGTTTTATTAGATTGTTCACAGCAAGTTACAACAAAGTGTTCTACCCTTGTACAATCAATGTTGATGTTCCTAGCCAAATATTACAAGCAAACAATTTTGGCACCCCTTATCTCCATTTGAGCTCATATTCAAGAGGGGCCATGACCCCCCTGGCTCCCCTTGCCCAACTGCGACCTAAGAGTTTCACCATATCAGACATCTTTATGGTACCGCCATGAACATCAGTGCATAACTTCCTTAAGTTTATACCAGTTAATTGAATTTTATTTAGCTACTTTATTTAAAGTTTCACTATATGCATAGATTTTGTTATCAGTAGGGAAGTTGCAAGCCTGAGAGTGCTCTTTAGCAAAAAGTAGTCATTGACAAGAATGTGCCACTCCAGCAATGGCAGAGCAGGCATTGTAACTCCCAAGACAACAAAAACAACAGAAAACAAAAAACAATAAAAACTTCCCAAATAAGGGGCAAGCATAAACAAGAACCAAACATGAAAATAAAGTAAAATAGTAAACATCTTAAAGGTAAATGAAAGTGAGTACTGAAAATGTTAAATGCAAAATATCAGAATATACATCAGTGGAGTGCCTGTTTGAAGCAAAAATCACTTTCATTATGTTTTCTCTTTTAGGGAAAGCACCAGCAAAATAAGCTTTAGAAAGTTTAGTAATGCTTTTGGAAATGGAAGAAGGCGTATAGTACGACCTGTTTTGTTTACGTGTTTGGTAAGTTTTTTAATCTTTGTGAAATCACACACGAGTATTCCTTTGTTTTGAAAGATCCTCAATATTTTTTCAACTGGTTTTAAACTATTGATAGGGTTCATCAAAATATACTTTTACTTTTTAGTTTGGCTCTGGTACCTTTGCTTGTTGTACAATTTTACAGTATGAAAGAATCAGGCATGATATTATCAACAAAGGTGTCCATTTAGAAGGATATGGTAGAGATCATAAAGAATTTTCATTTAGAATAGCTGTAAGTGTACCAAATCTATATGTTTAGACAATTTAATCTTGCCTTGAATAGCTTATTTGGTTTTGTTCAATACTGTGTTCGTGTTTTTCTTATAATCTAATTAAATCTTATAAACTTTCTAAAATTCTAGAAATGTGAGAGTAAAATTTTTTCATGCTTGTATGAATGAATATCACTGTATTTAGACTTAGATTGGCAGGGTATGAGTGGCCTTTGTTTGATCAATCTTAATTAAAAATACTTCAGAATTCGGTGTAGGGTAAAGGGATAGAAATTAGAAAAGTTTTGTATTTATAGCCTATAGACAACCTGTAAGGTTTATGTCTCCACAGATTAATAAGTGGTGGAATGGACTAAATGAAGGTCAGAAGTTAGTTTCAGGTGAGCTTTATTTTCTTTAAGTTTCAGCACAGATGCCTTGGATGTCATCTTTCATAAGTTTTCTTTTCCTGCAGCCTTATATAAAACTAGATGCTTAAAGTTTTTGGCCAAAGGGGTATTGCTTCTTGGTGGAAATTTGCCGCTCTTGACATTGGAACTTGTAATTTGTTTTTTCTTCTTGCATTAATTCTTATTAAATAGATTCAAATTCAAAGGCCAAGAAATTTTCTAAGGAATTGATTTTTTCTCTATTTATATGTTGTACTTGGTTACTAGGAGAAAAGGCGTGAAAAATTGTACAATAAAAACTGTGGCTACCTCTTGGCTAGATTTCATTTTCTTCAGTATTCTATCTGCATGGCATTGACTACTATAGTTCATCAAGAGACCTTGAAAAACCTTATAAAGTTTATGTTTGATTATTTTTATTGGGGCTTGTTATCATCACTTAGATTGCTAAAACCATCATCAGAATTGAGGAGTGAATCACTCTTAAAAATCTCTTAAAAATTGCTAAAAAAACTCAAAATCTTTAAAATAAATCATGAAATCTAAGAAATCTCACCAAAATCTTACAATCGTAGAATTGCATGTTGAAGGGTATTTATGCTATTCTAAATAAAGAAATTCTAAAAATAGATTTTTGATGTCAGCAACAAAACTTCGAACACCAACATAAAAAAGTTCTCTTTTTAACATCAAGTTTTGAATCCCCCTGGGTAACCAATTTAAAGCAGCCGTTTTATCCTTGTTAGAAATCCATTTTAGTTTGGTGCACACGTTTCGAAAAAATCTATTGCTCAAAGAACAAGCTTTTTACGGTGCACTGTTCCTTAACAGGCTGTCATCTGAATATCATAGTTATCATAATCGACTTCCTAAATCGCAGAACTTTCATCTTTAAGATCTTGCTTTTTACAATGAAATGTCAGATTTTAACAAATCCTAAAATCTACTGAAAAATCCCAAAATCCTCTGCTTAGCGTGAAATTTTTCAGAACGTGTGTTTTTCGGAACAAAATCTCTAAATCTCGTACACCTTTTTCGTAGTGATTCACCCCTCGAGCAGAATGACATATTAAAACCTATCCAATAATGCATACATTCATAAAATTGCGTGCTGAGCATAAAGATGCATTTTTTCTCAATATTGCAGGCATCATAGCATTGAATGCATGTGTGTTTATCTGCTGGCAGATACCAGCATTCCGGCATTTTATGACAAAATGGTTTACAGCGAGTGCGTTTAATGGTAGGTTTTCGCTGTATTGCTAGCATCATTTTTCCTGAAATAACGAACTCTAGCGTCCTATTTCATTGTTGTCTTTGTCATAAATTAACAGTGCTTTTCTTTATATTTATGCTATATATGATATACTCTACGCAATGTTTATTCATATTTAATGTTTTCAACACTTCACAGAGCTCACGTTTGATACCCATTGTCCATTCATTCCATGTTTCAATTTACCCCAGGTAAAACTCTACCGATGTTTCTTTCAACATTCAGCCATGCAGAGCTGTGGCATTTAGGCTGCAATATGCTGGTCCTATGGAGTTTTGCGTCTCCTATTCAAGGTTTGCGACCTATGTTCAAATTGTGCCAATAACATCCCCAAGGACTGTATTTTTTAATTAGTTACGCTGTTAAAGTCTTAGCGAGATAATTTTAGGTTACTCCGTCCATTTTCTCAATGCTTCATTCTGGGTGTTATTTGTGTTAGAAAATTCAGTACAGCTGAATCTTGTTAAGAAGTACCCCAGCTAGGTCGGAATTTCATTAAGTTGGACTCAATTCAATTCCCTTGGGATTCTCTACATTGTCCAAGTCAAAATTCGTACCCCGGATAGGTCGACCATTGGCCAAATCGTACCATTTCATTACCCTCTTTCGTGGTCCATTTTAATGGGATTCAGTTATATTTCAATACTCATTACATCTGGTAATTTTGCAAAGCTCAAACCAGAAACTCATGAAATTTCTTTTTTTGTAGATATGTTAGGCCCTGAACAGTTTTTAGCATTTTATTTGACTGGAGGTAAGCAAGATTCCTTTTCCTCTAAAGATAGTTATTGTTTGGTTGCTCTTTTTGATGTTTGTGCATTTAAAGGAGATTTCTTGTCAATAAATGATACTTATAATGTCATATTTGAAAAATAGATGTATGTATTTAACTTTGGAGTTTGTTTGCTTAATCAGTGTTAGCGCAACTGGAAATGGTTAAGGTGTAGTGGAATGCCCTTGTTCAGCTAGTCTTGATTTTATTGTCTGTCAATTTTCAGAGAGCGATAGAAGAATAGGATAGGATGTTAAGAAGATTTAGAGGTAGTTTGCAGAGGAATATGGGATATTCTTTGACCAAGCTGGCCCTGTAACTGCGGCAGTCTTTCTTTTACATATGATTTTTCTATTATCCAAATCTATTATGTCAGGTTTAGGATAGTTTGACATCTCGATCTTATTTGACGAAAATTTGAAACATATTTCAGATCATTAACGCACACAAAAGTATTGGTACAGCTGTGTTTAATACAGTGTTTCTTAATTTAGAGAAGCTTGTTTGAATATTACCTTTGTGATGTCAGTCGACCTGTTATCGTGAATAGTTTTATCCACGTTTATTACAGGCTCATTTCTTTTTAGGTGTTTTTGCAGCTTTGTGCAGCCATACTTTAAAAATCATCACAAAAAGCCCAGTTGCTTCACTTGGAGCTGTGAGTGTGCCACTAACATAGTATCATTTATTGACCATTATTTCATCATCAATGCATTTCATTTCTCCTGCTCTGAATTACATTTCCTTTGACAGGCTGATTAATTTATTGTAATTAGGTCCTGATGTTAATTGTTTTGAATCAATCATATTTTGTTTTATTTCACATTGTTTGTTTAGTTTTATTAAATTTAGGCAATTTATCCAGCTTTATTTTTGCATGATAAAATTGTCAAGATTTTCGAAATGTAATCTAACTATTATGATGTATTCAACACAGTCCATTAAAAGATTACAAATGAGTATTGTTGCATACTTTTCACTGTCAAGTTCCTGGAATAAAACATTGTTAGAGCGTCATATGTCATCATCAATCATATGACTAATCTTTGTCCTAGTCTGGTGCTTTGCTCGCCGTCTTGGGGGCTGTATGTATCGAAAAGCCAGATGCCAGACTTGCAATTCTATTTTTGCCGTTTTTCTCCTTCTCTGCTAAGACGGTAATATATCTTTTTTCAAATGAATTTATTGTCTTATATCTAAAATTATCACCTATTTTCAACCAGAGTTATTTTCTTGCCTGACTTTGTGACAATTGTTTCCACAAGTTCTTTTCAGGAGATGAAATGATTATAGTATTATCTTAAATTAAGAAAAATTATGCTTTCCGCAAGTACCATAGATTTACATTATATATGTTACTTTTGTTAATTTTATCTAACCATCCCTTTTTGCGTGCTGTCTTAGCTATACTCTAATCTATGAATAGTATGTTGGTGATATATTGAAACCCTGATTAGCTGAGGTATCTCAAAAAGGGACACTTGATAAATTGATTTTCTCGGTACACCTTCACTGATTCGCTGCAGGGTCGCCGGATTTACCAAGTTATCTAGGCACACGGGCAGAGATGTTCGAATTGCAAAATTGTCCTCTCTCCTATTTTCAATTAAAAACTCAATTCGCTATAACGACAATCTACGGCATCTGTAAAACTAGGTCCCAGTCGTAATCGAATTGTCCTAAGTAACTTTGCGGACTAGCGCAACAGCACGAACATAACAATGTAAAAGTGTTAGAAGCAAAGAGACAAAGTTGGTTCACATCTTCAAACAACTAATAAGTAACGTTTTCCTAAAAATTATTTTTTGCGGTTAGAGCCCTATCGGGCAAACTCAAGCCCACAAAAAGCCCCCTACAACGGAGAGTATCTCTGGCTTACAGATGTTCGCTATATAGAGGCTTTGGTACTTTCTGTTAACATTAATCCTGAAGTCAAAGAATTATTCTCACATCAATGTTATCTCTTACAAACTGTTGCATAGTAATTGAATTTTTTGCTTAATAGGCTGATAACTTGTAAACATATGCCTATCCACGTTTGGAAATTTTTAATTGAGGTCCTTTGTCACGTTACTGAGTTTCTAGTGAAACACGATTAATAGCAGTAGCTTGTTAGATAGTCGAGAGTAATTATGATCGTAATTATGGTCGATGTTTTCGGTGGTAATTATGATCGATATTTTTTCTTTAGGCTTTAATGAGTATTATTGCAGTCGATGTAGCTGGCCTCGTCTTCAGATGGAAACTGTTTGATCATGGCGCACATCTAGGTGGAACTTTATTCGGAATGTAAGTTTTCATATCTTTTGGGAGATGATAATAAAAATGGTTTCTCAGCAAAATCTGGCACTTCGGTCATTGCGAAAGTAGAATTGTTGAGTCATATGTGAATCTTCAGTTATCAATAATTCAGTAATTCAGTTTTAAGATCTCCTTAACTATCACCTGATAAAGTATACAGAGGATCTGGGTATTGGGGTTTATGTAAAGGATCTCTGATCTCTGATCTCTGACTGAAAGTAAAACAAATCTATAAATATTTAATGTATTTTGAGTTATCATTCATGAAATTGTCTTATGGGGTCTTTTCCAAACCTTTTCTATACCATTCATCTTGGGTCATACATTTTTACTATTTTTTATAAAATTTATTGTGTTCATCTAAAATATCCCAATAAGGAATCCTGAGATTCAAGAGGGAATACTTTGCAACCTCCCAACATCTCAACCCTCAACTTCTAAAAAAACTTTTTCTCCGTCGAGAGTTTACTATTTTTGTGTCCTGGTCAAGGCTGTGGACTCTTCACATTAAATGGAATTATACTTAGCGTTGTATTATATAGCAAACTTGTCTTGGAGAGTATATAGCAACGCATTCGCTAATTGCTGTTAAATCTTTGCCACTGGAAGTGTTATCTTGGCATTGTCTGCCATAAATCTTCGAAGCCCTAAGCAGAATTCCGGTTGCAAAGAATACTTTTCGGTGATAGCCGGGACGCTAGCATGTTAGCGGTACTGCGTTTGCGGCCCTTTTCATGGGGATTTTCCTGCCAGGCTTTCTATCAATCCGTAAGGGCAAATGGATTAGGTTAGCTGGAATTCTGCCAGTCTTAATTTCTTCTATTCTGGGTTTAAACACCGCTATGTTGAAAAATATCGGTTCTTTTTGTGCTCAAGATTCCAGTTTTCTAAGCAACGTTTTTGCGCAAGTTAGATTTTGACAAATTAAGGTTGCCAATAATTTTAAAGACGAATTTTTTTTATAGTTGGTATGTGAAGTATGGACACCAATTAATTTGGGAAAACAGAACTCCTCTTCTGCAATGGTGGCATAAACTGAGAGAAAGCAGTGAGCGGCGGTGATAATTGTTTCTTTAGGGTCTAGTGAGAACAGTATCAAATATCGTGCAATTTACCAAATGATAATTCAATTATTCGTTTAATTAATAACTATTGTTATATGTTCTGTTCGCTCAAAGTCCATAAATTGCATCTCATTTCGTTGTTTAATACCTACTTCCGTTTTGCACCTATTTGATATCATTTCTGTGTATGCAAAATGTATACCAAAATTACTGTAGCTACTGCAATTTTTAACTTTATTCTTTCTTTTGAAGATTTGCACGTTTTTTCTCGATGCTCGCATGGCATTACCTGCTTCCCTTCATATGATACCCGTTATTGCATCATAAAGGTGGTCTTATCCGCGTGGTAATACCTGACCCTCCTCCATTTTATGTAGGTTTCATACGAGCAGCCCTTTTTGTTATTTTGGTGGGGTTTTATGACAGTTTAAAATGAAAAAAAACATCCAGAAATCAATCGTTGTTCTATTCAAATGTATTTCTTTTCCAGTTCTAGTCTCATTTGACTCGTGAAATTCCCAAATATCTAAGCGATACTTTTGATTGTTACTTATAAAAATTTTTAACCTGTAATTTTACAAATGTAAAGATGTAACAGGGGCGGAGGTAGGGTTGGAAGTACCCTCTTGAAGGAGGAAGTTTTCACCATCAATAGGCTCTAAATGGCGAGAGCCCCATTACCCAATCGAGGGACCTTTACTGCCCCTAGACGCCTGTAGGGCACGAAGTTAAGACCAGTTACGTTTCTCGTTATTTTATGATCCTCTCCCTCTAAATTCTTACCTACGCCCCTGTGTAAAGTTGCAGTTAATATTAGAATTTGACTAGAAGGTTGATTTTTATATCCTAAAAACTGGTTTATCAACTAGTTTCCTCTTCGTAAAAGCGTTAGAGCTCGGTGTCGTCTTTTTCTGATAAGTAACCTGATATCATGCAATGTATTGCTTCATTCGAACCCGGTTAATACATTTTTCGTTTACATCTCAACCCCCCTCAAGGCTTAATTCGTTTTAGGTACAAATGGGGAAATTGGATGGGAGATGTGTTATCGCCATGCACGTTGGTATTTCTGAGTTCTGCTGTACAGAAAAATTAAGCAAAATCAATGCTTTGTTATGTATTTGAGATGAACACCATTGTTTTAGTTGACCAATAAACAGCGCGACAGCGTGCCTACAAGAGTACTCTATACGCGGTTCCCTCTAGCAGAGACCTTAAGATCTGGCACCTGTGGATAAGTTGCCCACAATTCCTCTTTTCAGCAGATTTGAAAGCGATTGGTCACCAAAGCAAAGGCGCGATTTTCCCAAGGGTATGTTCACATGATGATCGCGCTTCAGTTCAGTTGAGCAGTGATCCTCTGGGAGTTTCGAGCTATTAAGTTAAAGCACCCTGTTGAGCCTTGCAGTCCCTTGTGGTTTGCTATTTGCAGTATCAAAAATATTACATAAAACCAACTTTGTGCTTCATGCTTTTTAAAATGATCATGGGGTCTCCAGAATAATAAATTTATTGCGTTTTGGAACTTTTGGTCCGTCTGTGGAGAGGAAAATATTTTGAAGTCGAATATAGTCTAACAACCAGAAGTGATAAATGAAGATACTGAATTAAACGGTAAGAATTTTACTCTGAAATCTGTTGCCGAGCTTTGTAGGAGTTTTAGTGCTTAAGGCTGTAAAAATTCTGTCAAAACATGAGTTATCAGGGTCACAATCGGTTAGGAGTTGATATTTTCTATTTAAGTAGACAACGACTCCATCTGCGTGGTAAAAGATAAATGCAAAAGTTCAACCGCCACAAAAAATATTTGCAAATTTATGAGCACAAGGGCTTAAAGAGTCTGACGATTTACATAAGAGAGGTCAAGGGTGGTGTCATCGCCAAAAATCTGTTTTTGGAATTTTAAAGTTTTGGCCACCAGTAAATGCTGCCCGATAGCGGAATCTGTTTTTCTTGTTGTTTTAATCTGCCAAGGAGGCTGATTAAGGACAATTTGCAAGACGTTTTATACTCTGAAGAGTGTTAGACGAAAAGCTTAAGCATGACTCAAAACATTTGTTTTTTTAAAAGCCATTTTTAACAAGTGACTGTTATTTTTGCTTGGTACATAAAGTCATGAACAGAGACCGAATTGCAGTGATTTGATGGGGAAAGAGCCTTTTCTCCTGTGGCCATATCTTAGCCAATATTTAACCAATTTATGTGACATGGTACTGGGTCTTCGAAACTGGAACTAGATCATCGAGTCTGGTTTGGAACTGGATCGAGTCTGGTACCAACACAAGACAGGTACCGGACCGCGTTGGATTATTGCATAGGCCGTGGAGAAGGCTGCAAAATTTATACAATTTGATGGAGATGTTTAGGTTAAAATAACAATTCTTGAGATTGATTCGTGGTTAACATTATACCATGTCAGTGCCACGAGATTCATCAGCATTTTCTCCACCGATAAATGAACGCATCGCATTTTCAGAAAATTAAAATGACAAGGGAAATGAAAATGACGCAAGAAGGAAAAGGCCTCTTTGTTTTTCTTGTCCATTTTAAAGAAAAAAGTTCTCTTCATTAACACTTTCAGTTAATTAGGAAATAATTACTCAAATGAGTAAATCTACTGAATTCTGGAGATGGACATACATTGAGTAGTGCATGTTAAGATAAACGGATTACTGGCACACAAGTGTCGAAAATGCAGAGAAAAACGCAAAGCAAATTCAGGAATTTTGTTTAAACCATTTTCCATGACATCTTTATCTATACGTTGAAACTATTTACAGCGCATTTTAACATAGAAAATTGAAAAAGTAACAGATTTTAATTAACGGTCAGTTGAAGACCTAAGAAAGCTTTAACGTCGAATGATATTAACTAGGCTTATTGCAATCATCTCACCGCTCCTGGACAAATATAGTTTCTTGAGGAAAAAGCTTTTCCTCTTTCAAAGTTCTTGAATTGTCTATGTCAGTGAGATTTCTACGTGGAAAGTTCACTACTATTTCATAATCTTTACTTGGAAAGCCAATAGATGCTATATAGTCTTGTAATTCCTGAAAAAAAGGTAAATATAAAACTGATGATTTATAAATAAACAGTGCAGGGTGTATTTCAAATCATAATTTTGGCTGATCTTGTAACGCTTGTAAAAAGGCAGCCGTTGCCTTTCATTCGATTTTTAAGGTCAGTGACGTTTGTGGGCAAAAGAAAGTCACCCTGGAAAGAGATAAAAGATTCTGCAGATACGATTTACCCAAAAGAAATAGAGGATTTGATTTGAAAATGATTTGGAAACAAAAATGACGATGAACACAAAAGATTTGAAAATGCGAATAAAAAAGCTTGGCAAATACTTTACGAGCAAAACGGACATGCTATCTTTGCTACCGGCTATCTAGCTCAAGTTCATTTAATTTTGAAGTTCTTATGAAAAAAGACTGAATATTTCTTCAAAAATCCAAGGAGTTTGTGCGTAGGGAATTTCTTAAAAAGCTATCTTAATTTTTAAACTAGTCGAGAAAAGCACCCCCTGAACTGAAAGCCCGTTATTCAAGTTACAACATTTTGATTGCTCTACATGGAAATGGCCACTGGAAAAATCAGCGATTATTTTCCTTCCAATTAGCGCTACAACATTACTGAAGCCTTGGCCTACCTACAATTAAATATTTCGTTGAGACTTTGAAAAAAGTTATATACAGAATGCAGACAATTTTTCATCTCCCTTCTGTGGAATCCTGAACAATAAGTGCAAATAACAGAGACGCTTTAAAGACAGCAAATTCTGTAACTTGAGAATGTCTTGTTTCGTGATTAGAGAGAGATTCGGCTTCAAATTCTCTTTTAAATTAAGTCTGAATCTCTTACTCTAATGAACAAATCTCTGAAACTTTGTAACTCCGTCAATGGACTTGAAAAGTTAATAAAACTGGTCAGCATAACCATATTGGCTTTATCCGATTAGATGAATAACAAGAATCTTAAATCTTTGTGGATATGGTCAACACAACACTTATTTTTTGGACTTATCTTAATAGGATTAAAGGATATGTATTGGAAAAGAAGATATAGGTCTGATTTATACAACCCTTATCTAGTGGCAAACATCAAAAGGAATATCGTCTTTCTAATAAAATCAAGCTTTTGTATCTTGATAATATCAAACACAATAACCTGAAGAATAAATAATACGAGGCGCAATGCAACTAAGCGAGCTACAAATGTAAATAAAGACTTGTGGGTCGGTGGAAAGTTTGTCTTCGTGACTGAGATCCAAATTTAGCTCAGTTAGTTAGGATGAAATTATAATTTCGAATGAAATTTAAGATTTTATTTGTCAAGCATGGCTAATTCTTATTGTATCCCTCATCCCTCATAAATTTTCATAGTGATTTTCGAAGATCCTTCGCTCCTTATTCAAACCTCCAATTTCATTGAAAAGAGCACACAAATAAAAACTGGAAATTCGAAATGTCCTTACATAATTTATCGAAATTCAGACTTTATTATGACCTCTGCTTATTCAATCCTGCACCCTGCTAAAGAAGCTTCAAGGACGGAGGCGAGTACTGGCTTACTTCATTGACAAAGATTTCACTCGACAATTTATCAAAACAAGGCCAATTTAGAAAGAGACATTAGGTTCCAATCCAGCAAAACAAACACATCATGTCTGCTATATACATTCTACTTTTTACAGTATGGAAATGATTATATGCAAAAATTTGTGTCAGATGACAAAATTCGATACCGTTAAATATGTTTTGTTGCAGCAAAAGTAGAGCAACCATAGTTGAGATACCCTGAGTTTTAATATCATGAGGGGTTATTACGGCTTGTCTGTAGTAAGCTTAAAAGACTGTAGGTTTTAGAGAAGACATTTAGAGAAGATAAAGAAGACAGCTGGGAACATTGTTCTTTACAAAAAAAGATAAAACTCAAAACCAGATACCTTAAGTGTTGCATCAGCAGACATTTGAATTTGTTTTCTATTCCCTTCAGGCAGACGAAGCATAAGTTTCGTGCAGGGTCCTGCAAAGAACAATAACTACAAAGTTGCAAAAATGACCCTCATGAGACATGAAAAGCTGATTCAATAAAAGAAAATCCCTTGTACGAATCAAATTAAATTTTATCAGCATTGATTTCTCGTAGAATGTTGTGGAATTTGATTTCACTAGGGATTCGTATTTTACTTGAATTGTTTTATCCATATTTTAGCGTAAGGTTCATGCTTTCAAACGTGTATTCCGCCTTCGTGTGGTGTTTAAAACGCTTTGGGGAAAAATAAGAGTAGTATGCTCAGACGAGTGTATTTAGATACCCTTGGTACGGTTTTTTGTGACAGTTAGAAATGCTACTTCACGCTGCGTTCTTTTACCGTCACTCCCTCCCCTTTTGGTACAAAGCATAAAGAATTAGGGGAGATCCCCTCGCTCTATCAGTTCAAACGAAAATTAAAAACACATTTGAAGCGTGACTTCCAGGAAGATCAGACGTCTGCTTGAATTCAATAATAGTCTTAACCTAATCTTTGTCTTGCATAATAAGCCTCTTACTTATTCACAACTTGTACTTTGATTCTGATGGGGCATTGTGTAGAAATATGAATTTAATAAAAAAATAAACAAATAAAGCAAACGGGTTTTCTTTGGATTCTTGTTAGCTTTATCGATCTCTTACAAGTTAAGGGTTCATTTACATCGCAGGATTCTTTTCACAGTTCTTTATGTTTGTATTTAAGATCGACTCGGCTCTCTTGCTCTCTCATACCTTAGGTATCCAAGGTATGCCTGATGCATCGGCTCCATGGTGGGGGAAAGTGAACTTTTTCTGTTCCTTCCCTTTCCAGAATTTAAGTTGCTTTGTCACATGAGCCCATTAAGATGCATATATGGGCTAAGTGGAGCGACTTGAGGGAATAAAGCCTTAAGACCTTATTTGGCTAGGGATATGACAATGTCTTCTGAAGGATCTATTTTAGTTAATTTCAAAGAGATCCTTTGTTGATGTTTCTTTCCCGTGTAAGAAATACACCTTAATGAACTTCACTGTGACCATATCTGGCACATGTAAGACACGTTTGATGATCTAGTGTCCCACAGTTGGTTCTCCTATAGCGTTCTCCTTTGGGGCAAAACAGTGCATAAAAGGCAGTTGAGGAACAATAGAAAGAAAGAAAAACAAAATAGAAAAAAAGAAAGGGAAAGAATATAGGGGAAAAGGAAAGAAAGAAAGATTGAAATGAGAAAAACGAAAAGATTTTAGCTGCAGCTTAATTCTGTTCTTAATGCATATTTGACAAAAATTTGCGAATGATAGCATGAGGAAGAACTTCCTTGCATTCTCCAAGTGACTTGCTAACCAAACTTGTCTAGCCTTTTCCAACAAGTAAATTGTTTACGCAGTCCCAGTGAAAGGGGGGGGGGAAAGAGCAAAAACGCCCTGGGGTACGGTGCCGCCAAAGGGTCCGTGTTAGTGCAAAATGAATTTTTCTACGTCATTTTGAGCAGAAATAAACTTTTTGTGTGGGAGAAAGAAAATACCGTATTTATTCGATTATAAGCTTTCCTTGTTCACAAGCCGCTGCAAATGGGGTTCTCAAAAAAAAGGAAGTGGCCCTTTATTATGAGCCAGTAAAACAAAGGAAGTGGCACCAGTAAAACAACGCAATAATATTTGGTTTGAAATGACGCACGAGTAACTGATAAAGCCTGATTGTGTACTTAAACCAAAAAATAGGCATTGGAAATAACAACAATAACGTGTAGCAAAGGATTATCGATAGCTTCAATACTAGAATTATTGCTTTGTCGTCTTCTACGTTATGACCCTCAGCTTCAAGATAGCTTGGCAAGATCTAGATAAATTAATGTAACCCTCAAATGTAATCGTGCCAAAAAATAATTATAAGCTCCGTGGCTTATCTTCGAATAAATACGATATTCATGTATACTAGGCTAGGTTTAGTGTTCTTTCAATCACACATATTTCACTCTTTTTTCAAATGCATGTCGCATCTGGGTGGTCTTCTGTGACAAAGTTGGTACATCTAATAAAAAACGGCCCATGCGTCATGGCTCTCGACGGGCCTGTCCTTATGCTTTGTGGTTGTGGTTCTAATTATAGCAACAATATTTGCTAAAACGATTTGCCGCTGAAATACCCCAAGACAAAAAGACAAAACTTAATGCAAGGTGATGGTGGAATGGTCCTTGTTTTCGTAGTGTGGTTTTGTTTCAGGCTGCTTTTGCCAAATAAACTTTTTAATAAAATATTTGTAACATATCAATGTTTCGTGTCACATAACAATGATAGTAACAAACAATTCTTCTGTACTCTTGTGACAATGATATTAAAACGGAACAATTATGTCCGCCTGTTGAGACATTGAGACTATTCTTTTATCGTAAATACACTACGAAGATCAAATTAAAAGTGACATACCTGTAATTTTTGAAACATCTTCTCCTTCCTCTACAACATTACAACGCGACGACTCCAGATTACCTTTGTCAAGACTATTGGCTTTAAATTTATTCGCGCATTGGTTAATTTCACTATTAATGGATGCTCTATCATCGCCACGCTTAAGTTTTGAGGAACAGCTTTCGTCGTCGCTGTATTCAAACGACTCGATATCTTCATCTTTATCGTTATCACTTTCCTCGATGGTTTCCGACCTTCCACTGTGGCTGTCCTCCTGCAAAGAGGCAGCAATTGCAGCTGCTAGTTGTTGGTCTTCTGACTTCTCAAAGACAGGATCCTGTTGACAGACAAAATAACACGTGTGCAAGGGCTAACAGTCTTCAGTACCAATGAGTTTCAAACTGCAAAAGGGCCTAAAGATAACTCTGAAAAGAGCTTCTAAACCATGCAGTAGATGAAAAAATATAAAGGGTAGTGCCTTAGACAAGAAGATATATTTAACGTCAATTTATATCAACTTGTTCTATTAAATTTTATCAAAATGTTTGTTTATCAAATCGTTTTACTCAGGGTACAAATTCACTTGATCTACTGATGTGCAGTTAGTCCTGCAAAAGTCTTTTCTCTTCATATAAGAGTAAAATGTGTCACAGGTTTTGATACGTGCACTTTTTGTAGCGATGCAGCCAAATCTTGTTTATCAGCACTTTTAAACAGTATTAGTTTTTGGCAATACTATGTAATTTCATTACAATATGCAATGCAAATATCCAAACAAAAAGAAAGCAGATATGATAAATAGCTTTCAAAAGCAGATACATCAGAATCGATAATCAAGTGCATATTAAACGGAGACATGGTTAAGTAAATTACATCAGCGATAAATACATTTATTAAATGTTTCTTACTGTCTTTTGTCTTTTTTCTGGAGGAAATTCATTTTCACTAATAAGATCCGGGTGCGCAATTAAAAACTGTGTAACTGCAAAGCAAATTGTGCATTATGATGCATCAGGATTCAAGACAACGATCGTTCTTGAGGTTATGTGACCGAGCACCTAGCGGAAATTTCCACATACTTCATACACCGGGAAAAGGTGTTCAAGCCTATGCAAAAACTCTAATACAGTAACGCCTCGCAAATAAGCAACCTTTTTCTACTTAGCCTAAGAAGTTTCTTTTTCTTGGGTCTCTTTTTAGCCTAAAAAGTCAAAGCCTTTTAGAAAATATTCGAGCCTGAGAGTTTATTAAAAGTGGTTTCTCACTTGCAGGATCTTACTGTAAAATTGAATAAAAATATTCGCTACATAAGAATTTGGTATTTCAGCATATGAAAGTCAAATCCTACCATAAAGTTAATGAATGAAAGATTTTTACAGTATATTCGTGGTAAAAACAAAACTCGGTTTCTCTAAAGAAGGACTGATATTGTACCCAAGTATAACAGGCAATTATTTTTAAATCGATAATAATTAAAACACAGCGATATATGTAGTAGACTAAAGGGCATTTGTACAAAAGAAATTAAATGTTTCAATCGCCCGATCATTGCCAAAGTTTAAGGGACAAAATGAAATCCAACAACCTACCTAAATCGCAAAAGAGCTGAGAATCAATTTTGTCGTACGTTTCCCAAACTGTTAGACATTCACCTGTAAATATGACATGCGGGCAACATTGACAAAGACATGATAGATTATCAACAAAACGATAATTAACTTAAAAAAATAAATGAAAGAGCAAAAAGGTGGATGGGCAGTATGCTCTACTTTGAAATAGCCAGACCTCCTCACAGTGTAGGTAAGATGATCTCTTATCCACTGTTCTCTAGAGCTTACAAATTATAATCCTATTGGTCGCCTATTGTGTCTGGTAAATATGAATTTATCATTGCACCGAGAATTATGTTAACAGGTCAAGGATAACAGATCCATATATCAAAGAAAGTAGAACTTACCAGTTCTTGGGTCAATTATTGATATGTTTGGAAATCTTTTCACTGGATAATAAATCATAAATCGTTGTCCTTCCTCACTGTCGTGATAAACCTGCCATAGATCGCGATAATTTATCATTTGTCGTGATAAACAACAAAGTTATCGACTGCACAGAGCTAAAAACCTCATAAACTGCAACTTCCCTTTCTTATTCCAACATGCATTCTTTCCTTTTTTTTCCTTCCTTCATTCTGCTGTTCCTCTTTCTACATACCTTACTCCATTTTTTTTCTTTCCTATTTACTTTATTAACTACTTCAAATATATTTTCATATCTTCACATAGATTCTTCAATATGAAAAACTTCTATTATGAATAACACAAAAATAAACTAAACATGATTGATATCTGGATCCTGTTATTTCAAAAAAACCCCAAGTTTCAATTACAGTAAAAAGTCATGCTTACCTGCCATAAAATAAAATGTTCTGCAATTAAGTCTCTGACTAAAGAATTACTCCAAACATCTCTGTTCAAGGTTTGACAGGAAAATTCTTTTACATCTTGTATGTTTACTAATAACCATTTGCTTTGCAGTTTACCAGCTTCTTTTGCCTAGGTTGACAAGTTGAAATTTTTTAAGAGGTTTCAAGAGGTTTTAGACATACAAAGCACAGTAGTAGAGGTTTTGTTGATGCAAAAGACAAAATAAAATGAACAGCCATTGGAAATTGACACAAAATGTTGCTACAACAGTTTCTGGAGGGTGGTTTAAGAAACCAAATGAATAAACTAACCTACAACAACAACAAAGTACCATTTGCAATACAAAGATGGTTTCAAAAAACTTCCTGTTCTTGAATGTACCCTTGCTTTGAACAAGTCTTGACCACAAAATTCAGTAAGGTCATGACAACTTAAAATGGGGGGAGGGCCTGAAATCTGTTTATCAGTATATTCTTACAAATAAGCTTCTAGGCACATCCTTAAGTATTAAAAATATCAATTTGAATTACAATAGAAAGTTCTGTATTAGGAAACATACCTCTTCAAAGGTACCTTTAAAGGTAATGTCAATAGGAGGGCGAAAGAGATCTTGCAAGGTTTTGACTGAATTTGAGCTTCCTGGTGACTCTGCTACTACCAATGGTGAATCATTACCACTATTGAGTATTTCTTCTTGCCTTCCTTCAGATATGAAAATTGATTTGTTCAAGAAAAATTAAGATTCAACAAAATTACAATCCAACAAATTTAGAATGAAAAAAAAGTTTTGTGACAAAAGAAAGAGCATCAGGAAGCAGTTTACTTCTTTTGTACATATTCAATTAATCAACCACAAATAAAGTCAGATTCATAAAAGTGAGGCATATGGATACAAGCAGATTTTTTATTCACAGATCAAATGAGCAACTCCATGTTTATTGCTGGTTTAGATTTTTGCAAATTTCAATTAACAAGTCTACTTAATGCATTCTTCAATAGAATTTTATCGTTGGTCATGCGGTTTCATGGAAAGTATTCTTCTAGCAAATTTATAGATTTTAGGTCAATCATGTGCACACAACTGATAACAGTAAAATAATTGACAAGAAAGCTCTTGAAGCAAGTAAAACCTGCTGGCTTAATTTATTCAAGTGTGCATCTATTCTTTTGAACAGTGCCTTACTTGCTTCAGCTTGAAAGTCTCTGAAAGCATCAAAAACTGATCTGTTTGATTGTCTTGCTCTTGATCTTGGTAATGGCAGTGCTATGAAAAAAATATATGTTTTTGTACAAGATCTACAACAAAAAAGATAAAAAGTAAAGATGTAAAAAAATTACAAAACTTTGATTGTCACAAGAAACTTCTTCAAACCATTTTTCAGTTTTTCTTAAATACAGGTCTAACTAGACTGGGCCATTAAAAAACAAATAGAGCTTTTCTAACTGAATGAACTTTGCAAAAAAAGAAATAATCTGACCTAGACATTGATTGGCACAACGGGTGTGCTGGTCCAGATATAACAGGACAAACTATAATGGGTCTAGCTATTTTGTCTGTAAATCTTAATTTCTGAATTCCTTTTAAAGTACAGTGAAATGCTTTAATAATTTGGTAAACAGTAAACTGACAATTCATTTATCATTGACATCCTTTGTTCAATTGCGAGCAAATTCCCCTCCCTTTAGGAGAAGATTTGCACTTCACAAGACAAGGATTTTCCACATCCAAGATACTCAACTTAAAATCTGTTTTATTCCACAACTACAAAGAAACTTGAGATTATATGTTGTGAGTTTTCCAAATATTGCTATTCCCTATTTTTAGGTGATCCTCTTGAAGTCACCCAACTTTTTTGGTAGCATAAAAAAAGAAACATTTCTGACTAAACTTTATCACTAACCCATTGTGATATAGGGCATTTCATTTCAACTTACCATGATATGGATCATCAACCAAAACTGCCCTTACTTGAGGTATTGGCGCTCTGACTTGATCACTGCAAATAAAGTAGGTTTCTAATACATTCTGTTGGGCATTTGTTGAAGATACTACATTCCTTTGTGTTACTAAAGGTTTTAAAAGCTTTATCTAGCAGCAAAGATACATAGAAATATACAAATTTCTACAAAAATAATTGCAAGTATTTTCTACAAAGTTTTAACTTAACAATGATCTCCAAAATCCATGGGGAACAATAAAAATTGAATTACTGGATCATAAGCACTAAATAGTAAACACTCTTTGTGTAGAAAGAGTTATTCATTCAATTGATTTGCAAATTAACACTGTAGTTCCAAACAAAGTTTGTGCATACTGCAGAAACTCAGATTTGTATGGGCATTTGTTAATTTCTTACTTTTATCTTGGTCCCTTTCTGAGTTTAGTGGTTAAAAGATTTTTTCTTTCTCGTAAGCCTGGTAGTCTTCATAAATGCTTTCAAAGCATTCATATAAACAGATGTACTAACAAATTGCAAAAACTGCCACCTGACACAAACAAGGAGGCAATTACAATCTGCCTACCATAATTCTTATTGCTCCAGGTCTATCTCAAGAGTGTGGGTATTAAACTTTATAGTTCCATGTAAGGGCTTTGAGAGAAGCACTCATTCAAGAAGGTTGCTTAAAAGATTTTGGAGACTTATTCAAATAATTACAGTTTAAGAAAACTGTGCTAACATTGATTTTAGCAATGTGCGGTTGATTTGATTTAAGGTCATAATTGATATGTCTCACAACCAGTCTCTTTTCCTTTTTTGTGAACCTCTAAACAATGTAGAAGGCCAGCATTAAAGCAAAAAATATTAATTGAACTCATCAGACACAAAGCTTTTTCCTTGAACAAATAAAAGGACCACTGAGAACCATATAAGCATGTTGCAAAACCACTTTCCTTCTCCACACTGAGACACTTCTTGGGAGAGAAAAGGCCTAAACTTTCTGTAAAAATGTTAAAACTGTGAAGGGCTTCTCTTTTGTTGTGACTCTTGTTACTAGCATGGCTTTCAATGATCTGAAAAGGGTCAGATTTTTGTGTTCCTTCAACAATTCTGCACTGAACAAGAGGACCTTTAACCTAATATTTTTGCAAGCTTTGAAATCTTTCTACGATTCTGCTCTGAATAAAAAGACCTTTCATTTAAAATTTTGTGTACACTTTCAAATGCTAATTTGCACTTTCATTTTGCTAATTTGTAAAGTTTCATAGGTGTTTACATTTGGTCATTGCACAAGTGGTGTTGACTAGATCAATCTGCTAAATTTATGGTTTCTACCATTATCATACCAACATTGCACCCAGACTGGAAACTCTATTCCACACCTGCAAAATATTGCCAGTGCACTGTTGTATATTGTGTTTTAATTTAAACAGAACAATGTTGAACGACAATAGCGTTATGATAAGGACAATAGCAGTATTCACAGATAAGCCCAAATCTTTAGAAAATGTGCACGCTGTTGATTTGATTTAAAGTATTGACCGTTGCGAGTTGTTTTTTGAAATGTGAGTAGTATTAACATTGATTAAATTTCAAAGAGCCTTAATCAGGTTATCTGTATAAGATGCTCTATAACATTGCTAAATTAGATGCTCTATAATACTATAGCACTAAATTTTCCATCCATGCACCTTTCTACATTGTCCATACAAAGTCCCTATTTGATAATATTCTACATCATAACTGCTACAAATTTCTAAATGTGCATGATTTCAGGTGTGCAGGTGCAAATTGTCAAAATGAAAAACAAAGTTTTCTTTCAGTCGTGCATTGCATCTCATATTTGCTAGACTCTGGAGCAGTTATCTGTATAAAAGTAGAATCTATACATGTTATGGCTGGTAGAACATTAAACTTGTTTGCACAATGTATTGCTTATGATTACAAAACACCTCTGTTCAGATATAACACTTTTTTATTTGCTACATATTCATTCTATAGGTTCCTGTCATTACTCAAGTCATTGCTCAATCTTCTCCAGTACATACAAAAGGTTTTAAATTGCATTTGTGCAGTTTACTGTGAATAAGTGGAATATTTCCAACCTGGTCCAAGCATCTAAACAGCCTTCTCACTCTAGTTATTAACTGTTTTAAGATTTAATCTGTTATGTTACTTTGACAACATTTCACTTGAAATGAAAAACTTTGAATCAAAAAGTATGATTCAATATCGTGGCATTTCAGACCATTCATTTTGATAATTTCATGAAAGCTAGCTGGTACAGTTTCTGCAAGAAGTAGCACAGATAGCTAACCTTCCTCCTTCAAATCCAACAGACGAGCTGCTATCTGACTCAGTATTCTGGATTACGTCCGGGAGTGTCGCCGACGAGTCGTTAGGCCGATTTGTAGGGCCTGAGTCGGTGAGATTTGATGGTACAGCTGTGGTGGCTATACCCGAGTCCAAGTGCATTTCTATCGCCAACTCGATGTTTCCATTGCAAGCTTCAAGAATACGCCCAGCATCCTGTCGATCAGCCCCCGTGATGGCAATAAACTGCTCAATTTCGTCCTCCATCTTGACTTTCGCGCCACAATATGCCCCAAGTGCTTCATGTAGGTCATCCCAGCCTCTTTTCTACAGTCCAGCCTCTATTATAGTCTCGCTAACACCCCCACCCCTCCCCGCACGCCAACCAACTGTCCAAGCTGAACCCGGTCTATCCAAGCTCCCTGACTCTCTAGGAAAGGAGATAATTTCAAAATTGCTACATGTACCAGTAAAAGGAGCTTAAAATTTTAGGCTCATTACTCAAAATTCTTTTAAGCAAAAACATATCTAAAATGCATATACAATTATAAAACTACTATAGTTCAAGAAGTTATGTTGAGGAGCAGGGGTTAAACTTTTTAACTTTACTGTTGAGAAAAAACCAAAAACAACGGTAGTATAAGGTCATTGACATAAAAAATAAGTCTTTTATACTTCAGTGCAAGCATTGGCGTTGTAGACTGTAAATTTTGAGGGGATATAGAGGACGGTGTAGTTTCACCTAATAAGAAAGCAAATATTCAAAATGCAGTAGATCTCGGCCCGAATAACAGGGAACAGCCCCCTAGATTCTATGCACATGAGTGGTAGATAATTGAGAAAACTTAAAACCGTGTTAGACAAATAAACATACAGCTTGGGCACCCATGCAAAGTGCACAATAGGATATGCTTAAGTATGGACGTTACGGAACTGGTATTATAACATCAAGATGTGTCCAATTCTACGAATGCCGCAATAAAAAATATGAAACTGGCATATTATGTTATGTCTATCAACATCAATAAATATGTATATCCGTATCTTATGCAAGCATTGGGTAGGATGCTATATGCAAAGCCGCACTCGTGTGATGTTAGGAGGCTAATGAGTGCATGCAATGTTTTGAAAACATTCACGTGAAGTAGAATCATCATCATATCATTATATGTACCACATGAAATCTGTACCTACATGTGCACTCTAATTTGCCAGTACTCGAAATGTGGAACCCTTATCCCCGGCGGGGTTTACCTCGGAGAAAATCCACAGGGATGTGCCTTCCGCAATAATTTTTAACGCTGTCCTGGAAAAACATTTCTGTAAAAATGAGGCCTATCCTTGAATAAGAGCATTAATTCCAAATTTGAGCTTTAAGTGAGAAAGCTATAGAATTGACAAGGCTTTTATTTTAATGACAAATCTGACATGTTCTGGAAAAAGTATCTTCGATGGGCTGGGGATACCTCTGCCACAAAAAGAGATAAAAAGAATAACCCTTTCCCAGAATTTTCAGCCAAAGGAGACGCTATTGGCAGGAACATCCCCGAGTAACCCCAATATTTTACTTTATTTATTTTATTTTCAGCAGCGTACCTTTACAGAATGTTTTACAATTTCCCCTAGTTTTAGTGTCTCCATCGAAAAGTCCTCCACGTTCTATAGACACAAAATAGAAACTAAAATGCTAAAGCACTTCAATCCTTAAAAAAACCTGGATTCAAAGAGGCTAGTCGGAGATTTTGCAAATTGTGTTCCAAGGTGAACAGACTTAGTTTAGAACTTTGAATACTGTTCATTGTTTTTTGGCCACTTTGGAAAATCAGTTTTACACGTAAATCAATTTCTACTCGCCTCGCCTTATGCAATTCAGAATATAAGCGTAAGAAGAATTGTACCCTGGGTGCCAGAGCCTCATTTCTATTCTCCTTCGCAATGCCTTTCCTCCGTTCTTCATCCTTTGACTCTCTCTGACACCAAGGTTAGAGGATTTGTAAAAGAAACAGACAGTTGTAGGGGTCAGTCACAAAAAGCTTCATATGACTGTTTGATTAGCCTACCATTGCCACGTAAAAAAGCCATATTGCATTTTCAAAACAGGGTGTTTTCCCAAATTCTTAAAGTTGTGGTCAGCAAAAATTTCTCCTCTCTGCCCATCCAATCTTCCAACTCTGGCCACGCCACTGCTTTTTATTTACTTTACCTTAAAGGTAAACACCGAATATTTAAAAATGGGCGAATTACCAGTGACCTGAAGGGTGTGGCACAGAAATCCAATTAATGTCTAACATCTCCCCCCCCCTACCCTGGGTACCAGACTCGCTAAAATAATAGAATAATAGACTTTTTTTTTATTTTATATATAGTGAGTCTGGTACCCAGGGTACCCCTCCCCAAACATTGTTGCTTAAATCAGTCCATGCTGACTACTTACAATAATTCTGCTGTTGTGTTAAGTTTTTGTTTTGATTTGAAATTCTTATAGTTTTACCAAAAGATTCCTTATTTTGATATTTCATACTGGGAATCAACATTATTTCATATTTCAAAGCTAATTTTTATTATTTAATATTTCAAATACTCTTCACAGGGCTCAAAACTTGTACTCAAAAGGTGGGAGTAAACAATTTTTGAGAAAGGCAAATGAGACATAACATCATCCGACACCTGACTTGGGAAAAATTCCGTTTGAAAAATGGGGCTGTGCAGCGAAGGGGTGCACGTGCAACATTGGCAAATTTTCAGACATGTTGGTAAGTTTTCAGATTTGAGGACAAATAATATCCGTTTCATTCAGTCACTGAAACGCATACCGCCTCAGAGGGGGCCCTCTTGCATGGGGGGCCGATTAGCATACCCGGTAAATGGGACTTGAGCTCCCCCTTCAAGCACAATGGCTAGCGACGTCCCTGTACGTTGAATTTGATAGAATATCGCAATGGAATGTTGTCCAGATCTAAGTCAAAATTTTCTAAAAATGTGAATGTCCTTTTTAGTTTTAACCGTAAAAGAATAGTTAATAGCGTTTAATAGCAAACTTGGGAAACTATAAGGAAAGTTAAAGACATGTCTGATTAATTTACTGAAATTATTCAGTTTCAAAATACAGCCCTTGAGAATCAACCTACATCCGATTTCACAAATATTTAATTATTTAAAGAAATCATTGGAAAATATTAACCAATTGCAATGATGAATATAAAAACGCCTGCAAACTGGTATAAGTTTGTAAAAATATATCAATTATTGAAAAGCAAAGACTATTTAGAACCGAAAATCTGCGGATAAAAGTGGACAAAGATAAAGCATCCGCCAGGATTCACAACTGCACAGATAATCATTCTTTTTGAAAATGGCCGGCTGTCACAGACTAACCCGCAAACTGGTTGTCACGTTCCATAGAGTTAGGAATATATTCCTAACTCTATGTCACGGACTAACACGTTCGAGAACGAGGCTCTCCCTTTTACGATTTCGAAAACTGAATAATTATGTAACAAGGCAGTCAAAAGCTGTGGCCAAACAATGTTGTAGTACCTTTCATTGGCATAAATTATAGGTGTTTGGGAGGAGACAAGCACTTCCCCCCCCCCCCCCCCCTTCCCAATTCAGTATAACTCGGAAAATCAAAAGTTGGACATTTTTGTGTAGTGAATTGAAGAGAAAACGCTACAAATGATTCGGAAAATTCACTGCACCTACGCCAGCACCCAGAAAGCTCAATATTTGTTCTTTGATGTCCTTTGATGTTGCTACCTTTACGGGCATCTGTTTGGCTCAATTCGATCCACAACTGGATATACATATTTTCTAACATATGCTTTTCTAGCAACAAAACAAAAGTTTTGCTTTGTTCAAACCGATTTAAAATCTAAAATGAAACAGATTTTTGAATATTTACCTGGCTGATAACTGTTTGTTTTCAAAGCTCAAGCATGTTATTATATTTGCATCAAATTAATTCAATACACTCATTTTTTTATAAGAAACTGGCTATGAGAAACGAGTATTGGACAGTCAGAAAAAGTTAAGAAATTTCAGTACTCGAAGCAAAAAAATTAAGAAACTATTATCGCGATAAAATTGGGAACAACGGAATTTTGTAAAATCCAAGAACATGGTTGCCTTTTTGGACTAGAAATTAAGACACAAGGGATAAAAACATACTTCCCACATCTAAATACAGCATCGGAACGGAAGCGAATCTCTTGACGTGATAAAAAAGGTCACAAACAATTCATTACATCATTCATGGCATCATAATTAAGAAACTCTTAAGAAACAATCAGAACATTAAGAAACTGTAGTACAAAACATTGACTTTTGTATCTTATAAAAAAATGAGTGAATATTGAAACAAATTTTATAAACCACGCGGATTTCTAATGATCACATTTTTTATAATGAACAGAGCAGTAAAATTGCAAAGCTTTTGGAAATCTCAAGGTGTTTAAATATGATTGTGAAATGAGTTTTCGCGTTTTGAGGATCCAGTTTCAAATAATAGCCACATTATTTTTTTTTGAAGAGGCGGCTTGGATTTTATTTTTTGTTATATTCCTTATTTTATTTGCAAAATATCTTTCATAACAGGACACCGGATGCAATTTGTTTTGAATAGCCAAAGTTTATGGAAACAACTGTGATTTTCAACTTCTTTTAAAGATTAAACAGTAAAAAAGCTTAAAGGATGCATTGTTTTAAAAATATGCAGCCAAATAGTAACGTAGAAACCAGGAGGAATGAGTTTCTAGTTGTTAGGTAAGCTTGCCTCAGCTAAAATTTAAAAAAATCATGCAATCATGCAAGTTCTCTATTGTTATGACTATACTTATGCACACTTATTGGCTATTTAGCTGTACTAAAGACAAAGACAAGCATAGAAAAAAGACTAGGATTTTTATCATATATCAAATGAGTAAGTACGAACCATCTCAAAAGTGGGGAGGGGGAGGGGGGTGGAAGGAGCATCTCCGTGAGCAGCAAATAGTTACTTTACCTCTGTTTCTGAAAATTTGCAGTTATGTGCCCCCTGCGACTCCCCCACGTTTCGAAAATACTCATTTTTGTAAAAGAGCATGTTTTGGTAATTCTGGAAAGGTATTCCTGTTTCTGAGAAATAATGTTCCTTTCTACCTCTCCAACCTTCAAATACTTCTTGCATCCATGTTCTGAAATCTGAAGATTTTATAGCTTATTAATTGTAAGTGTATAAATGCAGTCACAACATCTTAGAAATCTATATAGATGTATGTATTATTCTTCTTTATGTTTCAACAATGAAAATAAGTAAATTTTCTAAGAAAATCTATCGGTTTAAAGAACTGTTACTCCGGAAGCAGTTGTTTTACAAACTTCGCATGGATTAGAGTGCTCCAAGAGCGCCCGGAGCCAGCATGGGGGCAGCACGGGGGCAGCACGGGGGCAGCACGGGGGCAGCCAAGTGTCTTTTTCATGAAATTGATTTCCAAGCAATATCAATTCATATCAATATTCTGAATGCTAATAAAATCTAGGCTTCAAGTATCTCTTGATACCTACATGAAAGAGAAAAGTCAATATTTTCCATCTTGACGAGAACTGAAAATCGATTTGCCAAGCAATTTGACCACAAACAAATATTCGTTGATATGTTCTCGTTAACTTTCATGATCATGCTGAAGAGATTTCAGATGGCTACCAATGGTGGCTCGCATTTCTTCGGTATATCAGTCGAGGCATTAAGGATGCCGCAAATTCAAGCAAAGGCGTGGGAGCCTGGGGCACAGTGGGAACACGCCTCCTTTTTTCCAAAATTAAGGTGACCTGCCCCTCATCGAGTTGATGTTATTGCCAACTGCATAACCAGAAATTGCCCCTGAATTGCTTAGGTCCTATACGAAATAAGCAAAGAGGTGACCTTTTTGGGCCATGACCTAAAATATTTCTGTTCGATCTGCTTTTAGAAACACCAAAAAACAAGATCACAACCAGGGTTACTGAAAGGTGGTGGCAATGGCAAATTGGCTTTGGGCATTTAGGTTTAGGGGGCCCTCGAGTTTTCCAATTTGTAAAAACAATAACCAAGACATAACAAAGTTGTGCAACTTTTTTAAAGATTGCAAGAAAAAGACTGCAAAAAATATTCTGAAATGGATTTTCAAGTAATCTAGAGGGCATGGTCGCCAAAATATTTCTGCTTGCTTCGCTTGCAAAGGGCTTCCTCTATCCCCCAACTTTACAAATATTCAAGAAAAAATCCCAGAATTTTCGTGGTTCAATTGTACTTATCATTTTTGCAAGGAATATGTATGCAACATCAGTTAAATTTGATTTAAATTGTATTTAGCGTTGGTAATTTAAATGAGTTGGCTTTATTTAGCTTTAATATAGCTACATATTGTATCATTGTACCAGATTGTACCTTTAAATAAAGAAAGAAAAAACAGTGTGTTCAGAGGAGTTATATCCAGAACAAATTTTTGTTTTTAAGTAAGGTAGGATTGGGTCCAGCCACCCCTGATTTTTGCCACCTCGTCAGTTTTTAATATACATTATCGCTTAATTGAGGCTCTAGTATCCTACCAAGAATACCTTTCCCAATCTCTTTATACTTCACAAATCTTTAGAAACTTTTTTTGGTGAACCAAAGAAATATGTTTGACATTTGAGACACTTTTGTCGATCGAACTGTGCACCAATAAGTTTCCTATGCACCGATGCAGCCTGCAAAAATGGATGGAACAGTAATAGGCACAGGGTTTTTCATCTATATGCAGAAAAATGTCACAGAGTTTATGTGGGTGGGCTTGGTGGACACCCTTTATCAACCAGTGACAATTCTTTGCGTTACCTTGTATTGTCACATGCAGTACTGCCTTGGGGAAAACTCTTACAAGCTTTCGTCCCCTCTTTTGTCGAGTGTTAGATGATACCATGATGATACACACAGATGCATAACCATCAAACAATGATGTCGATCTGCTCTGAAATTCGCCACAGCTATTGAACCATCAGTACAGTTTCATAATAGTAATAATAAATGTATTTATTATTTAAATGCTAACGCTAGAGTTCCAAGGCACTTATGTACATTAGCATGAAGCAGTTCAGGAGAAATTCCATTATGGATTTTGTTGAGGGCAAACATTGATCATTAACTTTCTTCAATTGCAAGAAAAATATTTGTCGAAATCCTGAATAGTTAATGCAATACTTGAACAAATAGACTTTTGCTTGAAAGCTTGAAAGAAGGAATTTGAAAAGTCCAAAAATTAGGAACATTTATCAAATATTAAGAAATATTTATTAGAAAATCAAAAAAGAATTTTTTAGTTTATGATTCATTTTACCTTTTTAATGGGCTAAGATTAAGCATCTAAAAGTAAGGATTGCAAATACTTACTGAAATTTTAATTTTTATCGTTAACAAACGAAAAGAAAATGAATCACCAAAATACAATAGGAACGGAATCATGGAGGCGATGCAAATATTGAAAGGATTAATGATCGTCAAAGGACATGAGAGGTGAAGGAAAAAATAGACATAAGAAAACTTTTTTTTAAATTATACATTTCTTGGGTTTCATAATAAAAGGGTTTTAAAACTAAGTTAAGCGTTTTTCTAATAGTGCAGTGCAATCTTTTCATCAATAGTGCATTTTTTTCTACCTATATGACTGCAAGATAAAAAATGTTACCATACCTGATTTTATCTTGATGACTGTATATTGCCATACCTGTTACCAGTCAATATTCCATTTCCAGCGAGAGCATTTCAGATACATACCAATACTTTACAACGCCGTGTGTTGCTTCTAAGCTACAATTTAAAGAATTAAATGAAATATGTTTTGTATTAGCAGATAATCAATTTTGCGGTTTAAGAAAATGCAGATTTTGAATAAGCCAATTATTGAATGATGCTAGTATAGTGCTTGGGCGCGGTTGATAGTGTTATAAGGGCCAAGGGATTCGGCCATCCCATCTTTGATTAAGCATTTTGCTAGTAATTGAGAAGCAAACATTTTCTATTCCAGAGCTTCACCACTTTGAAGCACGAGTCCTGAAGACAGACACAAAACGCGAAAATAAACTGAAAACAGCTAAGCTATGGAATCTAATTGCATTGCTCTGAATAAAATTTACTGTTTCCCTGTCTGTCATAAAGTGTTAGATAGGCAGAGCTGTACACTCTGCAAAGCTCATTACATCATAACCATATCATTTGTTTGTTATCGTCAAAAGATGTTTAGATTATTAAGAAGAAATTTCTTGCAGTCCATTCCTGATTCGCTTTGAAAAATGTAAACAGAAAACCAGCATTGAGACATCAAAATCAACTGCTTTATTTCGGCTTGCTTATGATAAATATTTAATGGCCACAGCTTTCATTTTATCAAACTTGTGTAAAAAATGAAGGTATATGTAATAAACACAATCCTTTAAAGTGCAGAACGCAGTGTGTGTTATCCGGTCTTTGTTAACTATTTCATTAAAAAAATCCACGCAGGAATACAACATCTTTCAAATGTTGGCAAATCTGATCAGAAGAGATGAGCCTATTTTTAATACGCAGGGTATCGAAAAGAAAAAGTATATCCGGATACAAGTTTATTAGCATTGGCACCTATTTGCATAGATTAGACTCACGCTATTAAACCTTAAGGTATATGCTGTGGATTTGACAAGGCTAAAGGACTGCCAATTCACAAGGTCTGGGATTTTATATCAAAACATTTAGGCACAATATTCGCCCTTCCCCTTATTACATTTTCATTTTGCAGTGGATGCTCCATTGGACACCTCTCAACTGTCCCAAATGGTAACACATTACAACAGGCACCTCTATACAACGGAAAATGATACTGGTCTGAGCGGTGGCAGTTATATTTGTTAATATTTCGAAGTAGGAGGGGACGGAGGAGGGTAAGGAGGAGGGAACGGAGGAGGGGAAGGAGGAAGGAACGGAGGAGGGGAAGGAGGAGGGAACGGAGGAGGGGAAGGAGGAGGGGAAGTTGTACTTCTTTTGTTATTTTTAGCGTGCTTAGAACTTCTTAATCATCTCTACTGCCAAATATTTCCTGCTTGACAGTATCTAGCAGCCATAAACATGCATGCATAATAGCTTTGTAGGTAGGACAGTTCTATTTCCAGCCGCTTTCTCAGCGTCAGCATTTGGGCCTAATTAGATGACAAAGATAATATAAAAGCAACGACAGAAACCGATTAATCATGACAGTAATTCCATTTTTATTTTATGACAGTATGACAAAAAGATTAAGAAACCAATAAAAGCATGGAAATCAATTTTCATCACTGAATTCACTCTATGTTTTAGAACTGTAGCAAATCTACTGGTGTAATGAATAACAAAAAGTTTATGCCGAATCACACCTCTGTCCTACAGCTAAGGGGTTACTGGAATCGAATGCTCTTTACCGTGCTGTCTAGGCCTTTTTTCTAACGATCAATGCCTTGGGGACTCCAATTACTATGCTTATTTACTGTCATTTTTGGCAGAAATGTTAGGAATTTTAGAAAAATCTGTTTTTGTTGATTATTTTCCTTGGTAGCCATGTTTATAGGAAAAGGTTTGCAATCCGAACGATACTGATGATAATCATGACACAAAAAACTGTGGATTTTAGCTACCTGAAATAAAATTTAGCAGATTATGCTTTAGACATAAGGCCGGCTGATTCTGTACATTTAAAAGATTTTATGTATTTCTTTTACGTTATGTTTTAAAATCTCAAGAAAACTAAAGGCAAGGCTATATGACGTCATCATTTTGCCACTGTTCCAGGCCCCTTTTGCAAGGAAGTTGTTACCCCCCAAATGCCACCACCTTGCATCAAACATGCGTTTCAACGACAAGGAAGCTAAGAAAGTTTTAACTAACATAATTGCGTGATTGATTTTGCATGTTGGCATACCTTGCATTAATGCTCTGTTCAGAAAAACAGATGCATGAATTAAATATTTCAGGACAGGTGTGTTATCGTTATCAATTGAATCCAGCGTGGTTTATTTCTTTCGTGATGAAGACCGCATGCTTCATCTTCTTGTCAAGTTATATCAACTCTAGGATTATCCGCTCTTCGCAAAAGGAAATTAAACCTTGAAGAACAGCAGATTTGATTTCTTTTAAAAAGAAAAAGTCAGGATCGATGCATAACAATAACGAGACTTCTAAGGATACCAGTCAATTGATACGGAATGATTTCGTGTCGTAAATCCTCGAATTAGCTTCCTCGGAGCTTATTGATTTAGGCAATTTTAAGAAGGGGGTTATTCGAGGGTCTCTTATGCGAGGGGGGAGGCTTATAAAAGTCATCTCGGAGTTTCCAAATTTGCAGGTCAGCAACAGTTTTATCAACAGCGGGGCCCGGGGCCGAAAACGTCTTCTGAGCCCTTGTTCTTTGCAATATTCATCTATTTTTTCAGGTGCTTGGCCCCTTTCTAGCTACCAAAACTGCGGGGCCTGGGACCCTGGCCCATATTGACCCCCTAAAACAGCCACTGTTTCAAGTTCTTTTAATTTGAAATTTTACTCAAAATTCTTTCTTAAAATATCAAACAAAAGTATCAACGAAAGCACACAATGATATTTTACTGTCTTTGGTGGCCTCTTTTTCAATGTCTCGCTATAAAATGTCAACTGTCTATGGAATGAATTTTTTTTCCTGTCTCTAAACTTTTGTGAGAAATTCAAACATTTGTAAGTATAGAAGTTCTAAATTTTCATAAGGATGACATACTCAAAGTTTCATCAAGACTTTCTTCAATTTTGAAGTGAACAATATTAGTATAGTGCAGCAAGTTCATGTTATTTCCAACGTTGCATTTTAAGGACAGCCTCAAAATGTCAGTTCGTTGGTGAGAAGAAAAGTCAAATGACAAAGAATTTAAACGAATATAGGAATATTCAAGATACGTTAGGCAAAATTGTCAGCAAATTCTTTTATCGTCCTTATGTAACCGGCACCAGTGCCTAATTTAGTGTGGTCTTGTACACTAATAGTGGTTTTGAAAATCCAAATTGTGGTCTTGAAATCAAGAATAAGTGGGAGGATTGTCTCTCTATGCGTTATGTTTATTAAAAAATCTTAAAAGTAAATGTAAATTTAATTTCTCCATGAGGTGTTTTTTCATATCATATTCTAATCATTTTATGTCTCGGAAATGCATTTTTAGCCAATCGAGGGCATTCAGTTTTAAAAATTTTCTGGGCCGCCCTAGAGGGGCCTAAACATTTTTAGGCATAATTAGTGGTATTGTAAAAGTCCCTTAAATTAGGCACTGACCGGCACAGTAGAAACATTAATGTCTAAAGGAAATGTAGCTAAATGGTAGCTTTGTAGTACACCAAATAGCAGGTTCATCGAATCATAGTCGTGGTTTTGCCATTATTTCCAACACAGTACAACTGCTAGATAAAATTTGGGAATAAAAATGGAAAACTTTTCAGTTATTTCATAATAATCTGACCTTTACCAGCAACCCTTCTAGAGGTGAAGCCCTTCTATTAGTCTTATACATTTATGCAAGCTAGAAAAGGGAAACACCAGACTGAATTTGTGGCAATTTGAGTATCTGTTCCAAGAAAAATCTTAAAGTTCAAATGAAATCTTACGACTCGCAACCAATTCACACCTTGAACAAATGCACCGACGTGGCTAGGTGCTCGTGTTCTTCGATTGACTTTTTACAAGTCTTTTTCATTTTGTTCCATTATTAGGTCATTCTCCTGTCGGTCGATTCGACCGAGCTTGAAGAATGAATGAATAAACGAAAAAGAATGAATGGAAAAAGTTTACGAGGAAGGAAGGGCTGGCTTTGAGGGATATGAGCTCAGAATCCAGAGGGTCCTTTGCAAGTTTGAACAGGTTTTGGCTGTATAACCCAAGCGTATCCCCTAAATCCTTTGTATCTTTCAACAGGGATAGAAAATGAATCTTGTAAAAAATCATGATTAAATGCCTTCAGGTTATGTCTATTTCAAACAGTTGATTTAGTTTTTTATGCTCCTGTCTGTCCTATTTTGTCAAGAAACTGGGCAAAAGTTAAATTCAGATTGTTAAGTTCAGTTTTTTTCGTGAGCACAGCGTTTGGCATATTTGCTATAAATGAGCAGCATGCAATTTACCATTAATACCTGTTTTCGACGAGTTTCATAGCATGATACCTGTTCAAAATAATGGTACCTTCTACTCCAAAAATTTGCACGTGAGCTTCGTGCAGTACAACCGTATCACGGAAGGCTTAATTTTAATGCAGCGAAAAACAATTAAAGAGTTGTTCAAAAGTGGGAGTTCATAGGTAAGGACCCTTTGTAATCTTAGAAATTACAGACAAATAAGAAAGAAACAGTGTTTTTGAAATTTAACTTAAAGGAAAGATAAAATGATTTCCACTTTAGGATGTAAAATAATTTTGCGGGAAAAATTATGCAGAAGAAATTACATATTCTCCTGAATACAAGAATAATGATAATGTTGGTAAGTTTTTTCCCTGGAAGAAAAAGAAGTTGAAAACATTAATGCATATTTTATTCTATGTTTGTTTATCTTCAAAGTCATTGCCTTAACGAATAACTTAAGGATTAGCAAATGGCCTTCATAACAGGTGCTAAATGTCTTTTAGAGCTTTTGTTACAGCACGTAAGCAAATAAGTTTGAAACAAATAACTTACTAACTATGAAATAAATCATATGGGCAAGAGAAATAAATAACTTCAACTCCAACATTTCATTATTAGTATATTTCAAATAATTACAAGTGATACGATAATGCTAACATAAAAGATTAAAAAGCATATTTTACATAAAATTGTCAGTAAGAAAAACTGAAATAATGAAGGACACATAGAAATAACTCAGAAGAGCTTTCGAGTTACGCGCCCTTTTGTGATTCTGAAAATTACTTCATACTTTGTTAAAGAAACAGATTTAAGGAAAAACACACATATGAAGTTGCATCAATAACAATAACAGCAAGAATATACAAAAGAAAGGATACAATTTAAAAAAGTAAAAATAAAGAATAAGACCAAATTTCAATCAATTACCAAGCAAAGGTAAGAATTTTCACAAAGTAAGCAAGCAAGCATGCATACAGGCTGATACTTGTGACGATGAAAACCTAAATATTTCTTTATTCACATGCACTTTCTTAGTTCAATTCGTGACCGAAGAAATACTCTTTTCAGATAAAATAATGGAAATTTCCAATTTACGTGTAAAGATTAAACAGCACGATATTTATTGAATATATTTAGAAATGGTATCCACTTCAATTTTGCCAAAGCTCTTTGACTTTGGGCTGGACATTAACGACCTAAACTGCTTTATAACTAATTTCAGTTTTGTAACAAATGGACATTATGGATTTGTAATGAATCACGTGATACAAAGTGTGCTAGTTACAGATGAAATTGACATGGACTAAAAGATTACTGAATTGATCTAATATAAAAGCAAAACTGTTAAAAATTATGTAAGATATCCATGCTGCCTATGGCGCTTTAGCCAACACTTACAAAACCTTGTCAAAAACAACCATATGCTTTTATGAAACAATTTTTATTTTTTCATCAACGAACGAAGGCAAAAAAGCTAATCTTTAGTTAGGTTGCCCTTCCTACTCCTTGAGAAAATCTGATTTTGGTTATTTTGGTTTCAGGGTAGCATGCCTTATGAATTATGGTTTTCGTTATCAAGCAATGTTTTTGTATTTGTTTATTAACACTTGCGCATTGCCGTTGTGATGCTAAATAACCAGATTGTATGAAAGTTGACCATTTTGAATGGGTGTTTATGTTTCTAACGAAGGTATGCGGAATCCACTCAGGCGCTCACGATGGTCGTTCAAGCAGTGCCTTTGTTCCATCTTTGTCCTGCATGGAGCCCAAGATAAGGAAAATACAGCTTGAACAATGTATTCGCAAGCTTGTTTATATCTTTCAGCTGTTTGTGGTATTAAAGATGCTTGTTGAAAATCTGCTTCAGCTTTATCTCCCTCAGAGCTCAGCTCTACGTTTGATTGTATTGAGTGAAAATTCTTTGTTCTGAAGAAATGTGCAAGCATGTCCGCAGTTGCACTGCAGTGCCCGGCAGTGGCGTTCTTTTAGGCACAAAAAACACTGGAACACAGGGCCTACCTCAAACTTTATTTCACGGGTCAAAATCTCAACCTGAAGACTGAGGGGTAATTTAAGTCATATCCTTTTTTATAAAAGCACACTGTACAGGAATACCGAATCTAGATTTGCTGAAATATATGAACAATGTAAAAGCATGCCAAGCCACAGAGAAGAAAGGAAAAGAAAAAGTAGCGTATTTTCAAAAATGTCTCTCGTGTTTACAGAACAGCGCAGAATTTATCAGCCAAGCAACATTGCTACTAGAAATGATAGCATGCAGCTGTGAAGAAAAGCAGTTTAGGAAATATGAACAGTATTAAGAACATTCAAACTTGAAAATGAAACATCAAGCCTCGCTAAAAGTTTGCCATCTATCAAGGAGGATCAGATTGATCAATAAAAACTCCTCTATTCTTTGAGAACTTCTTGCTAATTTTTTAAATTTATATGAATACTTGACTGACTAATATGCCCTTCTGCTGAAAATGATAGACCCCGTTGGTGCTTGGGTACAGGAGCCACATAAATTCTAGTGCAGAAATAGAAGATAGGCGCGAAGATGCGGAGGAGTGTCTTTCTTAGAAGATGGACAAATAACTTGAATCTTTTAGAGATCAGTTGGAAAATACACTTTTCCTTCTTCACAGCTAGATACTCCTTCACTTCTCCGCTTGGTTTTCCATTTCCTCGCTCGAAATTCTGTGGCTCTTTTACCCATGGTACACTCACTTGACCCATCGTTTTATAAGTGGGCTTTGCTCACTCTTGAATTGAAAACTTCATTAGTTGCTCTCTAAATAAAACGAAATCGATTAAGGTTCAGGGCAGCTCAAACCATTGACAAACAGGGTTGATTGGCTGATAACAACTGTGTCGTGTTCTTTTGCAACCAGTTGGTTCTCCTATCTAACCTCCTTCACTTTCTAAACCACAATAGCATCTAGAATAAAGGCTCCCACGACTGTTGATAGAACAGGGCTTATTTTGACTTAAGTGTGAAATAGTTCCCTGGACCAGCTATGCAAAAACATAGAATTATCATCAAGCACCAAAATTAGGTGCGTGTTTCAGAAAAAGCCTCAAAAATATCATTTCATGTAAAAATTACCCAGAAGATACCAGAATGGAAATCAGTTTCAAGGAAAGCAGGAATAAAACTGACCACAAGCCCCTCTCCCTACTGGGAGGTTAGCTATTGAATTGAAGTTCAAGCTTGCTTTTCCTAATTTTTTTGAAAATTTTAGGTTGGATTGTTCTTACACTCTTATACTGATTACATCTCTGTGCTGAAAAAAATGGTGTAAGCAGGGGATTGCTATCTAGCGTTTTCTATGAACATGTTCAGGCCTCATTTGCTAACAAAGTGCGTGAGACATGCTTTATTTGCTGACAAGTTTGAAAATTCACCGAAAAAGCAACCCTAGACGGCAAAAACTTTTCTTTTTTGAGATAAAACTTTTTAAGGGGTTTCACAGCATTGTTCAAAATCACATTAGCTAAGCCTCAGCTGGCTCTCAATTTTTTCTTAACTTTTGACCAAATCTGAAGCTTGTGTTCTTATAAAATTGTTTATTTATAGAGAGTAATCGTAAAACTATTACACTCTTTTTTTTATAAGAACAATTTTATAAGAACACGAGCCTCAAAATTGGTCAAAAGTTAGGAACAAATTAAGAAGAAGCTGAGGCTGAGCTTCTGCAAAATGCAATTTTGAACAAAGCGAAAAAGCTAGCACTCGCACTGCTTACACCCTATTAGATTAAGAACAAATTAAGAACAATCCAGCCTCAGATTTTCGAAAAAATTAAGAACAGTCAGCCTGAACTGAAATTTACTGGTTCTTATAAAAAAAAGAGTGTATGTCTATCTACACTACAGTACTGCAAAATTATCTTAGTTGAACTGGAAAACACATTAGTATCATTTTAATTGTTTGTTTTACTTTGATATGACATCAAAGCTGGCATAGGTGCAAAATAAACCACTTTTACTTTCCCGAGGATGTTGTTGATGAAGTTCTGAGGCCCGTACAGCGTAATAGCCTTTAGAATGGAAAGAAAAGTAGGCCCGTCAGGTCACTAGCTACTGTGCTCAGAGGGGATTTCCACGTCCCATTTGTCGGCAAAGTGGGTGAGCCACCCTTTATTGACGACAGATTTGAGAAAATGCCAACTAAGCACCCTTAGATTGTAACATACCTCTCTGAGAAAAGGCCCTGTAAAAAGGCCCCTAAATGCCAGAAGAAGGTTGGGCCTCGCGTGTACATCCCATCATCCCTTGCCAGCACATAGCTATCAATCATTTTCGACGTATACACACGTGTTAAAGAGGTCTTGCACCTATTGAAATATTCAACCTCAATTTTCACTCTTTTGAAAAAAATTGAGCAATAAGGAAATTAATCTGATTGTTTTGGGTGCAATTAAAGTGCAATAAACCAGGTGTTCTTCTTGCTAATATCACGTGAGTGATGGTGATGCCAGGTGTGAAAAGCTCTAATTACCTTTGCCAGCAATGTAATCAGTATAATTCAAAACATTCTTTGCCAAAGAAATGGCTACACGAATCTTTTGTCACGCATCCCTTTGAGCTGATAACTTAACACATAACAGGCGACTTTTTGATATTCACTGTCACGTTAACACTTCAAAAAGAGGCAAACCACTGAAATGGAGGTTGAGCATTAGTATACCTATGGGCCTATACACCTAGGTGAGGGGTGCGATTGGGTTGATTCCGGTTACGGAAGACATGTTCATTATACAAATGTTTGTGAAATTGTATACCCAATTAAAAACATTCTACAAAACGTGCAAAAACTGTTGAACAAATTGTCCCTTATGTGGACATCGTGACAAGAAAAAAGTAGAAACTAAACAATATGTGAAGCAAAAAACAATAGTACATGGCATACAGCATCAATAAAATATGATAAAACATACATTTCCAACAATTTAGAATTTGCCTGGTATTTATAGCAACAGTATCTAGAGCATATCTTTCCTGGTTGCATATCTTTGTGATAACTTGCATGACAATATGTCAATGAATGTGTGTTCTACAAACAACGCCAAGACATCGCCTCCACATGTTGTTATCTATGTTAAGAGCATCTCGTTGAAAATTTTTCATTTGGTAGCTTCTCTACATTAAACAGTTTGTAGCTACTCTCCATGCAGCATTTTTCTAGGCTTCATGTTTAATAGCTGAACATAGAAACCTTTATTGATATGCTACTTAATTGTAAGGATAATATAGTTAGCAAATAAATTTAGTACCAGAATGAAAATATAATAGTTTGATTGTTAAAAACACGACATTTCGAGCATGTACTCGTTATCGTTATGTCTCGTTTGCTAATTGTGTTGATGCTGGGTTTCTCTATAAACTGAAGATTTTTGCTTAAATGGTGAAATTTTCCATCCTTGAAGATTAAACTCTATCAAAGTAGTCAAATTGCCTGGTTTTGGAAAGACAATGTCCAAAAAACGAAAAGTGTATAGCATCAGACATAAGTATCCATGTAATGTAGTGCCTTTTATGTTGAGTTTTTCTGCGTGATCGGGCCTGGGTAGCTACCCTTGGACAGTGCTGCAGTGATTGCTTCTAAAAAGCATCCAATGGCGTGTCCCTAATCATGGGTCGCCAATGTTTTTAGTGGTGCAAAATAATAGCATTGGATTTATAGCAACCTTTTATATAACTAAGAATAATATAAACCACAAGATCAGATTTTTCAAAATTTAGACAAGATTAAACGCACCTTGAATGATTTTGAGTTGTTATAATCTGAAGCGGTTCCCAAGTGATCATGCATTGCAACATATTTGGTTTTTAATGCCCATCCGATACGTATTGTGAATTTTTTTGAATTTGAACAAAAAAACAGAATGCATTGTTACTTCCGTCATATTTTATGCTGCAGCTAGCTGTACGCAAGACAATTAACTATTAACCAAGCATTATTCTTACTGATCATTGGCATCCCTGGTTCTCCTGACGACGATGCCTGTTATTCGGTGCAGTTCAAGCTACAATATTCTGGTGCTCGTTGTTTTCATTGGGGATTGCGGTCGGTTGACATGATTACGGTATTCTGACCCATTGGATAACACTTCCCCGCCAGACTATCCAGCCACAGGTCGAAACAGGCAAAATCTCACTGGCACATGCAAACAATTTGAAGTACATTTTTAATTATATGGCTTTCAATCTATCAATGGCTGGGTATTATATCCTCTTAACATCGTAAAGTTATTGCCTCTCTGTTCATTCTGCTTTCTAATAACACGACAAGGAATTTCGTATTAGCATCATTATATCCTACCACAAGCTAAAGCGCAATTCATGGAAAATTCTCTTACAATTGAAATAATGCAACTATTTTTCAACAGCCGTGGGAATACGCATTAAATAAGGTATGCTGCTTGAAAACAATTTCATTTTATTTACATCATCAAAGCGTGAACACACAGAAATATTTAAATGGATTTTAAAAAAAGAAAACGGTACTCTTTTAAGTGGTTGGCTGAAATATAGTAAGACTCTAGACAGTTGGTGGGTTTAATCGTGTTAGTAGCAAAACTATGATTTGGAGCACCAATGTCTGCCAGAAGTGTTGGTACACTAACGTCAATTTTCAAGAGCAACTTCAGCCATCCCCACCCCACATTGAGAATGTTGGTTTACGTTTTTTCCTGTTTTTTGTATGACATTTTTTCTAAATTATTGACATTGTTTTGGAAGTAAGAAAATTCGGGAAAAAGAAATGAAAAGTATAAAACACAACGTATACTGCTGGGTGTTCCAAATACTTTTGGCATTGATTGTATGTTCAGTCTGATGTTTCTGAATAAATGCACATGTTCTTACAAGTGAAATAATCGGGAGAGGTGCATGTTTATAGGGGAAGCCGAAATCAAAAAACTCTCTTTCCCAAACCGGGCTTGTTATCAATTTGAGATGGGGGTCATTCACTGAAAATGACATTCAGGGACCACCATTTAACAGATGACAGCGCATACGCAATTGTGAGCGAGTCTCATTCCTAGCAAACCTCATTTGCAGGTAATTGCTCTTGATGTTGTATCCCGAGAGACACGAAGCCCTAGCACAAAGCCCTAGCATAATGAATCATTTGAAATAAAGAACAATTACTCAGGCGACCTTCCTGGGAAAGTCCTGACAATCCTGGGCGACCCTGGGAAAGTCGTATATTGCTAAAAAATTTTCTTTGTCATTTGTTACAAAATTCATTTAGCTTAAAGAATAATAAAAGATGTGGAGCGTATCATTAGAAATGAAAGTTGGACAAATTCAGCGTAAATGCTAAATGAATACGTCTCTTTCAGACCAGTATTCTTTTAGAATGTTATTTGCATTGCTGATACCATGATCAATAAAGGCAAGACAGCTAAGTTAACCACCAAATCCAGCATCGCATTTCTAGGTACTCGGTTTTCCTTACACTCTTCTTATATAAGAGCCAGTGAGTTGAAGTTCGAGCTGGCTGTTCTTAATTTTCCAACAATTTGAAGCTGGGCTGTTATATTTTGAGTGTAAGCGGTGAAATTGCTTGCTATTGCGCTCTAGGGAGGGGATCAGGCCTCATTTACCAACAAAGTGAGTTTACTATCAAGTCTTAAATATAGAAAAAGCACCCCTAGAGTGTGAAAAACTTCTCGTTTTTGAGATGAAACATTGTTCAATATTATATTTTACGGTAGTACAGCGCAATTTGTTCTTAATTTTTGACCAATGTTGTGGTTCGTATTCTTATAGAATTAATTCTTATAAAAAAAGAATCTGAACTATGACCCTTATAAAACGGGATCGGATCCAAACGAATTCGCGCTCAAACTACTGTTAAAATCGGCCTAGTCTTATAACGAGAACCCTAGTACTGTAAGAATGGATGAAATTATCGGAGGGGGACCATTGTATGAGAAAAAATGGAGCAGAGGGAATTGCTCTTTGAAAACAAAGGATCACTGTAATTTTGGATCTACAGCCCTGAAACCGATTTGGATCCGTTTTCCATATTTCATAGGAACATTTTCTCATATAAAGCTGTCTAAATCCCATCTCATGTGCTTGTTTGGAAACTGTGCTGTAACAATCGCAATGAGTCGAATGATTTTTCATAGATCCTTCACTACAGTCTATGTTACAAAAACTAAGTAAATCTTGCACTTCAAATGAATTTACTTTCAATTAAATTAATTAAGAAAAGCAACAAATCTCTTAAATTCTGTTGGCAAAATTTGTTTCTCGGTGGATCATTGGAATTTGTGAAGTTGAAATAAGCTTCCAATTGGAAACCTGTGGCATCGTAAACCACTCTCCTTGTGAAAATAGTGAAAAACACTGGATCATTCAACTCAAAAGTTGATAACCACACGATTTAACTTAACCCCAAATAATCGATGCTGTCGCTAGATTCATGTCATGTGACTTGTCATGTGATCAGTTGTGCTAAGTCTTTTTCTAACATAAGCATACACTTCAATTGTTCACTTCACTTGCACCAAATGTTCAATAGGCAACTATAAGCTTATGACGTGCATAAATCGAATGATTCTGAATGCATAGGTCAAACATTGGTCAGCTTTTTTTGGTTAGTCATATAAAAAGACTTAGCACAACTGATCACATTTTTTGGCTAGTCCTATGAAAACCAGATTCTCGCCGATCAATCCTATGAAAGCCAGAATCTTGAAACATAGCAATAATTAGAAGGAAAAACTATGTAGAAATGTTAGGTTTTTCCGGATACTATCTTGGCCAGTGTAATGAGTATCCACGTCAACAGTAAAATTGATTTGTCTGCCACCAACAGCTGCTTTGCTCGGATGTCTATATTGCCCTAAGGTTAGGGGTGTTTTGCCTCTCCCCTGAAACTAATGATGCTGTTGGGCGAGCAAGTGAACTCTTAAGAAATGAGTGTAATGGAAAGGTCATAGGTATTGTCTTGATTTCTATTTTCTTAAACGTAGAGCAGGTTCACACGATTTTTATCATATTTTCTTTTTGAAAGCTTTTCTTAACAAGAACCTGCTTCAAAGGCCTTAGGCAGGATAGCTGGAGGTAGAACAGCCTCTTGCATAGCGCAACGTAGAAAAGAATACAATTAAAGAGCTGTAGATATCGAAGCCACAAATATTTGAGAAGTCCTTGTTTCACTCAGCAAATATGCATGGTAATATAACCTTAGATTTTGCATATGGTTGGGCTTGTCCTATAGGCTTGAGGTCAGCAGATCCGTAATACTAAGTGTGCGAAAGCTGGATTTTCCCTGAAATCTGTCTGAGTCGCGACAAAACTCATTAAATTATATCATACCTGATATTCAGAAAATTTATTCCGAAGTCACGTTAAAAATATTGGCAAAATGCAATCAAAAATCCAGAGCATAACACCATCAGCCGTTCTCAAAGAGCAAATATTTGAATAAGATTGTATTTTAATAGACATCACTTTTGCCAAAATAAAGGCTGTCGTATGACTAGAACTGATGGTGCTCGGTTCCAAACAGATGCAAATATCTATGAATTTTTGGGGCCTCTTGAAAGCAAAATTTGTCCACTGAGTCTAGGCTTACTAAATTACAGGTCTTTCACCTTTCTGCTGCCAGTTGGTAAGTTTGCGGAGATTAGGATAAAGAAATTAAGCAAAGGGATTTAACCACAAAGACTCAAATTGTGCAATTCCCTGTAGTATAATTCCGCCGAGCAATGATGCAGGTAGAGAATTATATAACCTTGAAATATAGCAAATATAACGAACACGTGAAGAATAAAAATTGGTAAGACTCTTCATAAGAAGACTGTGTCTTTCAGGTTTGCATTCCAGGACCTTTCCTAAGAGCAAAGCTTCACGCTGTGTAGGACAGGAAATCATAAAAATGTAGATATAATATTCAAGCATAATTTTATAGTTATCAGATGCAAATCCGTATACATAAGCTGTGGTTTTGTATTCAATTTTTCGCAGCTTCAGCTTCAAGATTATCTCATTTTACTTAGTCAGTAGTTTAATTATTAAAGAGGTTCATGGAGCTACCTGTTATCTTTGATGTCTCGTTTTTCATTTTCAATATTATTCACAGCGTGGAAGTTTTTGAATAGAAACATAAATAAAGCAAAGGTTGGCCTAAGCAAGGGGTGTTTACACTACAGATTTCAATGGAGAGATATGCCACTATATCATAGGCCATTATTGCTTATAAGCATTCAACGGTTTCCCAAAAATCGAAATAGGCTTCTAATGTTGAATCTCTCCATTCTTATTTACTTTCAATTGAATTTTCGCAAGACAAGAAGCTTGTGTTTGAGCCAGAAGCTTCAAATTTACTACATACACAGCCAATATAAACAGTGTAAAACAAAATGGGACTGAATATTCGTTCTCCTTTCTTGATGAATATGGGCTAATATCAAAAGCCATTTTAAAATTTTGGGGACAGTCTGTCAGACACAGCCCACTTTCATGGGACACTGGTCTGCCAGAATCTTGGCCTCATCCATGACTTTGACTGGCCACACCAACTCGTGCTCCCGAGTCCTTATTATGCTCTATTATTGCAAAGGATATCCCCGTACCCCGGGTGCAAGCGCCACCATAATTAAGTGTCAGAAATATAGTTTTATCTTGTCTAATCCGCACCAGTCTACAATATCGTATCCCCGGTTTTTTTGAGGAACTGGTATCCAGAGTAAAATTCCAAGCAGATTCATTTGCTATGCATGTTTACGTCCTTTGACCATTTGGCTTTCGATCACCCCATCAGTTTTAAGGCTTTATCATTGTTTTGACCAGCAGCAGGTTTCAACATAACTTTAATCACTGTTCTGTTTCTCAATAAGGCTAATTCTCAATGTCTGCAGGTAGCGACCGAGATACTGCCATGGTTATGCAACAACACATGTTCTTTAAATGCGATTTTCTGTCTTAGTTAAACAACAGGTATATAAGGGATAATGATCAAAACAGATGTATCGGCGTAATAAGCCTAAAGAGACTCAGCTCTTTTCAGTATTTTATAAAGTAAATTCCAAAGACGAGAGTTAGACTTCTGGTGAATGAGTAGTCGTTTGCATCAAACTAGAAATATGGCGACCGGGAAAGGGTTAGCTAAGATATTTAGGCGACTTTGTTGCTTTTGAGTATTGAAGATAAGCAGAGATATGATCTGATTAGGAACTCGTGGATGCCTGGGGCATACAAGTATACATTGGTATATTTGCAAAATTATTTGAGGATCAAACTAGACAGCATCCATCGGAAAACAATTTACTAGTAATTTCACTTAAGCAATGCTAGAAGTTTTCCCAGTAAGCATTATGTCTGCAAATTTTTCAAAGACTAATCTGATTATCTCAGTTAAAAAGGATATCGAGTATTATGAGGCAGTGGTTACCCGTTGTGAAAGTTACACCACTGATAGAACTATCGCAAGTATAGGGAATTCAGCAGAGAACGACACCCAGTACGATACCAGAACAACAAAATTTCGATCGCTTAGATGCGAGGGAGGAGCGGTTAAGCGGAGGAGCAACCATTTGAGAATAAAGAAAGCACTTTTCCTTCTCTGGTTAGACGCTCCCCCGCCTCACCGTTCCTTTCTTCTATTTCCACACTCGAACTTAAGTGGCTCTTGTACCTAGGGTATCTGGAAGGAAGAGCTCTTTTCTGGCGAGAGACAGTGTCTGATTATAAAACCACAAAGGGTCACTACTTGTGTTCCTTAAAGAAGCTGCACGCTCTAGTCTTCCCTTTTCCTTTCCCTTTTCTGGTATTCCTGTTGGAAATTGAAAGATTCCGGTTGGAAGTCTGCCCTTAAAAGGCAAAATACGCCTTTAACCTGACTGTTATTTACGTTAAAATAATGTAACGGGCAGCTGCAGGACTGGAGGCATTGTCCGTTCAAGAGAGGTGTCTGCCGTTGTGGAGGTTTAACAGCTGCAAATAACGTTTGGAAAGAATCTTTTGTTTATTGTTTTTGGAAATTCTGTTATTTGGAATTTTCCATTAGTTCGGCTTTCTCTGTATCTGGAGATATTCCTTTAGCCCATTCCGTTTCGATTGCTTTGCCCTTCTTGCTTGGTAACTTTTGCCTGATCAAGTATTAAGACATGACAGTAGACGTGTTTTGAAAAGAATAACTCTCATTTCAAGGGAAGGGGGAGGGGGCTTGTCATATTAGGTTCACATTTCTGCCACGCCTTTTTACGATGTAGAGGGAATCTTTCGATTTCTGTTTCCTATATCAACACACCGTAGGAGTTTACCCCCGTGTTGACATTGTTATTGCGTACCATTTGTAGGCAAAAGCTTTCCAGACGTCTGAACCGTCTTAGTATAGTTTCCTTTTGTTGTCTGTACTACAACTAATTAGAATGATAACAGTTGCCATCAGATATCCTTAGAAATCTAATCCCAACGTACATGGTTATTGCACTGGTTGTCGAACGCAGGTGTTTTGCAAAGATATTACAAAGGATTCTTGAATCAACACTAGCTCGGTTAATTATACCACATGGTTGGGAAAATTTGATCATAGTCTTTTTAAACAGTGGCATGCGGACAGGAGGGGGAAAAACGAGGAGCGAGAGAAGGGGCAAGAGAGAGCACAAGGGTACAAGGGATGAAAGAGGCAGCGAGAGCTTGCCTAGTGGAAGGAGAAAGGGCAGGGACACAAATAAGAGTGAGGGTGAAGGACAAAAGAGCTGAAAAGAGAGAAAAAGAGAGGGGGTATTTATGGTGTTTGGAACTAGCAGCAAATAGAAGCATCATGCCAGAACTAGTAAGGACATAAGCAATACGATGAAAAACTTAGCTACATGTAAAAGATCAGGCGAAGTAAGAAGAAAATATCAAGCAAGATGGAAAAGAGAGGGACAGATAGATTGAGGGGCAACGAGGAAATATTGGATTATTAGCGAAAGGAAAGACTAATACTCGAAGTAAGCTAACATGGCTGTCAGTTTGGGATCCAAGTTTATAAGGCGCTAGGAGTAAGACAGCTATAGAAGGGAATTGTTTGCAACTTTTCATGCAACTTTCTAATGCTTCTTGGCTTCAAGGCTATTACTCTGTATTAGATCTTCTAGCTTTCTGCTTTGGTATGATCTAGGGGCGGATCCAAAGCAAATTTGAAGGAGGGGCAGTCGGTAGTGGGGGCGCTGAAAAAGTTTCAAAAATTGGTGACAAGAGTACGCTTTATACAACAATTTCAGATCCATTTTCAGAATAAACAACATAAATTTGAGGTAATTCTTGTTGCAAATTAACCTATCGGTCTCAGAAACTTTTTCATCTGATTCTCATTCCTCAAAATGGGCACCAGACTTGCTTCAACTTGTCGAGGGAGGACAACTGCCCCTAGTTGCCCCCCCCTTAAATCTGCCACTGGTATGATCATAGTTCTGATTTTGTACGATAAAGCACACTTATTTGATATGATTTCTTCATCATGTTTGCATGCAGAAAGCCTGTTTGTATAAAAAATGATTCTGATACAAGGAGAGTGCTTCAATTACCTTAATTCACAGACTCAACAAGTCTCAACTAAATTTTTTTTGGGAATAGCAGTTAATATTGCAAAATCAATCCAAATAATAATGGTATGGCTATTAGGCTTGAAGCAATTGAATGAAAGAACTTGCTCACCTATTTCGATCATTAAATCACCATTGCTACATCGGAGATACGGAGAGAGGAGGTGGCCTATGATCGAGGGCTGGTATAAATTTGACGAAAAGGACAGAGGTATTTCCAACCAAATTTATGAATCAACTTGTTCTGAATACTCTGAAACTGTTTAAATCCAGTATCATCAGAAAATGGACAATTTGCCTTCTGGTAAAACGTTTTAAAGGTTTGACAGAAGAGCAAGACATTTCATTGGTTCCATCTAGTGATTGAAAAGAGCATTAATTAAGAGCAGTGGTGGCGCCAGGGGAGGGCTAGGGGGGGGGCTACAGCCTTTCCGTCGGAAGAATCTAGCCCCCCCATCGGAGGAAATTTTAGATTATTGTCAGAGCAAATTTGACAATATAACGTACGAAAACTGCTTATTTTAGTCATTTTAGCCCCCCTGTCGGAAGCTCCAGCCCCTCTGTCGGAAGATGTCTGGCGCCGCCTCTGATTAAGAGCTGTGGGAGACTGCACTTCCCCAGCCACCGGGACAAACAACATTGTCAGATTCCATATTCGTGCAGTTCATTGCTGTTCGTATTGAAAAACAAAAATAAGCATGCATCGGTGAAGAGTAAGGAGTCAGTTGAGAGAAACAGGGGTTTTTTAATAATCTCCAAGATAGGCACTTTTCTAACTTTGACTGGCCAGTCCAGAAATACTTCTTTGAGCATCACTGGTTCCTTTTTGTGGTTTGTTTTGTGGTTTCATTTTCATAGAATTCTCAATATGTTTCAGTTTTCCATCTTAAAAAACTTATGTGGCTATCACATTATCAAAAGTTTCACTTTAACACGTAATACGTAATCCACCAGAAAATAAAAAGATGATCTATTGAATGGTTCAGAACGGCGAAGACACTCGTTGAGACATTACATCATATACTCGTGCTCAGCAACCGTATAACGTAATCTTGGATATAAGTGGTTGATACGTAAACTATTTTTAAACATTCTTAGGCCTTGAACATTCTATCTTCTCGAAAATTCTTAGGCTTTTAGATATGTACTAAAAGTAGCAAGTTGTTATGTTGGTCAACTGACATCTTCCATACTTTTCTTGCTAATTCTGTACTTCTTGTGAGTAAAAACTTAACTCCCTTCAAAACTTAATGTTTCAAGGGAAACTCTTAAAAACCATATGACAAGAGCGTCAAAAATTATTGGGATGTTACTTCGAGATTTCCATATATTTAGAAATTGGGTTTTTCAGAGCTTTAACTTCTATTATTCTCGAGTTTCTCCCAGCCCCCATCCACCCCCACCCCCTAAAAATAAATTATAAAATGTCCTTTGTTTTCGATGAACAATCCCATTTGTTTCTATTGTTCTCCAAAACTCGTGCCCCCCAAAGAAAAATTACCACCTTCCTTCGGCACAGGATTTCGTAATCAATTTTCCTGTAGGAATGTGTGTACAGCCCTGCTTATCATAAAACACTCTAGAAACCAACCTGATCTGTATGGAATTAACCTGAGGCTAAAAACACTGGTGAATTAACAATGAGCTTCAATAAACACTCATTTCTTCCTGTAACCGGTTGAAAGCCCAGTGAAATGGCTGCATTTAAATGCAAATTTACGAAGAGCTTCCATTCAAAATCAATAATAAATTTGCCATTTTGTTTTCAAGTGAAGTCGCTCAGTCGTTCATGCAAAATTTATCAACTTTTTCTTGTTTCTCAGATTCGTTTCGGCTAAGCTCAAACCAACCGCAAAGCTATTGTTCGATTCCACTCGTGTTTCTTTGTTAACAATTCGATGCCACGTTGTTTTGAAAGCTTTTCAAAAGAACGACGTGTTTGCCTCATTACATCATAATAGAAAGCTAAATTGCTAAATAACTAAATAAGGTATTGTCATAATCGGTTATTGCATTCCTGGCATTCGTCATCACGGAGCCATACCTATTGATACATGATTGCTTCGTTGGATCAAATTTTGTTTCGTCAGTGTTTGATCGTGTTGGATTGATACAGTTCCACGATAAAAGTCTGTTTTTCGCGGAAAACACGTCTGTAACAAATTATTTCGATTTTTCATCGATTTTGAAATCTGCTGCCACTTGAAAGACCCCGAAGGCGTCTGAAGTCTCAAAGCTTAATTTCATCCAAGTAAGTTACCACGGACGAAGCTGTAGCCCGGCTTTCCAGATAAGGAACGACAATTTTTTTTCAAGTTGCACCACGTCTTGAGTTCCAGGCGGAAAGTGAAAAACAGTTGGGGAATTTTCAAAAGCTATTTGTAGGTAAGAATATCATGGATATAAACGTCTTTAATAAATGTCTTTGTTTTTAAATTTCTTATAGAATTATTTTTTTATAGACGGATTTCTTATAGTGGAAGTGTCAAATTTTCAATGGTGATGATGAATAATACAGTTTTAGCTAGATTTATTGTTCTTTATTATTTCCGGGTAGCAATGTACTAGAAACCGTGAGAAAACCTTTTGATCATCTGGTGCAAGTGGATGGCCGAACGAAGAAAGAATTCTGAATTCAATAACAAATCTGCAATTTAGATATTTGATGTGTTGCTTCTTTGAAATATGAAAAGTTTCTAGTAAGTGGCTGCCCGCTGTTAGTTAGGAATGCTTATTCTTTGAGGGCTGCATTGACAATGTTTTTGATCTTTCTACGGCTGACTCGTTACCGCCACCATTATAATATTGGACCAAAATATCCATGTTTGTTGTTAACTATGATTCATACTTGGGCGTGGCAACGTCGTAAGATCCTTAGTTTGATCGTTTGCCAGCGAAAATTTTTATTCCTTGACGCGATGTTCATTAGCAAATCCCGTGATTTGTTAGAGAAGAGCCCCAGGATTGCAAAAATAGCCCAACACGTTTGTGCTGTCGTGAAAGAATTTGAAGAAACTTCCCGATATGTCTTGTTGTCTATTATTTGTGACATCTTAATCTTACTTTATAACCACGACATTTGTTGAGAGAGTTCTCGTCGATGGTTTAATTTTGCATACTTATTAAATTACTCATCACTGACAGGCATTGCAAATAACTAGGATTTGTTTTGCATCCTGTGTTTCTTAAAATGTGTTTTTCAAAAAAGGAAACCGCGGTGTAAGTCGAATTTAATTTTTAGCCTAACAGTGTCGTGTTTAAGCTGTTCTTTATAATGCTTTTTCAACAGGACATGCCGTGCGTGATGCTTTTGCTACATACAAATTCACACCCTCAATTTTCCCTCTAATAATAGAACCTTGACTTGATTAATTCAATTGAAACTCTGCCTTGTCTTCTGACACGCAATGTTACGCAACCTGCCTTGGTGTCCACAATGTGGGTATCTTAGCAACGAAAGAAGACATTTCAATTCGATTTATAAAAATTTGCCCCTCCATCTTGAAAGTTGTGGCGTGGGCCCTGTCTAGGTGATTTGTTTGAGTCTACACATTTTAAGGCTTATATGGACACCCTGTTACTGACTTGCCTCAGAACAGCTACTCTGGGTACCAGAACCACATAAATTCCATCGCTGAAGAAGACAGGAGTGGAGCTGGACTTGCTACAAGTCTCTCTCTCTATTTCTCTATTTATTTATTCTGTCTCTCTATTTCTTTATTTATCTATTAATCTGAAAAATTAAGAAAGAATAAGGATTTCAGGTTAATGAATAAAGGCTAATTACCACATGTAAATTCAGGCGTACCGCTACAAATCAAAGGACAGCATGTTTTCAATGTTCTGCGAAATTGTTAATGAGCTGTATAAGATCCAGAAATAATTTTACTGGTACTTTGACATTTTGGGGAGTGTTTGAATTTTGAACAACAATGACAAAAAGTGGAAAATGTCATGGCCTAAAACGCTCATGTGGGAAAAAAACATCCAATCAAATTGTTTAATTCTGTTTGAAATATGTTGTAGAATAAGTCTTGAATGGCCAGTAAACAAAAAGGGAATGTTACTTCACCCCAGTTGCAAGCTGCCTTCTTTTAACATTGTTGTTCATTACAAGTGACAATTTTTAAAGTGCTTTAGCTAAGCCTCCAGCTCCTACCTCCACGTGGCAAAAGACATAAGGCCATCTTGTTGTTATGCAAGAATCCTGGAAATTTAGAATTATTGAAGATTCCTGTCATGCTATTGCAACATATTTGAAAACAATAGACAATGCATACCATGTTTTGGAGGCAATAAGTCCCGATAAACCGGTATGTTTGATATATAAATTTGCGTTTGACCGCTTATAAAATCTTGTTTAACATTTTATATGGCAATTTGTCATTTATAAATGCCTTAAAAAGTTTAGGATAGACAACGTAGACCCTTGAATCCTTTTGGATTCGGAACAAAACAACTGCAAGTTGTCAAAATCCCCCAAAACCACCTCTGATATGCTAATCGCTTATCATAAAATAAGCAAAGTCAATTAAGACTGCAAACCTCGAGCCATTACAATTATCTTTCATTGAGTCGCGTTATTAGAAATTGGATTGATATTGTATTTGGTTTTTAAGATAGGCACTTCTTGCTCACCAAGCAATTCAGGGAAGCATGGATTACTCTCGTCAAAAGAAACAGTTTCAAAAGGTTATAAAATGATTAGTTTAATCGTAATGCAAATGAGCATATTGACCAGGGATATATAAAGGACGGTAATAATTTGGAAAATGTGAAGGGAACTTTTTCAAGCAGTTTATGGGACGCAGTGAAAAAAAGAAAGGACATTTGACTGAAATTATTGCTCACATGGAAATTGGAAAGATGTATGTCGTATAGTATGACCAGGGGTGTAGAGCAAGGGGGCTCAGGGGGGCTAAGCCCACCTTGTTGATGCCGAAAATTGGCAGATCACTACTTTTGCTATTGTTTTTCGCAACATTTTGGGCAAGAGCCCCCCTTGTTATTTTGATAGCACTACGCCACTGAGTATGACTCTTGATCAACTGAATACCATTCTTACTTCGTCTTACATCACTGCATCTCATTGCCAATCTGCATCGTTTCCAGATCCGGCTTGGGTACTAGGGTATAGTTTGAAGCAGATATAAACATAAATTTTAATCTAAGGGGGTTGATAACTTCACCCTCTCTCCCCTCCCCCAGTTACCCGATCTTGACACACTCTGTCAGACCATCTGTGGCAAAAAATCATCCGTTACTGGGCTTTAGATACTAAAGGTTGCGTTGCCCAAAAAACCCTCGACGTTGGCAAAACTTTTCCAGGGGGTCGTGCCTCCACCCTACATAATTGGTAAAGCCATAGCAAGTTTTCTTACAAAGAAGATTAACGGATTCATGAATCTGCACAACAACTAAACTCCAAAATTATTTACAGCATTCGCGTAACAATATGGCTAAAGCCCACATGTGCTCTTTCGTTTGTCAATGGGTCATTTCGCCGAAATGTTTTTCCTTTGTTAAAATTTATCTGCACAAACGAACTTAACATCGTTAGGTCAACTTTAACACTAAACATCCGCTGTATCATATTCGTTTTCATATTCCGTCAGTAATCAGAATATACACGAGGCCTTCTTTTTTCAGGAATCTACTATATCTGCTAACGATTTTGATCATTGCCCCCCCCCAAATTGCTGCACAGAAGTTGTGGGCGGGGGCTTTAGCCCCCTAATTATTGTCAAAATGTACTTAAACGATACAGAAATAATTTTGTATTGGGCTTCTTGCATAATTAAACCTCAAAAATGTTTTAACCCCCCTAAAACCCCAAAAGTGTTGTTCTGGAAAGTTGCACCCCTCACATCCCCTGAACACAGTATAGAGAATAGCAGTGGCGTGGTGACCAAAATAATTAGGGGGCGCAAAAGGCGCGCTCCGAAGAGGTGCATATTTCAATATGGCATCTTTCCTTAGTCCCTTTCTTTCCATCTCTGCACTCCAACGCCACTCCAACTTCTCCGCCACCCTTTGAAAAGGTTGTTCTTGTTATGTAATCATTGCAATTTGAACATGGCGAGGGTTGGTGTTTTTTCCGAACATTAGTTGAGCAGCCAGATACATTGATTGGTTGAGCAGCAGCTGAGATCAGAACATCGGCACCATGTGAAGGGCCGGAGGCAGGCCGGGGAGGAAACTTCACTGAAAGTGAGAGGGGGGGGGGCAAAATGTTTATATTGCTTAGGGATATAGTGAAAGCTGCACCATGGTTGGCGGTGAGAAAAATTAAGAGATATGACATTCTAAGGATGGCCAGAAATGCATCCATAATATTTACCACATGGTTCCTAATGTTTGTAAGCTTTCGTTTTGAAAATTATGACCCATTGGTTGGATTTTCAATTGACACATTTCCTCTCGTGTTACTCAGCGGACATGGAAAGTATCAAGAAAAAATATACTATTTTATCTTGAAAGTATTCATAGTTTGCAGATATAGAATGTCAACATTGAAATAAGAACAAAGTTAGGAAAACTTGAGCATGAAATCATCCAAAAATAAGAACATCAAGCATTAGCAAAAATTGTTCTGTTCTTATCAATGAAAACTGTAGTGCATCAAATATTAAAAGTAGGCAAGACCAGGGACGCCGGAGAGGGATAGAAGTGCCCTTGACACCGGCCTTTCGACGAAAATCCTGATTGTAGTGCCTTATTTATGACGACATTTTTTAAAACTTCTAAAGAAATTTTTTATGCCAAAAGTTAGCCGATACTGACAGAAGATCGAAACGAAATGACAGTTGCAAAAGATTTGTTGGTAGCTGAGCATTATTTTCAAATGCCCTTTTACCGAAGCCTGTCCCCTTACCCCTTTGTCGTTCCGGCGTCGTTCCAGCGTCCCTCCGGCGTCCCTCCGGCGTCCCTGGGCAAGACAGTGTCCTTGGGCAACCGGTTTCAAACTTTTTGAAAAAGAGGGGGATGGATGACTCATATCGTTATAGTGTTTGCGTTGGGTCGGCAAATGCGTAAGATAAAATTTGTCAATGTGAGCACGCTTCCTGACGATTGCAATGCAAGTATAAACGATTTTCTTGACAGATATGGAAGAGCCTAGACCCAGACCTCTAGGTAGGCATGTTTTGCTCATGTTTGATTAATCAGTACTATCGCTGAAGCTGAGTAAACATGTATGTTATATGCACGCCTTCACGGTGTGTATGTGAAGGGCGACTAAATATAAACATTACAACAAGGTTGAAAGTGTTTCGATTTCGAAAGTCTTTCGAAACGCAGGGGAACATCTCGTGTAGGTCCATAAGGAAATTTGTGTTTATGCATGTATCGCCAATAAGGAAATTTATATAACGGGATTGCTAATCGTTGAATATTTTTGCTTATTTAGTTTGCCAGTTACGACAGAAGTTTTTAGAAATTCATGGAGTGCCGTTGTTATGGAAAACCCGAGATACTATTGGGTGGTCAGCTAACTGATAAGCTATCAAGTATATTTTGCCCAGATACCCCCGTCCCCACACTCCTGGTGTGAAAATATTTTAATATCTCTCTGGGGAAATATGTCGGTTATCTGAACCTGAAGAGTCTTGAACATATTTTAAAAACCTGGCCGCCATGTCGCTTCTAGCAAAAGCCCCATGTCACACTCAATAACTCCACCTGTCCCATTTAAGTAACCTGGCAGTTTTCATAGTTCTTTGAAGCTGGTGTTTACATCCACGTGACCCCAGTGTTGTGTCCCCCACATGTGGATAACACTGCCGTTTCCTTTCCATGCTCGAAGCCAACCTGTTTTGTTACAATTAGGATTATAATGGGTTGTATTTTTTTATTATACAGGTATATGTATTCAGTGTTTTAGAACAGTGTAGAAAAGTATGTGGACACCAGTATGTACCCGATGTTCAAGTAAAAATCCTCTGGCAACTAGGTATGGTAGGAAGGGTAGAGAAAAGTTGGAAGGGCAGGGGAGGGTAAGGAAGGGTAGGGAAGGGTAGGAAAGGGTAGGGAAGGGTTAGGAAGGGTAGGGAAGGGTTAGGAAGGGTAGGGAAGGGTTAGGAAGGGTAGGGAAGGGCACGGAAGGGTAGGGTTAGGAAGGGTAGGGAAGGGCAAGGCGGTGCTAAAAGCAATGTAAGATAATGTGTTCATTTGTGATAAGAAAAACTAAAAAAATAGGAGTATAAAACTGTAATAAATTGGAAAAGGGGCCCGCCCACCTGCACAGCTCGCACTGCTTCGCGTTGGCTGGCATCAAGAAAAACACTTTATTTACTAATGTATGAGTTTGACAGTTCCAGACGGAAAGTTTGCTGCAAATGAGCCTTGGTCGGAATCCCAGATTCATTGGCAGTAAGCGGAAAATTAAATGGTAAGATACTCTAAGCGGAAAAAACAAAAACTGATGAATTGATTGAATTTGGAGATAATGGATGTTAGGCAATATATTACGCTGCAGCATACCGAGCTTTCTCTATTTTATAAGAAACCAAATGAAAAGTATTTGGGGTGCGTGATGGTGATAGCAAATTGGTGGATGGAACAAGTGCGATTCATCCCAGGGGATGGACTGGAGTAAGACAAAATGCAGGAGTAAGTTTTAGAAAGGGTTGGGCTAGATTGTAGAAAAGGCAGACAATTATGAGTCTGTTTGGAATGATGAATGATCAAGGGTGACCGATGCAGTTTTTATTGCGCTAGTTCTGCCAAAAAGCGAATGTTTTGAGCACTTTTAATCTTTTGTCTTGTTTAGAAATACGAAATTATTGTTCTGTGCTCGCATAGAGTTAACAGACCGAATCACAATAAAGTGGCCTAAAGCAGTGTGTTAGGGTAGCAGGTGTTATTGTGAAGGGAAGTCGCTAGCGAGTTTGAGTTTTTTAGCTTCAAATTCACATAAACGCACAGCTTACTGTTAAGTCGAGAACGGGCTCGACATTTTGATATCATTTTCATCTACAGTGTGAGAATATACTTATGATAGATACAAAATTCACAAGGGAGAAAACAATCTTTAACTTCCAAACAGGCAACTTGTAGTGCTAAATGGCCACACCTTTTTTGGCAGAAGTCATATGATCAGAAAGTGCCAATAAATTTTTTTCGTGAAACCAGTTTTTTGCCTGATTTTGGAAACGTATGCAGGGTATTAAGGGCCCACGCCAACGGGGGGGGGCGAGGAGCGGAGGGGCCACGGCCTCCCACTTTATTGCGAAGCAAGTTGTTTTAAAGCTGCAGTAAAAGGGGGGGGAAAGCTTGCCCCCTACTTTTGCTAGCCTTGATATTGCACATATATAAACGACTTTATAAAGACCCTTGCTTATACCTTGTTTATACTTCATAACGATACCAAGGCCGGAGTAATGTTTTATGCATCAAAGAAAAAAAATGGATTAAGATGGATAAACAAGATTGTGTACTGTATGTGGGCTTGCTAGCCAGTCCGTATTGTATGGACCACTAGTTACTCGTACAGTGTGTACTGTATAGACCACTAGTTACTCGAATGGGTCCAAAGTAAAAATCTCATTTTTTAGAAATAAGTATTTTTACACTTTTTTAAAGGAAAACCCAGAGAAAGATTGAAAGTGTCTTATGTTTATATAGATAGAATAAACTAGACAGGGGGTAATGACTATAGTTCAGCAGAGGGGGCATGCAAATCTACGATGGCTCAACCGCAAAAATTTCGGACAGGGAGATGATAGATGGGACACTTAAACACACAACTTCTGTAAAACTAGGGAGTCAGCGAAACAGAGCACAGTAAATGAAAGTTAGGGTAGGCAAAAATCCCGAAGTTTGTGTATTTAGTAAAGACTGGAATTGGAATTATGTTTTGATGTCTCTCCGGAAATTGAAATGCAAAAACCTGCGAAAATTTTCGCCTGGAGAATTTTCCAATTTTGTGCTGAATTTTCAAAGCATGACAAATATGGTGTCCGATTGAAAATTCCTTTATGACCAGAAATAGGATTGTTAAAAATGTCTTTGTTAACCAAAATCAGCTGTTCCTAACAATAATACACGCATAGTCGTAGAGAAGGCAGATTGCTTTCTTTCATGATACTGACGCTGAATAGTCCTAGGAGTAACCGTTACTGCTTTTTATACAACTTCAAATAGAACTATTCTTTTAACCCTGTCGACCTGTCCAATCAGCAGCGTATATTTCTTTCCCAAATGCGATTATCCAATCAGAGAATTCTTATTGTAGATCTAATTGTATCTTAGAATAAGATTATCCAATCAAAGTGAGACTAAAGAGCCTTAGCTTTTGTTTTATTTTAGTAGCTGTCCAATGATTGAAAGCTATAAACAATCACTATTGTCTAACGAACTTGTCCATTGTCTGCTTTATTGAATCCACTCCCATTCTGGACTCAGGCGCGCTTTTGATCGTGTGCCTTACCGAATCAAACCAACGTGGTGACTGTAGAATCGACCTTCGCGGTGTAGGCTTCTTGTTCGTTGAAACGCTCGTGGTATTAAAACTAACAAGTTTATTTTGTCCTTATCCTACAGGATGAATACCATGGCAAGAACATCTCTTGTGATCTTGACAGTATTGATTTCATCTTGCTGTAAGTACAAGTTCAAGTTTTTCTTGAAAGCAGCCATATTTGATTTTGTCATCTTAGGCTGTGTCTCCATAGTGTTTGTCCTAAGTTCAGACTGTTGTGTGCTATCTTATATGAAGTTCACCGCTGATTTTGTGATGGTACATTTCACTCTTTAATTGCTAACGAAACTGGGAATAGTATTACCTTTGTACATCCGGACTGTACTTCGACTCTGTGAAATGCCACGCCTCAGAATCGCGACAAACAAATCTAACAAACTTTCGTGCTGAGAAGTAAAGTAAAAGTTGTCGTAAGTACGTGTTTGTAGTTCTCAAGAGCTCGCCAGCCAATTAAAGCATGATAATTACTTCTTCATACCACTTTAAAGAATTTGTTAATGTTCTTGCTTGGTGCCACCAAATCCACACCAAACCATCAATCCTAGGGTAAGTTTCACATGAATATATTCAGATAATTGGCATGTAGACTGTCTAAAGAAGCTGCATTTCATCCATTACCCAAATAAATGAAAATGACTATATTAATATCCAGTTGAGATATTGTGAGATTAGAATAGCTTGGGTTTCTCAAGGTTTCTTGTCTCTAAGTATTTTATACCTCAACAATTTTTTTATGTTTTTTTTCAAGAATAAGAACATTCATTTTCATCTTGAGAGGGCGTTGTTTTAAACAATGCGCGTGTCTGCCAATACTGGATGTCGGATTTAAACCTCTCACAGCCAGTCAATTATTGAAACTGTAACCGTCGTGCTTGATAGATTTCAGAACAATTAGGGATCAAATGGCAGTTCTCCATGTGACATGTGCTGCTCTAGCAAACACAATATGTCCCGCCAGGCTTTCTCAATTTTTATCTTTCTACAGAATTTAGTTATGGATGCGCCTAAATCTACGTTTTCTGACATATAAACATATCTGCCTTTCGCTAGTGGCCGAAAGTCGTTATCACTTGGTTCTGTAATAAATAGATTTTTGGTTCAACCTTGTCTGCATGTGAAACCACTTGTTCTAAGATTTCTCGTTATCTCGGTATATACCCGAGATTTCCTTAAATATTTCCTGCCCAAGCTTAAAGTTTAAGCGGCTGTACGACATTTCTGAAGGCTTCTTGTTTCCTAACCGTAAACGTTGCCGGTTGTACCTGCTTGCCTGACCCAGGTGCTGAAGCGTTTCGTTGCCTGTTTAGATGGCTATGAAGCCTAGGCCACTTCAGCTTCAAAATTCTTATCTGCTTGAAATTCAGGAGCTAGACGCAATAGGAAATAATTTATATTTTCGAATTTTTTTATTCATACAATGGCTTGTCGGCCCTAAAACTAGGCGGTGGTTCGTTTTTCATTTTTGCAGCTGTCTCCAGCATTCATTCCCCTACACAATAAAATCGCTGCTAAGTTATTTTCTCTTAAAGAAGCATTGATTCAGGTCGTTGAACCAAATGTAAGGGCGTTGACAAGAATTGCTTATGTTTCAGACAGTTTTTGGTGGCATCTTTGTTTGGCGCTTTGATCTCGCTAAAATATCAGTTCTCTCAACCAAGTTAAACATCTATATATATATTTAAATATTCCCAACCTATGAGTCGTTAAGAATTCAGGTATAACATGCAAGTTTTACCCTTAAAACAATGCGAATAGCTGTTGTAAAGATCTTTTCGATTTTTCTTTGATTTTTACTTGCATTCACATATTGTCTTGCATCAATAAATCAAGTCAGTTTCCATAAATGGATTCTATCTTCTTTGCATTCAATATAAAATTTTAACATTAAATTAGGGATGCTTTGCATCAAAGTATTTATATACATTTGAGTGTCTGAACTGTTGCGACGCTGAGAGACTTCTGAATTCAAGTTTTAAATAAACAAGGTCACTTTTGATTAATAATTTTTTTTTCTCATGGCAGTAAGTTGAAAATATTAGTTGGATGGTACAATTGTTGTTTTTTCCGGCTTGATCCATTCATTCAAGTTTATCACTTAATTTTCAGTATATATATACAATTTACATATTAATTATTTGAAAGTCTCTTGGTTATTGAATTGATTGAAGTAAGGTCTTGTGCTCCTATTTTAAGTGACAAATGCGGTCTTAGGAAGGTTTTATCAAAAATATATGTGACCCCTCTTATTCCGAAAAGTGTAAAATTCTGATAAAGCTTGTATGGTTCTTTAGTCCTAGACATTACGTTCAGTGCCACTAGGATTATAATGTTATCTTATAAGCAAGGAAAGACATCAGAAATATTCATAATGACATGGAATGTTTATATTGTGCCTTCTTTTTGAATACTTAGTATTCTAAAAATGTGATACATTACCAACAAGAAAGGATAATTGTTTATTTAGCCTCTTCTTTTTAATAATTAGGTTGTGCCTTTTGTTAGAAAGGTAAAAATTGTCCTGGAATGGAATGTTTTTGAACTGAAAGTATCTAATTGTTTAATTATATATCATGCTCTATGTGATGTTTAATTGTTTAAATATACTAATTCATTATATATATATATTAATTATATATATATAAATATTATAACATCTCCATATAGAAATTTTTAACATCACATAGAGCGTGATATAGCATAGGGTTGGAGAAAATTAAACTACATGTTTTATCTCTACAAGCCTGTTTCCTGAATAACTCACTCTTAAGAAGATGATGATATATACTTAATTATATTTATATATATTTCTTGAATGTTACTATGAGCAAGTTGAATTCACAAGTCTGTTTCAATGCATCTGCTACCACTGTTCTTTCAGTTTTTAAAGCATTGTAGCACCATACAAAATACAATTTCTTCAATGCACGTTATTAGTAATGAACATCAGTATTTTTTTAACATTTCCTCATTCCCTCAATACATGTTTGATTGGTCAGCTCGTTTGTTATTTTTTCAAATCCTGTCTTTGATGTTGATGAATCCCTGTCACTTCTCAATGTCATTTTTTTAGATGCTGCCTTTAGATGGGAGCTGGCAGCCTACTCCCAGGAACTTGGTGACACTGTAGCACTAAAATGTTTGTCTGATGACGCAGCAACATTTGAGGTATATCACAAAGGTGTAAAGGTAGTAACTGGTGGCAAATATACAGTTACTTCCTACACCTATGAAATAGATGTAAGACTAACTGGAGTAGGTATTGATGAAGCAGGAGAATATGAATGCAGAGTTTCTGGATCTACAGAAGTCCAAAAAACTCGAGTTATGCTCAAAGGTATGTTATGCACGAGTTATTAAGCTTCAGTGAAGCCACCATAAATAGATTGCAATAGTTATTTAGTTATTTTGTAAATGTTAAAATTGGATACATTTAATACTTGATTTGGCATCTCATTTGACTGACTACAGTCAAACTTTTAATTAACATTTCCCTTGAATGACCATTCCCTTTGAACGAGTCTCTCACACCCTTCCAATGATCACAACTTAGCATCCTGTCTACTTCGAATTATATGTGTAGTAACATATCTCTTACATGGAACGTTTTCTCTAGCTGTGCAGGTATTGTTCGGCATAGTTTGGACAATTATATATATATATATATATACTGTTTGCGATTTCAGCCAACTATCCTGATAATGGCAAGACATTCTACAAAACATTGGGAACGAGGTCAACTGTTCCCTTTTCAATCATTGCATATCCAAGGCCTGAAATAGAATACCTCATTGTAAATGCTGTTGGTACAAAGACAACTGTAGCAAAGGCTGGCTCACGTGGAGATATGAGAGTTGGAGGTGATAAGTACTCTATCAATAGCACCAATGGCCATCTTGTGATTTTCAGTGTACAAAAAACTGATGGAGGAAAGTATGCTGTACAATCTGTTGGGGCTGGTTCACAGAAAAATGGCGAGTTTACTCTTGTTGTTGGAGGTGGGTTTCAGTTAGTGTAATTCCAAAGATACTGCTTTTTAGAACCTTTAAGAATTTCATAAAATTTAAAGTTATCACCATCTAAAATTTACTGAAAACTTTTGGGTTAATATAAAATTTTGATGAAAAAGATTTGTCTTGTTTTCACATACCTTTTTTGTATGTACCTGTATTTCACATACCTGCTGAATTATGGAAATCTTGATTTTATATGTGAAGAATATGAAAATGTTTGTTAGGGAAAAACCAAGACTTGAAAACTTGTTGAGACTAGGAATGTTATTTTGACCTGTACATTTCTTCTGTCTCTATATAATAGTCTATATATATATATATATATTTATATATATATATATATATATATATCATTTTGCATTGTGAGAAAACGAATTTTGTTGCAAAATTTACTTTTTGTTTGAAAGTGCCTGTATATAAAAATATATGGCCTGAAATCTAAAGATATATATTATTACTGGTTTTTATTGTAGATAAACCCCAAATTACAACTGCACCAGATGCTCTTTACAAGCTAGTCAGTGGGAAGGCTGCAACAATCACCTGCAAATTTGATAAAGAACCCGACACTGTCAAATGGGAATATACCCCAAAAGGTGGAGCCAAAGTTGAAATTACAAAGGTCTCCTCATCAGGTGGATTGTCTTTAGATGGGACCAATTTGAAGATTGCAAGTGTAGATGTCAAAAGCGAGGGTGCTACATTAACTTGCATTGGATCCAATAGATTTGGAGAGACAAAAGCTAGCTCTAAAATCGAGACTGTCTTTGGTATGTTTCATTTTTCTAGAACTAGTCTTTTCATCTTCAGTCTTTATAAGTGATGAATTGAATATATTTTTTTATGTAGGTCTACAATCTGCTAATAAAATAGTTATTATATACTGTGCATAATCAAAATTTTATCAATCCACTTTTTATATAGCATTTTTGAAATGTGGTAGCAGGGTTGGACACTTGGTCAAATATTGGGGGGGGGGGGCAAGCCTATTGTTTTAATAAGATGACATCACATTTCCCATTGTTTTAGAACAAAATACCATTGTCCTCTAAAGTATTGGGGGCGGTCTGCCATTTTCCTCTAAAGATATCATTGAGAGAGCTGGGGACAATTACCTCAGCTCAAACAAAGAATGAAAATAAATCATCAAAAGGGATCAAAACTTTTGTCAGTGTGAAACAGTGATGATAAAATCTAGATACTTGGTCTCATGAGGGAAACATAAACATAACTATACATTGTAGTATTTAATTCATTTAAAATATTTTGTCACGTTTAGTGTTTCAGTAGAAAAAACCTTTTTGTTCTGTGCTACGAATTAAATTTGATTGGTGCCAAGCCCTTATCTCCCACGTTTTTGGCAGCATGTGTTAATTTCTTAATATGAAAGCCCTGTACCTCTTATGATTAAGAATACATTTGTTTCATGATCATTTTCAAATTTCAGTAACACCAAAAATAGAGCCACTGGTAAATATAGATATTGCACAAGGGAAATCAAAGACATTGGTGTGCAAAGCATCTGGCAACCCAGCACCACAAGTTACTTGGCATAAGATGGTAGACAAAACATTTTCCAAGATTGATGGTCAAAAGGTTTGTATTGCGCTTTTATTAGGTTGAACAAGTAGAGATTTCTTCCTTATTTAATTTATGCATAAGCTAACTCTATGTACCATTTGTCATTTGCTGCATCAACACATTATCCAAGTTCCCTCTTCATGTCAAATATATATATTCATGTTTGAGGTCTTATGTTGTTTTCTTCTTTTGTCCTATTTGATCAAAACTTGTCCACTAAATTTTAATGAAACTGTGGCTACATGCAGTCATTGTTGATTGTAATCCAATTTCTTTGCAAATATTTAGACTACAGAAAGGTATATTATTTTGCACAATTTGGCTTTCCACCAGACACCTCATGTGAATCCATGCACCAATTATTCTTTGAGTTGTGCTTTTTGAAAACTTAAAGGTATTCAAAGGCAGTCTGTCCCCTATTTTGCCAAACTTTCACGGGAGTAAAACTTAGGCACTGTTAAGCTTGTTCGATAATTAAATGATTTAAACCAATCAGAGACAACTTTGATTCCAGAGCTTTTGAATCAAATGGCTGTGTTCCTGTTGTAGTGAAGCTGTGGCTAGAAATATTTGTTTCCCTGTTTGGTTTCTGTGACAGTTATGTCAACAGGGAAAAGAAATGCTTCTGTTATCATCATTCACTTCCAGTAACTCAATCTTCTTGCCATTTCTGAAAGCTTTTGCTTGCAGTTTCAAATGTCGTCCACTACCGCTGCTGGGCCAGCCAAAGCGAGCAGCGTAATCCGTTAAGGTGGGAAGACCAATTGTACAAAGAAGCCAATCATTGAGGGACAGACTGTCTTTAAGTTTAATTATTTTTAATCTTATCAGGACATATTCATCTTGGGTAGATACAAAAGAAATGTTGACAAATAAATAAAGAAATTGCGTCTAAAAACAAATTTGCTCAATAGTTCACCAATATTGATTCTTGCTCTTAATGGGAAAATCTAAATCTGGAGTTTCTAAACTTATTCTTTCCATTTTATAAGCAAAAGCCCGGCAACAGTACATACACAATTGCTAGTGCCTCCCTATCTGATGCTGGAACATACAAATGTATGGCTCTTTTGGCTGATATGGCTTCACTCAACAACAGTGCCACATTGACTATCACTATTCTCAGTAAGTATAGTTGCAAGCATTAACATGTTGTTTATAGAATACAAGTATATTTTAGATCAAGGAAAGATGATCAGGCAGTAAAGGTTTGGGTTTGCTGAAGTAACATCTAATGTAGGGTTTCACTCTATGGTCTTGTTTTGAAATGTTCCTTGTAAAACTTAAGATCAGGATAATGTACCAAAATGTTTGCTTATATTTTGGCATCATGATGTTAATACTGGTGAAATTGATTTTATGATGACATAGAAGTTTAAATTTGGTAAAAGATTAAACAATGATTAGCAAATAGGGGCAAAAAGTTTCACTTGGGGCAATTTTAATGGTTGAATCCCTATTATAATTTCAAGTGTCACTTGAAATTTGAGCTAAATGTAGATATTTAGGCTTCTAATGGCGTTATAGTGCTGATAGCATCCTATGTCCTTTTCTTTTGTTTTAATTTTCTTTTCATTTTTCTTTCAACATTTCTTTACATATATTCTTTACATATATATTTGTGATTTATTATTTTCACTTTCCTTTAACAGCCCTTCCTGTGATTTCTGAAGCAGAGACAACTAAGTCTAAAACTTATGCAGTTGGTCTTGAACAGAGTCATAATTTGACATGCGTCGCTTCTGGGAATCCATTGCCAAGTTTAGTTTTCAAGAAGGATGAAACAGTGCTTCCTGGGGCAATTGTAGAAAAAACTGCACTCAAAGTCAAAGCCACATTGAAGCATCTTGCAAATGCTTCATCAGACTCTGGTGTTGTTGTGTGTGTGGCAGAGAATTTAGTTGGAAACGCTTCTCGCAACATTGATATAAAAATAATTGGCAAGTTGTCTTATATTATATTATATTTTTGTCTTTAGTAGTCAATATTATATTTTTGATTGATCTCTACTTGTCCTTGATTTAACTGTGTTTGGAATCAAAGCATACAGATTATATGGTTATTTGCTATCTTTAATGTTCTTTGCTTTTCTTTGGGGCATCACATTGTGACCTGCTTGAAATTATCCATAGATCTACCTGTTGCACCCATTAACCTTGTTGCATCTAAGGTTGAGAGGACCTCTTTTGTGCTGACATGGGATCCTGTTCCTGGTGCCAGTAGATATGAAGTAAAGCAGTATATGAAAGGCGTTATTGGTGCACCAACAATGCCAAGCATGAAAATAGAGGGCCTTGCTGGTGGTGCAGACTACAAATTTGCTGTTGCTGCTGTGAACATAGCTGGATCTGGACCTTACTCCACCTTTTTGCCAATGAAGACTCAAAAATTTGGTAAGTGTCAAATAGAATTTTGTTGATTTAACCCTACCCTACAGCCGCTGACAAAGTATTGTAATTATTTAGATATAACAAGGAATGGCAGTCTAAAGCCGCTTTTACACGGTCAGATTTTGTCGAATTCGACAATCGAATTTGACAAAATCTGACCGTGTAAAAGGAGAAATTGAATGTCGAAAGCCATCATCAGATTGTCAAATTTGATTTTTCAAGAATCAAATGTGTTCTATTCCATTCGACAAATGGAAAGGTGAATGAATGACATTCTTGCTCGCCCACGCTGCTACGTCATCCAAATTACCATGTTCTGTATTGTTTCAGTCTGTTTGCAATCATTTTAAAGAAAAAATGGAGTGAAAGCAGCCAAAGTTCAACAAAAAGGAAGAAACAGAATTATTCATTGCTAAATACTCATGTTGTCCTTCATGTAGTCCTTTCCTTCCGTGAAGCGCAACTCGTTCAAATCATATGACTATGATTCAGCCATTCTTTTGTCCATGTTGTTCGTTTTTGCACCTTTCCTTACTCCATTTCATAAACAGAATTGAGGCATTTGACTCTTATCTTATTTGTCAAAATCTGACCGTGTAAGAGCGGTTTAAAACTTTTAATAGTCAGTTAAAGCTCTGTTGTTTGTGGGACTGAACACTAATATCAGTTCACACATTGAGCTTTATGTTTATGAACTTGTATTGTTATTTTTACTGCTGAGTATAGTCTTATTTTGTAAAGCAAATAAACTTTGAACTCCATCTTTGCAAAACAATTTTGCATGGTCAATTTTTTTGGAAATGTATAGTTTTGGTAATGAGGATGGTTTCAATAAATCTGAGAACCACTGTTTAGGTTATTCCTTGCATTTAAAAAGTAAATTCTTTTTTCTGAAGTTCTTTCAAACTTCCCCTTTCCCCATGAAACTATGATGAGTGTTATCTTTTCATATATATGTGACAAACATCCTTATCTGACTTGTTTTAACATTGCTTTTAGACCCGCCTGCTAAAGTTGTCATCAGTGATATACCATCAAAATTTGACAAGAATGATATCACCATTAAATGGGATAAGCCTTATGATGGTGGTGATGCAAACCTTCTGTACTCGGTGACATATTGTCAGGTTGATGGAGGGGCAGAGAAAGATTGCAAAACTGTCAATACTAAAGAAACTACTGTGGATCTGAAGAATCTAAAAGAGGATACAGAGTACTCTTTTACAATTAAAGCTGAAAACAAGAGAGGATCTGGGGAAGAATTGAAATTCAATGCAAAAGTCGGATCTAGTAAAGGTAATAGCAAACAAAACCATTTCGATTGGATCCAAGGTTTTAAAGAGTATATATATATATATATATAGTACCATTTTTGTTGGAGGGTGTTATTTTATTTATCTTTACCCATATTACACTTCACAGCACCACCACCACCAACCAAGGCACCAACAACAACACCACCAGATGTTGTTGTACCTGGCGAGAAGAAGGGACTTTCAGGAGGTGCTATTGCTGGAATTATCATAGCTGTTATCTTGATCTTGCTTCTTGTGATTGATCTCTTCTGCTGCTTCTTCAACGAGTGTGGATTCACATACTGCTGTTACCAGACGTGTTGTCCAACAAAGGGCAAAGAAAGTGGTAAGTAATAAACATCTTTTTAACTATCACTATTAATGCGGCACTTTTTAACTATAATGCAGCACTGTCTTATTAACTATCAAATTATTCCTCAAAATGTTATATGTATCCTAGTATATCTATGTTTTCACCACCAATGTTTAATATGTGAGCTCAGAAGTCAGCAAAACCTTATATATATATGTTATTTTTAACGCTTGCTTTGCTTTATTTTTGTGTATTATATCAGTTTTAAATAGAAGCCATTTCTTTGTTGTGTTTTTGATGTGTGCTAGAAATAATGGGAATTTATCTACACTAAGCAGCTGCATTGACAGTGGTGTTCTAGTCTGATCGATCATCAAACTTGATCATAAAAAGATTTCTGTGTTGACCTGATCCTATGAAACACATTCATAAAACTGCTCAATAGTTAATCAATGCAAACCTGGCAACTTTTCAAATATCATTATAGAAAAAGCCTTCGATCTTTACCAGCTTGCAAACCAGACCACGTTCATTTAAAGGCAATCTGTCACAACGTTGATTGATTGTAAAAACAAAGGGATTTTTATTGTTTCCAGTCCCCCTTTAATTTATCGCATTGTAAAAAATATGGTGGAGCGCTGGAATCGTGTTTAGGCTATTGTTTCAGCTATTGTTCTCGTTAACCAATCCACAACGAGACAGATTGCCTTTGAGGCTGTAGATACTTATGATTGTTGAACTGAACAAGATTTAATATTTAGCTCCACAGAGGTTTATAACTGTTGTTGTGACTTGCATTTGTTTCAGGTGGAGCTGACGGAAAAGATCCTGAAAAGGCTGAGCTAAAGGATGTTGGAAATGATCATGATGGTGAGACGAAAACTGCCCCAGAAGAGAAGCAAGCATTGACGGAAAAGTAAGAGTATCTCTTAATTGGCCTAGCTGTTTTTAGTTGATGTGATTCTCCCATACTAGCAGTATGTAAGCTTGCAGTTTCCTACCTTGCGATTAAAAAATAATTTCAAAAGGCCCTAGTGTGTTCATTAAACACATTATACCAATTCCTGTACTTTACACCATTTTCAAAATTCATTTTACATCTTCTCAAAGACTATAGATATTTTTATGATAATTATCGTTTTTAAAGAAATACGTTTTTGCTGGCTTAGTTTTTATTTTTTTTTATTTATTTTTTCTTAGTTATATATTTTAATTTTTATCTTTGACTTAGTATATATATATCAATACCGATGTGTATGTATGATTTTACCATGCATTGATTTTGATCTACTTGTTTAATCTTATTTAGAAACCTACCCGTTGCGTTTACTAGAAATTTCAATTTGCAAGTGCTAATTGTATATATAAAACTACCTTTTTATAGAGTGAAGAAATTCTTTGCCATAATTGTTATATACTTAAGATGGCCAAATAATAACTTAAAACCTTTAGTAGGTCAGCAGAATCGTGAATATGTCCTATTTTTTCTTGGGGTACCTCAGCAATTGTTGTTTCTTTCTTTCAATATATCTGTTGGTATTTTTTTGCATTAAATTCGTTTTTTTTTCAGGAAAACTGAAGACGTTTGAAACTGACACCGTACTATAGGAAAATCTGCATGCCTAGGAAGAAATTATAATACTGCATCTCGAAGAGAGATGCTTGTTGGAGTATTATTTAAAAAACTGCCACAAAGACATTTAAAATGGGTCTCAAGTGTTTTGATTTCATTAAGTCGAAATTAAGAATGCGCATACGTGTAGAAGCCAGACTGTGCCAAGTTTTTAAAGATGACAACAACAAACGGAAAATTCCTTGCACTGAATGGAACTTGATGTCTTTTTAAACTTGGTCCCGTGTACAATTTTAGCCAGATTGTAATGTAAGGTACCTTTAGGGTCCGTTTTATCAATTAGGAACCTTTACTTGTTTGGTTTTGGTTTTTCTTGATTTTGTTTTATCATTTTTGGCAGTGGAAATAGCTTTTTGAACCTGTTTTATTTCTAAGTCTCTAAATAGATATATAAAAAACATGTCGTAGATAATTTTAGTTTTAAGTTTCGACTTGTTTCTGTCAAGTTTCGCAATCACCTTGATGATTTACTGGGAAGTAAAAAGCCTGGCATTGTTAGATGCTTAAGACCATCGTTGCGTCATCCACTGTTAATTAAAAAGGGTTATAATTTTGCCCGTCTTCAGTAAATTATCTTAGACCAATCTGGTAGAGTTAGATAATTGCACATTATTTTTGTTAGCATTAGGCTGCAGAGGAGAGATAAATACATACATGAATATACGTCAATAGCTTTTGCTTGCTTCCCAGAGTACAAAATGGAGAAATTATAGGGATTATAACGTATTAAGCATATTTTCGCGTTTGCTGTTTGACTTCATTTGATAAATTTGCGACTAAAAAGTAGTTAAATTGTTGTTATCATTTCTTGCGAACACGTGCTACGTATGAAAAGAAGAGGAAATTTTCTTGTCAGGCTGCTAGCTTCGCTAAACTGTCTCTTGCTGATCAATCAGTGAATACTGGGTTAAGTTTTGCAATGCATACGAGTCGGCATGCTGACCCTGAAATTCGAAGGTTAAGCATCAAGACCCCGCGGCTATATCGATGGAACAGTCCCTGGCTTGCACATTTGGCCTGTGCACTGTGAATGCGTTATTGCCAGTTGCTTCGAGTTGCTGACTAGGAGTTTCGTTGTCAAAGAAGCAAATTCAATGCACGAACGTGTATTTACTATAGACAAGAGCATTATCGTTGTTAAAAGAGCGCAGTTAGTTTGCGTTATTTGTAAAGTTTAGTGCGGTTTTTAGTTCCGATGTAGTTTGTATTTATTGATTTTAACCATGCTGTCTTCGTTCCAAAGCTTTCTGGGCCAGACCTACCGCCCCTTATGCTGTTTTGCCTGTGGCGTCATATACTTTATTTCCTTATCCGGAAGCGAATTCTGCTTGTGCTGAGTTTATTATTTGAAATCCCACTTGCTCCCATTTTGACAGTCTAAGAAAACCAGATTTCACAATGTTAAATTTGTCTTCTTTTGCTATGTTGCCTTTTAGAGATTAATTTGTGAACTCTTTAATGATTGGTGATTAAGTTATATTTGTGACTTTACTCCACTTGATCTTGTGTTTTGTGCCTTCTTCAAGGACAGCGAAATTTATTCTTCCGACGTCTCGGTCTGTGCCTGCGCGACGTTATTCTTGTGTCAACTAGATTGCCTTCAGTTACCTTGTCCAAAATGATATTATGAATATGAATTTACAAATTGTGCATAAGGAAGTAATGTCCTTCGCAATCGTGTGTATCATCAAAACCAATGTTTCCCGCAATTTTTTTGTTTTGCCTAAACCAAAAGGAGTATACCGGCTCCTTCCAACAGACGACGCAGCGATCTTCCCGAACTTGTCTTTGCAGATTCTTGTGCCAAACATTTTCCAAAACAAAGAAGGGTACCTACTATTCAGGAGCGATATTATTTTTTGAAGATATTCTGTTATATCAGAAAGTCGACATGCCGCCTTGGAGAATTTAATTGCAATTACGTTGAATGCAAAAAAGAAAACCTTCTGTTACAAATCCAGCTTCGCCTAGATTTTTCATTTTTGAACCTCGATTATTTCAAAACTGTTTCTTGAAGGAGGTGTTGGTTCAAGAGTAAGAAGATACAGCAAAACCTGTCTATAAAAGCTTACTCATTAGAAACTGCAGAATAAAGAATCTGTTACCAAGATCAGAGAATCTGTTACTAAGATTAAAGAATCTGTTAATCTTTGATTTTTTCAAGTTCTTCAAAGTGATAATTTTAAACAATGCTTGCGAAAAAATGAATCCAAGAAACAATTCTCGAGAAACAAACTAGTATTCAACATATTGCATTTAAAAATGAATCGCTATTTAGAAGCCCTTCCTTCCTTTGTCAAAATGTTTTGTCATAACTTTCTAGGCCTTTTTTCAAAAGCCCATCAGCCTTCTTGCAGAAAGTACCAAGAAACTTGGATGAAACTGCGCAATTTGATCCGAAAAAGTATTTTTATTCTATGCTACTTTTTCTGTATTGTGTCTTTTCGATATAATCCACTGATTTTTGTGCTGTACAAAGTATCTAAGCTTTGCTTTCTGCAAATTTGGGTTCATGTGAGTATTTTCCCCTAAACTGCATCGATCCTTTTTAAAACTGCATCGTTATGCTGTTTATGACAATTTTCTTTGAATTTTAATCATTTCTTTTTACCATAAAAAACCGTTAATATTTTATCATTTTCCTTGCCTGCCGTCATAACAGGCTTGAATTTTCTTCCAAATATGAAAGTTCAAGGAAAGCGTTCTTTCTCATTTAAGGATCTTCTTCACGCCCTTTGAAGCTTTATTTGAAGCTAGTATGTAGAAAACTTATACATCGATAATTTTTGTTTATTTTCCAAAACTATAGGCTAGGACATTCTTCAAAAATTGACGTTGTCAGAAATGATTTATTTTCTAAATGAAGGCCGATCTTTCAATCTACATCATTGCTAGAGTCTAGGTTAGGATATTTTAAAACTTTTTTTAAGTACTTCTTATACAAAATCAAATTGGCAAGATTCGATGCGGCCTTGCTCGGGAATAATGTGTTGGCTAGGAACCAAACTACTAGGCTGATTTTCTACTGACACATCGAATTCGCCCCGTGAAGTTCAATGGGCTGGTTAGAAAACCAATAGATAGCGAAAATAAAGCGACGACATGCCATTTTGAAATACAGTATAAAAACTTTTGTCCAAACCAATTCCCCTGTAAACCACTTCTTTAAAAAATTCTACATACATTATTGGCAATCCTTGTTGGTAAAACAAATGGCAAACACGATGCCATTAATCTGAATCAGAACTGCTGCCACTGAGATCTAATACATGACGTGCCACTTGACTTTTCTTCGGCAATTCACTGCTTCTTACAGTTGGGACTCTTACTTTCTTTCGTCCACGTGTCGTTTGTTTTGATTTATTGACCCTCTTTCTGAACTCTAAAACTGTAGGGACACGTCGCTTTTTATAAGATGTTTTTCTTGAAATACCCGAGACGTTTCTTGCTTCAGATCCAAGATCATCAGTCAATGGCAAAGGACCATCAGCTGAAGACAAAGAGTTGCTAAGACCTTCATCAGCTCCGGTCAGTGTAACTGTTGCCTTGGGCCTGGCCGCGGATGGCTCGTGCTCTGTATTGCCACACACGCCGGCCCGCATTAAGTTTACGGTACGCTGCAGTCGTTTGCTTGATACTGTACGGTTTGAAGTTTGTTGAATGTTCGTGAAATAACGTCTAAGGCTGGTTTGATTCTAAAGAATAAGAGAGGTATGCAATCAAACTTTACCAACGTTGCTAGCTCTACGCAAGCGCATTTGGTTAAAGAGCGCTAAAATTTTATCATCGTATTGTTTTGATTTATCGGGTTGTTTTCGTTCGTTTCGACATTAGCTTTTGCTTACAACTAATTACACTATCATTATGGATAATGTGACGAAAGGTGTCTAAGAAGAGGCATCAAGCGTCAATCAAGAGGCAGTAGCATAGAGGAGCTACAAGAAAGTGCAGGGAGGGGGGGGGGGCGAAATTAAGGCCATCGTTTTGATAAGAGATGCGACTCTCGCCCTGAAGGACCCTGATGACAGTGAAAAAATATGCCATCGGTTTTCTTGAAGGATAAAAAATATAGAGAAAGCGGCGATTGCCTTCGTTTTTCGGATCGAAATATCGCCAATCTGTGCATCCTTCAGTGCGGCCGTCTACCCCGTCCTTTTTTCTATCTGCGCGATAAAATTTTGGGCGAGATGTTGGATCGTTTGACCAGGGCATTATTCGTTGTGCAGTCTGGAATTTAATCCTAAAACAATCTGGGATTAAGACCAAAGAAGAAGAAAAAGAGGTTTAACTGCAACAAAAACTATCCGAGAACTTCAATCAACATTTACCGACAAGTGCTAAATTACCGAATAGTTGCTACAAAATTTGTGGGAGAGGGGTAACACAATTTCAAGACATTGAACCCAGGAGCTTGCAGTCAAGTCTCTCAAGCGAATATATAAATATTTAAAGAAGATCTAAAAAAAGATCTAACTCAAACTTAAAATCGAGGGAAGCAATTTTACTCCCAAGTGGGGATGAATTCTCCTTGCACCTTGTTCAGTACATTTAGGCGCGTAGAACTAGGGTATAAATTAGAACCTTTCTAGACGCCTCTGGTATCTGTTATGTCCGTAACTTAGAACCAGCCAATGATAGACTAAACTTTCATTTGGCGCACCAAACTAGAGCATTTTTTGGAAAAAATGCCATCTTTTTCAGTTAATGAAAAACCTACCTGAGTAGAATTAAGCTGCTTCATGAGTGGGAGAACGATTTCGTCTGTGCGTGAAGATGGCCAAGCAAACTTCAAACGAGCATATCTGCGGTTTGTTAAGGAAACGTTCCCTTATGATTAAATGATGACTTGATGATGAAACTTTTATATTTTCCGATTTCTTCAATAAACTTTTGCTTCAAAACACAACCCTAAAGTCGCCAGTGGAGAGAGCAATGCGCCAATGGAATACTGGGAATGATGTAGCAGTAAGACTTTTCAAAATAGCAAGCGGTCAGTGGATTGAGTCAGTTTGGGGAAGGGTGGTGTTGGCTAGGCGAATAGGGTTGATTGATGCAGTGACCTAGGTGGGGGCCCAATGAAATCTATAGATTGCAACTTCAACAACGGAAATGCCTGTCAACTGGGTTACTTTTTGGCATCATGTTGCCACTGTCCATCTTTCGATAAAATCACATTTATTTATCATTTTTAAAGTAAAAGTGATCATCGTTCCACAATTTTTCCAATAAAATCGGATAAATTTCTTGTATTTTCTCCAATACCTTACAAAAAAGTGTTTTTCGATCTAAGAAGCGCGAAGCGTAGTTTCTAAAATCTAAGGCCTAATAAATGATCGAAAAGGATACTCTCTAATTGAATCCAGGTCAGGCTTACCCCACTCAAATGGCTCGTCCGAGGGATCGACTGTTGGGTTGATGTATGCATTCCAGACTTGAGGGTTTGGAAATGACTTGGGAAGGTCCACTGTGCGCTATGTTCAAAGAGAAGTTTCAAGTATAATGAGATTATTTTTATGCCGTCAGTCAACGAAATTTAAGGAGATTAGTTGAAAAATTGACAAAATTAATAAAAATGGACCAGATCAAAATATGAAATACATGTACCGTGATGAAATCAATCTAAATATGTCTATTGATAAAGAAAGCAGAATTTCCATATACGATGTTAACCAAAATCATTGATAGCAAATATTAAAAAGGATGTTCGTCTTTAGAACTGCTAGGAGTCAAATACAAAGCGAGGAAAACATCAGGCAGGCAAAACACTCTAGCCCAAGAACACCTAAAGTTAAAACTTCACTAAATGAGAAAACCGCCACTCCCCGTCTTCCCTCATCTTCACATCGGGTGATAACAAATAGACAGAAAAGGATAAAATAAATACTTAGTTTCTTGCTTCCTGCTTAGAAAACTTCCCTTCAAATCCAGTTTGTGTCATGTTAAGTTGAAAGGATGAATTCTAAACATACCAGTTTGGCTTTTAGCTTTGAATCTTTTTGAAAAAAGTCTATCTCGTCCACACCTTTAACCTCCTCAAACCAGTTCCTAGAAAATTGAAAAAAAAGATAATGCTACATATAAGCGTGCAGCTGCCCGAAGATCGTGTTAAGCGCGAATTTCGGGCTTGGGTCCGGGTCTGGACTTAAGTCCAGGCTACACGACGCCTGACTGAAAATCACTTGGTTTTGATTTCGGATTGTTGTTCACTTTGGATTTCTCTTCAAACAGAAGCTTCAGATACACAACTCCAAGTTACCTTTCAATCCAACTTATGCCCCTGTTACACGACCTCGGATTTAGGAGCTCAAGTGCAAGAAAAAGTTTATCTCGCATTTTTGGCAGAGGAGCTTTTTTAGAGGAGCATTCATGATGCCAACAGACAACCAAGACAGTCCTGTTGAGGCCTGTTGGATGAAACTACCTTCGTTTAAACAAGGAAGAATATCAACAGAACTACATCAGAGTGGTTGTCACTTTAGTGAATTTCACTCCGGTTTGGCAAACTGAAACTAATGCTAAGGTCGACCGTTTGGTTTCATGGCCTTTTTACTCTCTTGGTTGGACTGGAGGTATTCAAAGGTGCATCAGAGGCTCCTTCTTCTGAACTTCATAACAAGTATACCGTTCGTTCTTCCCCATCCGCGCACCCTGAATGGTGCATCAGCTCATAATTAGGAAAAGGATATTTTTCACGTCTATTCCATCCCCCAAATCAATTACAATCCGGGCTTTGCGGAAATTCAGTTAGCGTCCTCTTTTTGCCAGAGCTTGATGGAAGATTGAGCGATTTGCGCCGATGTACTACCAGACTCACTCGTTCTCGATGATGTGGGAACGTAGCCTCACGACTGATTTCCTGGTGTCTTTGGAATGTTACTCTAAGACCCGTTTACACGAGACCTGGACCAGATCGGATCCAAAAGTATCCGATCCCTGAAATGGCAATGCGTTTACACGGGATCCGATCCAGGACCATTTGCGTTTACACGGGAATGGATCCAGAATTCAATTGGTTACGCGCATGCGCTCTTCGAAAATTGGCGCGTATATGACGTTTTCAGAACTTTGTGCGTGATCAAAACACAGTTCAACCTGAACATGGAGGGATGTAACGCTAAAAAGGGTAAATTTTCGTGGACTGAAGAAAAAACTGCGCTACTTTTAAAAGTAGTATTGGACTACAAAACTGCAAAGCTTGCAAGTGGACAGGATTGAGAAAATATAAGGACAAAGTACGACGGCATATCGTCAAAGTTTCGTAATAATTCTTCAACACAGTAGTCTATCAACTTGATGTTCGGTTTTCTGGCGCCAAAAAGCCACGGATAACATATTCAAACTACCTTGAATTGAAAAATATTCAGTCTCACTTTCGACAAACAACGTAGACGAATCCGATCTGGACCAGATCCACCCGTTTACACGGGATTCGGTCCAGATCGGATCCATACGGGATCACCTCTGAAAGCAATCCCAAAAGTGTTCGGATAGCGGATCCAAAAGTATACGGATCCACCAGTTCCCGTGTAAACGCAAGGCCTATCCGTACTCTTTTGGATCCGATCCGGTTCGGATCCGCTTTCGTGTAAACGGGGTCTAAGGAAACAATTTTTGCCCTACAACTTGCATTGCAACATCCTTCGCGCTACTCATCTTCCGCGGTCACATCATAATCATAAAAAGTACTGCTGTTTCTCCTTGCTGTGAGATCTTTCTCTTAAAAGATAATTAGCTCCCCAACAAAATTGGCCGGCATAAAAAGCTTCAAGGATCAACAGAAACACGCGCGCTTGTAAGATTAAACAAAAATTTATTACTACCTGAAAAATCTAGGTATTAAGCTGAAGTCGGGACGGTAAATTCTAAATTAAACAAATCATGTAAAAAATTCAGGCGCGGTGAAGGAGGTTGATATATTTGCTGATAAGTTTTGTGAACGTTATGTTTGAACAGTTGGTAAATATCTTGATAAAAATGCCAGGTGAAGGAATTATGTAACTGACAGGTTTAATTTTCTTCAAATGCTTTATTTTAATAAGTCAACAAAAGAGAAGGAAACCAAAATAACAACGTCTGAAAAGTAAACAAAAGGGAGAACGCGTTCATCAGTGACTTAAAATGCAGACAAAATCTGGAAATTTAATATTACAAAAGATCTTGAAATACAGTTGAAAGAAAAGAAAGCGAGTTGTCAAATGAAAAGAAAACACATCAAAAGAGGCGAGACAAAAGACTGGATTCAAAAGCACAAAACAGCTCTAGATATTTATCATGAAAAGAACGGTTTTTACGAAGCAAAGTCAAAACAATTGCAGAAGTTTTATGAAGCAACATGTCTTGACATGTTGAGTAGAATTGAAGCTCTACAGTGAAACGTTAAACTTTAATGTTTTAAACACAATTGTGGAGATTCTGAATAGATAGCCAAGCAAAAATTAGAGCAAAGGATAGGGCACATTCAAATACACGACGGAGACACACTGGCTGCCACAGTCTAGAGTGTTTTTAGGTTTTTCCAAAACTGCGTACACAAAATCTGAAAATTACTGAGAGAGAGGTTTAGAAAGGGTGAGGCCAAATTGTATTATTGTATGGGAAAATCTAATTGTAGGGAATTGTCTAGTTTCCATACTGCTCGATCTGATAGTCATAAATAAGCATGATTAATAGTCATAAATTAGTATGATTAATTATTTCAAGTAAAGGGTTAGGTTTAGGGTTAGGGTTAGGGTTAGGTTTATGTTTATGTTTATGTTTAGGGTTAGGGTTAGGTTTAGGGTAAACTAATTACGTCATAAGGTCGAGCAGTATGGAGACTAGACAGCTCCTAATTGTAGACCTGACCGTCAGGATCTTATTTCTGTGAAAATATGCTGGGTTGGATGCATACCTAGAAGGACTCAAAACTGAAATCCTACAGAGCGAAAAAAAGGATTGGGGAAGAAACAGAAACAATAAAACTCATTTGAAAAGTATAAAATTTTCTCCATGGGGGTTAAAACCAAAAGATTTTCTTCATAGGCAAAAAAAGGAGCCTATTCAGGCTAAAAATGTACTGTCAGCCATGACAAATCAAAGGACAGTGTACGAGTGGTTTTTATAAGAGCTAAGTTCTGTTTTATCCACAGGCGTGATTACTAACAGTTGCTCTACTCAATGAGTAGAAATCAGTATTAAAATTTCCCATTGCTCATTTCTTGGCCTTTCTTGTATGAGAATATTTATTAGGGAAATTTCCTGCCTTATGTAAGAGCACCTTCTTCATTGACTACTTTCCTTATTTATGGTAATGTTGGATTTGCCACGGCAAGTTGTTTGTGTGATCATCTCGCCAACGTGTAATCAACTCAATATATTTATGTAGCAATTATTATTTTTTTTAAATGCATTCCAAATCAATGGAAAATCAAACTCATTTTTCCATTGTATCAACCATATTGAAAGAACGTCAATTTCTATCTGATTAAACTGTTTGACTACCCTATTTCCAAATGGTAATGCGACTATTGTAGCATTGGCCTACTTTTGATAATCTTACAGCTGCGATTGTGGTTAACCTCCTGTCAGAATCATAAAAGCTTCTCATTTTTCCTCCAGCAAATGAACCAGAAATTGACAAATCTCCACGAAAACGATGAAGTAAATACATTCTCCAGAATTGGCAACTGAAAATCTTTTGTTATTTCTGGAAATCTTGTTCATTTGCTTGAATAATTGCATGATAAAGCATGATAATCCTGTTTAAAGAAACTTCACATAAACGATTATTTTACTTTGGCTGACTTTGACTTTTATCCTAGATTATAAAACAATTTTCAATGCTTGATAGTCTTGTTGTCTTTTGCTTACCCCGTTAGTACTTGAGTCCTGATCACTCTAGTGTTTATCTTAAATACATGATATCACTATGTTTACGTTTTGGTTAACTTTCTCATGTGATGCTTTGAATTCATACCCTAGCCCACAGAACTTAAACAGCTGATCGCCAAATGCGAAATTCAGCACCAGCCGCATGCTTGATGTCGCAATAGTATACCGCAAGTTGTTTAAGAGATAAAATAAGGGGCAACACCAAATGCGGCTTAACAAATTTTGAACATACTTGAGTCTTGCCAAAGCCTGCATTGGTTCGCCACCGAATTCCTGAAGAATTTCCATTGCAGTAATAACACCAATACCTTGAAAAAATAAAACATAGTTTAAATGATGAACTATTTCAGAACTGTCACACTTTCAGATGAAGGGACAGTATTTTTATGAATCGAAAAGACCATTTCAAAACAAAAGCTTAATTTTCAAGGGCGTCAGCCAACAAGGGTAAGATAGTACCCCTAGTGTCCATCAAAAGCGATCAGAAACTTATAACTTAATTCCGATAAATTCACACCCAGAAATAGTAGAAGCTTCAAATAGTAGAAGCTATTGTGTTTGATCTGCAGAATTTAATGATAACCTTTTTTTGGCGAACGAAGGCAAGACTCGATAAGATAAGGAAAGCTTAAGTCTCAATCTACCCTTAAATCTTACAAGGAAATTATATTAGATATCAGATTGGATAAAGGTCAAGTTGGAACAGGGGAGAAACACGGGGAACATGTATGGAGAACAGGGGTGAAACACGGGGGACATGTAGGGAGATCAGGGGCGGAACACGAGGAAAGTTAGAAAATATGGAGACACTGGAGCACAGTTCAAAACGAAGCAGCAAGTTAACGTAAAACGATGAGTTGTTATAAATATAATTTGACAATCACGGTTGGAACCAGAATGCAAAGGTATTGCAAAGGTATTGCAAAGGTATAAAACACACAAGTTTAAAAAAATTCAACTCATCAGGTAATTTCATTACAACAAATAGCTGGATGAATGTAGGCATTTTCGTACATTGGCCATTTGTATAATCAACAAATATATATTATATCATTTTTTTCAATCATTTAAAAGAGGAAAGTTGCCAAATTGCCACATAATTGAACCACCAATTCCTCTTTGCTTCTTCGATAGGCTTTTTCATGATGATCAGGATTAAGTCACTTTCCTTTTGGTAAACTGTTTTTGCAGAAGGAAAAGCAAAAGAAAAAACTGAGTGGATAAGCGTTTCTTTTTTCATCCGCATTCTACTCCGAAAGGGACTGAATCAAGAAATAACATGAAGAGGATAAGAGCAAGTCTACACCCCCCCCACCCCCTCCCCGCTTCTGTTTAATATCCCACTTCTAAGAGTTCCCCAGTTCACTGTTCTAATAGTTACATGCACATCATAAAAAACTCTAGTTTTTACCGTGAATTCCTTCCGTGTAATCACTGCCAGTCAGGTAAGCGAGAGCAATCATTTTTTCGCGGTCAAGAACTGGAAAGAAATAAAAGTTTTAAGAAATATTATACTCAATCATCGTCCTTTCTCTCAAGCAATCTGGTAGTGTTTTAGAGAATGTCTCAACAATTGAAAATTAAAATTCATCTTATCATAGCTGCTGAGGGATAACGAGATTTGTACGTACAACATTGATTAGCGTGCATGTTTTTGGAATACGTCCCTTTTCAAAAAACACAAACAACGCAAAGACCAAGATGAGAGAAGGTAAATTATAGAATTTTGCTCCTTCAAATGGGCAGCAACCCCTGTCTCATTTTGGAACGATAAATTACAAAAGTTTGAAAAGAATATAAGGCTGTACGAGTCAACATTCTATAACGACTTTTCAAGGAGGGGTAAATATATTTAAGGAGGGGATTTGTTTTAAAAGAATTGCGACATTGTTGTACATTCCAAAGTTAGGAACAACTTCTCGTCTCTACTTGCATATTTAAACACCGGTGTTTAGCCATATGCTGATACAGTATACACCACTGACCATCACAGAAAAATTCTTGATTCTTGCACAAGTTAAACTTAACTTTTCAAACATGGCCTAAACCTCTTAAATATCACGAGAGCTATGTAATAAAGAGATTATCAAAGTTAAGAAATAAAGTCATTCATACAGGCCTTAAGAATAGACAGAGAGAATAGATCATTAAATATTAAATGTTTAATTGAGGATTGATTTAAAGAAATCTACGACGTGAACACAAGGAGCTTTTATTACCAAGAAAACCTTTGTTTGAACAAGAAAGCTTTGTTATATCAACTGACCAAGGTGCAGTTGCTTTAACAATAAGGAACATATCCACAGCTTTGTCGAATTAAAAAAGGCTTAAGAGTAGTACTCATTTATTCAAAGTCTGTGTATAAACATGCAAGTGACGCAACTGGCTGTTGTCGCGGTAAAGCCAAAGAGATGAAACCTTAAGCAAGCTGTACGTTGCGTGAAATTGAGACAAAACAGAATACCTATTGCAATACAATTCAAAGTAAAATTTCCTTAATGCATGCCTGGCAGAGTCGTTTGCTCGTCACTCGTAAAGGGACAAAAAATGATCAAACAAAAACTGAAGAGGTTGTTTGAATTGCACGCTCATCAAGTTAGAAAAAGAAAAGATTAGACAAAATAAAACTTGTCAAAACTTATCTTTGATTATAGTTTAGTTTTGGTCGATTTTCATTTATGATTGCAATCTCCCTTGATTATGCCTTAGGACAGATTTCTAATTTTAACGTACTGACTGGTGGGAAATTTGTCCTTTTGCTTGTCACAGCAGTGAAGAAAAAACTGGACTTTTAACCCAGTAGCCTTAGTCAAAATGGGGCTATTCCAATTTGCCAGCTCAAACAAAAACACAGAAGATCACCAACAACAGCTTTTAAAACCTGTTGAAAAGACGAATGACAGTGCTAGGAGTGAATGTGAAGTGAATGCAATTTTGAAGCTATGAAAGAAAGTTATCTGTTAGGCACAGATGCAAGTTTTAAAGATGAGAAAGTGCTTTCTAGGATGCTCCCACTGCAGAATTTCTAACAGAAGATTTTACCGACAAGTATAAAGTCAGTTGCACAGTATAAGAGGCAGATTCCAACAATACAGTAGAAACCCGCATAAAAGAACCTAGGTTTTCTTCTGGCAGCCTGAATAGGTTCTTAATTAACAGGCTGCTATTTTACATTCCAGTCTAAAAGGTTCTTAACAAGGTTCTTATATACGTACAGGCCTTGCACACATTAACAATGTTTTCCACCAAAAGAACTTTAACGGACACATATAGACTAGCTTTGATTTTCATGTTAAATTTCAACCAATCAAATGAATGTGTGTTGTCAGATTGTAAAATTAGAATGCAATATACCACACCACAACCTGATTTACTCTAAGCTGGTTTAATTTGCCAGTGTAAAAATGCCATTTTAAAAACCATATTTTTTTCATATATATAAGAACCTTTGCAAATTTCAGCCTCTTGGGGGTTCTTAATTATGAGGTTTACTTAATTATGAGATCACTTGAAATCATCAAGAAACAAAGAAACAACACGACGTAAGGAAAATGATAAAGCTTGTAGCTCCATGCCAGGCCGCTGTCCTTAAGCAGGTGTAACAAAGAAGTGCAAAGCAGCGACTTGTTGTAAAAGTATTGGAATTTCTTAATGCATCTTATGGTGGACGCATATAATGATCCATAAATTGAAATAATAAGTGTTAAGAGTTGGCCCTCAAGAGTAAATCAACCAATTGGTTCGTTTATTCAGTACAGAACGTTTGGACTCAAACTTTGCAACATACAACCACTTGCCTGATTGTATATATGCTCCTAGAATGCGTCTGTTGTATAAATATATCTAAAATCAGTTTTCATGAGGATATCAGTGATAATTCAGTGATAAGCTATCGACATTTGTGTTTGTGGTGAACTTATACTTTAACAATTTGGGACCCTTCGGTTATGTTCCCCACTCGTGGAAATCATTAAAATGTCCTGTTTTATGATTTTCATGACTTTAAAAGTTTTAAGAAGATGATTTTCGAGCATATCTTTAAAATAATTCATCTTCAAAGTCTATTAATTAAAATGGTTTACTTAATCATTTCGGCCAATGATACGATCCTTGTTACTAATTAGAAAGTCTTGATATCATCTAATATCACGCGGATTTAAAGTATAAACAGGACCTGCATACCATACACAGTCGACTGTAACAAAAATCATCATGAAACGTCATAGCTACTCTCCTTAAAGAATTGTTATTTCGTATAGATGAGAACTTTCTTTAATTTTCAGTCTATGTCACTTTTAAAATTTGCTTTGAATATACGACTTTCATGTACGACTGATGTCTATCTCTTCAAAGCTTTTTCATCTAATCTTTAATATAAATAACTTCTGAAAAAATGCAACTTTGCTGAGACTATTGTTCAAGGTTGAGCTCTATCCCAATAATTCTAAGGACTTTTAATTAATTTTCACTCTGCTTGGGCAACTTGTGAATAACAATTTTGATCCAAAATTGACAATAAGTTAAATCTTCCTTAGCTGATCGTCTTGGACAATAGAAATGAAGACAGGAGTAAAACTGAAATTAGGTCTTATTAGAGAGAAGCGATGTTGATGAAAGGAAAAACAGAACTGAATGGAGGGAAAGAGGTAAATTGTGTGAGGCAAATTCATTGAAGCGGTAAATAGGCAAAAATATGGTACGGTTTGGCATAAGAGTTGGTTAGATGAAGAAAGCAAGATCTTCGAAAATCTTAATCATTTTTAAAGGTGAATTGTATTTTATTAGCTAGTCGTATTCATTTCGAAGGTTTTATATCTTAAATTGTGATGGTAAACGGGAATTAAGAAATTTTTGAAATATTATTTTTGATGCAGCATTTGCAAGGAAACTCTGGCCTAGGGAACGTTAACCCTTTCTGAAAGGTTGCCTTCTGGTTTAATCCCAAAAAAGTCGCACATGAATGTAAACATATTGGGCTTTCTTGCAATATGACAACTTGATAATGTATTTCACGAGTCCCAATAAGAGTCGTTCCAATTATCTCCCGTGAATAAAAAGCATGTGTTAATGTCAATTCCTTGAAACAAAAAAAGTTGCCTGACACCTATCATGTCTTTAAGAATGACATTTTTGTTGTAATTTTATTCATTCACTTCGCGACACACTTTTCGACGATGTTCTTTCTCATCGTGATTGGATGGAGGTCTTCTGAACGTAATTCATTTCCCATATCAGGTACATATGTTTCCCTGCAAGTTGTTGGTTTATTCCAATTACCAATATTTATTTTATGTTTTTTCTTGAAACAATCTTTTTTTAGAATCTTTGCCACTTACAGCAACTCTAAAATTCTTCTCTGCAACACAAATGATTCTATGTACATCTTTGGGTGGAAGTACGAGGCCACCACAATACTTAACATTCACGATGTAACTTGATCAACTGGATGCAACTCGAAACAAGGGGCCGTGGATGGTTCGTTATCAATTAGGTATTTCCGGGGGTCATCGGATTCCTTTTCGATCTTGAAGCACTATAGTAGTAGGTAGTGAGTGCTTTCACAATCTCCTTTCGTTTTGGGACAAGCTGGCCCCTTTACATAACAGATCTGGAGATCGTTGAACATGGATCTTTGTTTGAGACTTTATTAATCGTTTTCAACATCTCTTTGGGGTTATGGAATTCTCACATATGAAGGTGTCATAGTAGCCCTCGATAGCTCTTCGGAGTTCACTAGTCACCCTGTTTCTCGTGGTCTTGTGCTCAGGCCATATTGAATGGTCTTTTTCAGCTCCTGTCTTAGTCCGGTCTTGCTGGCGTATCATTTCAAAACCTCGTTTATAAACATAGATGGTTGAAAACCTTAAAGGTTACCTTTAAAATAAAGTTACCTTTTAAAACTAGACAGATCATCAAATATTTTGATTTAAATTCACCTGCTTGGAAATTTCCCGTTCTTAGCTTTTGTGTGAAATTTACTTTTTGCCCATTCACGACATGTGTGATTTTACTTTAGCCAATAACCATAGAGCTAGATATCTAGCGATTTTGTCGTATTCATATCATTGGTTTCAAGATACTTGCCGGTGCCTTACCGCTTCGTCAGTCCTAGAAACAAAACATGTTGTTAAAAAATCTTGATGTTAAAAAAGTGACTCACATAGTGCGTGCTTGACATTCTCAATCAAGAAAAGCTCGGCATATTTATCCTGATTGAAAATATTCTTATAGACCCTTGTCCCACCAAATAGCAAGATGTCGCTGTCATCAGTTATCGAGCCATCGGTCTGTTTTGTAATGTCGAGAACTGCACACTGCGCCTCCGCTTCCATTGGACTGGTTATAAAAGGAATACCAAACAGACGCAGTAATTCCTAGAACGGAGGACATAAAAGAAATAAAGACTTTTAAGATAATATCAATTAGAGGTACTTTTCGTTACTTTAAAAATGGAGAAAGCATATACATAACATCTCGGCTATTTGTTGGTGATGAAAGATTACCTCATGCAAACTGAATTCAAAGGGTAATCTGATACTTGTAATAAAAAAGATTCATCATGCATCTTGTCCATGATCTTGTCTCGCAGTGACGATGGCCTTGGCAATTTTAAAGGTTATTGCAACGTGTAACATCGATGCCTACCACTTGTTTTGCAGTCTTAGGTTTGATCTCTTGCCTGGCCTCAATCATTGCGAGTTTCGGAGATGGTTACTGCGTGTTACAGGCCTTACACAAAATCTCTAAAGCCCATTAAAAAAACCATTGCGAGACCAGTTGAAGGCAAAAAACACCCTTTAAAACAAGCTTTTGACCAAGGCATAATTTCACCTTCAGACTATTCCTCGTATCAACTTAATCAAAACCCAAGAGCAAAATTTGTGACTTACTGGCTTTGATTGTGCGAATTAGTTACCTGAGATTGAAGGCTAGACAAGGCTACAGAAAGATGACATGCTAGTTAAGCTTAAAATGTTTATGAAAACTTAAAATCTGGTTTAAAGGCACATGAAAGCGCTCAAGCTATTAAAGGTAGAGAAAATGACTTGTCGCAAAAAGTCAATACATTTTAAACTGGATTTTGCGTTCGACTCGCAAAAACAATTGGCAAGTCACTTCCATAAACAGAGTCACCAGTCAAAAACCTTATCACATAACAGAGAAAAGGCGTTTACCTGCACGTCCGTGTATTCCTCGTTACTAACTGAGGCTGCAGCACGTGTCTGGCGATCTCTTTCTCTAAGAAGCTCGCTTTGCTCCTGTTGCAGAGAATCCTGTACGGCATTTATTTGTTCCTGTTAAAACAACCATAAATAACATAAATATGAGATACATATGCAATAAAACTCTTACGCAGAACGATCAACAAAGTTTCTCAGAGGGTGGATCCAATATTTATTAAACCAAAATGAAGGTATAATTTTAAACGGCTTACAGCTGTTAAAATGATCCTTGATTTTGATCTGGCCCCGTTCTCTTAGGACACATCATCAGCTCTGGCCTGCTACATTTTAAAACTCAACTGATGAGACAATATTCTTAACATAAAATGCAAACTTGAGCAACTGAGTCTTATTACATATAAGTGGTACTAAGAAAAAATCTAAACTCGCACTAAGCGTAAATAATATCAAAACGTGACTCCGTAGTCAAGGGAAAAACAGCATTCCTCTAAGAGAAAAGGTGCTAGTAATATAAAACCGGCGGAGTCTTTATAACCAAACAGAGTTTAAACTTCCAAAACAGAGACCTTTCTCTGTTTTGTTTGGCAAAGTTATAGAGTCCTGTCGCCATGAGTTGGTGCACTAGTCGAATCTTGATTTTTGAACTTCTCGTATTAAAGTTTGAAGAAGAGGCGATAAAATTCGAGGTTTGCCAAAAATAAGCGCGAAAACGATTTGCTGACGCCATTTCATTTTTTTTACTGCCTAGCGTTGTTTGGTTTACATGCGATAATTTTTCAAATATCTTAAATTTTGGTTGCAGAAATTGAAAAGTGAGCCGTTCATTTTAAGACTGTATTTTCAAGGGAGGGTAAAATATTGTTTTATTTGTTGTCTTCTGTTTTTGATATAAATAAAACTGCAATACTTCTGTCACCCTGTTAAGCGTTGAACATTAAAACTTTGAGAAAAATCTTGAAAATTATTCAAAATCCTTTGAAACAAGGGATGTTTTTCAGACCGCTACTTATTTTCCACACGTCTTCATAGTGGTGCACCTCCGGAAATCCACCCAGCCTCGTGAGGGCATAAGCGTGCGGGAGGAAAAATCTACGGGGGCTGCCCGACAAAAGTTCCATAGTTTACCAACATTTTTGCTGGACTAAGGGAAGACAATCGTCCAATTGGGGTTGATTTAAAAAATTTTTAAATGTTGGGGGTCTGCAGCACCCCCTCCCTAGCCCAATGGCTTGTATCCCCTCTGAAGATCCCCTTTTACAGGATTTACAGTATTAGATGAGCAGAATTATATGTAATTATTTAACAAAATAGTTATCAATTGCTGTTCTATGCTGTTAATAAAATGGTTGCAAATAAACAAATTCTGACACCCATAGTCTTTATAGCGGCGCTGACGCACTTGATTTTGGCCCGTGCACCACTATGGCGACAAGCCTACATTTCTTCCACACAGTGTTCTACTTGTTAATGTTGGTTGTACGGAAAGCAAATTGAATGAATTTAAAATAATTCAAAACGTCGCTTAGTTAGAGGACACATGAAGGTGTCTTTTGACTGTGTGTAGATCTTTTATAAACATTTGTTCAAACAAGATAACACTTATTTGCTAATAATGCACCAACTCATGGCGACAGGACTCTAGATAACTTCATTCTAGCATGTAAAGGTAAGTTAGGGTATACGTTCAAATTTGCAAATTGGAAAACAATAGGCCAACTGGTTTTACATAATTTGCCCCTGTCCCATTTTGCAGGCTCATGGTACTGCGTTTTTTGAAATTCTGCCACCATAACGGAGGTTTAGAAACCAGAAGCGATTTCAGTCACTTCGTATAAATCTACTTCAAGCAGACCCCAGTTTTTAGAAAGGGCCTGACAAGAGCTAAAATTTTCTGTGACAACAAAGATAAAAGAAGCAGAAGCTGGACATAGGATTGGATTATTTTAACGAACCTTGTTTCAATTGAAAGACTGGTTTGAAATCAAAGGTAAATTTCTTTAGTTTTATCAACTTAACTTGCTTTACTTTTCTTTTAACAAGACAGCAGCTATATGATTGGCTTAATAAACAATCACCAGAACTTTAGGAATACTACATTTATTGCTGGGTTTTCGAGAAGGTCATTTGCCGCATTGTTAGTTCACGTGCAAAGCTTCATGTTCCACAGATGTATGGTTTTTATGTGCTAAATCAAGCAAAGGCTATGGTCTTTTTAGAGAATCAGAAACTATAAGAAAATCTTACCTCAGATTGGCAGTCCTGGATAGTGTTCTTGAATCTGTCGAATTCTTCACTATCCAAGACAAGCGTTCTTTCATCCTTCTCATTCTTGTTGCTATAAAAGTTTTCAGGCTTAGGAATCGCAGATACATCTTCATAATCATCATCTATTCTCATCTCAGTTGCCTTCGTATCTAAGAGACGAGAGTCGCTTGAAAAATAACAGTTCAATTTACTTGCAGGATTGTTGAGGAGAAAGAATAACTTCACTGACCCAGGTAAACTAAGATTATTAAAGAATTACAATTACAAAAATCATTGTTACCTTGCCACTGAACGTGAGAAAAATGATTTCAATACATGATTAAGAAAGAAAAAGAGTAATTCGTGTTTCAGTTACCGGGTTGATTCAGAAATGCAGAGCAAGCCGAGTGCTTAAGAATTCTGAGCAATCAAAAAAAATTAAATGCCATATATTAAATTCAGCATTTAAGGTACAAAATAATATGTGAATCGGGAAGTGGGAGGGGGATGGTGTTGGTACACAAGAATCCGATAGTGCCGCTGTGAAAGGTTGGCTTAGATGAGAGGGATGATTCGGCAAATTAGCCTTAAAACATGAGCACTTATTGTATTTTCCACATCTGACCATTATTTTAAGAGAACATTCAGTTCAGGCATAGAATGACATGCATTGCTAATAACTGCAACTTACTAAATGAAAATAATTACCATCATTGGCGAAGCCCTCATCTTGATCTGTTTGCACCCCTTCCACCTCCACTAAATGATCACCTTTATTGGCCGTAATTGGCACGGTCGCTGGTGTTGTTCGGAGGTCTTCTGAAGGAAACACCGGCGATTTTCGGTCATTTGAAAGTTCATCAGCTACTGTTTTTTCAACGGTAGCCAATTCTTCACAACTGGAATCCTCAACTACAAAACTTGCTTTCGCACTGTTTGGTACCGTAGAGGGGACCACTTGAGATTCAATTTCCTCCTCACGGAGAGACCCATAAGTGTATTTTGCTGCAGCAACATCATCAATAGGAGCGTTTAAATCATCATTGGCATTTTCACTTGAGAAATTCTCTGCATCGTCAGAACTACTTTCCGGTTGAAAACTGACCAACTTTTTATTTACATGTGTTGTGTTTACAGACCTGGTAGCCTCGAACGATTCGTTTGTTTCATTAGAAATAGCCCCTAGAGAATTCAAACAGGCATCCTCCACATATGGCAAACTTCTCTCTGTTTCACGTTTGCCCCCTGATTCTTGGCCCCTCAACTCAACCCCTTTAACTTTGCCCTTTGATTTGTCACCTTCGACCTCGTCCTTTTGACTTATTCTGAACTTTTCAGCTTCTCTAGATGAGAATTCCTCGTCAAAATCACTTTCTTCCGTGGTATCAGACATAAAATCGGCAGTTCCCAACCTATCAATAGACGAACTATTAAACTTGATTGGTTCTCTTTCCAAGCGTTCAAAATGTTCTTTTCGCTTGACTCCTTTATAAATATCCGACTGGCTTGTTATATCTATTGACGAACTGAATAAAATATTTTCCCCTTTCTTTTTGTCTTTTTTCAGCAAAATGTAATGTCGTTTATCCTCAGAGGCAACTCGACTTGCTTCAAATGTTTTCATATTCTTCCGCAGGTAGCTTTCTTCTTCCAGCTCCCCTATATCACCAGATGATTTAGAATTCATTTCCTTTCTGACATCCCCGATCTTTTTGGTAATTTTTCCACGACGGAATAAATTCTTCAATTGGAAGTCTGAAAAGTCGTGTGCATCCTGAAGATGAAATTTTATAAGATGCTAGATGCTTATTCTCAAATTTTACATAAGATGCAAATTAATGAAAAATTACTGTTTACCCGTCTGTCATAAAGTTCTCGACACCGTAAAGGCAGAGCTGTACATGCTTTTTGGGTTATAGATTAGGACGGTTCTAAGTTGCTACTCCAAGTTTCATGGTTAATGCTATCACCAGGCATTGTCATACAGTAGAGTAAACTGTCTACAGTGGAGTGAAAATAACATCAGTTGAAAGACGTATGCACAATACCTCAGGCATCAGCTGTGATTTACTCCTATTATATCTTCGTCTATACGAGTCTTTCATTTCCATCAAAAGCTCATGCTGTATTTCAGGTGGCAAAGTTTTAAATTCCTCTGCATCCATATCGACTTTTGTGATTTCTTCAAGCATTTTCTACAAATAAAACCGATTCGCATTCATACATGATGATATATTGCCCCGAGTGATCCAGCGCTGGAGAGATTTGATATAAACAAATACTAGAAGCAGAGGTACAGAATATATGATGAGACATACTCTTTAAATAAAGGTTGATTCCAAGAAGAAAGTGAAAAAAGAAAACTTTAGGCAAGTTGTTTCTAATATTGCTATTCAAGTCTCAGAAATAATTTTCGAAACTTCAAAGAAAATCATCAAACATCGTAGAAAAAGTACCATTGATTGCACTCAATGAAAGGAGCTATGAAGCAAAGTGCTGGCCAGCTTCCTAGCCTTTAAAATAAATTGAATTATTTTGCCCATGAAGTTTCACAACCCATTCCGAGTCCAATGTGTCCTATGAAAGTTACATTGACAGGAGATGGAGATTAGACAGGAGATGATAAAAAAAATCAGACAATGCATCGCTTTAAAGACAGTGAATAGCCCTGGACGGACGCCAAAAACCTCTACATTTGGACTATCGTACCTCTACGTTTTCACTTCTCATCCCCGAGATCCATTCTGCCTCTGCATCAACATTGTCATCACTTTCTGAAGAGCTAACGAAAACCCAAAATAAAGAAATTTTATAATTGGTTTTCAAAAATAAAACGGCTAAGATACAAATATGTATGACTTCAAAAAACCAGCAAACCATTATTCAGTTTTTTATTCATGATAAACAAACCCGCTACATAATGACAACACCCTGGAGGCAAATGGCTGTTGCCATACTCCCAAAACTGAACTTTTTCCTTCTCATTGAGAAATCTCAGTTCCATACTGTTATTACCATATCTAGAAGCATTGAAACGAATTTTGACATTGCTTAAAGTTGCTTTTTACACAAGAGAAAAACATCATATTTAGAAATACAGAGACTATATACAAAATAAGAAATCTTTGGAGTTTGTTTGCAGAAATAAATTGATTAAAAGTATTGCAATCCAAAAGCATAGCAGACAGACGTTTTCTTCTCTGCTGCCATACTGTATTGAATGATTTACCTTACATTTTCTCTTGTAATGGGCAATGGTGGAAGTTCGAATAGATCTTGAGCTTCTGGTCTTGATAAATTTACGTGCCTCATTCTATTGAGGAATAATGTGACTCACTTATACAAAAAAACTCACACATATTGAAATTGCATTTGAATAAGAGATTACATGAAAAAAGTTAGATTTCATCTTTGCACTTAATTGTAAACGGTAAATTCAAGATAAAATGTGCACTGAACTTGAGTTTAGAAAAAGAATGACTGATACATGAAGCTAGCTTATATGTTAGATGTTAAGGGCTAGAAAGTTGGCAGTTTAGGCTCTTAACAGGATGATTCTTTTAAAGTGCCACTGAACTGAAAAAATCAAAATTTTTTTTATTGATGTTCTAAGTCAAGTCGGTGCTCCTGAATCCGATGCTGAAGTTCCCTTTTCGGAATTGTGAAGTGTCTTGAAGCTACAACGCTTCAAAGTTGCGATTTTCAAGACTTTTTGTGCGAAAATTTGTGCGCGGCTTGTGAGGAATTTCAGGAATGTGTGACGCATTAACGTTTATAAGTCGCGGAAGTGATGCGGGCTTCAGTACTGAAGACTGTATTTCGAGTGCGATAAAAAACCAAAATAAACGTGAAGTGGATGGAAATAGTGCGATACTTGTGCTTTAAATACCACTAGCTATCTAACTACAAGACATGTGCAAGGTATTTTCTTGCAAAAATTTCGAGCCCATACAAAATAAGCAAACTTTTTGCGTGCAGTTTTTACCAAGACTTCATGCCGATCAATTACCTTTTATGAATTATTGAGCGTGTCGAATAAGAATGCTTTTACGAACAGCTTTACAAATTATGAATAAAAGTGAGCAAACTGATCAAGGGAAAAAGTTGATCTATTATAGAACCACACAAATTGCACATTTCTCGGCGCTTTTCCCACTTTCCAACTTGCGTTGCCACTGTCAAAGCATCAGTTATTGCCAGGGCCGTCAAGATGGGATAAGTTGCCCCAGAACCTCGTGGTCAGGGGACCTCAAAAAGTAAAGAAGTTCATTTTAAATGGAATTGATTAAAAGTCCATAAGTAGCACGGTGGGATATTTTTAAGCTTCTATTCATACCCCATCTTTTTGGCGTATCAAACTGCCTATCTCTATCAAGTTTCATGCTGGTATCACAATCTAATGGTTAAATTGTGACAATTACTGCTTAGAGGTCTAGGACCTGGTATCCCAGTCTATAAATAGCACAAGGGGGATTTTTTCAGGGTCAATTCATATCCTATCTTTTTCAGCGTATCAAACTGCCTATTACTACCACGTTCCATGCTGGTTTCGCGATCTAATGGCTAAATTATGTCAATTACTGCTTAGAGGTTTGGAACCTAGTACCCCACTCTATAAATAGCACAAGGGGGATTTTTCAGGGTCAATTCATATCCTATCTTTTTCGGCGTATCAAACTGTCTTTTACTACCAAATTCCATGCTGGTATCGCGATCTAATGGCTAAATTATGTCAATTACTGCTTAGAGGTTCGGAACCTAGTACCCCACTCTATAAATAGCACAAGGGGGATTTTTCAGGGTCAATTCATATCCTATCTTTTTCAGCGTATTAAACTGCCTATTACTACCAAATTCCATGCTGGTATCGCGATCTAATGGCTAAATTATGTCAATTACTGCTTAGAGGTTTGGAACCTAGTACCCCACTCTATAAATAGCACAAGGGGGATTTACAGGGTCAATTCATATCATATCTTTTTCAGCGTATCAAACTGCCTATTACTACCACGTTCCATGCTGGTTTCGCGATCTAATGGCTAAATTATGTCAATTACTGCTTAGAGGTTTGGAACCTAGTACCCCACTCTATAAATAGCACAAGGGGATATTTGTCAGCGTCTATTCACACCCCATCTTTTTCAGCGTATCAAACTGCCTATCTCTATCAGGTTTCATGCTTGTATCATGTTTAACGCAATTTGTAACTTTTTATCTTCTTACAGACCTCACTATGGCTGAATTGACTATATAAATCTGAATGCGTCACTCGCCCCAGCCTCTTTTCGCACGACCTACTCGCAAAAGAACCCCAGAAACCCCTATTTGTGGGCTCCAAATTAAAAAACCAAACTTTTTTTCGAAATCAGCGATGATTAGTCTACCAGAATCAACAATAAAAAAAATTTCTTTTTTTTCAATTCAGTGGCACTTTAATGATATTCTTAACTCTAAGTACACATGGTACAACGAGATTCTAGTTGCATGGTTTATGTTTCTGCCTTTTTTGGCATTTTGAGATTCTTTAAAAGAAAGAGGACACTTTGTAAGAATCTAGAAGCCAGAGGCTGTGTGTAACCTTATCTTTGATTTGATACATTTTTCCAAAATCTAGTGTCTACATACATTTTCTTACTTCTGTTGCTTGGACACATAAGCGAGCAACAATTTTGTGATAAAGACAGACCTGTATTCTACCATACAAACAGTCACCAACAAGTAAAAATGTGTTTTTCTAAGAAAACCTTGAGACTACTTACCCTTTCTTTCCTGTAACTGTTTCCAGAGCCTTCCCTTTGATAAAGTTGTGCAGAATTTTCTTACTTGCCTTGTGTGCCTTTCCCTCAGCAGCAATTTTTCTCTCTCTTCTGGCAGCCTTTTAGGTTGGAAAAAACAGGAATGAATTACTCAAAAGACCCAAAAAATCTTTGCTTAATCCAAAGATCAAATAATCAAATAACCTTGAATAGATCTACTAAGGAAGCCAGGCATGTGCGAGGGATTGCTTTAAAGCTGTAAGATTTCCTAAAGAGCTACTTCATATAGAACTAAATATAATAAATATCTGTTAAAAGTCGGAAACCTAAAAATGACACCAACAACACACTACAAAATTCATGAAAATGAAAGAACAACACTTACTATTGTCTTCTTCTTCAATTCTGGTACCCCACCATCAAAAACAAAAATGGGCTTCACTTTGTAAAACAGCAACTTGCAAATGCGATGAAAAATCACAATAAGGTGTGCATTATGAACTGGATTTCCAAACTTGTCCCTCATTCCCTTCGCTGCCTTATTCAACCAGATACTGACATCTTATTTACGTTAAAGTAAACATAGATACTCTATTTGCAACAGTATGTGAATGTGAAAAAATAATATGTTGATTTGCTTGATTAGTGGCCTTGAGAAGAAAGGAACCAACCTTAAACAACTCACTACTCACCCAAGAAAGCCAACTGAATTATTCAGATAAGAAAATTATTCAATATCATAGAATGAAGCTTCTCAAAGCAAAAGGATTTGAAAAGGAATCAATCCATTGAAATCATAGCATGTTTCACAGTGACCTTATCGTTTTAAGGTTTTCAGGTTATGAACCTAAGTGATAAGCGGATATATCAGCCCTACTATGTTCAAAGATATGACTAGTGTAGAAAGGATACCAATAGCTAAAACCTTCCCTTCCAACATTTCAAGAGGAATAGGCTTCCCAGCCGGCTGCAACAGCTGCCAGAGGCCATGAACACCCATCTTACAGCACTAAAAATTGACTCTGCTTTGAACTACATCATTGCCTAGTGTTTCTGTGTAAATCACAAAATTCTTAACCATACAGGCAATAAAACCTATAAGAAAATTGCAAAAAATAAAAATTAACCATTTTTATGAAACCAAAATCAAATCCTAATACAGCAATAGCACAAAATAGGGCTCATCATAAAATCAGTGCAGTTATGCATTTCAGATGTATGTATTCATAATTTGTACTCTACTTGGATTGACTGACAAAAGAAACTGACATAACTTAAATACCAAAACAAATGAAAAACGAATATACAAGGTATGATAAATAAATAATTTTTATATGCAAGTGTCTCTGAATGGGCAATCTTTTACAGTCATGTGCTCCTATCTCAGATTGGCCTATTTTGATCCAAAGCCCAGTAAGCATTCTAGGGCTTATGCTCACAACAAAGTTTTAGCCAATATTTTTTAAGAAGAAATGGCTCATCAATGGATACTGTGCACAAATTCTCAAATAAACAATTGCTGGTATCAAATCTTCGAAATTGTTTACTTAATAAACAAACACAAAGCACAAAGCAAGATAATCCTAAAACACCACAACAGGGAGACTGGGTAGTCTCTACTTCCTAGTTTGTCAGACAAAAAGCTTTGTTTTGAAATGTTTGTTTTTTTAAAAGCCATTTTTAAACATTAAAAGAAAGATCAAATCAAACATATAAAAACACCTGGCACCGCTGCTGCCCCAGACTGCAAAGTTTCGGTATGTGAGGGGAATGCATTCCCGTTTTGCTCAAATCCCTTCCATGCATTTTTGCAAAACGCAGTTGGAACACAGACTTTCATGTGATTTCTGCAAGGGCTCATCACGAGGCTTAGAATACTATTTAAAAATTGAATTTCGCAGCTTTTAACTTGTTATTCTGCAACATGATTTGTTCCCGCATTAGTGTAAGCAGCAGAAAAAAATTCCCCACGCATAAAAAATACATTGCACTCTGGTTTAGGCCTATGTTGGTATATATGGAAAGATTTGTAGTGAATCATGGAAGCCTGCATTTTGTCCTGTGGGGACAAGTCTAGCGCATTTTGCCTGTTCTTAAGCTTATGCGCATAAAACTAGAATTCTCTCGCACTCTACAATAAAGTTTTGGCTTATTCAGTTTTAGTCAGCTTCTTCCGAATCTTAGCAAAAATCCTCTTTCATAATAGGTCCTAGCTATAGAAGAGAAAATGACTTGACAGCAGCAAATCTCCACAGTTTCCAGAATGAAAACTTTGTTGCGCATCCGAAATAAATTGCCTGTGTCAAGCCCCCGCCACATCATATCAGGATTACTTCTTGATCTGCGCATGGCCTTGATATCACATACTCTGAGTACCAGAGCCTAAGAAATCGGGAAGGGATCTCCATTCTCCTTCTGATCTAGACTGAAAGAAAAGTTTGATCCAATGTTATTTATCCTTCATTCCGTCCGCGCAAAATTCCACGCACAAAATTTGTTTATCTGTTCACGTTCTCCGCGAATGTTCCACCATTTAAACTTCTGACTTCTGATAACAAGACAAAACAAAGAATACAAAGCCTTTTCGAAAGCATTTGCTTCAAATTCAGCGCACGATTTGGCGGGAAACGTTATCCGAAAATTTCAAAATTATTGTTCTGGCGTAACCCCGCACAGAAAAAATACTTTACAGTCTGGCCGCTGCCCCAGGCAAGTCAATGGTGCAAAGCATCAGACAAAGAAAAGTACCAGATTTTGAAAACGAAATACACGAATTAAAAAAAAAACAAATCGTGTCTTCAAACCTCTTTAAAGCCAAACATGAGAGTTTACTGCAAAATCTTGTGTCTGCCTTACTTAGGCCAAAAACGTCATTTAATACGAGGTAGCGGGACAATGAATACGAGGCCTTTTTGCTATTGTAGTTTCGGGGGGCTTTATGTTTCGGAGTAGTGTGGTGGAATTACGATTTTACCTGGACAAAAATAATAAAAAGCTGTAATTTGGCACATAGGTTCGATACGATACTGGGAATAGCCATAAAAAAGCCCCATCAATTGCACATTGGGAATTCCTTATTTGGGCAAATCCCATATACCATTTTGGGCAAAGCCGATTGTATCAGTGTGAATACTAAAGAGTGCACTGGCTTCAGTAAAAATGGGAATTAGTCTAGTGTTCTTTTAGGTATTTTTGTCTTTTCTTTTTAAAAAAAAGTACAAATATAACGTATCTGTTTTGTGATATAGAAAAGTTAGCACTCGAAAAGGGTCACACAAATAATTTCAAAACTTCAGCAAGGTTATATATTTTTGATCAGCATAAGTATGATTGCTAAAAAAGTTTTCAGGTTTAAGGAAAAATTTTAAGGTCATAGAACTTATGAATTTGTGCAACTTTTTTGACACAAGCTCTGTAAAAGTCGAAAACTCAGTGGCCCTCGGAGAAAATCCACATGTTTTTCTGGTCCGGCACTCAAAACGATTAAGAACCCTTGTTGTATAGCTTATTAAAGACCTATGTTGCAATTTTATTCTTTAAAGAGTCTTCCGGTAATGCTTCAAATTTACTGTAGATGCAACAGTTTCTTATTTTTTCTGGCAAATAATTCAACACTGGCTTAAATAATTTACGGTCTCGCCGTAATACCGACACAAGGGTCTCAGAGCAACGCGCTTTGCAACCGCCTATGGACAACATAAGCAACTTCACATATCAAGGTGTAACTGCATGGAATGAACTAAGTACGGAAAGAAAAAATGCCCCTTCATTGGCTATTTTAAAGGAATTGTTGATTGAAATAAAAAACCAAAGGGTGTGATGATTCTGCTCCAACGACAATCTTTCTTATTCTAACCAAAAGTAGGTCGTATATTAATTAGTTTTTCTTATAAGTAGAATGGGTATGTTTTTTAACTTAGGTTTTTAAACAGGGTACATTGTAAATCAACTTTTTATTGCCATTACTGAAAGTTTTATCGCGTATAAAATAGATAAAAATGGAAAAACAACATTCAAACCCAGGGGCGGTGCCAGCCCAAAAATAGTGGGGTGGACATTGAAGGGGGGAGCTGATTAAGGGGTCGGGGCGAGAAACCAGTGAAAACCTCGCAGCTTAAACAATTTTGGGTACAAGTTTTAAAGTTAATTATTGCCAGAAACCTTTGACAAGAAAAGAAGGCATGGACCACACTCTAAGAACCAACGGTTTAGCACGATAAAGCTGTGTTTTATAGATCATCTTCATTTTATTTTCTCACTATTTACGGAACTGATGATCAAACACACCATACTCTATGTCAGCTAAAATCTGAAAAGAAACGTAACTGACCATGAAAATGAAAAAGGTTGCGATCTCTGAGAAAAAAACGTACAACACCCTCCCCCCTCCTAATATTTAAATCCAGTTTTGGAAAAATAAGAGAATCGATCATAAAAAAGTGGGGTGGACACGTCCACCCCAGTCCACCCCATGGCGCCGCCCCTGTTGAAACCCGATTGCTGTTGAACCTTTCAAATTGATGAGCGAAGAAGCATTCGTTCCGCTTTTACCCGTGTAGACGTCACTACAGCCTCATATTCAACTATTTTGACAGAAATGACGTAAATAATGATTCGATTTGTCTGATGCCTAAAAGTAAACAGTGCTTTGACGCAACTCTATCTAAACATATGCTTAAACGATGGCTTAAAACATTGACACTGGCTGAAGTATACGCGTAGGTAAACAAACCCAACCCACCCCTAGAGGCACTTTTTTCATGGTTGCATGCAACATCACTGTGCTTCGGGAAGACAACTTTGTAATTTTTCTTTATTTTTACCAACAAGACTTATTTGATAGCAAAAGTATGCAGGAAAACAAAACTTTTTTATTTTTAAAAGAGCCAGCAAAACGTATTTGAAACTGGCCTTTTTATCTCATTCTTAGCAGGACAGAATTATCGACTTGAAGATGATTTCTGTTTTTTAACGTTTTTAGAGTTTGTCTGTTAACCAATAGATATTATGACCCAAGATTAGGCCATAGAAAAACAAAACTCCGCCCTTTGGTTTTGGCACCAAGTTATTCAGGATCAGGTTTCTTTAGCCAGCTTCAGGGACGGATTAAAGCAACAATGATTGAGGTGATATTCAATGACGATTGGAGTTTATGCCCCCTCCTTTCAGATGAATGAAAATGATGAAACGCCAATTTTCAAAGTTGTTTGCCTCTTTTAAATAATCAGCATGTTTTGTTCTATCACCATATGGGATGACTCGGGATGGCCTGTTTTACGATACGGCTTCCAAAATTGCAAACATTGATACACATACTGAATCTTTTTTCTGAAACACCTAAATTTGTCACTTAAATATAAAATGTTAAGTTACCAAGATACGGTGTTCTTGGGATTGTCCTGAAGGTCTACAAAATAAGTTCATAAAAAGGCCTGTCGTATCATATCAAAATAGCAACACGAGGAACAGCAAGGGTCTCCATGTACAAAGACTGAAATTAGAACATACCAAAAGAAGTTTCTTGTACACAGGTCCAGAAGCTTGGAATAGTATGCCACAACCTATTAGAGATACTAAATTCATCATTGCACGACTCAAACAAAAGCTTAAAATCATCTTTGATGTAACAGACACAGGGTGGACGAATCCATGGAAGATCAGTTTTTTAGAGCAATTCTATTGATTATCTTAACTTTTTATTGTAATTTACTATTATAGAGGAACTGGATGGATGTCGTGGATAAATATGATTGAATGAAAAAAATGAATGAAATGGGGTTTATTGAATGAAATGTGATCCTTTCTATCAAACCAGCGTTAACAAATTGGCTGGATCTCCCGCGGACAGACAACATCTCAAGAAGTGATCTGAGCCCCCTCCCCTCCAAAAGACCTGCAGTCTTCTAGCATAGAGGCTATGCCCTCCTAGTAGTTACTTCTGCTTGTAGAATTGACAGTCAGAAATATTATTTTTCTTGCACTAAGCTAAAAAAGATTGGTTACATACATATTATGATCGTACTTTACGATTCTCAACCTCTAATATCAACAAGAGTAGTATACACCTTCATACATTTTCTTGGCTCTGATGTCTCTAAAATGGGGGTTCGGTAGAAGTCTATTTCAAGACTCCCGTTCAAAGGCAACTTTATCTAGAAGGGAAAAAGGCTCGGATAAAATATAAGGACAAACAACGAAAGTGGACTATTCCATTTTTTGATTGCTTTTGTATCAATCTAAAACTAACAAACTTTGAGAAAAACGAAAAAGCTGACTTTCAAGTCCGCACAGGCAGCACGAGGCTATTGTCTTCGTTTTTACAAAAAAACCGGGGTGTAATGGCTTTTTTGACGGACTTTTACTGCAACGAAATCTATTGCGTCAAATCACTGTTTACCTCTAGGCATAAACAAGACAGTACTATGCGTTTTAAATGCGTGGAAAACAACAAAATCGCAGACAGATCGAAGCATTTCTTCGTCATTTCTTACAGTATAAATTGATGCAAAGAGGCTACAGTGACGTCAAAAGGAACGAGTGCTTTGATGGCAGATCCATTTGAAAGATTTAAAAGCGATCAGCATATATAGTTGTTGATGTGTATATTTGATATCCCTATTGAATATTACTTAGCGGTGAATATTAATAGCTTCTGACGTCATTTTTGTCATGAATACTGTGAAGATACAAAAGAATCCAACAAGGGCGTTGGTGGAATACGTATCCATGAAGTGGTAGGTTTAAGACAGGATTGACGTCAAATGTTGCAAACTTTTGGCTTTCTATCAAACAGGAACTTTAAATAAATGTATAAAAGGGCATTTGTAAGCAAACTTCTCAGAACAAATATTTTGCAACAACTTCAGGCTGCAAGACCTTCTCCAAGAGACAAGCAAGTGCATTTCAGAGAGAAAATCTTCTATCGTCTAAGGTAAATAGAGTTTGTTTTATTTTAGCATGAAATTTTAACATGTTGTATTTAGCCATAGGTCCAGGCAACCTTCACAACGGTTTTTGTTCTTTTTTTTCATTCTTTCAAATTTTGTGCCAGCCATAGATTCCTGTAAATGGCTGTAAAATTTTGCAACCTTGTCATACTAGAGTTGATTTGATTTCAGTTCATAATTAACATTTGTTTTGGTTCATTTGTGGTCAAGATTCCTAAAGCAACTTTAAGCTGAATCAAGGGGTTCTTTCACCACGCTGTCGATTTTGAATGTCTCCAATTGATGCACCTTCGTTTTCTTATGATCGGAGCCTTCGAGCCTGTTTTAAGAACGCTAATTATCTACCATATCTGTCTCAGAATATTCATGGATATGGAAAATAAAGAAAACATATTTATTTGTCTATATAAGGCTATCTCTTCAAGAAATATCTGTTGTGCTAGTTGTAATTGCAATGAGATCGATGGATATTCATTGTCATCAGAAAAGAGGAGGATGGCATGGCAGGGCTATTTATCGTTACTTTTGCAGTTTTCCGAACTTCTGTAATTCCTTCAACCAGCATCGCTAATTCCACCATCTTCACAGATATACGAAAATGTTGTTAGGGATGTTGGACATTAACTTATCTCATTTTTGTAGAAAAACCCAAAAATGTCTATCATTCATTTGGTCTTCGCTCTACTCTCATTGATTGCCTGTACCCACATGGTGAAAGCAAATTACAGAACATGCATGTGTGATATACGAACTGAAGACGAGGCCAATGCTCCAGTGTTGACGTCATGGTCAGACAGATTGAGATCGTGTGGCCTTTTCTGTGGTTTCCCTGGCGTTCATGTTTCATGCGACGAAGTTAAGAGCTGGTGCCCAAATAACTGTTTTTCAAAAGCCAAAGCTAAGATTCAAAGCAACGCCGAGTTAGACAACATGTGCAAGAGACACGGCAAAATGGTTTCCCCTCCAAATGGCATCCACATGTTTGCATACAGCAAAGTGATGAACAACTGCGGGGCAGCCTGGAACCATCACAACCTTAATACAAAATTGTGCTGTTTCGTTTTGCGCCCACAGAACAGATGGATTGGGTACAAATGCTAAATCACAAAGACTTGTTGTTCCTAGAATGATTCTTCCTGCAAGACTGATATGACTAAGAAACCACTCACTAGTTTAACATTGTTAGTACCCTAGGCAAAGATTGTTTTATATTCATATATTTACAAAAATTTTACATCGTATAAAAAGAAATCATTTCCATTAGCACTTGATATTGTTTTCTGTTTTGTTAGAGTCTTGCTAACCGGAATATGTTTAACTTGAATATTCTGACTTCGGAAGCGATAAAAGTGTTTGCATAGGGTCAATGGACGGCGGGGGAGGACTATTGGCTGCAGCAAAGTCGATAAAGCAAAAAATTATCTGAAGCAGCAGATATTCGTTCTACCGTCTATTTCAGATCTCAGATTAGAATTTTAAGAAGCTCTCCAAGCCTTGCTTTTGAAAATGAAATTCTAGGCTTAAAATGAATTAAAATAGGCTTGTGAATTCCTCGTCGATTCAAGAAAGGTCTTTGAGCAAAATTTTATAGCAAATTGAGCTTTGGGAATATATATATTCAAAACATGGACAACGTGATTCTTCTAAAATCAACTTCAACGCACTGGCCGTGGGCAGGATATGCGGCTTCAAGATCTACCGTTAAAACTACACCTGATATATAGCACTGAAATGAAAGGAAAGGCGTGGCAACATTGGCCACATCCATTGCTCTCCCGATTCACAGGAGCTGGTGCCGCCGTTGAAGTGATGACGGTCAAATGTTTTTTTCTATCATCGAATGGGATGACTCGGGATGGCCCCTTTAGCAACACCCCAAAAAAAGATTTAGTTCCAAAATTCAAAATATTGATAGACATGCTGAATCTTTTTGTAATTTAAAACTAAACCTAATATATAGCACTGAAATGAGACAAAGACGTGACATCATTGGACACACCCATTCATTACTCTCCCAATTAACAGGAAGGAGTTGGTGCTGCTGTTGAAGTAATGATGGTTTTTTAAGTTTGGAACGGTCGATTAAGTTTTTAAGGGGAAAAATGGAGTCTGAACTGGCTGCGAAGGTATGTTGTAAAACCATACCCTTGTTGTAAAAAACAACCTTATGGTTGTTAAGGCTAACTAAAAGCTATGTAAGACAGCTTTTTCAATCTCATCATTTTTGCTAATTATGTAACAGTGTTGTACGGTTCTGTTGTTGTACTTTGAAAACCCATTATCGGTCTAGCCAAGTGACATGCAAATCAGAGTATAATGAGGAACATAACGCAGTGCTGTGTGGTCACCAGCAAATATCTGCTCGAAAACTAATCGAATGCTCGAATTTGTATTCAATATCAATTATTGGGCACACTAACTTATTATTTCACCAAAACCATAAAACCCAGATGAAACATCGTATCTATGATGCACCAAGGGCTGCATAAAAGGAAGGGGAAGAAGGCCACAAGTCTCTCAAAATAGGAAGGCCTTTAAACCAGTGGCGTAGCGTGACTTTTTCAACTGGGTATTCTTTATTAAACAAAAGGGTGGGGCAGGGTGTGGCTCAATGGGGCTTGATGGAAATAGGAGGGATAATAGGAAGATTAAAAGGACTAGCTATTGACAATTTATCTAATTTTCTTTCTGGTTCGGTTGGCAAGTACTGCACTGTCAGGGCATTACTATGATGAAAACGATACTTTGCTAAAGGACCCTTCAAATATACTCTTCGAACTCATTCATTGCATCAAAATACCACTAACCATTTCATCAAAAGTAATTCAAATCAAAACGTATCATTGAAAGTCAGTAAAATTTTGCTAGTCGAAATATGTCCCAATAGTTGTTGTTGAATCCTCTAAAATTTGCACTGATGTAAAGAGGAAGTAACTGTAAACACCTTCTCTTGATACCTTAATACAAAAGGGCTTTCGAAAGTTATTCACATAGGGCATTACACGAGTTATAAATAGTTTGTGGTATGCAGTGGATGCAGTCTAGACTTTTTCTTCAAGGCTTAATCGTGATATTTTCAATACAAGTTGATGATTGAGAGACTCGAAGGTAATGAGACGAGACTGCACAATAAAGCAAATAAATGGGCTCGAATAATGCAAACAAAATAGGCCAACAATATAAGTGAATGCACCAGGCAACTATAAGGATATTATCCAGGCCTATCTGCATTTAATTTAATTCTATCACATAATACAAACAGAAGCATTCCTGATTGACAAGCAATAACAAAATTGGCATTTCAAGAGGCACAGATCTGAGTCAGTGTGTAGCATTATGTAAAAGCCTACCTTTCCTTTCCACTTTGCTGTTGGTAGATTAAGATTAGGGGTCAAATGAGAGAATGATTATTAAACAGTAATACGGACACTGCAATAGCTTTGAATAAAGTCATGTTTACTGTTTTCAATGAAGATCCATCACTCCAACCTCTCCGACGTCCATTATCTGTTTATATCGATCTCAAAACGAGACTTTTTTGAACCAACTTTGAGGCTGTACGCTGCATATTTCTCAGCGTACAAGACCATTGTTTTAGCTGATTAACGGCAAATATTATTCATGGAAAGGAGCATTTTGATTGGTTAAAGTACCGTCTAGGGTATTCACTGCGTATTCATGACCGATCTCCATTCAACATGAAGTAGCTCAATCTTCAAAATTAGCTTCAAAGATCTCCCAGCTTCTCTATGCGTCGCAGCGTTATTGTTTCCATCAATTTCGTGATATTTTGTACTTGTACAAAATGCAGAATATCGAAGGTAACGAATTCAACCAGAATCAATAGCCCCAAAACATTTTTTAGTTATTACATTTATACGTCGTTTTAATATTTTTTCTGAGAAATCTCAGGGTATTCACTGAATACCTTGAATACCCGGACGCTACGCCACTGCTTTAAACTTAGTCGAAAGTTATGGTCGTTTTTATGATCATTCCAAGGCAAATATTGACGTCATCTACCACGTGACTTCCAGAAAATATCTTTTTGGGCCCATCTCGGAAAATCAATCAGTTACCGATATACAACCATATTTTGAAGTCAGATTTGGTATTAGGCACTTGCTTAGTTTGTCACAACAATATCCCTGTCTAACTCCTTTCCTATACTAATTAAAAATCTTTGCAGTCTTTTTTACATGATTAATTTATCTATTATATGTTGACAAAAAATTTAGTCATCACATTGACTAGTACCTGACACTGTCAGTTTTTGTGGTATGTAAAAAATGTTGAGTATTTAATCGGCTGACTGACTAAATGATAATTCAAGGTCTAAAGGCAAGTGCACAGGTCTTACCAAGAGATCAATGAGTTGGAAACCGTCATGAATAAGGTAAATGGGGTCACCTGCATTTCGCGTGAAAGCAAGCCGTCAGAAGACTGGTAACCAGCCTGTGTTATCTCTTGAGCATGGCGCTTGATCAGTAGCCTAAGCATAAGAAACCAAATGCATGTTGATCCTAGGGTATTTGGGGAAAGGAGAAATCAAGGAGAGATTACTCACATATCATTGGTAGGTAACTTTATTGCTAGGATTCTATCTGATGACTAAGTGTAAATGGACAACATTTCAAAAGAATAATTGCAAGATAAAAATAGAATGAACAGCTGTAAACGTAGAGCATTTTATGACAAAAACTGGGTTGGAGTGGAGTGGGCACCGATGTTGACGGCCATGAGGAAAACTGTCACATCCAAAATGCGCCTTATCTTTCGTTGCAGAATATCAGAGAAAATCTGACTTTCTAAATCGATTAAGAGTTAGAACATTTTACAGAATGCAAACACCCAATGTGTTGCACGTAACATACCAGGTTTCTACGCTGTTGTATCTTGCTTACATTGAAGTGATATTTTGGTTACAGTGAAATATCGTCTTTAAACTGAGTTACGTTATCATGATGGGCAACAAACTTGAAAAAATCACTTTCTATGAAGATGGCCTGTGTATGTTCTTTTTGCGAAAGATTTTTCTGCTTTGATAAGTATATCGAAGAATGTGTCATGAGCAGATGGAAATTCTAAAGACTTTCAGGATCTTTCGTCTCTTCATGAAAATCCTTTAGAATTACAAAATAGAAAAAGCTTTTTGGAATCAAGATATACCTTACATTAACTCTCCTATCTCATATTATTCATAATTTTTCTGTAACTAAAGTGCTCGAAATCCAATCATATCATTGTACTTTGACTCAACGAACCTCTCTAAAACCTGCGATTAATAGCTGTTTCTACTTAGCTATACAAATTAGACAAAAGATCAAGAGATTCTTAATCAAGAGATCAAGAGATTCTTAATCAAGAGATCAAGAGACTCGTAATCATTTAACTAGAAAGCTTATCGAAGAAAATAAATTTTAAGCAAAGCTGCATCAAATTTTTCAGTGCTGTAGCTGTTACTGTTCCTAGGGGGCCCTTCCCCTCCAAAAAATATAAAAAAAGATACTTTGCTTCAAATGAACAATCCCCTTAGCTCATATTTTTTCAAACAATGGCGCCCCTTCCTCCAAAATAATTATATCTTTCCAATGGTACTGTACATTCAACCTTAATAAAAATGGGGCTAAAACGCTCTTAAAGATTATCTTAATACTTGTAACTTTAATTCAAATTGTCCCTTTTTCTTTTATAAGAAAAGACAGGCAAAACTTCTTAGAAAGAACTAGGTTTGGCTATCGCCCCATTGTTTATTGGGTCATTGTGAATGTATAACGCCAAAAACAAACACTGGCAAGAGTCACTTAAAAATTGGAATCAACAAAACCCATAGAGAGTCAAAGAAGGCACTGGGTAGATATTTTCTATTCTCAGATTGTGCAATGACTTATACGCAATTTTTATCTTCTGCCTCATAGAGAAAATGGGTATTGGAGGCATAGTGACTATCGCAATGGTATGCATTGTCTGTTGTACATGGTTCCTTTGTGTATGGTCTCACGAATTAAACAGGAAGTACAAAGAGGAATAAGAAAATTATCCAAAGAGCCATCGACAGTCTGGCAAAATATTTATCTACCAAAGACTTGATATGAATGAAAGGCAGTTTGAAATCCATGCTCATGGGTGCTTTGTATACCAAACACTAGTGAAAGTGCAATATGGCGAACGTTTTCCATTAATGTTAAAGCTAGAATTTCATCTTGCTATAGATAGTTTAATGCTTGATAATACGAAGTGAAATCAGAAGATACAGCCTTACAATCATACAATCAATCAGAAGATACAGTCATTCAATCCTACAATCAACAGTTCTTGGGAAATTGAAACAAAATTCAATTGTAAAAAATTGCTGTGGTTAATAGTTGGATTAAACTCTTAATACACAGAAGGCTTTAGTTATTATATAGATAATTCGTTGTAGAATAGATATAATTTTATGTGATGACATTTTTTAATTGACTTCCTCTCTTCTGTCAATCCTGCAAGTATTGTGTTCCTGATTACAATTGATACCTGGGAATGATATCAGATCTAGAACAATAGTTTTTTGAGACTGCAGCTGTCAGTAAGAAAATACTTTCTTGACTCTCATTCTTAACTTTAACATATCATACAGACAGGGTAAAGTATGAGCCAATTAAGCTAAAATATTTGTAATGCCGTGCTCATAAAATATATTTTTCAATAAGGAGAGATTTCCTTCCTTTCTGACTGGCTGAACAATTATTTTGAACTTGCGGTAAGATCTTCAACAGTCTTCAAAGTTCAACTCTGTTAATTTATTTCCAGAAGATTCTACAGTACGCAAATTTTAAACAAGGCTGAATTGTTTTTTTTGCTTTGTAATGATTATTATGCATGCTGTCAATAATAAAAGCTAAAATGATAGAATAGAGGGCAGACATAAATCATTGCAAGTATAACGAGGAATAACTCCGTCTATATTTGGAAAATTCAAACATGCATTGTGCGTCCTTTACATCAACAAAACACCAAACCTTTTACTTTTGAAACTTTGTTACTTGTCCAAATTTTCTTAACAATTAATAGTGATATCAAAACAAACATAAAACAGAAATAAAAGGAAGACAAAAAGATATGACAATATGTTCTATAAAGCAAAAACACGTTTTGAATTGTCATTCACAAAACATTATGTACAAGAATAGAAAACAACTTTAGGAATTTCAACATGCTACCTGTTACGTCGAAAAATCTGGCAGCCATGCCTTGACTTTCTTACGAAGTTCATCTTTTCTTTTCTGTCGTTTTCTCTCTTCCTTTAGATCTTCAACAAACGCTTTCCATTGACTCAATGCAGATTTTAAAAGACGCCTAAGGAGATAGATAAGGGTCAATCACAGGTAATCTCGGCATTAATAAAATATATATTAAATATTAACAAAGATAATAAAATTTGACAATGAGCTGCTAGCTTCACAAGATTCTAGTTTTGATCTTGAGTTGGGACTATGAATAGGGGAGACAAAACCGGAACAGGAAGAAGGGAACCTGATCATTTTGCCAAGAGCATAGTCTGACTATATGTGGCTCATTCGTAAATAGAACAGAACATCAGATTCAACAAAGTAGGGTTACCGAGGGTGGTTACCACCTCTCAGCCGAATAAGGCGACTAAAAGGCAACGTTATTTGGAACTGGATGGTGATATGGAACTGAATGGGGTACGGATTTAGGCTCAAAAATGAGGCTTGCCATTATCTTTGGCTCTCGTTTCCATGATCACACCCATTTTGTTCACCGGTCACCACAACTGCCCATTAGTTCAGACACTGAAACTGAGCAGGCCATAGTGGATAACATGAATCAGGTGAGGTAGATATAATGTGTACACAGTTGCCCGCAGGTTGCAGGACTGATTGTGTCCAATCAGTAATACGGTTGGTGATGATAAATTCTAGCCAAAGTTTGGCTAGTTGTATGCAGGTCCCATATTTTTTAAACTTTCTTTCAAGATTTCACGGTATACTAATACTAAATGGAGAATATTTAACTTTAGCATACGACACTTTCAAGAAGAAAGAAAACAGTCCAAATTGGGAGCAACTCACTACACTTGATAAGTTGCCGTTCTATTGAGCATAATTTTCAAAAAATATTCCAAACACATTGGTCATTACTAAACAAAAGCAAAACTGTTTTTGCTTACTTTTCGTCATGTTGTTCTGCCTTTTCTTCATTCGACCAATAGGCCAATCTCTCATTTGTGACGTAATATTGCCATGTTTGAAAGTATTTCTTCACGACTGCAGACATGTAATGCCTTTTTGCCACATCTTCGAGAATATCGTAATGCTTTCCGTACTGAAACACGAATGATTGCGAAGGACAATGAGATAAATAAACGAGATTTGCAAGATGTCCCAGCATAATATGGGAGAAACGAGACTTACAGTTAAAGTATGAGCCGCTGACTAAGAAAATCAATTTTTGAAATGTTATTTAGAAGAACGAAAAGTAGAAAAAAGGAAGGACAGTTTCTTACACTTAAATGGTTTCTTATTTTGCAAGCTACTATAGCTTTTGTGATATTCACATGTTTTATTTACATGAGAATGGATGCATTTAATAACAAAATATAATTTCTGAGTTCACATTATTCACCTCAAATTCTGTGGTGTAATTGACATAATGGTGCTCAGGTTGGAGGTACAAATCAGGGGCCTAGAACATATACTTCCAGACTCATTTCCCTTGCACTGAACTTGCAATATGTGAAACCAAACCATTGCTAAATGATAAAAGGAAGTGAAAGACATATGTTTAGTACCTTTTTCCAGGCTTTAAAGCTCCTTCGCAGCAGAATAACTCGAAAACATTCATCTGCATATAAAATTTTCTCTCGCTTGCTTTCATGTGTAAAATTTCTCCAGACTTGAATATAGTTTCTAAAAACTGTTCGTGCGTAATACTTTTCTGCTATTTGTACATTGAGTTTGTTTATTTCTACCAATCTCTTCCAAGGTTCCAATCCAAACCGTTTAAGCAAAATACAACAGTAATTTGCATCCGCCTTCTCACAAGCGATTTTGTACTCCTGCTGTCTTTGCTGTTTCTCTTGCTCACGCTGTTTGTGACATAAAAAAGAAAACCAAATCATTTTACAAATTGTACAAACTGAAGCCAGTCCCCTAAGCCCAAAAAGTGCCCTGAGGCTAGCCTCAGATCAAGCTCGGGGCGAATCCAACAGAAGATATCTATTTTTCCTTCCATCGAGTCTTTTCCGACCGAGCATGATCTCAGAGAGAGCTGGAGACATACATATCACTTGGATCGAAAACATTGTGTGAAAGGCTCAAATGTGCGAGAATAAACTATAGAACATACCTCTTTCTTTTCCCTCTCTTGTTCTTTTATTTGTCGAATTTTTTCTTTTTTCATTTCAATTTCAGCAAGCATTAATTTTTCTTGCTCTATTTTGAGTAGTTCCTGAAAATGGATAAATATAGTATTAACAACACCCAACTGACCTCATAACAGATAACTGGTTTATTCTCAAATTCTTTGAAATGATTTTCATTAGTTGACGATTTGTTTGGATAGGAAATTGTCTTAGAAATAGGCTTGGAGGCTGTTGGGAAAGTGTTCTTCTTCTGGAGGTTGTTGGGAAAGAGAAACTTCTAAGGATGTTTTATTTCTACCAAATACCGGCCCGACATAATTGATAGTTTCAAAAGCAAGAAAACGAATGACGTTGTAGGACAGCCATTCCAAATTCTGCAACTTTGAAAATTTCTACAGAATAACCCCTACCAAAAGGCGGTTTTGATAAATCCTTTCCAGCGATACCTTTTCAAACAAAGGGGTGCTATACTTGCGATGCACTTTATAGAACATACTGCCTAGTATTTGATTCACCCTAAAAGAGTATGCATTTTGAGGAATAGTTTGGGACATTTGTTCTTGAGCAGACTTTCGAGAAATGGCAAACTATTACAACTCGCCTCACTATCATTTCTTTTCAGGGGATAGTAGTAGGTTATTCGCAATTTTTATTTGTACGGTTTGGGTGCCCCGCCAAAGGCAGGGCGACAAAAAATTACTATAGGCTCATCAATTTGCCCTCCTCCACGGAAATCTTTAGTAAAAGGCGAAAGATTTGTGCGGTTTGAAGGAAGACCAGAGCGTGATATACAAAAGAACGGGCGAGCCCGATATAAAAAGCTGCCAGGTGAAGCAGTTGGGAGAGTGGTTCGCGCATGCGCAAAGTTGATACTCATTTGAGGAGACATTTTTGCGTAATTCATTTACTGTAAATCTTCGAATTAGCCCCCTGGGGGCTTGTTTATCTTTATTATTTTTGGATGGGGGGTTATTCGAGGGAGGGGCTTATACGATGGGGGGCTTATAAAATTAAAGTAGACATTTAGAAGACATTATTGTAAGACCTCGTACAGTATATTTTAGTAGGAATTTCTATATTAACATCTTATTAATTTTTACCAAAAGCATGAATTTTTGTGGTAATTAAATAAAACACCAAAGGCAACCTCAAATGGCAACAATTAACAAATTGAGAGGGGCAAATTCGAGGATTTACGGCAAATATGTTACTGTCGTTTCCCTTGTGTCATTTGAATTCTGATAAACCAAGCTTGCAAAATCAAAATTTCAAGAAACGGCCCAATATAATGCTAATAATTTACTGCGGTCGACACAAACTTTGTCTCTCGTTCCCACATTGTATAACCAGGCGGCCAACCGAGAGGGGGCAAGGGAGATGATTGCCTCTGGGCCCGTAAGCAAAGGGGGACCCGCTGGTAATTAAACTGTCTCAATTTAAAATATGACTTTAATGACGTGGTAATTAAAAATCATATCTGTACTGCTGAAAAGCTGAAAAAATGCTTAACAAAAATTCAGTTCTTAATAATGCATTCGCTCTTTCTTTTTGTTCTTGATGCACTTCCTTACGCTGCAACGTATACACCTTGCGGTTTCTTAATACACGAGGCTCGAAAATAGTAAACAGGAGGTCTGAAATCGGGATGTCATGGGTGGATTTTTTTCGAAACATTACTAATCAAAGGGAGACGCTTATACTGGGATATTAATCTAGTAAATTTTTGGATTCTTTGATTAATCTTTTTTATCGCATCTCGTACTATTGTGTTAATTTTCATCGATTTGTAACTTGTCTTGTTCCGGCTGATTTATGTACATCCAATCCTAGCACTGATGACGCAAAACTAATAATGAACAAAGAGGCCAGGGGTGACCCGTCTGGTTATTTCTATCTAATAGTTGTATTAGACTATTGTAAATATGATTAGTCAAAGGAAATGTTACTGGTGCTGGAGGGGCAATTACCCCATAGTTAGTATGTTAAGAAATGCCCAAGCTTTAAGAGAACTAAATTATCTTTTGTTAGCAGAATACAACTCCACCGTCTCAAACTGAACTTCATCAACACTTACAAGTTTTTCCTGCTCCTGTCGTTTTCTTCTTTCTTCGAATATTGCTTTTTTCTCCGCTCGCAGTTTAGCTCTCTCCTCCATCGCTGGTAAAGATACAGAAAATTGGCTCTCAGTATTTTAAGATTTATCCAGTTGACGTAATTATCATGCGGGCATATCAATAGCTACATATCTTCAAGGTAACCTATATATCTTAGAAATTGTATACCCCTAGCAAGCAGAAGCACCAGCTTTGTACAATCATCATCATCATTACATTTACATTTAACAACCCTTTTGGGTCATACAAATGTCTGCCCAGTCAACTACAACATTAAAATTTACTGAGGTGATTTCGACATAGGTTGTAAAAGGTATCCGAATCAAGCATCATATTCTAGGACAAAATTTGAGAAGAACATATTGTTCACATAATTGTTTCATCGATGTGCAACGTTTCTGCTCAGCCTACACAAACTATACCTTCAAATGCCTTTCTTCTACTTTTCTTTCTCGAAATACACTCATTTCTTAGGCTCAAGAAAAATGGTTAACGTTGGGTATTCGGGAAACTTCAATACTTATTGTTTCTGAAGGGTTTCTTAATTATGATGTCATTGAACTTAACATTGGGGGCTCTTTATTAAAATTTTCATGAATGGAAAAAATTATTTATGGATGGTTTCGAGGCAGCTTAAAGCGGGCCTCATCAATTTCTCTATTGTTTACAAATGCTCGATGCATATCTGTCAAGATTCGCGTCTGTTCTAGTACGGTATATAAATGAGGGAAGTGAACTTTTATGCTCTGCACCTAAAGATTTATACCAACCACCCAGACTGACTTTCACAAAACTTTGGAGTTCTGTGCTTGTTTCAAAACGCCAATGTTTCTTAATTAATCTTCTTTGAGTACTGACGTTTTCTAACTTTTCTGATTGTCCAGTACTTGCTTCTTAAATCGTGTTTCTTATATAAAATGAGAATAACGAAAACACGTAGTTTTGATGAGAAAAAACATGAGAGGAGGTTTCCACTTACGCAATAAAACTGGTTTGGTTGCAGCTTTCTCAGATTTGACTGTCGATTTTCTGGAAAGCAATTCCTCCTTACATCTCTTTGACTCTCTCTCGTCACTTAACATGGCGCTAACGATCGATTCGGAATCCACTTCGTCAAGATTCAATCCAGTTTCTGCCTTTTCGTTTAACGGCTCGGATTTAAGAACGCTTCTGTTATTGCTACTCGCACCTCTTATTCGGTGAGAGTGTACAAGTGACGGATTGCTAATTAAGTTTGATCTCCCCTTTTCAGACACCGGTAATCTTGGCTCCGCTGATAAAGGAAGAAGTTTCTTTTCGTCAGATTCTACCCTGGTGCTTTCCGATTTATCTGATTCAGTCCTAAATGCGTTCAACTGCTCGTGTCTGTTACTCTTATTCTCTGAAAACTTTTTAGGGTCCTTTTTGGTAAACGTCATTGATAATGGCCTATTTCTGGGTTTACGGCTTGAAGAAGGCTTTCGTTTTTTATCTTCATTTTCGAATATCTCGTCCTGAAAAGAGATAAAGAACCTGCTGAAAAGATAAGAAGGGCAAGTTGATACAGACACCAATAAGTATACCTCTAGTAAAGAAAATAAAAACTTTTAAATAAATTTCTAAAATATGCAGAAAAAGGGAACCATAACACTTCTATTGGAGGAGATGCACATTTTCAATTCTATTTATGAGCGTTATAGATATCCAACTGTACATCGACATTTCAGTACACTCATTGTCGAGCCTTAGAAGACACACCCTGCAACTGTTAATACATTGAAAATTTTTGACAAAAAAGAATTTTGATAACTAAACACATCTCATTTCAAGAGTCTCTTTATATCGTACGTATTACAAAAAGTTACTCGCGTTACAAGCTGAACAAGTTTTTTCTGCAAACCTCTTTGAAAGTAATCGGGGTAAAGCTATGTATTTGTCTATTCATGCGAGCTAATAAAGGCAGAATTTATAAGACAAAATAATTTTCTTACTATTTTTCCGTTGATGTCTGCAGATCTACCTGTGTCTTGGGGCCCACTTGTATCAGCTTCCTGCCTGTTCACTTTACTTTCACTATTCCCCCAGAGTTTTCCACTAGCAGCTGCTTCCAGGAATGTCGCCATTTTCAAAGCTCTCTCTTGCTGCTCTCTTTTGATTTCCTCTAAGCGATACTGCTCCTTGGCCCACGAACGCCAACTAATAAAACATTTCCGCATCAGTTTCAGCTTGGCATGACCAATGGCCATTTGCTCTTTTCTAAAAAATGAAGTAAACACAATGAATGAGGGCAAGAATACAGTGAAAAAAACTTAAGAAAAATCCTTCATGAAGTTGTTTTACGTTGGGCAAAAAGACTGCACATGATTTTCAAAAACTATTTATTAATTTCCTGACGTTTACAAACACATCACATCTTATGTAGCATTGTATGTAATTTTTTGCAATGTAGAATAAAATGATACTGTATGTAGAGGGATTTTGAAATATAAAACTGAACTGAACTAAACAGTGAATAATTTTACAAAGCGAACATTAAACAAAGAATTTCACTATAATTGATACTAAATAAAACGTCAAAAACAATTTGAAACGGATAAGTTTCTGATAGTGTAGGTATCAAATCATTTTGACTCAAAAACTTTAATCATGTATTTGTACCCAAAAAGATGACTTCCATTATATGAGAAATTTATATATATTCATGATAGTAAATTATCATCAACTTTTTCACTTATGGTCATGGAAAGTTTCAATTAAAGTGACAGCCCAACCTGTATCTGATCTTTAGCGCCATTGCAATATCCTCGGCTTCTTTACACGACTTCAAATGATTTATGTATGCTCTCCATGCATTCCATGCTCGTAGCTTGCATTTCCAGTCACACATGGCGCGAGCCTTTCCAACCTTCATACGATTATCAACAACAAGACCATACCAGGCCGAGAAAACCTTATGCAAGAGCTGAAAATAAAACGAGACTTATAAAGTAGTTTATAATATATTATCTTAACAAGATAGCATAGATATAATTTTTTCAAAGAAGCATTGTAGCTCGAGTTTCAAACAGGAAAGGTCCTCAAATGAAAACTGTGAAAAGGTCCTCAAATAGTGCATTCTGCCAAAACCCGATTAGGTTCTTCAAGTTATACAAGAATACACAACCCACAGGTCATCATTCAGAAGAAAATAAATTATTTGCATCGATTTCAAGTTTGTAACTTAACAATCTTTTTGCAATTATTCCAATGCATTTCACACCACATATGAGATTAGAGCAAAAAAGTTTTATTCAATAAAAATTATTCGTACCCTCAGGCTTCCAGCGGCTTCCCGTAAAGATTTCTCTTCCATTTCAACCAAGACGCGCCTCCTCATCTTCTCTTCGGCCATCATTCTTCTCTCCTCTTCTTCCTTTTTAAGAACTTCCTTTTGTCTCAACTCAAAACGTACTTGCTCTTCAGCTTCTTTCAAAGCCCTTTGTCGCCTAAGATAATAAAGTTTCCAAAAACCATAAAAACGTAGCAGTTTAACATTACATGAATATAATAATACATTTCAAATAAGATTTTCCAATATTTTATTGCATGTTTCACAGCTAATGCCAACAAAACTTCTTTTGTAGCAGTATGTACACGTTGTAAGAGGAAATCACTTGAAACAATCTAAGAATATATTTATATCTTGTAAATAAAGACAGTTGCTTAATAAAGCAAGTAAGACTATTGGTTATCTGGCGAAGTGATCTGGTTCGATGATACGCGATATTCCGGAAAATTGTTGAACATCATTGCCTCTAGAAGCGTCCCCATTTAAGAAAGTTTACTCACATTAAAGACTTGCCCCAGTTTAATTTCAGCAGATAAAAAGTAGGCAGGAGAAGACAAATTGTATATTAGACAAAATTGTGTATGTATATTAACGATGTTGAATATCTTTCTGCTTTCCGAAATTTGATACAAACTACAACACATGATAGAACTATATAAGAATGTTTGGACAAACTGTGAAAAGACAAATATATTTAACTGGCTAAAACATTTAACTGGCTGACACACCGTTAAAATACTTTAATTTAACTAACTAACTATATTATACAACAGTTACACATACGTTGAGCCTTAAATCCAATGGTTTAAACTTACTGACATCCTTAGTAAGAGCTCCCTACATTCATAGGGTGCTCCTGATATTTATCTAAACCAACAATTAAGACGACGCTCCATACCTCTCCTGTTCTTCTTTAGTTTTTAGTCTTTCCTCTTCCATTTCTTTGCGAATAGCTGCCATCTGCCTTTGAATGGCCGCTTCTTCTTTCTGCTGCTTCATTTTTCTTGCTTTTTCTTCTTCCTGGATCTTTTTTCGAGCCAAAACTTCCGCATCTCTCTTCATCATCTTTTCCCGCTGTATATTGTGTATCTTTTCTTTTCTCGCTTTGTTTCTTTCTTTCACCTGTTAGAATGTTTCTAATGTTTATTTAATAAAAAAGAGTGATTAAAACAAATACTAAAATGAAGACACTGCAAAATTTATTGCAAATATTAATGCAAAAATCCCATCCCCTCAAAAAAGTTTCTTCATGGTATTTGAGCTTTCCTTAATCTAAATTCATACTCACTAATTGATGCCTTTGTTCCATTTTGGGTCTTGGGTCTTTGAACTTTTTCGTCACTTTCTCCATTCCAAGATCTGACATCACTGTCTCTTCAACATTTGTATTATTCATAAATTTTCTGAACATCTTCTGAGCTTCTTCTTCATAGTCAATGGAAATATCATCATAATCTAGACAAGAAAAGTCAGAAAATGTGGATGCTAAGAACTAACAGTTCGCTTTCAATACATTATCAAATCAAATTATGCCTTTTTATTCCAAATAGAAAACTACACATAATGGAATTTTGTGGTTCCAGTTTGTAGATATTGAATCACTTAATCAACCAGCTAAATACTCAAAGCATCAAAAAATCCTACTGCATTTCAAAAACGATGCCACAAAACGTTTCAGGTAAATGCATCAGTCTTAAAAAATTGTACACAATACAAAATGTTGATCTCTTGATATTCTACCTAATCTCCCAAACAATTCTCAGACTATTTTGCAATGAATTAATTCTAAAAATGATAGTAAACAGCAAGATTACCATCATTATTGTAGGAATTCGAAGTCAGGATATGTCCATCTTCAGATAATCCGTATGTTTCTATACCATCATTGTTATCTGTTAACGCTGGTATCATTGGCTTTGCTTTAGAAGACCAATTTTCATCCTTGAATTCAAGCTCAAGGTTCAACTCTGACAAATGCTGACCTTGCATCCATTTATCCACAAGCTCTTGAGCTATTTTTAAAAAAATGCTTCTTAAGAATCTCTCCTCAATTTTTTTCTAAATACTCAAGTGACAATCAAAATAAATCTATGATATGAAAAAATATTTCAGTCTCGACAGTCCCAAAAAAACATTTAAGAAAGCTCAAGATGACATTATTTCTGTTTGCAAAAATGCAGCATGACTAAATTTGAATATCAACACCTTTGTCATAATTTGGACATAGGCCTATATGCTGTAATGGAGGCATTGCAAACATTTCAATAAAAATATAAATGGAATAATGGAAAAGTTAGATGGAATAAGCAAAAAATAATAGAAAAAACAGCATTTGCAAAGGAGCATCCCTACTAAAACTACCCCACATTCCAACGCCCCCTTCCCCTTGGCACCACCACTGCCAGGGTGAACCTTGTCAGAACTAAAAATACTGTTAAAATATCAATCTATAAAAGATCTGTCTATATTTAATATATTCATAACAGGATCAAAAATAGATTGTACCCTTAGCAGGTGCAGTTTCTTACAACAGCTGTTCCTTTTGAACAAAAAGGTAAAATTGGAAGAACAAGACATAAAGCTATCCTTTATTGAAACTTGTAGATATAAATTTAACCTCATCAGGTTAAAGGCTTCGATAGAAATTTTTACTTGAACGAAAGTAAGTCCTTTAATTTTTGGGTCTTTCTAAGGAGCTTGCTGATATACCTTCATAAATAGCTTGATCATCTGGTTGCATGACAGCTATCTCCTCAATGCCTGGGATGGCACTTCCATATGCTTCTATGGAGGCACCATCTGATGCTGCTTGAACTCTCTAGAATACAAAGAGATCTACTTAAGAAATTTTATCAACTTTCTATTTATGCTAATACCCTGATTAAATGCAGACCTGGGATAAATCTGTACTTTGTCTCCAAATATTTATATTATTTAGCAATGATTATTTCTTAACTTTTTCACAAGCTTTGCCAACTCTGACATAAGTGTTTGTTTAGTAAACATTCTCAAAGTCACTGTTACTGAAATGAAGCCATGATTAGCTGGTCCAAAACAGAGAATTTATTTTGATATTAACTATAAATGTAAAATAAATATCTTAAAATTTTAAAAACCCATTGCTATGTTTAAAAGTCTCACAAATGATATCATACGTATGATAACTATTAGCTGTAAATTTGCAAAATTTCAATACCATAGAGTTGAAAAAGTTTGTTTTTTCAAAAGCACAAACATTTCAATAGAGCTACATGTGGAGTTGTAGAGTTACTTATATATTTGTATGTATATGCTTATAATCTGATAAATGAGTAGCAAACCTTTATCCATGCTTGCACACCAGATTCTTCTTGTTTCCTATCAATACCCTTCAAAATATCAATAAAAAATAGCAAATTAAGCTAGTAGGCATAAAAGCTTAATTAAGTAGGCATAAAAAATTTTCCTACTTTCAGTCTTTGCCCCTGCTAAGAAATCATTTGGGTCATAGGAAAATTTACCAATACCAGTACACTCTTTGTTTAGAGAACAATTTTAAAAGAATACAAGCCTCAAAATTGGTCAAGTTAAGAACAAATTAAGAACAAACTGTGGCTCAGTTACTGTAATGTAATTTTGCACAATGTTTCATCTTAAAAACGAGGAGATTTTTGCCAGAAAGAGGTGCTTTTTGGTGAATTTTAAACTTTTCCAGCAAAAGATATCTCATTCACATTGCTGGCAAACAAGGCCTAAACACCTCCCTAGAGCAAAATAGTTAGCAAATGCACTGCTTACACCTTAATTATTAAAGAAGATATCAAAAACAGTCCAGCCACAGATTTTTCTAAAAATTAAGAACAGCAAGCCTAAAATTAAATTCATTGGTTCCTTTGAAACAATCTTGACATGCGAATCAGGAAAAAAGATATAGGCTGCTGAGAACCAAATCAATATCTAATAAACTTCAAAACAAAACATATGGATATATTGTTGAGCTATGCCCACCTGTAATATTTTCAAATTTCCCAACAAATTTTCAGAGAAAAAGCATGTGTCTCTTGGCACACATTCTACTACAAGAATTACGCAAAACTCACATATTTTTACATAAATAACTTTTGTAAATGTGAACAGAATTAGATGAAAATTTGCAAAACATCATGAAAAACCTACCACAGTTATTTTTTTAGGTTTTTGAATCTCAAACATTCTGGGGGTGAAGTTTTTTTACCCCAATACTGAAGCCTTACAAGCAAATAAAAACGTCCTGTTTTACTCAAAAATTGTCTGCTTTTTTAGACCAAATCATCGAAAATTGAAGTAGAAGAATATCTAGATTACTATTTGCATGCTTGTTATAATGCAATTGCGTTGACAAACAATTTGTCTGAGCGACTTTTAGCTTTGATGATTCTAAATATGAGAGAGTACCATGGTGTTTGGCTAATTGTGAATTTGTACATAAATTGCGTGAAACGTTTGAGCAGTTGATTATCGGTATTAAGAAAAAGGTTCAGGAATTTCTAATCAAAAGAAAACAAGCAACAAACGATTTGGTCATTCTAACAAATATGTGCATGGAACAACAAGCACTTAGTCCTTACAAAACCATAATTTTATTTACTTACCGAAGACGATCCCTTATTCCATTTGAATAAATTGTTCTTTGCCATAACAGTATCTGCACTTTTAAGTATAACTAAAAACGGTTTACACTTTGGCCGAAACAAATTAAGCGCACTGAAATTTTGTTTTTGCCAACAGCCGCCATTTGCAAGCCTCTCTTTGCTTTCCTTCAAGCCTCGTGTTGCAGAGAACAGCGACAGACCAATGATCGCTTATATATCATTGTGTCTGTCTGTGTGTGTCATTCCCAGAACCAAAAACAAAACATCTCCTGTAAATGTCAGCATTGCTGTAAATTTCGTAATTTGATCTTATCGAATTTAAAACATTCAGTAATAATTTATCAGTTGCCCTATGATGCTCTGGGCATCTAGCAGAAGCTCTTAACTAAACTAAAAGAAAGATAAAGAGCCTAATAAAACTTTTTTGTTTTACTGTCCAGACAAAACATGAGATAGTGACTCCGTTTACAAGAGATAAATGACCATGTTTCTATTCAGGTTTTGTAGCTTCTGTTTGTTTTGTTGCTGCTTTGACATGTCATTGTTGATTGTGTATATTATCGTCTGTCTGTTTGTGATTTCTGCGTCATGGCGTATACACATGTTCAAAATTTTGGCCATTTCCTCGCTACACTTGCATGGCTAAGATACCTGGGGTTTGCAGGGGTTTGCACTGATTGCAACAAAAAAATTTCCTATAAAAAATATGATTATAAATGTGCAGTATTGAAAATTTCTTAAAAATGTGCAGCATTGAAAATTTCTTAAAATAGGCCCTGGCTCTTTCCTTGGACCGTCAAATATCCCTTAATAGTTAAGTTACCCTGGGTGCCAGAGCCTCAGAGAGTCAAAGGGTGAAGAACGGGGGACTCCTTCGCAATTCCTTCCCCCGTTCTTCATCCTTTTGACTTTTTGAGGCTCTGGCACACAGGGTATAGTTAAGTCTGCTCCAGGAGTGATAAAGGATATAATTTTTAAACGTCCTGTGACAGGCTATTTAATTTTGCATTTCAACTAAGAACTCAAAGGCATCTTGATTTTGTATTTGAAGCGCTAAAACTCCTGCGCTTTATACTAAAAGGAAATTTTGTCCAACTTTATTCAAAAGTCGTGTGTCTAGTGACAAACGGGGCTTTTTATCCCCTGACTAATGACCAGCCGTACCCCCCCCCCTTCTTCTTGTTTGGAACTTGGCAGAAACACCTCAAACCTGGAATTCTACAGAAAGAGCCTGGAAAATATGAAACTCCTACAAGTATTAATGGAAGATTAAGCCGTATGTTTTGAAAATAACTTATTAAAGTATTCCAATCTTTCCTCAAACTTAAATAGTTTTCGTTACTGAATAATATCTGTGTTTTTTCTTAAGAGATTCTTTGTCTTTTTTACCATATCTTTCTCATACAGAAGGAGCCCATCAATCTGTAAAATTATCAATTTGCACAAACGGGTGGCATGAGGATCCCTTAGAGCCCATTTTTCCAAATGATGTTGTCAGATATCTTTCTGAAAAGTCAATAGTTTTATAAGCACATGTTCAATGCCTGACCATAATTACGCATAATTGTACGGGCATCATACTAGGCTAGTAGGAGCTAAAGCCCCTCTTTATTTTTTCAAAGAAACGCTTTAAAACTTTCAAAAATTCATAAATTACCGTTTGATGAGAATGAAGTCAATATTTTGCTAAATTTCAGAAGATTGCGTTCAATCGAAAAGAATCTTGTCTCCTACGCTGGAAAGAGAAGTTGCTTTCTCTGTAAAATCTTAGAAGATAGTGTCGCGCTAACTGAAAAATGGCTTTAGGCTTTGGGCTTTAGTCTAACTTTCAAAATCTGCAAACCACTTTACATCATTTGACACCTAAATATTTTGCCACCCTTTCAGAGTTTCAAATACAGTCAATTTGACCGAGAATGTTCTTCCCAAAGCAAATTGTGAAAAGAAAAAACATTAAACTTCGACCTTTTTCTGAATTTCCAAATAGCGTGATTTAAAATATTTTTCCGGGGACAACAGGGATGGCACCACCAGGGGTGCTTGGCGGGGGGGGGAGGGGCAGAAGCCCCCCAAAAAATTCATTGAGCCCCTCCGTCGGCACTTCAATTTTTGAAAAATTTTAAGCAGTGTCGGCACTTTCATAGGATCCACTTCGTGATTTTTCATTTTCTTTTCATTGTTTGATTTTTTTCAGTTTTTGAAGCTTTAAGATCAATAAGCCTGTTTGAATAAACACAGTCATACATTGGATACATGGGTTTGCATTGCGATATTGTAAATGAGACATGGGACCACAACCGATATTGTAAATGAGACATGGGACCACAGACATGGGACAAGCAACGATAATCAGCTTAACAGGTCAAGAGATTTTCAGACCTCAAATAGTAGTTTTGATAGAGAAGTTATGGAAAATTCCGTTTACATAGAATTTTTTGCATTTTTAAAACTTCTGCTAGTTTCAAACATGGTTATAACTGTGTGCCTTTAAAGTTCCGCTCTAGAAAGTTGAGAAATCGGAAAATGGTTTCATCCAGAAAACGTTTACCATAACCTTAAAGTCTAGTAGAAAGCACAAGCTGTGCGAAATGATGCAGAAAAAATTTGGCGCCTTTTTCAATTCGCAACCTTATTCCGCATGCGCAGTAGAAAAGTTAACCGAGCTCAACCCTCTTTCGCGCTAACAATACATTATTTCAAACCAATTGAATCAGCCGAGTCAGCCCGGGCCGAGTCAGCCCGGGCCGAGTCAGCCCGGGCCGAGTCAGCCCGGGCCGAGTCAGCCCGGGCCGAGTCAGCCCGGGCCGAGTCACCCCGGGCCGAGTCAGCCCGGGCCGAGTCAGCCCGGGCCGAGTCAGCCCGGGCCGAGTCAGCCCGGGCCGAGTCAGCCCGGGCCGAGTCAGCCCGGGCCGAGTCAGCCCGGGCCGAGTCAGCCCGGGCCGAGTCAGCTTAGGCCGCCCGGGCAAAATTATTCCAGATCAACCTTGGCTTTGTGTTCGCACTACAGAAAATATTTCTTTGGTTCACTCTACCCCCTACCCAGGCTGAAACAAGGTTCGATATTATAGTCTAGACAAGGCATTTGACATTCATGACAGGGTCATACATGAAATCACCTATAATTTAAAGATTTTTAGGCCCCCTGGCCCTCTGTGTCACCATCTCTCTGAACCCCTCTATTATATTGCCAATGACGTCATTACTCACACGCTCCACCTCCAGCCCTTCGCTATACATTCATTTGAAGAGTAGAGCAAAGCCAAAAAGCATAATTTCCTTTTTATAAAAAAAATTTGCAGATCTAAAGTTGCGAAAATTATATTTTTAAAAAGTTGCGAACATTAAAACAACTCTGAAAGGTACCTTCTTAAGCCTGATTTCTCTACGATGTTCGTTGCTTTAGTGTTTAGTCTATAGAAACTAATAACTCTTACAAATCTGAACGCGTTTCAAAGATATGGTGAATTTTTTAGGCAGCTACTGCGATCGGAGAAAAATAACTCACAATGCTGACTTACAGCTAAAATTTAACTGTACCCAAGAGAGGAAAAGATTGAATGGTGTAACTTGTTGTTTAGAATGCATTGAGCATATTCTGTCTACGCAAAATTGAACTGATAGAATGACTGATAATGCATTTAGAAAACTACAATATGAGTACAAGGAAGAAATAATGTTCAAAATACCTTGGAAAAGGGGAACAAAATTCACTTGAACTCTTCGTCCGACGCTTAATAATGAAAGCAAGTGAAATTATTTCCAATCGAAAGCCCGGTTTACACTACAAAAAGCTACCCGGGTTGTGTTGAGTTCACCCAGGGTAAACTCTCTTCAATTTGTATTCTAAACGGAAAGTGGGTCTAAACTTGGTTTCCACACGCAATTGTGAGTCAGCCCGGATTGAGTCAACTGCCAACTCTGATTCTTTCTTGAATAATTTTGAAGGTTTTCTGCCGAACGTTACGTTTCTTTTCACTTACATTTTTTACCTCCCCTTTCTTTCTCTTCCTGCTTTCTCCAGTTGTTTCTACTGATTTCCTTCTCATTTCTTCAGCTTTTTCCATTTCTGCAGTTTGTTTTTCTTTAACTTGCTGCTTGCTGATCAGCATTTGCTGCTTCAAAAAGCTCCTTTATCTTGCAAGGAGAACATGTTTTTCTTTGTGCTCAGAATTAATTCCACTTGCACTTTCTTCTCTTCTAATTTTGGACTTTTTGTTGGTGAAAATAATCTGGAAGCGATCTCTCACTGCTCTGCAGGATACACCAAATTTTGGTCTTTCTACCTGCGAAAAATTATCTATATTTTTTCTCCACCCGTCGCTCCTCGGCCCTCCAGGACCCGGCGAAATTTCCCGGTACGCTCTTGCTTCGAGTTATATTTTTCAAAAAACTTTCGAAAGGCAATTATAAATATTCGCACAGAACTAACATGGATTACAACCATCAATTGACCTCTCGAAAGAACGTTTGCATAAAAAGTTTGCCGTGGTTATGGTTTTGGCGTCATAGATTTTACAGTTTAGTTTAGCTTCACCATTAAATTGAGAAAAACTATATCAATGATGTATCAAATTTCCACCAGTTTTTGCTAATTCCTCGTAATTGTATAACTTATTGAACAGTTTTCCGATATCTTCAAAAACGCCCAAGACCTATGATTAACCAAGACCTATGACCAGCGCCAATTAGTTTCTTCACTTATGACTAATGCGAATTATTTCAAATGCCTGATATCGAATAGCTGAGAGGGTTCTCACTTTTGAAGCATAAACTGAGTACAATCCTATGTTCTTTTCATTCAGAATGGTTGTATCTGGATAAGATTATGGATGCGTTGGCAGTTGGGTATGGGAACGTTCACATATTACCTAATCAAAGTTGGAGGGGGGAGGAGGGGTTCACACAAATGTTAACGGTCATAATGATCAATAAATGATGCAAATTAGATGATAATTTAGGGGGAAGAGGATTTTTCCAATGTTGCCTATATTTTGTTATGTAATTTGTGCATGTTCTTTTCTTTAATGATAATGCTTTTTCCAGGGCCTATTTTAGTGTGCAGTATTACACACTTTGTTCAATTTTAATTTAAAAACGTACAGTATTGATTTCCAAAATGTGCAGTATTGAATTTTGGGATTTGTGAAAATGTCTTTTTGCGGCTATCCCAGATTCCTGCTTTGTTCACAAAATGTGAATTTCCTCGTCACTTTGATATAGGGTTCATGTATTGTAATTCTCGTATAACCATCGGAAAGACTCTCTTATCAAAATTA